CCCCCCCCACACACACACGGCCCCTACAACCTTTCGGGTCCCTGCGGCTTTCTGCGCCTCTTGCGCTCTTCGGGGCCACCGTTGCCAGAGAACGGGAGGGGGGGGGCAAGCGCACACATAGTCTCGAGCGAAGCCACGCGTCTCCTCTTGTGCCTGTCTCTCTCTCTCTCTCTGATCTGGGCAACGCGCGCCTTGTGTCGCGCGCTCACTGCCCCGTGTGTGTGTGGCAGGACCACTAGGAACCCGACGCACGAGCTGTTGGCGGGTCCTGGGGAACCCCCCCCCCCCTTCAACCCCTCTCTCTGAGAGACGTTCTCTCTTTGCCGCCCTTGCCCCAGCCCCCCTGGCGCCCTCACGCCCGACACGTCTCTCTCTCTCTGGCCTTGCCCTTTTGCATGCGCTCCAAGGCCCGGAAAACCCAACACCCTGTCTCCCTCCCCACGCCCCTTGTTGTCGGCTCTCGTATGTCCTCCTCTCAGCCCCCCCCCCCCCCCCACGGGGGGCAGCTCTTTTATCTGCCTCGCCCCCACTTTTCCTGCTTTGCTGCCGCGCGCGCCGCCACAAACACAAGCAGCAAAACGCAAACTCACCGTCTGCGCTTGACGGCCGCGCCGGTGAGCATGTTGACGACGAGGCCGCCGCTGCGGAAGATGATGTGTACGGGCATGGGCACGGCGTATGCGAACGCCGAGTTGTTGAGCAGACTGCTGGCGTAGTACAGCGCCACCTGTACGGCCCATCGTCTCAGGGGCACCTTGGGCTGCCGCACTCGCGGCCACCCCGAGTCGAGCGACAGCTGTCCGGGAAGAGAGACGAGGGCGGTGACGAGGAAGTGGAGGAAAGTGAGAAGGGTCCCGCAGGAGGGTTGGATGGACGTGGTGCGCTCGAGAAAGTAGGCGTTGGAACAGCAGCCGCCGAAGATGAGCGAGAGGAGGAGGAACCACGGAGGCAGCGTGAGCAGCAGCGAGTGCAGCGAGGGATACCCCGGCGGCAGCGAGGGCAGCTTGGAGGGCGTCAAGGGCGACGACATGGCTGCGCCAGTTGCAGCACGCAAGGGCGGGAAGCGCAACGAAAGAAGCTGCGCGCCGAGCTGCGCGCCTGACAACTGAAGACCCCGAGAGTGGCAAGTGGCCGAAGAGGAAGAAGAGCGTGCCCGTTTGATGGAGCGCAGGCAGACGGCTTGAGACGCTCTACGTGTGCTGCTGTGGGGGAAGAGGAGGGGTGGTGAGAGAGAGAAAAGAAGCAAGCGCCAAAGAGCCTTGTGCTGACTTGGACGAGCGAGAAGCCTTAAGCCTTCGGGCGCGCGCCGAAGTCTCGTGTCACTTTCGGCCCCTCGCCCTGATGCCTCCACGTCGGGCACCGCGTCGGTCTCCTCTCTGAGCGGCTGCTGCCCGCCGCGCTGCTCGCCTGACCCTGCGCTGCCTCCCAGCCAGAGCTCGGGCCAGCGTCAGCCTCGCGCGCGCGGCGCTGCGCTGCGCCGCCGTCCGCCGCGCCGTCACGCGTCTTTTGGCGCGCGCGCGGCGCCGTGACGCGCCTCGACGCGGCCGGGGGGGGGGGGGGGCATCTCATCTTGGCTGCGCTCCACCTGCACGCGCCCGCTCTCTGCTCCACGCCTGCACTTCGTCTCCATGGCACATTGACCCACGTCGGCACCCCTCACAAGCTACGGCAACAAGCAGCAAGAGCCATGCCCATCCCGCCCGCGCCGCCCAACAACCTGCCCCTCGCCTCGTCGCTGCCGCGCATCTCCTTTCGCCGCGTCGTCTCGCCCTCCGCCTCGGCTCACGCTCTCGCCGCCTCCTCTGGCGACGCAGGCGCAGCGCCTGGCCATGCCGTCGCCGGGCCCAGCAGCGTGCCCGACGGCGCCTCGCTTCCTCTCGCCAGCAGCGGCGGCGGCGGCGGCGGCGGCAAGTGGGCGCTCCCAGGGCCCGAGCCCCTCTTTCTCGCCTTTGGCTTCGTCGACCCCCACGCGCCGCACGAGTGGCCCGCGGCGTATGTGCGCCACCGCGAGATGGGCGAGCAGGAACGCATGCGCGAGTGCGAGTATGACATGGATGAACAGGGTGAGTGCGAGTTTGTTTGTTGCCCCCTGGGGGGGGGGGGTCTGCGCACGTAAAGAGAGAGAGAGGCAAAGAGAGGGACACAGCAAGCAGGGCGGAAGTGAAGGCACATGGGTGCGGGCAATGGACTGTAAGGTAGCAAAGCACATCAGGGAGCGCCAGCTAGGCGCACAAGGGGCAACACGGCCAAGCGCCATGAGGGAGTGCAAACACACACACTGCGGGGCCAGACTGCAGTGGGGCGCTGCTGCTGCTGCTGCTGCTGCTGCTGCTGCTGCGCATGGCCATGCCAGCCGTGGTCTTGTCGCCTGCGGCCAGGAGACTGCACGGGGGGGGCGCCGGCGACCAGGGCATGGGTGGGGGGGGCCTCGACTTGGCGCCATTGGCCTGCTCGCTGAGCGCGCCCTCTCGCCCGGGTCTATCTGTTGCAACGCCCAGCGCCTCCTGCTGACCTGCGGCCCCCGCAGACAAGGAGTGGCTGGATGCGCTCAACGCCGAGCGGCGCGCGCAGCAGCTCGACGTCGTGGCGTACGAGACGTTTGAGATTCTCATCGACCGCCTCGAGAAGGAGTGGTTCGCCCTCGTGAAGCGCATCCCCGTGCGTGCGCCGCCACCTGTCGTCGGCGAAGACGGCGAGGCGCGCGCCGAGAATGAGGACGTAGAGTGCGCCATCTGCGACGACGGCGAGTGCGAAAACTCAAATGCAATCGTCTTTTGCGACGGCTGCAATCTGGCGGTGCACCAGGGTGAGTGGGAGAGATGGCAAGCTACTTTGCAGCACAGCTGAGATTCGCGCTTCTTCCCCAGACTGCTACGGCATTCCCTACATTCCCGAGGGCCAGTGGCTCTGCCGCAAATGCACCGTCTCGCCCGACCGCGCCGTCTGCTGCGTGCTCTGTCCGCACGAGGGCGGCGCCTTCAAGCAGACGACGCAGGGGCGCTGGGCCCACCTGCTCTGCGCCATGTGGATCCCGGAGACGGGAGTCAGCAATGCCGTGTACATGGAGCCCATCGACAGCGTGGAACGCATCCCCAAGGCGCGCTGGAAGCTGGTGCGTTCGTTTGCAGCAGGCATCAAGTACCACAGCCTCCCCGACGCTGACCTCGCCACCCCTCATACCAGCAATGCTACCTGTGCAACCAGCGCACCGGCGCATGCATCCAGTGCGACCAAAAGACGTGCTTCACCGCCTTTCACGTCACCTGTGCCCGCAAGGCGGGCCTCTTGCTCAAGACGACGCGGCAGCGCGCCGTGCATCACGAGGAGTCGGACGACGAAGAGGCGGGCGGAGAGACACTCAAGGCCTGCTGTCACAAACACATGCCCAAGGACAACCGCAGCAGCGGCGCTGCCACGCGTCGCAGGCGCAGCAAGCAGCGCCAAGAGGGCAGCGAGAGCAGTGCGGAAGAGAGTGGCGCGTCGCCGCATGCGCCCGTCGTGCGCGTCCATGGCGCCGCCGCGCCGCGCAGTCGCATCAAGCTAGTGCGCCGCAGCGGCAGTACGGGCACCTCTCGCGTGCTGCTCAAGTCCTCGAGCAGCAGCAGTGGGCAAAAGTCGGCGCGCGCCTACAAGTCGACGTACGTGGCCGGGCCTCCCTTAGTGCCGTGGCTCATCATCACCAAAGTGCTCGACTACATTGCGCGCCTCCCCGTGCGCAAAAAGCCCGAGCTGGCGCTGCGCGTGGCGCGCTTCTGGAGCCTGAAGCGCGAGGCGCGCCGCGGCGCGCCGCTGCTCAAACGCCTGCATCTCGAGCCGTGGACGGCGAGTAAGGAGGGAAAGGAACAGACGGACACGCAGAGGATTCGCAAGCTCGAGGTGAGGCACCGCGCACTCGTCATTTACGCTGGCGCCTTGCGCTGCCCTCTCAGCGCTGACCTCTCCCCCCCCCCCCCCCCCCTGCAGTTCCTCTTCCGCCTGCGCGAAGACCTCGAGAAGATTCGCATGCTGGCCGAGCTGGTGCGCAAGCGCGAAAAGGAAAAGCTGCGCCAGGTGCAGCTGCTGCGCGACGTGCTTGTGCGCGGCGTGCTGCTGCCGTACCACGCCGAGCTGCGGCGCGCCCTCGACAAGGTCTCCTCGTGAGTTAGCCAGCGCGGAGCGGGGACAGCCCTCGGGCCACTTGCCGCGCATCGCTGAGGTGCCTTCTCTTGCCCACCACAGCCTCGATCGCGCCGGTCTCTTTCTGCATCCAGTCGCACGCAGCGAGGTGCCCGACTACTACGACATCGTCACGTCGCCCATGACGTGGAGCGGCATGGCGGAGAAGCTCGAGGCGCAGCAGTACGGCGATGCCGCGGCGTTTCGCGCCGACATTGAGCTGGTGCTGCGCAACGCCATGCTGTACAACAAGCCCGACACGGCCTTCCACCGCTCGGCACAGCGCATCCTCAAGGGCTGCGCGGGCGTGTTTGAGACGCTCGAGGCGCTCGAGAAAGTGCATGGCCCAGACCAGGCGGGACAGGAACAGCTAGGCCTCGAGCCGGAAGAGGCAATTCTGCGCCTGCTGTGCGACTACGAGGAGCAGACGCAGGACTTGAGCGACAGCAACGACGCAGAGGCAGCGCCAAAGAGCGCCATTGAGGATCTCGTGCGTCACTTCTACTCCGTCGAGGCGCCCGCTGCGCCGGCGCCGGCAGCGCGGGCACCAACGCCGCCGCCGCGCGTCAAGCTCTCGCTGCAGCGCTCGTCGCGCTCCGCGCGCACAGACGAGGGCAGCACTGCACCGGCCCAAGCCTCGTCTGCACAGTCTCCCGCTCCCACGCGGCGCGGCCGCAGCGGCGCCGCGCCGGCCGAGGATGCGGCCGTCGAGGAGCTGGAGCGCGCGCCGCGCAGCGAGCAAGACAAGGCCGCGGCGCGGCTTGCACGCGCAAAGACGGAGGAGGAAAAGGAGGAGACGCGCCGGCGCAAGCAACGCAGTGCCCTGGCGGCCTCGCAGGCTTCGGCGGCGGCCCGGCAGCGACGCAAGCGCGAGGCAGAGGAGGCGGCGGCGGCGCGCAGCGCAAAGAAGCAACGTGCCTCCGCCTCGCCGCAGCTGCATGGCGGCAGCAAGCGCGACGCGGCGGCAGCGGCGCCTGATGCCTCTTCGCAGGCCAGCGTCCGCAGAGGCCGCTCGGCCCACCGCGCAGAGTCCGAGTCCTCCTCGTCGTCGGCGGAGGCGACATCCACCACGCCCGAGGCGGAGCGGGCGCTGCGGCAACGACGCAGTGGCGCGGCGCCCGAGCCGCGCGAGCTCGAGGTGCAGCAAGTCGACAGCTGGGACTCGTTCAAGCGCTTCAACGTCGGCTGGGTGCTGCCCGAGGGCTCGTCGCGCCGCGGCAATCGAGCCGCGGCGGCGCCAAGTGCTGCCTCCTCTGCGCACGACGCGCAGTCGGCGCGCAAGAGAAGCGCCAGTGCCACGACTGCGCCTCGGAGCGGCGAGCGTGCCGCCTCGTCCGAGCTCTCGGAAGAGGACGCGGCGGCGCCTGCTGCTGGCAGCAGCAGCAGCAGCAGCAACGCGCCGCCTTCACACCGCACCGCCAGCGCAGCGACGGCGTCTGCCACGACGGCGGCGGCGGCGCCGGTGCGCATCCGCAAGCGCGGCAGCCACGGACAGTTCATCAGCAAGCACGACGACCCCAGCAAGCCGCGCGCGCCACGCGGCGAGCCCGGCAAGTCGCCGGCGGCCGTGCGCCGTGCCAGGCCGAGCGGCGGCAGCGAGGCGCGCAGCAATGAGGCGTCGTCGAGCAACAGGCGCAGTCTCAAGCCCAGCCTCCTCTCGTCGCCCCTCACGTCGGACGACGAGGACGAGTCGTCGTCGGCGCGTCGCACGTTTGTGCTGGGCGCTTCGGACGACGAGGAGCTCACGGAGCCGGATACGCCGCTGCTGCATGGCCATGGCGACGACGAGGAGGCGCCTCCAGACGCAGCCGAGCGCGCCGCACAAGGCCGCGCGCGCCGCAATGCGCAGCGCCGCGAGAAGCATCGCCTCAAACGCATGGCGGAGAGGCGGGCGCTGCAGGAGCAGAAGGAACGCGGGCGCGCAAAGCGACGTGCGCGAGAGGAAGAGGAGGATGGCTCGGGCGCGGCGAAGAGAAGAAAGAGCGAAGTGCAGCTGGACGACGACGACGAGTACGCGCCGGCGACGCTCGTGTGGGCCAAAGTCAGCGGTGAGTCGAGCAAGTGTGTGGGGCGCCGACCTGAGGGTGCTGACGCGTGCGTCATGCTGCGCTCAGGACATCCCTTCTTTCCCGCCGAGGTCATCGATGCACAAGCCGACGATGTGCCAGACGACGTACGTGCCTCTGCGCGCCTTGCCTCTCGCCTATCGCATCACCCAGCTGACGGCCCACTGTGTGCTGCTGCCCACAGGTGCTGGAGATGCGCGAGCTCGACGTCTCGGCCGCCACGGCTGCGGCGCCGCTGCGGCTGGTGCGCTTCTTTGACGGCACGCAGAGCTACGCCTGGGTGCCGACGACGTCGCTGCGCATGCTGCTTGAGGATGAGGCGCTCGACGGCAAGATGCTGCGCAGCTCTAGCCATCGCAGTGCGTTGCATGGCTCGGGCAACCCCCCCCCCCCCTTGGTGCGGCGAGCAAGTTGGCTGACCACTGATCTGATCCGCAGCAAATCATCAACGCGCCTCGGTGCGTGCGGCGTATGCACGGGCAAAGACGATGCTGGATGCTTGAGGGCGGGCGTCAAGCACATCAGGCCGGCCAACATGGCGCTTGCTCGACGCTCGTCTCCTTCCACCTCGACCTCCTCAGCCACGCGGCCTCACGCCTCGCGCTCGTCACCTCTCTCATCGTGTACCCATAGCCTCGATACCATGCTATCTCGCTGCTTCGTTTGCGACTTGCTGCATCCCTTGGCGGGAGCCGTCGAGGTGCGGGTGCCTCGGGCGAGACCCAGGGGCTGCACCGCTCCGCGGCTTTGACGCCTTGTGGGGCGCCGCCGCAGCACGTCCCGAAATAGGCCTTCGATGTCGCTTTGCTGCGCCACGGCGCTCCGCCCGAGAGGCTGCAAAAGTGACGCGCAGAAACATTGCGCCCCTCATTGTGAGGAGAGGAAAAGAAAGAGGGGCTCGGCCTGTGCTTCGACTGCGGCGGCTGCCGCTGCGGCCGAGCAGCAGGCCTACCCCAGACAAGCGAAGAGTGCCTGGCTGGGCGTGCCGGCGCTAGCGTGCGCGTGCGCTCCGCGCGCTCCGAGCTTTTGGCGGGTGCGCTCGCGGTGGCCGATGCCGCGCGTGCCTGCCGCCGCGCGGCGCGCGGCCGTTTGCTGCTCTCTGCGAGAAACGTTTGGCGCGTGCGGCGCGAGGGCTGGGGGCCACATCAGCCACGCGTGCTCCTCTCTCGCACCCACACCTCCATCCGCCTCACCTCCTCCTTCTCCCGGCCGCCGACTGCGTCACCTCGCCTCCAGCATGGTGCTCGAGCAGGTCGGCGTCAAGCTGCGCGTGTCCGACGGCACCGCCGACGCCGCCGCCTCGAGCGCCGACGAGGCTCGGCGCCGCTCCCTCTCGCCGCCGCCCGAGCGGCCTGCGTCGCAGCTGCGCGAGCGCTGGAGCGGCACCAGCTGGTGGGACACTGCCGCCGCCGCCGCCGCCGCCGCCTCGCCCTCCAGCAGCGCCGCAGCCGCAGGCGCCTCGCCGCCCACGCGCTCCCTCTCGTCGCCCTCGCGCCCGCACTCCTACTCGCACGCGTCGCACGACGGCTCCGCCGACTCGGCGCTGCTCAAGCTCGGCGGCGTCGGCGGCGTCACGCGCTCCGGCAGCTGGGGCCAGAGCCGCGGCGCCGCACAGGCACACGCGCAGTACGCCAGCAGCCGCGGACGCGCCTCGCCGCTCGAGCCGTCGGCAGAGTCGAGCCTGGCCGACGATGATGAGGACGATGCGGCGGCAGCGGCAGCGGCGGCGGCAGAGGCGGCGGCACATCGCCGATCCTCCTCCTTCGACGTCATGTCGTCGCGCTCCACCGACGTGCCCTCGAGCTCGTCGCGCACCTCAACGTCGTCGTACTCCGCCGCTGCGTTCTCGCTGCGCAGCTTCTCGAACCGCAACTCGGCCAGCAGCACGGCGTCGTCGTCGGCGGCCTCCTCGTCGCGTCTGCCGGAGGAGGCTGAGCTGGGCCGGCGCAGCTCGCTCGCGTACCTCTGCGAGGACGGCAGTGTCAGCAGCAGCGCCGTCGCGATGAGTGCGGGGGCAAGCAGCAGCGCCAGCAGCAGCAGCGAGGCGGCGTCGAGCAGCAGCGGCAGCGGCGGCACCGCCAATGGCGCCAGCGGCGTGGCCGGCCCCAGTGTGAGCCGCGTGCAGAGCATCGGGCGCGGCAATCGCAGTCTCGCCTCGGAGGAAGAGGAGGCAGAGCGGACGCGCAGCTTGCACGCCGACGGCGAGCATGCAAGAGCACGCAGCGCACATGCCGAGCTCGAGCAGCGCAGCGCAGACTCGTCCGGCCCCGGCGTCAATCGCATCCGCTCCATAGGCCGCGGCGCTCCTCCCGCTGCTGCGCTAGAATCGCCGCCTGCTTCGCCACGTCCGTCTCCGCCTGCCTCGCCTGCGCCGCCATCACGGACCCTCGCACCCGCCTCGCCGCAGCTCACGCCGCAGCAGCCGCCAGTCGCGACGCTGGGCACCTCGCCGCGCAAGCTGCCGGCCGCTGCGTTCCTGCAGACACCCTCCTCACCACATGCCGCACCATCGCGCCGCAGCGCCAGCGGCTCTTCCTCTCGCTCCGTTGCTGCTCCATCAGCTGCGGGCCCGAGCTCATGGGGCTCTCCCAGTCTGCCCTCTCTCGCCGCTGCAGCAGCCGCTGCGCCTCCCTCGGCCTCCACTTCCAGCGGCGACGACTCGACGCCCCTGCCGCGCCGGCACAGCGGTGCCTTTGCGCTGCGCACGCGCAGCATGCTCTCGCAGCACGCCGGCCTGCACATGACGTTTGGCGCCGGCGGTGCCGGGCGTGCAGCAGCACGGGCGATCGAGCGACAACGCGATGAGAGCGTGCCGCTTGCCAATGCGCCGTTCAGCCAGCTCGAGGCGGCGCAGCGGCATGGCAGCGGCAGTAGCCGCAGCAGCAGCAGCGAAGCACGGCACGTGCTGCCCATCAATCCTGCGCTGGCGCCACCAGGCTTCCTGCCGCCAGGCCCGCTCTCGCCCATGGCGCTCGCCTCGCCCGACGCGCACGCCTGGCTCGTGCCGCCCGAGCTGGCACTCGAGGATCGCGCCTCTGATCCCGGCGGTGTCGAAGGTGCGGCAGCTGGCCCGCCGTGGCGAGCACGAGCACGTGGCCTGCCGCCACTCGAGGTGGGCGCGGATGTGGGCCTCGGGCTCGTCTCGCCGAGTCTTCGCAGTGCCGCTGCGGTCGCGGCGCCGCGCCCAGGGCTTTCGCGCAGCAACACGGGCATTGGTGCGCTGCTGCGCACGCCCACGACGGAGGAGTGGAGCCGCTACTTGGCGAGCCAGGGCTCCGCGCCCACGTCGTTCAGCGAGCTGCCGCGCAGCCGCTCCGCCACTGCTCGTTCGTCGGCCTCGGCGCTGGGCCGCCGCGCCGAACTGCTCATGACGACGGGCACTGCCGATGCACGTGCCGCATCGACGGCGGACGCCAGCGACGGGGAGGGCGCCTCGGATGAGGACGGCGACTCGCCTCTAGACCCCGCAGAGGCGGCGCAGGCACAAGGCATGATTGAGCGCCTTCGCAGTCTGAGCATGGGCCGCACAGCAAGCAGCCGAACGGGCTCGATTGCAGGCGGCGACGTCGACTTGCAGTCCGTGCACGAGGATGACGAGGACGAAGGCAGCATCAGTGACGGCAGTGGCGACTGGGACACGCGTAGCGATGCCTCGGGATACAGCGCTTCCAGCTCAAACGAACGGATGCGCGCACTGCACGAGGCGCTCTCCAGACCGCCATCGCCCAGCTGGCGCGCCGCCAGTGCTGCGCCTGCCTCTCCGGGCGCTCCTGCAGTAACTGGCTCCTCGCCGAAGAGCCGCACGCCTGACCTGCCGCGCTCGCCGCCTCCTGGTCGCGTGGGCGAGGTGCGCGATGCCAGTGTGCTGGCTGCGGCAGCGCATGAGAGCACGCCGACGCGCTCCACAACGCTGCGTGCCCGTCGGCCCACGCGCGAGACGGCTGCCACACATCTCGGCTATCCGCTGCCGCCGGCAGGCGAGCGACGCTCGATTGCCGACTTTGTAGTCATTGCGGACATCGGCCGCGGTGCCTACGGCCTCGTCAAGAAGGTGCGCCTCAGGGGAGCTGACGGCCTTCCTGTCGGGGTGAGTATGACGAAGGCACACAAGACCGCCACACCGCTGACTCGTCTTGCTGGCAGGACGACTACTGCATCAAGTACATCATCAAGTCGCGCATCCTTGCCGACTGCTGGCGCAGGCACAAGACGCTCGGCCCCATTCCCGTCGAGATCCACGTCATGGACCAGCTGCGCCGGCTGCCCTACCATGCGCCGGCCTCGCCGCCGCCCTGGGCGCCTGAGCGGCTCATGCCGGGCTCGCCTGGCGCGGCAGCGGCGCAGCAGCAGGCGGGCCTGGCGGCGCCGTTTGCACCCGAGGGAGGCGCGGCGCTGGGCGTGTCGCATCCCTCGCTGTGCACCATGATTGACTTCTTCGAGGACCACGAGGTGCGTGTGTCGCTGTGCCCTGAGGCAGCCACCAGCTCACATGCCCGTCCTGTCAGTTCTACTACCTCGTCATGCCCTGCCTCAGCGGCACACGCACAGGCCACGGCGCCGGGCAAGATCTGTTTGACTTTGTCGAGTCTGCTCCCGACGGCCTCTCCACCGTCGAGGTGCGCACCATCTTCGGACAGGTGGCCGACGGCGTGCGCTTCCTGCATGCCAACAGCATCGTGCATCGCGACCTCAAGGACGAGAATGTCATCCTCGACTTCCGGCACGGCCGGCCGCACGCGCAGATCATCGACTTTGGCAGTGCGGCCCACGTGCGCGCCGGCCGTCTCTTCGACACGTTCAGCGGCACGCTCGACTATGCGGCCGCCGAGATCCTGCGCGGCGAGCAGTACGGCGGCCGCGAGCAGGACGTGTGGGCCCTCGGCGTCGTCGGCTACGTGCTCCTCTGCGGCGACTGTCCCTTCTGGAACGGCGACGAGGCAGTCGAGGGCCTGGCGCCGGCCTCGCGCGCCGCCACGGCGCTGCGCGAACGCTGCATGCTGGGCGAGGCGCGGCCCGGCGGCGGCCGCGGCGGCGAGGAGCACGCGGCACGGCCACTCGGCGAGCAAGGCGACAAGGCCGCCGACGACGGCGGAGGCAGACTGCACGATGCGGCCGACCTGATTGCGCAGTGCCTGCAGCTGGACCCGGCGGCGCGCCCCACGGCACAGCAGGTGTGCGAGCATCGCTTCCTCGTCGGCCACGCCGGCTGGCACGGCGCGAGGGGCTGGGACACGGCGACGACGCCGCAGCAGCAGCAGCAGCAGACGAGCGAGACGTGATGCGGGCATGCAGAGCGTGCATCGCTGCAATGAGTAATGATTAATGCACCTGAGACTGGCTGTGTGTGAGGCGGATGTGCTGTCGGAGGGGGTGGCAGCGGCAGCACGCCGGAGTGGTCCCATGGCATTGTTCCCACGCGTTGTTGTTGGGGCGCCGAGGCGCAGACTGGCGCAGTGCCGCCCGAGCGCTTGGCAGGCCGGCCGGCAGCGGGGCGCGGCGGTGGGGCAGGCGCCGCGCGAATTCTGCGCTCGGGGCAGGCACAAAGTGGCTTGCCGCCGCGCGCGCTGGCCTCAAAGCCGAGCTCTTGCCCGGCGCTGCCTCGTCCGCTCCCACCACCACCCTCCCCCTCCCACCCGCGCAATCGCACCATGAGTGCAGCTGCCGCGTCGCTCCGCCCGAGCTGCCTGCGCCTGTTGCCTGCTCACCCCTGCTGACTGACTGACGTGCGCGCGCCAAGGCTGACCTCCACTGACGATGCTGCCACTGACGCTGACCCTGCTGCGAGGCGCTGCGCTGCGACGGCCGGGCGTCCAGCGCCCGTGCCATGCTGACCTGCCCTTCCTTGCTGCGCTGCAAAGGCCTCTACTCGGAGTGAGTGCCCTGCCTGCCGCGCCGCAGCACTTCGCCCCACTAACCCCCCCCGCGCAGGTCCAAGATCGGCCTCGAGACGCTCGCCAACCGCTCCATCTCCGAGGGCTGGGCCGAGTACGTCAGCGTCACGGGCTGCATCATCGGCTGGGTGCGCGGCACGGGCCTCATGGACGGCAACAATGCCGTCGCCGAGCAGATTGAGAAGCTCGGCCTGCGCACCTTCTCGTCGACGGAGATGGCCTTCAACCTGCTCGGCTGCCTGCACCCCGTCATGGTCGCCACGGCGCAGGTCGAGCCCATCGTCGCCGACCTCGGCGGCGGCTTCTCGCGCCTGCCCGACCTGGCCGCCAAGACGGCGAGCATCCGCGCCAAGATCTACGACGAGGCCGCGCGCCGCCGCGCCATCGCCCTCGACAGCGCCGCCGACTTTCTCGTCACCAAGGGCAGCGCCGCCGAGGCGCTGCACCAGACCGTCAAGATCGAGCCGCGCGCGCTGCACGACTTTTCCTTCCCCAAGCTCGAGGCGTCGCCGGCCGACTACCTGCGCATTGCCAAGGCGCGCGGCACGCTCGACCTCGACAAGACCGTCGTCGTCGTCGGCTTCGGCGAGGTGGGCCCGTACGGCTCGAGCCGCACGCGCTGGGAGATCGAGGCCGACGGCGGCCTCAGCCTGACGGGCGCCATCGAGCTGGCGTGGGCGATGGGCTTCATCAAGCACCACAGCGGCGCACTCAAGGCGACGGGCAAGACGTACGTCGGCTGGGTCGAGGCCAAGAGCGACGAGCCCATTGCCGACCGCGATGTCAAGGCCAAGTTCGAGAAGGACATTCTCGCGCACACGGGCATCCGCGTCGTCGAGCCGGAGCTCTTCCGCGGCTACGACCCGGCGCGCAAGGGCTTCCAGCAGGAGATTGAGATTCTGCACGACATGGAGCCGATGGACGTCTCCGCCGAGGAGGCCGACAAGTACCGCCGCGAGCACGGCGACAAGGTCGACGTGTGGGCCGCGCCCTCGGGCGGCATGTACGTGCAGCTCAAGCGGGGCGCGCGCATCTACGTGCCGCAGAGCATCAAGTTCTCGCGCAACGTCGCCGGCCAGCTGCCCACGGGCTGGGACCCCAAGCGCTACGGCATCCCCGAGGACATCTGCGCCAACGTCGACCGCACCGCGCTCTGGACGCTCGTCGCCACCACCGAGGCCCTCGTCAGCGCCGGCATCACGGACCCGTACGAGATCTACAAGGTGCGTCGGTGTCGCGACGGGCGCCCGTGCTGCCGCTGCTGATGCCCCCTTCCCTAGTTTGTGCACCCGTCGCTCGTCGGCACGGCCATCGGCTCGGGCATGGGCGGCATGGAGTCGCTGTCGAAGATGTTCACGGAGCGCCGGCAGAACCTCGACGTGCAGAAGGACATTCTGCAGGAGACGTTCATCAACACCATCTCGGCGTGGACGCAGCTGCTGCTGATGTCGTCGTCGGGCCCGACGCTGACGCCCGTCGGCGCCTGCGCCACGGCGCTGCAGTCCGTCGCCATTGCCAGCGAGGCGATCCGCGCGGGCAAGGCGAGCGTCATGCTGGCCGGCGGTGTCGATGACTACTCGGAGGAGGGCGCGTACGAGTTTGCCAACATGGGCGCCACCGTGTCGTCGGTCGACGAGGCGGCCAAGGGGCGCGAGCCGAGCGAGGCGTCGCGCCCCACGACGAGCAGCCGTGCGGGCTTCCTCGAGTCGCAGGGTGTCGGCGTGCAGGTGCTCATGTCGGCCGCCACGGCCCTCGAGATGGGCGTGCCCATCCAGGCCGTCGTCGCCTACACCTCGACGCACACCGACAAGCAGGGCCGCTCCGTCCCCGCGCCCGGCCACGGTGTCATGGCCGCCGCCGAGCCGCTCAAGCGCGGCCTCGCCGAGTGGGGCCTCGACGGCGACAGCATCGGCGCCATCAGCATCCACGGTGCGTGGCGAGGTGCTGTTGTTGTTGTGTGCGCACCATGCTGACGACACGCTCATCCCCGCAGGCACGTCCACCAACGCCAACGACAAGAACGAGAGCCATGTGTACCAGGAGCTCTTCCGCCACCTCGGCCGCTCGCAGTCGCACGCCGTGCCCGTCATGGCACAGAAGGTGCGTGCCCCGCTGCGCGCCACGCTGCCTCGACCGCTGACTCCTCGCTCTTCTCACAGTGGCTCGTCGGCCACGCCAAGGGCGGCGCCGCCGCCTGGGCGCTCAACGGCCTCATCCAGTCGACGCTCACCGCCACGGTGCCGGGCAACCGCAACGCCGACGACATTGCGCCCGAGCTGCGCAAGTTCACCTACCTGCTCTACGCCTCCAAGACGCTGCAGCGCACGCGCGAGGACCACAATGCCGGCCTCGTCACGTCCTTCGGCTTCGGCCAGGTGGGCGGCATTGCCGCCATCCTGCACCCCGGCCACCTCTTCGCCCGGCTGCCCGAGCAGGACTTCCAGGCGTACGCCGCGCGCCGCGTGCCGCGCGAGGGCAAGACGCACGCGCGCATGCACGCCATGTTCACGAGCAACTCGCTCGTGCGCGTCAAGGATGCGCCGCCGTACTCGGACGTGCTGCAGGACGAGGTGATGATCAACATCCACGCGCGTGCGCAGCCCGTCGGCGACAGCTACGCCTTTGTCGCGCCCCTTGCCACGGCGCCGCCGGCCGGCAAGCAGCAGTCGTCGTCGTCGTCGGCGTCGCCCAACGATGACCTCGCCCAGGGTGCCATTTCGGCCCTGGCCGGCAGCATCGGCCAGGTGCAGGGCGTCGGCATCGACGCGCAGCAGGTCTCGGCTTTCCCCGCCGACGAGGCCTTCCTGCGTCGCAAGTGAGTTTCTCAGGCTCCTCTCGCAGCACATGGGGTCATGTGGCATGGGCTGACCCTCTAATCTTCCCCCAGCTTCACGCCCGCCGAGATTGAGTACTGCGCCTCGCAGCCCGACCCGACTGCCGCACGCGCCCGTCGCTGGGCCGCAAAGGAGGCGGCCTTCAAGGCCCTCGGCGTCGCCGGCCGCGGTGCCGCGGCGCCGCTCATCGACTTTGAGGTCGTGTCGAGTGCCGAGGGCCCCTCGTTCCGCCTCACGGGCGAGGCGGCGGCGGCCGCAAAGGGCTCGAAGCTGCTGCTCTCCATCAGCCACTCGGGCGACACGGCCGTGGCGGTGGTGCACCGCGTGCCCGCCTGAGCCGCCTGCCTCCTCTTTCCCTGCTCCCTCTCGCGCCGGCCGCTTCGCTCCTTCTGCTTCATGCCCCACCTAGACACGCGGCGCCACACTGCCCAAATGAAAAATTGATGTCCTGTCCCATCACGCGTGCTGCGCTACAGGCTGTCGACGACGGTGCTCTCGTTGAACTCGCGGCCCTTGAGCTTCTCGAGGCCCTCTCCCGCATAGCTGACCAGCGGGCTGACCTCGACCTCTGCGCCCTCCGTTACGCGTGCGCCCGCCTCTTCGAGCCAGCGGCGCTGCTCGCGCAGCAGATCGCGCCGGCTCGTCTGCGGGTCGTCTGCGCCCGTGTGGGGCGCGTTCTTCAGCGGACTAAACTCCTGCTCGCGCGGCACCTCGTGCACGGCCAGCGCCTCGACGAAGGGAAAGACGTCGAAGATGAAGAGCTCGAGCTTCATGCCGTTTGGCGTGTCGGGCTTGTACGCCTTGCCCGCGGCGTCGACGGTGGGAATCTTCTTGCGCGCAATGTGGAACGCCATCTCGCGCTCAAAGGCCGGCACCGCCTCGGCGAGGAAGCCCGTCGTGTAGAAGTGGTTGACGATGTTGGCGGCGCGCAGCGTGAGCTGGCCGTCGGCATCGCGAGCCTCGGCGAGCGCGGCGGGAATCTCGCTGTACTCGATCACGCCCCACTTGCCGTCGCGCTGCGCCACGACGCCGACGCTCTCGCTGGCCTGCGTCTTGACCACCGTCTTGACGCCCGCCTGCACGCCGCGCCGGATGCACAGGCCGAGGAACGTGGGATCGCCGACGCGCACAAGACAGTTGTCGACGCCAAAGGCGTGCAGGTAGCGCACGCCGCGCGATTGCAGCGAGGAGATGACGCTGTCGGAGGCGCCGCGAGAGAGGGGCGCGCGCAGCGCAGTGTAGATGCCGCCGTTGCCGTCGGGCGCCGTGGCGATCTCGGAGGGAGAGGCAAGCATCACTTTGCCGTCCATGGTCAGGCAAGGCAGCGTGCCTGTTGTTGTCGCGCAGTCGTCAGTTGCCTGTTGCGTTCGCCAACGGCGGCCCACCTCTTGGCGCTGCTGCCAACTCACCCTGCTCGAAGAAGACGACATCCTCGGCTCGCAGGCCAAAGTACGCGTGCTCCTCGAAGAAGCGCTGCGTCGGCGCCCGCGTGGGCCCGCTGGTCATGATGTACCACGGCACGCGCGCCGCGCCGCCCGCCAGCACCTCGAGGCGCCGGATGCGCTCGGCCTGCAGCTGGAAGAGACTCTTGTGGCTCGGCAGGCCAATGTCGTAGCAGCCCTTTGGCGCACTGCTGCCGAGACGCGTGCCCTGGCCGCCGGCGAGCAGCAGCACGCCGACGTGGCCTTGCTGGATGGCATCGAGGCCGATCTGACGCAGCTCGGCTGCCTCGGAGGGAGCGGCGGCGGCGGAGAAGGTGGCGTCGGAAGGAGGCGCGGCGAGCGAGTGGCGCTGTGAGGCCAGCGCGGCGGCAGAAGCCTCGCCCTCGATGGCCTTGGCGTACACGGCACTGACGCGCTCGACGTCGAGCGCCTCGAGCTGCGCCTGCAGCCTGGCGCGCTCGGCGGCGGAGAGCTGCGCCCAGAAGGCCAGCAGGTGCGCCTGGCCCGCGGCCGCGAGGCGCGCGGCGAGCTCGGCGGGCGGCTGCTCGGACATGATTGTGAGGGAGAGGGGTGTGGGAGGTGGAGCAGAGCGTGCCAGCGGGCACCCGAGACGACGCTGCAGCCGCCCACAGAGGAGCGGCGAGGCGGTGCACGGGGCACGCCCAACGGCGCGCTAACCCCTCGACCTTCACCCCCAGCGCCAGAGTCCAACACTCGGCGCGCGCTTAGCCGCCGTCGCGCGCCGCGACTCGAGCGTGCGACTGCGACCAAGACTTCGCGTCGCGTTGTCTTGCACGAATCCTGCCTGTGCGTCAGCCCGACCTTCGCTGGCCTCTTCGGGTCCGAGCGCTGCAGCCACGAGCTTCAGCACGTCCATGCTCCCTCGCCTCCCTCTCCGCTCCTCCTCCTCTCTCCGTGCCGGCGCCACAGCTCGAGCGCAGCAGCACATGTCGCGCCGCGGCGCCTACGACGAGCCGCACGGCGGCGCCAGCGCCAGCGGCAGCGGGCGTGGTGGAGGGGCGAGCGGTGGAGGCTCCTCGTCGTCATGGCGCACCCCGGCGTTTCGCGACTCACGCCAGTACTCGCCGCCGGCGGGGCGCGGCGGCGCCAGACACGATGCGTACGACGACGGCGCTGGTGCTGCTGCCTCATACCAGGGCTATGCCGCGCAGCACACGCGCTGGGACGACGGCGGATCATCAGCTCCGGCGCCATTGAACTCCTGGCGGGGCGCGCAGCAGCAGCAGTCGCATGGCTGGGCAGGCCAGCAGCCGCAACAGTCGCACAGCTGGGCCGCTCAGCGACAACATGGCGACTGGCATGCCCCGCCGGCGGCGCGTGGCTGGGGCGAGCCGGGCGGGCAGGGCGCGCAGGGATGGGCCGAGCAGCGCAGCTGGCATGGCTATGCATCCCACGGCGACCAGCAGTACGGTGGAGAAGGCCAGCAGCACGCCTCACAGGCCGGCGCAGAGAGCTCGGCCGCTGCGTCGCGTCAAGGCAGGTACCAGCCTCCCGGGCGACGACACCAGCAGCAGCATCAGCAGCCGCAGCGCGGCTTCGCCTCCTCGGCACCGGGCAGCAGCGATGCGCCTGCGCCCTCTGCCAGCCGGGGCAAGGCGCGTCAAGACCGCGGTGGCCGCTGGCCATCGGCCTCCAAGCCTCTGCCACTGCGCGAGCGGCCGCGCGACTGGTATCTCGACGCCGTCGCCTCCTCTCCTCGCTGTTTCCCCGCGTCGCTCGAGTCGCCGCCCGGGCCACTGCCGCTCCTCATTCTCGACCTCAACGGCACGCTCGTGTATCGCGCCAGCGCCAGCAAGAGTGCCAATCCGACGCGCCGCCCGTATCTCGGCAGCTTCCTGCACTGGGCGCTTGGCGTGCAGGCGCATGAAGGTGGAGGCTCGCACTCGAGGGCACAGCAGTGGGAGGCATGGGATGAGGCGCGCGCCGAGCGAGAAGCAGAGGGCGCCGACGAGTCGACGGCATTGCCGCACGGCGTGGAGTTTTGGCCTTCGACTGCCGAGCGCGCCAGCGCCTCTGCGTCCGCGCCGCAGTCGACGCCGACGCAGATGTGGCGTAGTCATCCGAGCGAGCCACAGCCGACGGCTTCTTCGCGCTTCCGCCTCCTGCTGTGGTCCAGCGCACAGCCCAAGAATGTCGCCGCCATGGCGCGTGCCATCTTCTCGCCCGCACAGGCGGCACATCTGCTGCGCGTCTGGGCACGCGACACACTCATGCCTCGCCGCTACATGGATGCCAAGGCCTCGAGCACCAAGGATCTCGAAATTGTCTGGGCGGCACTCAATGGCGATGGTGGCGCCGAGGGAGATGTGCAGGCAAGCGCAGAGGAACAGGAAGCGAGAGAGATGCAGCTCGAAGGCGAACGACGCCTCCTCGCTCAGCATCGCAGCGAGGTCGACGCGCCGGGAGCCATGGCGTCCAGCGGTGGAGAGGCCTCTTCGCCTGCTGCCGCCACAGCCGCCGCCATAGCTGCCGAGCGCTACGTCCAGCCGCCCGCCTCTCCTCCTCTGCTCGAGGGCGCTGGCCACGAGAACGACGCACAGGCATGGACGCCCGGGCGAGGCTATTCCGCCCACAACACGCTGCTGCTCGACGACTCGCCCGAAAAGGCTCGGCTGCAGCCGTACAACCATCTGCTGCTGCCCGAGTTCGACGCCAGGCGCGCGGCGCTGATGGTGCGCTGGCTCAATGCGCGCAAGGCAGAGGCGAGGAGTGTGCCGCAGGAGGAGGAGCCTCAGGCGCAAGAGGAGGAGGACGTCAAGCCGGGCTCTACATCCGAGCACGACGACACGAGCGCAGCAGCAGCAGCATCAGCCTCGCCCGCTGCAGCAGCAGCAGAGGCCGAGGCCAGCTCCAAGCCCAAGGCCAACAAGCGCCCTTTCCGGCCCGCCGCGCCGGCGCCGCACGAGTCGGAGCTCGACGATGTGCTGCTGCAGCTCGTCGGCGTGCTGGCCCACGCGCGCCGACAGCGCCACGTCGCGGCGTGGGTGCGCAGTGGCGGCCTGGGCTTCTTTGGCGGCATGGCGCAGCCGGGCATGCAGGATGCCGAGCCGCCCGTCGACGAGGAGGCCCAGGAGCAGGACGAGACGATGCAGACGGACAGCAGCGAGGAGCAAACGCAGCTGCGCCTGCAACATGCGCCGCATGCTCGCACGCAGCGCTTCTGGGCGCAGGAGGGCCGTCTGGCTCTGCGCCTCGCGGGTGTCGAGTGTGCCGTGTGAAGAGCAGGGGCGGGGAGATAGTCACGAATGCATTGATGACGTGCGAACGAGGCAGGCGTCCAAGGCCGTATAGAGGTTTTAGCGAATAGCGCGTGAGAGAGAGAGGAGGGGCAAGGGAAGCAAAGTCTCTAGAGTGCGGTCGTGGCGGATATGTGAGGCGAGGAGCGGACCTATGCGGCGCCGACTGCGACGTCTCCGGCGTAGCCATCGTCGTCTGAAGGGAAGTGAGTGGGTCAGCATGCTGATCAGGACGGCATGTGCGGCGCGGGGACGTACAGAAGTTGGTGCCGTGCGTCGTGGCCTTTGTGATGCCGGCGCGGATGAGCCAGTCGCCAAAGTACTCGCCCTGCAGGCGCTCCTGCGAGTAGCGCTTGATCATGGGCTCGAGCACGGCGAGGATCTCCTCCTCGCCGACGTCGGACATGTACGGCTTGCTGAGGCGCTGCCCGTCCTGGCCGCCGCCGAGGAGCATGAGGTAGCGTCCGGGCGCGCGACCGACGAAGCCGATTGGCGTCATCCACGGCCGCGAGCAGCCGTTGGCACAGCCGCTCATGCGCATCGGAATCTCGACCTCGCGCAGTCCGTAGCGCTCGATGATCTTCTCGACCTTCTCGACGAGCACGGGCAGGTAGCGCTCCGACTCGGCAAACGCCAGGCCACACGTGGGGAAGGCGACGCACGCAGAGGCACTGAGCTTGATGCCCGAGTGGCGCCAGTTGTCCATGCCCCACTTGACGAGGTGCGCCTCGATGCGCTCCTTGTCCTCCGGCGCCACGTCGCTGACGATGATGTGCTGGTTGGGCGTCATGCGCAGGTTGCCCTTGTGGATCTTGCACAGCTCGCGCAGGCCCGTGCGGAACTCGTCGCCCGGCGCGTCGCGCACGCGGCCGTTCTCGAGCCAGAGGCCGCAGTGCCAGTTGCCCTTGTAGTCCTGGCTCCAGCCGTACGAGTCCGTGTTGGTCTCGAAGTGGAACTGGCGCGCCGGCTGCAGCTTGTGGCCCAGGCGCTTCTCGAGCTCCGCCGTAAAGGCCTCGGGGCCCTTCCAGTAGTTGTCGATGGTGTACTTCAGGCGCGCCTGCTTGCGGTTGGCGCGGTTGCCCGTGTCGCGCTGGATGAGCATGATGTGCTTGCACGCCTCGAGCGTCTGCTCCGGCGTCACGAAGCCAATCACGTCGCCGAGACGCGGGTACGTGGCCTTCATCGAGTGCGTCACGCCCATGCCGCCGCCGACGGAGACGTTGAAGCCCACCAGCCGCTTCGTCGCCGGGTCGGCAATGGCAATGAGACCAATGTCGTGCGCGAAGCAGTCGGTGTCGTTGCGCGGCGGCACGGCAATGGCAATCTTGAACTTGCGCGGCAGGTAGTAGTTGCCGTACAGCGGCTCGTGGTCCTGCAGCGCGCCGCCGGCGAGCAGCTGCTTCTTCTTCGAGTCCGTCTTCTCGTCGAGCCAGATCTCGTGGTAGGCATCCATGCGCGGCAGCAGGTACTCGCTGATGGCCTTGCTGAACTCAAACACATCCTCGTGCAGCTGCGAGAGCGCCGGGTTGGGACTGCACATGACGTTGCGGTTCACGTCGCCGCACGCGGCAATCGTGTCGAGCATGCTCTTGTTGATGCCCTGCATCGCCGCCTTGAGGTTCTCCTTGATGATGCAGTGGTACTGGATCGTCTGGCGCGTCGTGATCTTGAGCGTGTTGTTGCCGTAGTCGGTCGCCACGTCGTCGAGCTTGATCCACTGCTCGGGCGTGCACACGCCGCCGGGGATGCGGCAGCGGATCATGAACGAGTAGGCCGGCTCAAGGCCGGCGGCCTTGCGCTCGTCGAACGTGTCGCGGTCGTACTGCTGGTACGTGCCGTGGAACTTGGTCAGCTGGCCGTCGGACTCGGCCAGCGCACCCGTGCTCTTGTCCTTGAGGCCCTCGAGAATCGTGCCGCGCAGGTAGTTCGAGGCGATCTTGATGTGCTCGTTGGTGATCGGCTCCGGCTCCGACTCCTTGACCTCGATCGAGTCGACGCCGAGCGCCTTCCACAGCGTCGGCTCCCAGGCCTTGTAGCCCGTCTGTGCGCCGTCGGGGTCCTGGTCGTCGCCGAGGCCGATGGGCGCCATGCGCTCGGCGCCCAGCACCTCGAGGCGCGCGTCGAGGTCCTTGCCGGGCTTGTTGTAGTAGCGCGCATCCTCGGGCCGCGGCCAGTAGTGGCTGTCGCCCATGGCAAAGACGGTGTACTTGGGCGCCTCAGCGTCGGCGGCGGCGGCAGCCAGGTCGCCCTGCTGCATCTTGGCGAGCGTCTTGAACGTGTCGCGCGCGTTCTGCGGCGCCTCGCCCTGGCCGGCCGTCGAGGTGACAAAGACGACGTTCTTCTCCTTGACGAGCTCGTCGGCGATGGGGAAGTCGTCCATGGCCAGCGTGCGTGCGGCGAGGCCGCGCATCTTGGCGCGCATGCCGAGCTTGCGCGCCACCTTTTCGGCGTTGCCGCCGTCGGAGGCGAAGAGAATGAGCAGCGGCGGGCCGTCCATGTTGCCGAGGAGCGAGTCGTATGCCTCGCGCGCCTTGCGGCGCTGCAGCTCGCGCAGACCCGTGCCGGCGCTCGACGCCAGCTCGTAGGAGAGCTGCGGGCGCACGTTGGCCAGGTTCGAGACGTGGCTCTGGCGGTCGAGGAAGGCCTTGAGCTGCTCGCGCACACGCACGCCGTCCAGGCGGAACACGTCGGCGCCGCGGCTCTCGGCCGAGGGGTCCCAGCGGAAGAGCGGCCAGTAGCCCGAGTCGACGGCCAGCTTCGTCTCGCGCAGCACCTCGAGCGCCGGAGCATCCTCGGTGCGGTACGGAATGTAGGCCAGCACGACGGAGGGACCGTCGAAGCGGTCGGCCTCCATGAGGGCGTGCAGCACCTGCGTGTAGTCGGCATACACTGCCGTCGAGGCCACGTAGGTGCCGCCGTAGTTCATGGCGTACAGGCCGACGTCCTTCTTGCGCTTGTGTGCCTCCTGCGCGTCGCGCTTCGAGTACGGCAGTGTGTCGAAGATGAGCATGTTGATGTTCTTGCCCGACGCAATGACGTGGTGCACGCCACTCATGCCCGAGTCGTACGCCCACGCATCGCTGCCGACGATCCAGCGCGACTTGGGCGCCAGGTGGGCGCCGAGGGCGCGCACGCGGTCCAGCGCAGGCGTAGAATCGGCAGCCAGCAGCTGCGCCAGCTTGGGCGCAGCGGCAGCGCGCTTCTCGTCAGACTTGGCCGTGAGCCAGGCATTGAGCGCCTCGTGCAGGTTCTCGGCGAGGCCGCCGGCACGCAGAGCGTCCTGCGCCACACGCCGCAGCTCCTCGCTGCCCTCGAGCTGCGCCAGCGTCTGGCCAAAGGCAAACTCGGGGCTGCGCGCCGAGGGGTGCGGGTGTGCGTCGGACGAGGGAGAGTTGATGACGGAAAGGCGCTCCTTGAAGACCTGCTGCAGCATCACGTTGTACGCCTCCTCCTGCTTGGGCGCCACGACGGGTGCGGCGTGGTTGAGCGCCGGCGCGGCCACGCGCTGTGCGCCAATCACAAAGCCGCTGGCGGCCTTGGGCGAGGTGAGCGCGGCGACGAGCTTGTCCGAGACGGTGTCGTCGCCCGAGACGTCGCCGAGCACGCCGGAAAGCAGGCGCGCCGGCATGGCGCGGCCGCCATCGACGGCCGCGCGCTGGCACGCGCCGGCGACATCGACAAAGAGCGGGCCCATGCGCGTCGAGCGACGCTGGCTCGCCTCGAGCACGGCAATCTGCTTGACGGCGGGCGCCAGGTCGAAGAGACGCTCGGCCAGGAACGGCCGCACCAGGCTGACCTCGACGATGTCGACCTGCGATGAGAGCTGTGCCGCGCCGGGGCCGAGCACGATGGCCAGATCCGCCGCGCCCGGCTCGCCGTGCAGCGTAAAGGGCGCCAGCGAGCGGCCCACGAGCGACGAGACGGTCGAGTAGGCCTCGTTGACGGCGTGCGTGAGCGACTCGGCGGCGCTCGAGGTGCCGTTGAGGATCGAGGCCTTTGTGGCGAGCGCCTTGGTCAGCTCCGCCTCGCTGACCTCAGCCACGGCGTCCTCGTCGCCGAGCGCCTCGTCGAAGAAGTGAATGACACCAGTGGAGTGTGCCGTGGCGAGGCGCGCGGCGAGGATGGCGTGGTCGTGGGCCTGCGTGGCGGTGGAGCTGTAGAGGAGCACGAGGCCGGACGAGCGCAGCGCCAGCACGTCGGAGTGGTCGCCGCTGGTGGCGACGTGCACGACGGCCTGCGCCTTGGCGAGCGCGGCGAGGTGCGGCACGATGCGCGTCAGCGCGCCCTGCTCGGCGGCGAGGAGCAGCGTGGCGAGGCCGCTGCGCTTCGACGCGCGCACGAGGTCGGCGCCGGCGTCGGCGTTGGGCGGCAGCGTGGCGATGCTCTCCTGCGCCTGTGCCGAGTGCGCGGCGAGCGCGGCGAGCGCGGGGGCAAACGGCGAGACGTCGGCGCCCGAGCTGCTGGCGGCGGGCGCCAGGCTGAAGAGCGAGCGCGAGGTGAGGGCGGCGATGCGCGCCACCTGCGCCGCAGCCGGCGGCGCCGTGGCAGACGTCGAGGCCATGCTGGGCGGCGAGCCGCGCGGGTGAGAGGGAGAGGGTGTGGGTGATGCGACCGGCGCTGTGTCTAGTGGTGGCAGAGAGACGGAGCGGCGGGAGAGGGAGAGGGTGGTGACAACGAGGGGAGAGGATGTGTGCGGGAAGAAGGAGGCGGCGCCACGGACGCTGGACAAGGGTGCAGCCAGCAGCAGCCGGAAGATGTGCGGCGGCGGGCGCTGGCGGCCCAGCGCAGCGCGCACCGCCGCGGCGGCGAGCGAGTCAGCGTCTTGCCCCGGCCAGCGCCGGCTCGGGCGGGCTGGCGCCCCATGCCCAGCAGCGAGGCTCGAGGCTGCAGCTGACTTCGCCGACGCACCAAATTGTGCGCCCGCGAGCGAGGGTCTCGCCGGCGGCTTGCAGCGTGCCTGCTGTCAGCAGCAGCCGCCACGCCCGCCTCGCGCAGGCGCAGGCGGATTACACATCGCCGGCCACCGGCCGCACGCCTCCTGCTCTTGCGTCCAACAGGCGCAGCGCACGCTTCAGCCCGCACTCCGCCTCGGCCGCAAGGCCCCCGCCCGCCTCTGGGGTCCCACGGCGTGGCGGCCGCGCTCCACGCTTCCCCAGAGCGAGAGCCTGGCCTTTGCCTTCGCATCTGCTCCTCTCTCCAGAGGTGGCAGTCCAGCCAAAGTGACGTCCAAGGTGTGTCCTCTTCGCGTGCGGCAGCTCAAGGGTGCTGCCGTCAGCTCAACATTTTTGGCCCGGCGCAGCCGGAGGCGGCTTGAATAAGCATGGCGGGAAGCCAGCCTGGAGCCGGCGCGCTCGGGGAGAAGGGCAGGCGTGCGTTCGCCGCACGAGCACGCCATCGCTCCACGCTTAGTCAGCAGAGGACTACGCTCCCACGCTCTTCACGTCCGACCTCGATGCCGCCAGGAGGGGGTCGCTGCAGCACAGCACCGGACGCATGCTCTGGCTGATGCTGGCCAACTGGAAAGCGATGCCTATGCCACATGCAATTGTCATCGTCCCACGCACACGGAGACGCTTGAAAGAACCTCAGAGCACGACACAGGGATCAAGGGCAGTCACTGTTGCCGAGCTCAGTCAAAGTCGGACTCGCACACTGGGGACATGAGCAGGTTGGTGGTTGAAAGTGGAGCTGCGAGGCAGCAAGATGCCAGGATGACGTTCGTGCCGCTCGGTGGAGTCAGCGGGAGCGAGGAACGAAGCAGGTGCATAAGCGTCGCTAGTTCTGCGCCCGCGACGACCTGCGAAGCCCATGAGCCGTCGGCAGAGCGTCAAGCTCAGCACGTGAACACCTGACCCTGTCTCCACGCCCGACGACCACGCTCAGACCCAGGCAGATTACGAGTGGCAAGCGCTGATCATTCCTCGCGCCTGGCCACTCGGGGTGCGGCCACTGTGCGTGGCGCGCACCCAAGAGTGTCGGCACCATCCCGACCATGTAGCGTCCCCTCCAAGCATGTACGAAGCGATATGGAGAGAGAAGAGTGCTTGAAGAGGTGCTATGGAACAAGTGGTGACATCGACTGCCGCTCACGCCCTGGATGGAGCAATCTATGCCTCCTCGGCGCGCAGCTTGGCGTTGGCGTTGGTCACCTTGACGCCGAGCACCTTGGCCCTGCAAGAGCGAGCTGGTCAGTTGACTGCTGAGAAGCGAAAGGAAGAGTGTCCCAGCGCTCCAGTAGCCGCAGGCCGCAGCGTCTCGCAAGCGGCTCCGGCCAAACAGTGTCCACCGCGTCCTGGGAACGTGGCATGGTCTGGGCCTGTCCATGAAGCGACTGCCGACGGTCCCGCAACCCCGATCCCGCCCGTCATTTAGTGGCCTTCCCTCTGCCTCTGCCCCTTGTTGCAGCTGACGCCTCCTGCGCCCTCTGCTGTCCCCTCGCGGCGTCCCTCGACCTCTCTCGCAGCTCGTGCATGCTTTCTCGGGCAACTCACTTCTCGAGGATCTCAATGCGCTTGCGGCTCGAGACGTTGTGGGCAATCTCGGCAGCGAAGGACTGGTTGTGCCTGAGGGACGAAGAGAGGGGTGAGCCTCATGCTCGCATACTCGCCTGTCCCACCTCTTCGCATTTCCCCTCTACCCCTCGCACTGCACGCACATGAGGAGCAGCTCAACGTCATTGACGTTGGAGACGACGAGGCGACGGTAGCCGTTGGGCATGAGGTGGCGCGTCTTCTTGTTGCTGCCGTAGCCGATCTTCGGCTGCGCAGCCGTGCCGCGGAAGCGACGACGAACCGCCGAGTCGATGCCGCGCTCGTGGCGGTGCGACTCGCCCACGCGGTGGTAGCGGTCCGAGTGGTGGCGCTTGAACTTCTTCGTGCGCTTCTTGACGATCGGGATCTTGGTGGCCGGCATCTTGAACTGAGGGGGCGAGCGTAAGTCGCAAGCTAGAGAGAGTGGTGGTGCGGTGATGCAAGAGCAAGGGAGTCGCGCAGCGCAGACCTTAGAGGCCGGCGGCCGCACAGCGCCAGACGGCGCTCGGTTTCGCGAAACCCCTCGCTGCCCCGTCTGCGCGCGTGTCCGATCCGCCCTGGCCCTCCGCCTGTCTAAACGTCTTGCACTGCCTGCCGAAGCCCCTGCCTTCTCGTGCCTCCAGACATCATGCGTGCGGCTGCCAGCATGTCTCCTGCGTGCCCAGCAGGGCCTGTCGGGCGCCTGTCACTGCACGCTGGCCTGGCAGCACCGCTCGAGGGCGCCGAGATGCGCTTCGGCCGCGCAACTGCGCATGGCCGGCGCGATGGTGCGTGCAGCACGCCGACGAGGAGGACGCGCAGCGAAGAGAGAGAGAGCGAGGCAACGCGGTGCGGCATACTTACGTTGAGGGGATGGGGTGCGGGAGCCAGGGTGGAAGCGCCTGCTGGCGGGTTGAGGGGGGCGGCGAAATCGCAGCCCGCGCCGCGTGCGCGACGGCGACGCTTCGCCGGCCCGAATCTCCGTCTTTTGCGTGGGCGGCGAAGGGCGGCGCTGCGTGCAGGCGCCGCGCCTACGCGTGTGCTGCGGCGCGCGCCGACGAAGCGCCAGAGGGTGGCGGCACACGCGCACGTGACCAGCCGCTCTTCGCGCTGCAGGCGGCTGCGGGCGCGACGGCGAGCTTGCGGCGCCGTGCAGCTGCAGCTCTGTCTCCCTCTCCGCCCCGCCGCCCCTCGCCGACTTCGCGCGCTGCCATCTCTCTCTCCCGCCATCCCCCCTCAAGACTCCGCCCCGTTAGTATGCCCCGCCTCGTCTCTCTTCGCACCTCGCCTCTACCGTGCACACGCGTGCATACGTCGTCGAGCTGGCACCGCCGATGTGCCCCCGGTCCGCGCTGCCGCGATGCAGATCTCGCACTTCTGCGACGAGCGCGCGCATAGAGCCAGCAGCCCACGCAGACGGCCTCGCAGCGTGGCAGCGTCGCAGCGGTACTGCACGCTCCGCTGGCGTGCTCTCTATTTGCTGCGCTGTGGGCCAAGGCTCGCAAGGCGATGGACGCTGGGCTCGGCGACGCTCCTTGCGGACCATGCTGCGGCGCGGGATAGCGGCACGCCCACCGAGATGCGTGTCGCGCCGCAGCACCTGGGACGGGCCTGTGCTGGTCGCGCTCTGCTGGCGCATTAGAGCATGATGGAGAGCATCGCAGATCCAGGTGCAGTCGGCTTGCGGGTGGCCTCGCCCAGCAGCAGTGGCCCAGGCAGGCAGGCGGCGAGTGCGAGAGACGGCGATGGCACGTCGCGTCCAGTCCTGCCCAGCGCGCACGCTGGACGCTCCTGCTCACACCACTCCCACAGCCATGTCGCAGTTCTCCTCGAAGCCCATCGTCGTCGATGCCAAGGGGCACCTGCTCGGTCGCCTTGCGTCGACGCTGGCCAAGCAGGCCCTGTCCGGCCAGAAGATCACCGTCGTGCGCTGCGAGGAGATCAACGTTTCGGGTAGCTTCTTCCGCAACAAGGTGAGTTGGGCGGCCGGAGCTGGAGGGGCTGGGTCTGCAGGGAGAGTGGAGGCGATGCGAGGATGAGACGGCTGTCACGCGAGGCGGACAGAGTTCTCCGGGGGCTGCGCGCATAGGACGACAGCAGACAGGACTGGCGCTGATTCCGGACCGCACGTTCGCAGCTGCGCTACCACGCCTACCTGCACAAGCGCCACCTTGTCAACCCGACGCGTGCCGGTCCCTTCCACTTCCGCGCCCCCTCGCGCATCCTCTACAAGGCCATCCGCGGCATGATCCCGCACAAGACGGCCCGCGGTGCCGCCGCTCTGGAGCGCCTGAAGCTCTACGAGGGCATGCCGCCGCCGTTTGACCGCCAGAAGAAGGTCGTCATCCCGGCTGCTCTGCGCGCCCTGCGCCTCAAGCCGGGACGCAAGTACTGCACGGTGAGTCTGCGCACGGATGTGGCGGATCAGCTCGCGGAGGCAGCACACGGGGCAGGCACTCATGCCCTCACGCCCGCGCAGATCAAGCGGATCTCGCACGAGGTCGGCTGGGGCTACAAGGACGTCGTCGACAAGCTCGAGGCGAAGCGAAAGGTCAAGGGCGAGGCCTTCCACGCGCAGCGCAAGGCCGCCGTCAAGAAGCAGGCGCAGGCCGCTACCAACGCCGGCTCGGCCATTGCCGAGGTCAACCAGCGCCTGGCCGTGTACGGCCTGTAAAATACTACTCTCGAGCGCTACATTTTCCGGGTTGTAGTTTTGCGAGAGACGGCCCTTCACCACCAGCCATGACACACACACACTGCACACATCACCTTCTTGACACTGAGCGCGCGTGAAGGGGAGCATGGCGGAGGCGTGGGCGGCGGGAGCCGGTGCGTGCCGGGCCAAGCACGCGCGGGCAGGGCAGCATGGCACACGATTGAGTTGTGGCGCTGCACAGTAGAGCTCATACCGCTGCTTGAGCATCTGACGACGAGGCTCGCAGTGGAAAGCGACGTGCACTTCTGAGAGGGCGGCAGCAGCTGGAGGTCGAGGAGCGCATGTTGCTTAGTCAGCGCGCGGTGCTCATGCGCGACATTTGAGGCGCGTGTCCCTCCCGCACCTCCACCACACCCCTCCTCAGCGCGATGGCCATCTCAATCCAGAAGCGTGCGTTGGACCCCACGGCGCCGCTGGCGCAGTCGGCATACCGGCGCAAGACGGCGCGCGGGCGCATCCTCGCCGTCGTGCGCGAGCGCTACGTACGCGACGACGTGGCGTGCGGCGTGGCGCGCTGTGCGCTCTGTGCGGGCGGCCGCATCCCGCGCACGGGGCGCCGCAACGGCAAGGTCGACGGCGCACATGTGCTGCTGCTCGACACCAACGTGGTGCTGCATCAGGTGAGCAGCGCCTCTGTGCTCTGCACGAGGGGCCGCACAGCTCACGCCCGCCCAGATGGACCTGCTAGAGTCGCAGGCCAAGCTCGGGCAGCCGCACTTTACCCATGTCATTGTGCCGCAGACGGTGCTGGACGAGGTGCGGCATCGCAGCTTGCCGCTCTACAACCGCCTGCAGGCCATGCTCGACGATCCCGAGGGCGCATGGGCTCGCTTCTGGAACGAGGCATGCAGGTGAGCGTCGCCGCTGCGTAGCCACCCTGGCCTCTCGGCTGACTGTGTGGCGCACAGCTCCACGGCCACGGTGCGGCAAGCAGGCGAGACGCCCAACAACCACAACGATCGCGCCATCCGCGAGACGGTCGCCTATCTCGCCGAGCACCTGGCGCCGCTCAACGTCGTGCTGCTCTCCGACGACGCCGAGAACGTGCGCCTGGCAAAGCAGGCGGGCCTGACGGCGCTGCGCGTGCGCGAGTACGTCGAGGGCATGCAGGGCAGTGCGGAGCTGCTCGACTTGCTCAGCACGCGCAGCTACGACACGCAGGCAGAGGCAGGCGAGCGCAAGGCTCTGTATCCCTCGCATTTGGCGCCCTCGGAGCTCGACGCCGGCGTCCGTTCCGGCGCTCTGCACTCCGGCTTCTTCAACGCCTCGCCGTACAACTACCTCGAGGGCACAGTGCGCACCGATGCGTTCCCGCGCCCAGTGCTGATTCGTGGGCGCGAGGCCATGAACCGCGCCGTCGATGGAGATGTCGTGGCGGTACGCATGCTGCCGGAATCGCAGTGGAAGACCGAGACGGACGAGGTGCGCGAGGGAGCGGGAGAGAACGACGACGCCGGGAGTGAGGACGGCAGCGTGGTGGGTGATGTCGACGATGCAGAGGAGGAGGCGAAGGCAGCAGCCGACGTGGCTGGCAAGCCACGGCAACCGACGGGTGTCATTGTCGGCGTCACTCGACGCAATTGGCGCTCGTACGTGTGCACGCTCGATGCTCGTACTCTTACATCCTCTGCGCTCGGATCGCTTGGCTCGACATCCCTTCTGGCACTGCCTGTCGACGCCAAGATCCCTCGCATCCGAGTCCGCACACGCCAGGCCGCCACGCTGATGGGGCAGAAAATTCTCGTGGCGCTCGATGAGTGGCGCCAGGGCTCGCGCTACCCTGACGGACACTTTGTCCGTGCGCTCGGACAGACGGAGAGCAAGGAGGCAGAGCAGGAGAGCTTGCTGCTGGAGCACGACGTGCCGTATCGGCCCTTCTCTCGCGCCATTCTAGACTGCTTGCCTACCGAGGGCGAGAGCTGGAAGGTGCCGCCCAAGGAGCAGGGCGGGCCGGCGTGGCGCGACCGCATCGACATGCGCGCAGAGCAGATTTGCAGCATCGACCCGCCCGGTGAGTGCAGCAGTGCCCATTTTGGTGCGAGCTGCTGACGCGTCTCTCTCCAGGCTGTCAAGACATCGACGATGCGTTGCACGCGAAGCGTCTGCCCAATGGCAATGTCGAGGCCGGCGTGCACATCGCCGACGTCTCGTACTTCGTCAAGGCCGACACGCCCATGGATGCCGAGGCTGCCTCGCGTGGCACGACGGTGTATCTCGTCGACAAGCGCATCGACATGCTGCCGCACCTGCTCGGCACGAATCTCTGTTCCCTGCGGCCCTTTGTCGAGCGGCTGGCCTTCAGTGCCGTGTGGGAGCTGACGCCCGAGGCAGACATTGTCAATGTGCGCTTCCACAAGAGTGTCATTGCCTCCAAGGCGGCTTTCACGTACGAGGAGGCACAGCTGCGCAAAGACGACGCGAGCAAGAAGGACGAGATCACTCAGAGCATTCGACTGCTTAACGAGATGGCCATCAAGCTCAAAGCCAAGCGCATGCAAGCGGGCGCCCTCAACCTCGCCAGTCCCGAGGTGCGCATCCATCTCGACTCGAGCGAGACGGCCGGGCCCATCGACGTCGAGCAAAAGGAGCAGCGCGAGACGAACAGTCTCGTCGAGGAGTTCATGCTGCTGGCCAACATCAGCGTCGCGAAGCGCTGCTACGAGGCGTTCCCGCAGACGGCCGTGCTGCGGCGGCACTTGCCTCCGCCACGCACCAACTTCGAGACGCTGCAGGACATTCTGCGCAAGTGCCGCGGCATGCACCTCGACGTCTCTTCCTCTGGCGCGCTCGCTGCCTCGTTGGACCGCTGTGTCGATCCAAAGGAGCCGGCGTTCAACACGCTGCTGCGCATCATGGCCACGCGCTGCATGCTCAGCGCAGAGTACTTTTGCAGCGGCGCCGTCTCGCGCGACTCGTTTGGCCACTATGGCCTGGCGGCGGAGATGTACACGCACTTCACGTCGCCCATCCGCCGCTATGCCGACGTGCTGGCGCATCGCCAGTTGGCGGCGGCCATCGACTATGCGCCCCTGCATGCCAGTCTGCACAACAAGACGCACGTGGGCCAGATTCTGGGCGTCGTCAACAAGCGCCACCGCTCGGCGCAAATGGCCGGACGCGCAAGCGTCGAGTTCTGGGTCGGACAGGCGATTGCCAAGAAGAATCTCGACGCGGGCGGCTCCACGACCGTCGGCAAGGGCGAGACGCGCCTGCATGAGGATGCATTTGTCATTCGCACGTTCCGCAACGGCGTCTCGGTCTTCGTCAGCAGGTGAGGGCTTTTCGTCAGAGCGCGAAGAGGCGAGCTGACGCATCGCATCGCCCTGCAGATACGGACTGGAAGGCCTCATCACCTTCAAGCAGGACTGCGACTTTGACGCCGAGGAGTACCGCGTCACGGTGCCGGCGGCCGTGTCTGGCCTGGCCAAGGGTGAGTCTGCTCAGGGGGGCGCCGGCTTGAGCTGCGCGACGTCAGGCTCACGCACAAGCGCCAGACCTTACACTCGGCATCTTTGACCGTGTGCGCGTCGAGATCGGCGTCGAGAAGGTGCGTTGTTGTCGGGCGCGCCCTGCCACCCTCGCGACCCTTCGCTCACACACGCGCCTGCTTTCTAGGACGCACACACGCAGCGCGGCCGCGTCAAGATGGCGTTGATCTTGTGATTGCATGCCGATCAACAGGGGTATCAGATGTGTGTGTGGAGGGCGAGCGACCTGGCCCGCCCTCTCAGCGACACGAGTAGTGCGTCACGAGGCCCTTTGGCGACACGGCAATGACGCTGTTGCCCAGGCGCTTCATGCAGCGCGGGCATCTGCGAGTGGAGAGAGAGAGAGAGACAGCATCAGCTTGGGCTCGCCCGGACGTCGCGACTGCCGTACGCACGTGCGTGTCTCGGTGACCTTGACTCTGCGAGCGTGCAGGCGCAGCAGGCGCTCGTCGAGCTGCAGCGCGCGGCTGGCCTGGATCTCGCGCACGACGCGCGCCTCGTTGCGCCGAGCGGCGTCCTGCTGCAGCGTCTTCTTTGCAAAGGCCTCGATGTCCCGCAGCTGCACCAGCGGCGGCAGCAACTCGAGCGCGGCGACGGCATCGATGCGTGCGCCGTGGCGCGCAATGAGACGCAGTGCTGGCTCTAGTTGCAAGGCAGCGCCGTCCGAGGGACGCAGGTAGAGGCGCAGCAGCGTCAGGAAGACGTCGGCATCGGCCGGCCGGGTGGCCGAGGCGTCGAGCCACACGCGGCGACAGTACGCCTCGGCCTTGTCGGCATCCTGCAGGCGCGAGACGTAGATGCGCAGCGCGCCCTCGTGCTGGCCCAGCCGGCCCAGCAGCAGCGCTCGCACCTCGAGCAGGTCCGCATCGTCGGCGTTGGCCGGCAGACGCGAGAGGATCTTCTCGGCGCGATACTGGACCGAGCTCTCGAGAAAGGCATGCAGACGCTGCACGGCCTGGGCGCGCGAGCCTTCGCCGTCGCTGCTGCTGCGGCTGCTGCTGCTGCTGCGAGAGGCTGAAGTGACGTGCTTGAGCAGCAGCAGCGCCAGCTTTTCGTGCAGACTCGGGTCGCCCTCGCCGAGCGCGATGATGTGCTCGAGATACTGCACGCAGAGATTGACGTTGAAGCGCTCCAGATCCTGCACGACGGCAAAGCGCGGCAGCGTCGAGACCTTGCCCACGTCGGCACAGAAGATCTGCTCTCGCACAGTCAGCGCCCGGCCCGGGCTCGACTGCAGCTCAGACTCACCTCCATGCCTAGCCGAGCATTGGCCTCGAGCACCCAGTGCGACGTCTGCAGGATGAGCTCGACGTCCTCGGCGCCCAGGTTCTGCAGGTAGCGGATCGTGGGGCCGACCTTTTCCTCTTCGTCGTCCTCCTCTTCTGCGAAGCTGAGGCGGAGGATGAGAAGCTGGGCGGCGATGCTCGTCCAGACGCACACTCACCGGCGCAGCAGTGCCAGCGCCTTGGCATGCATGTTCTTGCCGCCGTACAGCGCGATGAGCTCCGAAAATTTCTGACCCAGGGGGGGGGGGGGTTCATGAGGGCGTCAGTGTCTGACGACGAGTCGCCAGACTGTTGCGTCTCACCTTGCGTTCCAGCAACAGCTCCTCGACCTGCTTGACCTCGCACCAGTTCTCCACTCTACACAGCGGTCCGAGGAGTGCCGGCTTGGTTTCGAGGAACGTCTTGAAGAGGGCCGTGTCCACCACCTGTCCCACGGCCGTGAGCTGCTCGAGCGGCAGCGAGGCGAGCGGGGCGTTGGGCAGCGCCAGCAGCTCCGCCGGCGCCCGTTCGAGCTGCGACAGCTCGGCGTGCGAGGCGGGATGCGCCTCGAGCAAGGGCTTGAAGATGCGCCGTCGGTCGGCCAGGAAGCGGCCCAGGGCATCGAGGGCTCGCCGCTGCGTGGCTGCATCGCTTGCCTCTGCGGCAGCAGCCGTGGCAGGAGGAGGAGCTGGAGGCGCAACCACGAGGAATCAGTCTCTTATTAATGCTCCGTGGGAACACAGACGTTGCGTGGCGAGAAACTCACCAATCTGTGCAGTCGATACGGCCTTGGGCATCTGCTGCGTCGACGTCGCCTTTGCCATGCCCTGACCCGTCGTTGTCGTCGTCGTTGTTGTAGATGTAGGCTTGGCGAGCTGTTGCACGGAGCGAGAGCTCCTAACCGAGGCGATACTGCGTGCATCGTCGTCCGGCACCATCGTTGCCGCCGCTCGGGGCGTCTTGCTCGGACTGCCACTGCTGGCGCCCACTGTCTCGCTAGCTGCTGCGCCGCCGCCGCCGTAGATGCTCTGTGGTCGTCTTGCCCATAGTGCACCGACGTTGAGTCTTGCGCGCGGCACGGCAGCAGGCAGCCCCGCCTCCTCCTCCCTCTCTTCTGGGTTCGTCTTCGCCGGCTGCGGCTGCACAAGCCGTTGTGGCGCGCCGAAGAGACTGGCCCACGTCTCGGGCGCCTGTGCCAACGGACCAGCGATGCGCGAGGGATACAAGGCGATGACTCGCGCAGGGTTGATGTCGAGCTCGAGGAAGTGCTCCAGGGCCTCGTCATACTTGTGTGCGCGGAACAGGTCGAGTGCCCACAAGGCTTCGACGTAGGCTTTGCGCGCCGGCTGAAGGAGTGAGGCGGGGGGGGGCGGAGGGGATTAGGGAGAGGCGCGAGAAGAAAGGGGGGGGGGGAGGCATCAGCGCCGAGTGGTCCCCTAACACAGCTCTCGCACATCACGCCTCACTCACCTTGTCCGGCAACAGCACCTCATCCACGCCCTCGAGCGTCGCCAGTGCCTCTCCGTACAGCTGTTTCTCCATCAGCTCATCCACCTGTTCTCCCCAGCCCTTCATGCGCAGCTGCCACATGCCCTCGCTTGTGGCCACGACTGCCTCCCTCGGACCCGCCAGCGCCAGCAATGCGGTGCCTCCTGCTGGCATTCCCTGGACTGGAGGAAGCGCCAACGTCTGTACCGCGGAGAGAGTCTGTGCTGATCGAACTGCAATGCTTGCTTGTGCCGTCGTTGTCGCAGGAAGAAGGGCGAGGACGTAAGGCCTTGCGAAGGCGACTTCTTCCGGCACGGCGCTCCATTCTATCACGTCTCGCCGTGCGGGCGAGCCGTCGGCAGAGAGAAAGATGCTGTTTTGTTCGCGCAGCACCAGTGTCTCTCCCTCGGCTGCCGCTCGGACCATGGGAGGTCTTGCGCCTCTCGAGAGTGCGCCCAGCGCGCCGACGCCCCAGCCGGCCAGACCGCCAGCCGCGGCGCTGCTGCTGCTCGAGGCTTCGCTGCCCGCCGCGCCGACGTCGCGCGCGAGGGGCCAGGGCGAATGGGCGAGTGCGAGCGGCAGAGCTTGCAGGGCATACGTCGTGGGAGTGTAGCCGAGGAAGACGCAGAGAGAAGAGGCAAACGCAAGCGAGCGGGGCGTGTGGGGAAGCGTGATCTCCTGCTCGAGAAGCGCACGTCAGCGATCGCATCTCCCCCCTCCGTGGACAGTGCAGGGACATACCTTCTCATCAAACAGCACTCCATCCAGCCATCTCACCACGACCAATTTCCGTCTGCACCCGACGGCAAGCGTCGAAACGAGGGAGTTTTCCGCTGCGCATCTCGCGCCTTTCTCTTCTCTTTCTCTTTCTCGACGATCTTCCTTCTCCCGGATCAGAGCCGCCATGCCCCTCAATGAAGCTCCGCCACCCGCGCCAAGGCCTGCGCCGGAAGAACGACCGATGGTACCAGCACTCGAGGCACCGCCGTCGGGACGAAACGCACGGCCGAGAGACGCGGACTCGGAGGCGAATGCCCGGTGCGAGTGCTGGCGTGCGGTGAGGCGCTGCACGGAAGTGTCGAGTGCGAATGCGAGGGCTCCGCGCGTGGAGACGAAGGCGGCGGCGGGCGTGAGAGATGGCAGGTCGAAGGGATGTACTTGCGAGTCTGGACATGCAATTGTCAGCGTGAAGAAGGCATGGGCACAGGAGGGACTGCGATGCTCTGCACTCACCCATGAGCACAATCAGCAGGCCACACTCTTTCAGCACACCCAATGCCTCGATGCTCTTCTTGCCACTGCCTAGTGCATGCGTCTCGAGCAGCTCCAGCGCACCTGTGCCACTCTGGGCCTGCTCTGCCGCCGTGTGCGAAGCAGCATCGCTCGACGCCGCATCACTGCTGCCTTCGTTCTCGGGCGGCAGTCGATAGATGGCCAGCGTGCCGGTGGCGGTGCCGACATAGAGCTTGCCGGCTGCAGGGAGCGAGCAGCGTGAGTAGCGCAGGGAGGGGAGAAAGGGAGAGAGCGAAGCGTCAGTAAAGCGCCGGCGCAGCAGAGGCAAAGAGGGCCAACGCACCGTGCACGAGCAGCGCACTGGGCGCATGCTGCAGGCCTCGGAGCGGCGCGAGGGCGTAGGCTGCGTGCATGGCGTGCTGAGCTCTGGCAGCGCAGACGGGTGCCCGCGCCTGCCGTGCAAGGTATGCGAGGTAGGGCTGATGAGGAGCAGGAGGTGAGGGTGGTGGTGGTGAGAGCGTGCGTGTGCGGCGGAAAGCGAGCGCGCCGTGTGGAGCCGTGCGCCGGCGGAGGTGAGGCGGAGGCCGCGGAGTCAGAGTGCGGAGCGTGGGAGCAGCACTGGCCTCCGCCTCCTCAACGCGCCGAGCGAGCGACAGCTTTAGTTCGCTGCCTCTGCGACGGCCACGTCGGGAAGAAAGGGAGAGGTTAGCCTCAATATGTACGAACAACGTAGCTGAAGCGATCAAGAGGCTCGGTGAGGCACGACACTTTGACATGCTGCTGGAGATCAAGCGAGTGTCTTCCTCGTCTGTGGGTGTGCAGGCTGGACTATGCCTTGTGGCTGAGTGAGCTTGTTGCCTGCATGCTGTCTCGGCTGACCCGCCTCCCCCCGGGGCCAGAGACTGCAGGCAAGAGCACATCCACGATATGCCCTCTCGCAAAGCGCAGTGATGAAGCAGCAGATGCAGCAGGACAGCCGGCGTCGAGCAGCGCTCCCAAGCCGAGCTCGAGCAGCACGTGATGCTCTCTCTCTCGCGGGTGCTCCCACGCTCCATGAGAGGATCACCCACCGCCCGAGTGCCTGCCGCTTTGCTGCCCCTCGCCCTCTCAGCCGCCTGCACGCTGACATGACGGCGCCTCGCCGTTTTGCCTTTTGCTCTCTGCAATGCCGAGGTGCTGCAGACGCAGCTGCACCTGCGCGCAGAGATGCGCAGGGCGCAGGCCATGAGGATGTGGCCGACGCGAGATCTGGCAGAGCGGCAGAGCGGCAGGCGGCAGCGGAGCCGTCACACGCGTGCAGCCGCGGCAGCACCGCAGCGGCAAGGGGCCGCATTCCTGCGGCCAGGGGGCGCGCCCCGCGTTGCCGCGCCACGGCCCGCTCCGCTCTTTCGGGCAGTTGGGCGGCCTTTGACGCGGCGCCGAGGTGTTGGACTTGAAGAGAGCCGGCAGCGGAGGAGCAGAGGCGAAGGACGAGAGGGACCCGAGGATGAGGGAGACGCACAGCGCGCGCTGCAGGCACCCGCTCTCCCTCGGTGCCAACGGCTCGGCTTCGGCGACAGCACCTCGCCTTCGAGCGCGGCAGCAGGCCGTTCCCAAGCTCTCGGCAGGGCAAGGAGAGCTCGTCGGGAGGCAAGATCGCGTGCAGGCTGCAGCGAGAGGCTGCGAGATGTCTCCTGGGCTAAAATGAGCAGCTGCCATTCACCACGATGACCTCCTGTGCGCTGCTCGCGGCAGCACTGACTTGCAGCTGACGAGATGCTCTGGCCGCTGCGTTGAGGAGAGAGAGGCGCAGCCCGAGAAGAGCGTGGTGATGCGGCATCGAAGGGCGGCGATGCACACGCTGCACGCGCTGCAAGCCACTCGCGCGACGCACGCGTCTCGGTGTTGGACCTCACGCGTTGAGCCGCGGTGCGCCGAGTGTGCTTCTCTCTGGCGGAGAGGCGAAGGGGTGCCTGGGCATCGGGCGGCGCAACGCTGCGCTCTCTCCCAAAGAGGCAGGCTCCGCCACAGCTGCCCGCCTGCCCGCCTCTCGCTGCGGCAAGCTGCAGCATGAGCATGTGATGTGCGTGACCTGCAGCAAGCGGCAGAGCGGCGGGATGCAGCCAGCAGCATGCAGGGCGGTGACTTGCGAGGAGGCAGAGGAGGCACAGCAGCAGCAGCTCTCTATTGGCCCCGCCTGCCCTGCCCAACGGCCGCAGTGCAGCGCTCTACCGAGCCCCCGGGTACGGCGCCCCTTGCCGGCGTCCGGTGCGCGCGCGGAGCTCGTGGCTCCGCTCCGCTTGCCTTGCCCGGCCCTGGCGATGCTCGATGGCGAGCAGCGCAGACGCAGGCACTCGCCGATGTGCACGGCCGGGCTCGAGTCGCGTGCTGGCTGTCCTGCGACCACTGGCTCAAGCTTCTCTCTGTCCCTCCACCACCACCCTCTCCTCTCCGTCGTGTCCATCGCCTCTCGCTCGCCAGTCTCTTCGTGTTCTCTGCTCCTCACGCGTCCACCGCACCTCACGGCTCACGCGCCACTGTCCACTGTCTCTTCTCTCTCTCACTCTCACTCCCACTCTCCCTTGAACGCGCAGCAGCAGCCAAGCTAGCAAGCCATGCTTGCCGCTGCTCCCGCCTCGCCCCTGCGCGACGCCAAGCCCTCGCGGCGCTCCGCGGCGCCCAAGCGCAGCGCGACGCGCAAGGACAAAGTGAATGTCGTCTCCAAGGCCTCGCTGGCCATGCTCAATCCGGCCTATGCCATGGGCATCGACGTCGCGCCGTCGTGGTGCGACTCGCCGCTCTCCGCCTCGGCAGCGCAGGATGAAGAGTCGTACGACTCGCTGCGCGAGTGGGGCGCGGCGGGCCCTGCGGCTGCTGGTGCCCTGGCACGCTCCGTCGCCAAGGCGGGCGATGAGCTGGGCGGCACGATTGAGGCATGGCGCTCGCGACCGTACTGGGCGCAACAACACCAGGAACACCTGCTGCAGTCGGACGCCAACTGGCGCATGAGTCCCACGCCCGAACTCGAGGCGTTCACCGTCGAGGAGCTCGACGTGTGCACGTCTGCGTCGGCCTCGAGCAGCACGAGTGACTTGCCGATGGGCGAGTTCGCAAGCGACTATTCGCTCGATCCGCCTTCCGTCGAGTACGGCCGGTCTTCCTTCGAGCACGACGACGACGAAGTGGCAGCACCCGTGGCACCGGCCGTCAAGACGCGCAAGAGCAAGACGGCTCGCATGACGCGGCGAGCTTCGGAGGATGAACAGGCGCATTCTACCGTCATGCCGATTGCGGGAGGAGGCAGTAAAGGCAGCAAGTCACCGCACAGCAACTCTCTCTCGCGCTTCTTTAGCTGGAAGAGAAGCACCAAGCATCTCGGCGGCAGTCGTGCCGGCGCCGGCATGGCCGTGCCTCCGCTCCCCTCGTTCGACGGCGCGGGGAGCTTCGACGAGTACGCTGCGATGCCGATGTCTGCTCCTCCGGCCGTGACTACATTCGACGCGGCGCTTGCGGGCACGGGCGCACCGCGGCATCGGTATGGCATTGAAGAGTCGTACCCTGCACAACGTCTGGAGCGTGGAGGTCGGCCCAGTCTGGCAGTGGAGAACGAGCAGCAACTCGGCAGCGGCTCGTCTTCGGCGCCCTGCACGCCCGTGCGCGCACCGCAGGGCCTGCCTGCTGCGCCGCAGCCGCAGACGCAGCAGCAGAGCGTGGCGCAGCGAGCCAGCAAGTTTCTCGGGCGCAAGTACAGCATGCCGACGCTGCGCGAGGTGCGACGGGCGCAGGCTAGCGCCGTGGGAGGCACGAGCAACGAGGCCAATGCCGTCGTCTGGGGCGCCGAGGCCGCACAGGTCGGCGTGATGGGCAGCATGCCGCTCGACTCCGCCGCGCCCGCTCCTTCGCTGCCGCCGCTCTTCGGCGCAGAGATGGAGTCCATGTCGCCCATCATTCCCTCGACTTCCTCCTCCTCGGGCGACGGATGGGGCAGCACCCCTCGATCTCGTATCTCCTCCGTCGGGCGTGGCACGGCGCGCAAGGGCACAGACAGCATCTACGATGGCATCTCCTCTCCTCGGTCTCCCTCTACTCGCTCTCCCAAACTGAGCGGCGCAAGAAAGGGAGAGTTCGTCGTGGACGAGGAACACTCCTTGGCGTATGCCGGAGTCGTGACGCCGTTGAAGGCCCTCGCTTCGGAGCCGAGACTGGGCCAAGGAGGAGGCTCGTTTGCTGAGAAGGCCATGCGTCGACGAAGCCGTTCCATGGGCTCCGCCACGGCTCCTCCGCCAAGACTCTCACGTTTCGGATCGCCGCCCACCGGCTTCACGCCGACGAGTCCCTACGTCTCGACCTTCTCGCCCGTGCTGAACAGCCACAACCCACTGCCCGGCCTGGGACGAGGACGCGGAGTGCCGACGCAACGCGGCAACGGCACGCCCACTCAGCAGAGCGTGGCTGCCTTTGGCGCAGGGCGCGGTGCCGCCATGAGCGCTGCCGCTGCTGCTGCTGCCGCGGTCGCGCAGGCAGAGGAGGCACAGCCGCGCAGCTCGTCGGAGGGCGAGACGGTGCAGCAGGCTCGCCGAGTCAATCTGGGCGGCGGAAGAGCAGGCGTGCGTGCCGTGGCAGTCGCCAGTCCTACACTTGTGGCGCGCAGTCCGCGCATGCCTCAACAGGCGCTCAATGCGGGACGCAGCCGCTCGCCACTGCGACCGCGCCAGGAGAAGGCGCAGACGAAGCCGCAACTGCCCGTCATCGTCAACGTCATGCCGCCCACGCCCGTGCTCTGCGACGAGAATGGCGCCTCGTTTGAAGGCGACAAGCCCAGCCTCGCTCCTACGACCGATGGCTATGGCCCTGTCGACGACGAAGGGGAGTCTTCGGAAGACGAGGAAGAGCCAATCGTGCAGCGTCGTCCTCGCGCTGCCGCCTCGCCTCGCAGCGCCATGGCGGCGCTCAGGCGCGACACGGTCGTCATTGACTCCGCCACCTGGATGCCCGAGGCTTTCGACGTGCCGACGCAGGGCTTGCCCTATACGCTCCCCTCGTCTTTTGCCGGCGGCGCGTACGACATGGAGGAGAAGCTGCGAGAGCGGCGGCCGAGTCTGGCAAGCAGCGAGCTGAGCGACATGGACGAGAGTGTCGCCTCGTCCGAAGGCGGCGAGCCGTTTGCGCTGGCGCGAAGCCTCTCGAGCCACTCGCTCGCGAGTGTTGCTTCGAGTGTCAGCGACGCAAGCAGCATGCCTTATGGCTCTCCTCTGCGCACAAACCAGAGCATGGCTTCCAGCATCACTGCCTCCTCCACCTCGTCGCGCTCGCAAGGCAGCAGTCTGGGTCTGCGAGGCATGCAGTTTGACTCGAGCAGCTCGCTGTGCAGCAGCACTACGACGTCTACCTCCATTCTCGACTTTGGCATGACGTCTGCCTCTTCCTCCATCGGCATCGCCAAGGAGGCGCTTCGGCAGCCCTTCAACTACGCGCCTGCCTCGTCGGTCGAGCCGCTCGGCGAGGACTGCGAGACGCCGCGTCTTTCCGGCGGCGCCGCTCAAATCGCAGTGTTCGCCTCGCCCGTGCGCGCGGCCGCTCCGCTCGCGTCGTCGACTCAGCTGCGCTCCAGTCCCGAACGCATTGCCTCGCCTCTGCTCGAGCTCGACCTCTCCCTTCCTCTCGATCTCGACTCGCTCTCCAACGCCGTCGGCCTCGCCGCGCTGCATTCTCCCAAGCGCACGCTCCGCTCGCCCGGAGGAGCAGCGAGGGGCAAGGCCGCCTCGCCCATCAAGCCTCCCAAGTCGCGCGCTCGCGTCGAGCAGCAGCGCTCCAAGGCCGTCGTGGCGGCGGCGGCAGCGCCGACTACGCCTCCCTCCTCCTCGGCGGCGACGACGCGCGAGAGCGTGTACGATGGCGCATCCTTCGACGAGGCGGGCCTCGGCCTGGGACTGGGCCTCGACTTTGGAGCGCCGCAGCCTCACCAGCAGCAGGAGGCGCCAAAGCAGACGCAGGCGCTGCGCGTCGTGAAGCGCACGCAGGAGCCCAAGGCGGAACATGCAGCGCTCTGGGGAGAGCTCGGCTTCGCTATGTGAATGCTCTCCCTCTGCTCTCTTCTCTCCCTCTCGTTCCTTTACTCTCTTTCTCTCGAATGAGCCGGGCCTCGCCCTCATACCCTCATTTCCGCCTCGCGCGTCTGTCTCTCCGTGTCGCTCCCTCGACTCTCGACTCTCCTTCGTCCGCTCTCCACCTGTATTACCCCTCACGTTCCCGCGCCTCTCGCGCGCCGTCGTTCCCCGTCGCATAATCTATCCCTGACGCCCGTATCTCTGACTTGATGATTGATTGGAGTGACGCTGCCGCCCTCGTGATTTGATGGGCAAAAAAGGCATCACGCAGCCTCCTCCTTTCCCTCATTCCTCCTTCTTTCCATCCTCCTTCTTCCCCGCCGCAGGAGCAGCGACGCGCGTCAGTCCCTCTGCCCTCTCGCTTTCCTCCTTCTTCTTCCTCGTCGCCTCGGCCAACTGCTGCGGATTGTACTTCTTGTACTTGAGGTAGTCTTTCGAGACACCTAGGCCGCACACGTTCTTCGTGCCCTCGTCAGCTCTCGTGCGACGACGCGACGACGCCGGGAAGGAGAGGGAGAAGGAGGCACTCACGCGAATGCCCTCAAACATGATCCAAACATCCGGGTGTGACAGGCTTGCTGCGTGCCCTGCGTCGCAAGGGACGCAAGAGGCGATGGTGCGGATCACGTCGTCGCGCGAGAGAGAGGTATGCGAGCGAATGTGCGGCTCGACTTTGTACTGCTCAAGTGTGTCGCAAGGCGGCGTCGTTAAGCTTCGCGAGGCCTCGACGAGGTGGATGGAGGGGGAGCATCAACTCACGGTCACTCCCTTCTCAGCTCCCTCGAGCGACGCTTGAGCGGACGACGAAGCGAACCACCTAGGCAGCAACTCCCTCGCGAGTGCCTCGACGCTCTTTAGATCCGCACGCGACGTGCCTGCGACGGGAGAGAGACGCTGTACGAACCTGTTTGATTCGTGCGTCAGCCGTTTTGGCTCTTTCTCCCTCTCTCTCCCCCCCAGCGAAGCACTTCGTCCTCTGCGCTTCGCTGAGTGGAATCGAAGAGGGGGTTGAGGGGAAAAGGGAGTATCACGCACCGAGATCGAGCTTCGCCCGTCCTCTCGACTTCTTCCATCAGGCCCAGCACCAACCTGAACGGATCGAGCGGCGGCGCAACACTGATGAAGCGCACTGCCCGTCGCCCACTCATGCATCAGCCAATGAGTAGCGGTGGAGAGAAAAACCCCGGGGGGGGGGGGATAGGGGATACGCACAGCATTCCGTGCCCGTCTCTACAATCTCGAACCTCCTTCGCGGGCTCGGCACCACATTGCCCTGCTCATCGCGTGGCTTCTCCGCTCCCTTGCCCTTGCCCTTGGCAGCAGAGGAGGGACCACCGCCTGCACCGCCCTCATGCGCCGCCGCAAGCTCTGCCAGCTCCGCGGCGATCTGCGCCTCGATGTCGGACATGACTGGCGCTGGCGCTGGCGCTGGTGCGGGCTTGGCGCGCGGCGCTGGCGGTGGTGTAGACGCTGCTGCGGACGCTGGTGGCGATGCCGATGCCGGTGCGGACGCGGCTGTGGATGCCTGTTGCGCCTTGCTCGCGGCAGGAGCGGCAGGAGCGGCGTTCCTCAAGGCGTCGAGATCATCCTCATCCACCTCCACTGCATGCGCACCCATCGGCCGCGCCTCGTCGTCGTCTTCATCTTCGTCATCGTCCTCCTCGCCGCCGGCGCCCGTCGCGCCCTGCTTGACCTTGACCGCATGTCTCGGCGTCTCGCTGGTGCACACTACGCCCGCATACATATTGTCCGCCACCTTTACTTTCCTTGCAATCAGCTCTCTTCTCTCTCCTCTTGGAAGGCGCAAACGCACCTCGTTGAGAAAGGCCACGGCCTCATCCGCCGCCCTCCTCTCCTTGCCGCGCACACACGTCAAGAAGATGCCGGGCCCGCAGACGCGTGCGGAAGAGGAGGAGGAGAGCGTGGCGCGGTAGCGCTTCTTGGCGGCGCTCGGGCCGGAGGAGGAGGAGGGACGCTTCGGCATGCTGGAGGAGGAGGTGGGGTGGGAGGGACGGGAGAAGAAGTGGAGTGGAGCAACGCCGCGCAAAAGCAACGCGCGGCGCGCGAAGCGCTCCCACAACCGAGCAGTTCAGCAGCAGGCCGCGCGCCGCACTTGCCGCCCGCTTCGCCCTCCCTCTCGCCTCGCCTCGCCTCGCCTCCACTTGACTCTCACGCAGACAGGCAAGCGTCAGCAGAGGCCATGAAGTATTGCACGCTGCCCGCACAGGTGAAGCCAAGCATGCAGGGGGGCAAGCGGACATGCCTTGCGTGGGGGCGTGGGGCGTGGAGCGGGGGGGGGCAGCAGGCCTGCTGCGAGGACACAGAGACGCAACGACGGGCAAAGGAGGGAGCCGCAACTGGCGCGGCAGAGACGGCGTGCGGCGCGAAAGAGAGGAGAAAGAGGGGAGAGGGAGGCATCGCTGGGTATGAAGAAGTGCGGGGGGGGGGGAGTCTGAGCCACGAGCTTGCGCGGCAGAGAGAAGGAGGGGGGAGAAGGAGGGAGCACTGAGCCTGGGAATAAGGAGGCAGCGAAGGCTTGAACATGGAGTCTGGAGAGGCACATCGGCCGGTGAAGGCGTGTCCTCCGCGCCGGCGCAGAGATCGAGACGAGGCGGAGCGCTGGCTGGCGGCTACGCCTTGCGTCCCTGCAGACCGCGGCATGGGTCAGCGTCTCATCCTCCCTCTCTCTCTCTCTCGCTCCATCTCGCCCTAACGCACCTTGGCAAACGTCTTGTTGAGCAAGCCGAGAATCTTGTTGACGTTGAGCTGCACGTACTCGAGGTCGAGGAGCTGCACGTCGTCCTTCTGCTTCTCGAGCAGGTCGTCGAGCTTGAGGTCCATCTCGAGGATGGCCTTTTCGCGCCCCTTGTAGTGCAGCGCAATGATGAACGTGCCGGGCGAGGGCGAGGCAATGTTGAAGAAGATGTTGGCGCGCCTGTCGCGAGAGGGGGAACATGTGAGTGGGAAGAGGCAGAGACGACTTTCGTGCTGCAGCAGAGGAGCAGAGCAGATGCTCGCCTTCCCCCTTCCTGCTGTTGCACTTCGCACGCCCACCACTCACCGGTTCTCCGGCACGTTGCTCTCGACGATGATGCCGTCCTTCTCCATCTGGGCGTGCGTGAAGCGGAAGGGCCCCAGCATCTGGCTCCTGTTCGTCTTCTTCTCCTTTCCATTGAACGACACGACACCGACGCCGCCCGTCGCCTTGTCCTTGCCGCTGCCGCTCGTCATGCGCACGTTCTGCAGGTAGCTCTTGTACGTGTCGAGCTGGCTGCGCAGGTAGTTGTTGTGGCCGACAATCGTCTTGTACACGCTCTCCAACGAACGCATCTCCTGCATCACCTTCTCGCGCATGTTGCCCAGATGCGTCAGCTCCGACGCCACTTCGTCGGTCATGAGGCTGTAGCCGTCGCGCCGATCCACCACCTTGAGCTCCTCGAGCTCGCGCAGCATCTCCTTGACCTTGATGCCCTTGCGCACCAGCGTCGCATCCTTGGTCGTCGCGGCACGCTCGGCGATCGAGGGCAGGTTGATCGGCCGCTTGTCGCCCAGTTGCGGGATGGAGCGGATGAGCTGCACAAAGATCGACTTGGTCTCCATGTAGAGAATGTCGTTCTGGTCGCCAAGGAAGTCAGCCGTCGCCGGCCTCTCATGAGGCACTGCTTGAACTCACCTGCGTCACGTTGTTCTCCGACATGAACGCCGTCGTCAGATCCTGGATCGGCGTCTCCCAGCGACTGAAGAGCGGCAGCTCCAGCGTGCGGTTCTCCTTGCGTGCCACCTGGCCCGGCGAGGGCCCCAGCTCGGCGAGCAGGATGCGCAGATGGTGCTTCTCGTTGGGCGCCAGCACGTCCACGTGCTGCGCCACGAGCGAGTGCGTCACGTACAGCTCGTTGAGCGTGATTTGGATCTGCAGGTCTTTCTTCGAGAGCGCCATGTACTGGTCCATCTGCGGGCCAAGAGGGGTCAGCAATGTCCCCACAACAGTGCACGCATCAAGCATACGCACCTCGAGCGTCTCGTAGAAGTCGCCGACGTCGCAGAGCGCATTGAGGAAGGCATTGATGCGCGTCTTGTTGTTCTCGACGAAAGGGTTGAGGCTCATCATGTACTGCTCCTTGGCGTACGACGGCTTGTTGGCGAGGTTCTGCAGCATCTTTGCGATGAGCGTGAGGGTGCGGCGCGGATGCTTTGCCGGCGGGCCGTCGACGAGCATGTAGGCCTGCGGCGTGACGATGGCGGGGTTGATGAAGCGCAGAAAGAAAAAGCCGCCAATGAGACTGCAGATGGCAAAGTCGGTCGCGTCGGGATACTTGCGCTTGGTGAGGGAGCGAATCTGCTTGCAGATCCAGCGGATGCCGTACGGCACCTCGTCGATCGAGTTGATGATCGTCTGCAGGAAGCTATTGGCAATCTCCATGAGCATCGTCAGGCGCGGCGCAATGATGGCCTGCACGTCGGCATTGTCCTGCGCCACCTCTGGAGGCACGCCCTTGGGCAGGTTCGGCGGCAGCGAGCCCGTGTCCTCTTCGATCTGGCTAATCATCTGCTCGTACACCTGTGCGAGTAGAGAGTCAGCGCGCTCGCTGCAGCAGTGCAGCGATGCAACCCACCTTGAGCGGGTTGACCTCGAGGTTCAAGTCCTTGTGCTCGATGAGCGAGTTGATGCGCTCCGCCAGCACGTCCTTGAGGAAGCTCTGTCCGGGCCCTCGGCGCGTGTACGTCGTCATCATGCGCGACACTGGCGTGTTGGCACGCAGCAGTGAGCCAAAGTCCGTGGCCGTCTCAAACTGTGCCGAGAGCACCGACTGCAGAACGTGCGCATGCATCAGCTGCGCACTGCGAGGGCGCGGGCTGCGCGACACGCACCTGGAACATGGTGAGCAGCAGATGCTCCTCTCTTGACTCGTACTGGTTGCCGTACAGCGTAAACATGACGGTCTGCAGCAGCGTGTCGATCTCGGCCAGCGACACGAGGCGACAGAGCGCGGCGATGTGACGCGGCTCGCTTTGCAGCAGAAAGAAGAGATTGCCGTACTGCTGCGTCTTGCGGTCGTCCAGCGTCGTGCCCATCGCTATCTCGTTGTCTTCCAGCGTCGAGGCTACCTCTGACTGCTGCGCGCGCGAGAGTGCATCAGCCCACGCCGCGACGTGCCGTCCGATGCTGGGCACACTCACCTCGTCGAGCGCCATGCGGTTCTGGATGAGCAACGCAATGCGACTGTCCAAGTAGCGCACGTCGCGCTCAAGCACAAAGTTCTTTTTGCTCTGCGCCGAGATGCGCCCCTTGAGCTCGCGCAGTCGTTTTTGCGCTGACAGACGGCATCAGAGGTCAGCGATGAGTTGCGCGCGCATGAGACGCGAAGCAGAGTACGCTGGTGCGGATGCTCGAACCAGGCGCAGGTCATACTCGCGCGCGCAGAGAACCCGCGGCGAGATGACAGGCAGAGATCGGCCACGAGCCAGCGAGCATCCCATCCTGCAGCGCAGGCAGCCAGCATCTGAGCGCTCTGGCAGCGCCGAGAAGCAGCGCATCAGAGTGCGCTGTCCGCTCGCCTTGCTCAGCCCGTCTCGCGCTTGCCCAGGCGTGCGACACAGATAGAGGCAACAAATGATGCCCATCATCTGTGCGCCAGTCGCCGCCAGATCTGCCCGCCTCTCTCCCTTGCATGCGCTCCGCCTCTCTCTATCCTCTCCTCTTCGCGCCGCACTCACCTCTAGCCAAGTCATCCTCCACCTCAACGTCTTGTTCCGCCGCCATCGAGTACAGTGCGGTGACGCTGTATCTGTTCGTGTTGCGATTCGCATTGCCGCTCATGCCCGAGATGGCGGACCCGGCTACGCCAGACATGCTGCCGCCCGTGATGCGGCGGTTCATCATGCCCGACCCTCGCCCATCGCCGCCGCCGCTCGAGGAGCCGGCATCACCGGCGAATCCGGAGCCTGAGCCCGTGTTGTACATCGTCGTCATGGTGCGCGCACTGCGCTGCCCGAGCGCGGACGGCGGTGCGGCAGAGAGACGAGTGGGTGAGGCTCAAGCGCACAGAGCAGGCTCAGAGACGAGCGAAGAGCGCGTGCGACGGGTGCGTGAATGGACGCCGAGGTGCAACGCAACGCAGGTGCTCGCGCGTGAGCTGATGCTGCGCGCTTTCGCGGATGCGATGCGATGCGGTCCGCACAGGCGGCACGGGCGCGTGCAGACGCTGCTTGTTGCTGTGAAGGAGGCGTCGACGACACGAGGCTGCCTTGGTGCGTGAGGCGCAGAAAGATTCGAGTGGCGGCTTTGAACAAGCGCGAAGAGGGTGAGTGTGTGTGAGAAGAACTTTGCCGCAGGGGCAGAGGCGACAGTGAAGGGAGGTGGTCGTGTGGTGGTGCGCGGCGGCAAGTCAGGTGGTGAGCGGCTGTGGTCCGTGTGACCAGCGCGGCCGCGCGCGAGGAGGCGCGAGAGCAACAGACGAGGGCAGAGCGGGAGTCGCTCGAGACGCGTGCCGCGAAGTCGGGCGCGAGGCACGCCGCCTGTCTCTTACGCGGCGCGCTAAGGCGAGGGCCGCCGCAGGCAGGCGGCCTGTGTCTAGTGTGCGGCCAGCGCGTGCCTCATGCCAGGCGCAAGCTCCGCTTCCGCGGGGGGCGCGAGCGCCGATGGGCGGGAGAGCAGTGTCCCGGCGCTTCGGCGCCCGAGTCAGTGGGCGTGGGAGCAGGCGCGCTTCGGCGCCCGAGGCGTACAGATGGCCCATTTCGCCCTCGCACAAGAGGTGCGAGCCGGCGGCTCGGAGCGGCTGAGCCGAGTGAGAGAGGTGGAGAGAAGGAGAGCATGAGACGAAGTGCTGCGGAGAGGAGAGCGAAGCGCGACAGACAGGTGCGAGTGAGAGACCGCACCCCCGACCGGTGTAGGCTGCAGCTGACGCTGAGCAAGTGGACAAGCGAGGTCGGATGCACAACTGCCACTCCTTCTCGGCGCCTCCTCTCGAAGCACCCTCTCTGGCGTCTCAATGCTGGCGTCTATCGCCGCAGACGAAGCACGAAGGAAAGCGTGTCTCGTGCCAGCGCATTGCGTCAAGCTGCCACGGAGAGAACAAGCATCGTCATTTGCCGCTCCTGACACCCGCCCAACCCCTTCCCTCGCCGGCCCTTGCGACTTGAGGTCCTGCGTGTTCACTGCGTCTTCTTCTCCTCTTCCTCATCGTCGTACTCTCCATCCTCTCTCTCATCCGACACATCTCCCTTGAGTGCTCTGCGGGAGTCAACGCATCAGCTCCTCACCCCTCTGTGCTTGCCTCGCCTCTCCTCTTGCGCGGCCAACTCACCGGATCATGACGCGCCACATCAGCGCATACCAGAAGCAGTTGAGCGCGAGCAGAATGGCGAGGGGCGCAAAAATCTGATAGCGCATCCACGGCACCAGCCACCAGCCTTTGGCGGGCGCCCACTCGCGAGTGTGCGAGGGGATGAGGTCGAATTGATACCAGACCGAGTAGAGCGTGAAGGCGGAGAGATAGATGCGGAAATAACTGTTGCGAGGAGAGGAAGTGAGCCGAGGACGGAAGTGATGGCGAACAGGGGAGAGGAGCACGCACGTCCAGATGAACATCAAGCAGCCGAACAGCGCAGTAGCGAGCCCGTCCAGGCCGAGATAGTTGAAGCCTTTCGCCATCTGCGGTAGCGTCGACGGTAACGTCAGCTCATGACTTCCTCTCGTCGAGTCTCCGTCAAAGAGAGCGGGAGGAAGGAACTCACAGCAAGCCAAGTGTCGGGAATGTCCATGCAGACAAACACGGTCGTGCCGATCATGGTGAGGTTGACGAGGTAGGACCATCCAATGAGCCACAGCGTCACCAGGTGCTGCCTCTATTGCGTCAGCTTTCCCTCCTATCTCTTCTCTGGCCGCTCTGGCGAGGGGCGAGTACTCACGTGCGCAATCAGCTCATAGTAATCCTTCCGAGGCGCCTCGAGGCCCAGAAGCATGACGAGCGCCTGTTGCAGCCAGTAGGAGGCTTGCAGGAGATAGTACGTCTTGAGCTCAGGACGCATTTGCCAGTGCGGGTACTCTGTGTGCGCGCGGCGGGCGAAGAGCGAAGCGAGGAGCGGGCGAAGTGAGGCGCGGAGAGCGGAGAGCGGAGAGCGGGTGGGTGAGAGCGACGGAGCGAGGAATGAGGGGAAAGAGGAGAGAGGAGAGAGGTGAGCCGGCGCAAAGACAGCAAAGCAAAGGCAGCAGCAGCAAACGCACTGAGCCACAGATGCTCGAGATTGAACCACCACGACTCTTGGAAGGACATGACGTACTGTAGTTCGGGAAAGTGGTTAGCAAAGCTAGGAGGCGGTACTGGAGCGGTTAAGCTGCAGTGAATAGAGGTGAGGCGCGACTCGGCGCGGCTCTTTCGCATGGTTGCCCCTCATCGATGCACGCCTCTCCTCGTCCCTGTCCCTCGCTCCACAGCACAGACAGCGCACAACTCACCAGTCCAAACAGGCCCGCAGATCCCCAATAGAGCAGAGCATAGCCCTGCTCCACAAAGCGCTCCTGCTTGCGCTCATTCTTGATGCCCCACCACTTGGCAAACGGCAGGAAGACGTAGAGCGTCGTCGTTTGCCGCAGGCAGGAAAAGACGACGATGTAGAAGGCGAGAAAGGCGAGGTCGCCGTAGCCCTTTTGATAGCGAATCGTGTCGCCGCTGAGCGCTGCCGAGGGCTCGGACAGGAGGACAGCGGAAAGAGGGACGCGGTGGGAGATGAAGAGGAAGTAGGAGAAGGGATTGGGAGTGGAGGGAGTGAAGAGACGCCAGTTGACCCAAAGCAGCAGGACGAGACCTGCGATCTTGGCAGATGAAGCTGCCCGTCCCCGCGTGTCAGCCGGCACGAAACATAGAGGAAGGAAAGGAGGACGTACCGGGCACCGTCATCCATCGGAACGTGACGATATCACTAAGCAGACCCTTGCTCGAGCGGTCTTTGCCATCATCAATCGAAGCCTTTCCCTTCTCCTTCTTTGCCTTTGCCCCCTTTCCCTTGGCACCCTTCTTGCCCACCGTCTGCGCGGGCGTGGAGATGGCCGCGCCGACGTTGTCGCCCGGCAGCTTGGTCGCGTCTACGGGAGAGACGGCGCCGTCGGTGTAGGTGTTGAGTTGACTCAGCCCGCGCGAGAGCGAGGGCGCGCGAGGTCGACCGGCGCCATCGATGGACGCCATGATGGGAGAAGAGGAAGAGGGTGTTGTGGTGGGGACGGAGAATTCACAGGTGCGCGCCGCGCGGGCGAGGCGATCGAGAGCGCGAGACGCGCCGGTGCGCCAGAGCCGCGGAGCTGGCGGGCCGCGAGGGGGCGAGTTTAGCCGCGGCGCGTCTCTCTCCACACAACGCGTCTTCGCGCGACATGCGAGGTGTTGCTCTCCTTCTCACCCTCATCACCCTCCTCGTCTCCCTTCACTCCGCACCTCTCTGGCAGCGCTCACGCCCTCATCCGCGCGCCATGTCACGGCACGCCTCCTCCTCCCGCCTGCCCGGTTCGCCGCGCTCCACGAGCATCTACAGCAGCGCCAGCACCGCGTACGGCACGCCGCTCAGCGGCGGTGGCTATTCGCGCACGCTCTCGGAGCGCGGTGCCGCTGCCACCACTGCTACTGCGCCGAGCACCGCCGGCGAAGGCAGCGTGCGCGGCAGCGGTAGCGGAAGCAAGTATGCGACGCCGCAGAAGGAGAGAGAGGGCGGTGGGACAGAGAAGCGCAAGTTTGCGCGCGTCACTCAGAAGACTTTCTTGAGGGGAGAGGTGTCGAGTGAAGGGGCTAGGTATACGCTGTTTCTCAAGGTGCGTCTCCTCTCCACTGCTCTACGTGCATGCGCGAGCGTGCAGGACTGATGACTTGCCGCTCTCACAGATCATGCTGCCTACATCCGCACGCTCAGTCACCTACTCTCTCTTTCCCGACACCGACGTTCGGCTGCTCAGCTCCTCCATCTCTGCGCTGACTCCCAGCGGCGCCGCACCCGCTCTGGATGCGCCTGCCGCGCGAGCCGCCGCACATCTTGGGCTAGCAGTCGGGACCGACAGCTTCGACTCTTCACAGCAAGAAGCGAGCCTGCCAAAGGTGTCGATCAGCAACTTCTGCGTCTGCCTCGTCATGCCTGCGATGCCGAATGTACAGCAGGAGGAGAGGAGAGGGTATCTCGTCACACTGCATCTCTCCGCTTCACTCGCATCACAGCCGCCTCGCGCGCCTTACCTCGTAAGTCCACGCCTCTCACTGCCCATCGTCGCTTGTCGCTGATGCATGTGCTCGAGCAGGTCAAACTACCAGTCCCCCTCTGTCTCAACAACTCTCTCGACCTGACGCTTTCCGACTCCATTCATTCCTCCGGCATCATCATCGCCGAGCTCGACCCGCCACTGGTGCGCCGCGAGCAGCGCGCGGTAGCAGGCGAAGAGGCAGCATCGAGCGAAGCACATGTCCTTGCGGGCCGCTTTCCGGCGGCGGAATGCGTCGCTGTTCGTTGGAGTAAGGAGGTGGATGAAGGGATGAAGTTGCCGGAGTGGGCCGAACGAGCAACAAGGAGAAGCAACGTCGAACTGAGCGCGATTGGACTCGATCGACTCGACACTCAACTCCGCTTCTCGACGTTCCACTCTCCGCCGGAAGGGCTGCAAGATGGCGAAGTAGCGCTCGATGTCGAACTGCAAGCCGACTTGGTCGGGCCGTACTTTACGGGGCTGGAGCATGAAGCCGCTCTCGCACTCTCGCTCGATTCCTTCAGTCAAGCGGTTCGATGGCTCGATCTCGAGATCCTGGGCGGGAGCGAAATGCTTCGTTGGCTGCCTAGCGAGCCCGCGTCCGATCTCTCTTCCTCTCGACCCGTCTCGATCGCTTCCAGCTCTTCTTCTCTCTCCCTCGGCAAAGCAAGCGGAGGCGGCAAGCATTCGTCGGACGACTCGCTCGTGCTCGAAGACCTACATGGCGCCTTGATGGACGCGGCTCCTCCGCGAGGCTTGAACGACGTGGATGTCAGCTTCGACGAAGGCGGTCTCGACTCGAGCAAGAGGAAGCGGAGACACAGCATCGGTAGCGCTGTTCTTGCTGCAGCTGCTGCTCAGGAGGCTGCATCGCTCGCATCGAAAGAAGCACCGGCGGTCGTCGCAGACTCGAGCGAGGGTCAAAGTGTCGCAGTCCAAGGCGTCGTGCTAGTATTCGACGTCGTGAAGCTTTGCGCGCCAGACGCAGCTGCGCCGCAAGAGCCTCAGGGCTTCACACTCAAAGGCACTCTCATCGTCTCTGCGCAGCCGGAGCCAGCGGAGGGAGCAAGTCACTTCACGATGCCGCTCTTTCGTGCGCCGAACATCGAGATGCACACTTGCGGCGTCATGATTGCTCCGCCAATGCAGGGCGCACCTTCACTCCGCGTCGTGCGTCGGCCACGAGGATGCGTGGTGCCTCGAGCTGCAGGCGTCAGCGGGCGAGAGACCGAGCAGGCGAGCTTTTCTCTCGCGCTGTCTCCTCGCAGTTCGAGTGGGCAGCAAGAGGAAGCAGAAGCGTGTCTTTTAGCTGTGCAGGCCGCACCTACAGCCGCAGTCGCAGCAGTTCGAGCAGGCTCAACGAGCCCAGAAGAGCGTTCGCGCACCTTCACATTCGACGAGGACCTCTCGACTGCTTCAGCCGTGTCGACAGCTACGATTCTGCGGCACTTGGCGCCGCTGCCTGCTTCTGCGTCTGCGCGTGCAAGGGCCGGCTCAAGCCTTCTCGCGGCAGTCGGCGGCGGGATCAGTGCCGAAGCAAGCCTGCACGTCTGGCTCGAGCCTCTCGCTCCCTCTTCTTCGTCGAGCTCGAGCGTCGCAGTCGCGCGCGCAGTCTTCACCTGCGAGGGCGCGTGGCCCAGTGCACTCAGCGACGAAGAGACGCACGGCACGCTCCTCGAGGCCTTCCTACTTCGGCTACCGCCCGGCTCCGAAGTGCTATACAGCAGTTTGAACGGCCGTATCACACAACCCGACGTACAGCAGACGCGGCCGGATGCGCACTGCATGCTGGAGTTCGCACTGCCGGACGGACTCGTCGATCATCCGGCTACGCTGTTGCCGCGATGGAGAGTACTCTTCGCAGCAGATGTGGCTGCAGCAATGCAGCTGCCGATGCTCTCGTGTAGCGTGGCACAGCTCTGCGTTGAAGTGCAGCAGACGAGCAGTGAGTTGCGCTTCCCTCCCCCTCTCCCTTCCCGGCGTTCGCCATGCGAGACTGACACTCGCTTCAGCGCTCAAGTTCACACTTTCAAGCCCAGACTTGTCGCTCGTCGACGCCACGAGTGCCACAGGAAGCGTGTTCAGGGCACACATGCTTCCCGCTGTGGCCTCGCGCGCGCTCGAGCTCACAGCGCCGCCGAGCACGACGCTCGATCTCGACCTCATCACGCCTCGGTCCCTCGAGCTCGCTGCGCCACAGCCCATCGAACTTGTGCCGGGCACGCTCGCTTCTCGCTCACGCGCCGCCAGCGTTGCCCTCAAGGCGCAGACACCGCCTGCGACACCCCGAAGCTGGCTGGTACGCCACAGCGGCATGCTTTGCGCTTTCGCTGTGGCGCTCCTGCTGCTCTTCAGCGTCAGCGCACTACACGAGCGTCTCGACGCCGTTAGTGCACGTCTCGAGACGCTCGGCTTGGCGCTTGACACGGTGCCACAGCAAGGCACATGGCATCCCTCGCCCGTAGAGGCGGCCGACGAGGCCTTGGAGTTGGCCAACGATGCCGCTTCGCACGCGGCGATGCCCAGTGCGTCACTCGTGCCGCCTCCGAGTCCGATCCCGCTCGCCACGCCCACAGCCGCCGCCGAGCCATCGTCGCTGAGCGTGCTACGCGTCGTCTCTACGCCCATGGCATTGCTCGCGATGCTGCTGCGTCCTTTCAGGCGGCTACTGCGAATGTCATGACTTTCGCCCTGAGAGGCACCGCATCACTCGTCATCATGCCTGTGCTTGTGGCGGTACGGCAGCGTCAGGCTTCAGCTCGACAGTCCAGCAGAAGGGCTGGTCCGTTGAGACGCCGATGCGTCCATCGGGCGACGCGAGGTGGTTGGACGTCGAGAGGAAGCCGCCGATCTGGGAGCGCTGCGTGCCGTCTGCCGCGTGCTCGATGTCAGCTATAGCTCGTCATGCGTCACAAGGCTGGATACAACGCACCGAGGTCCCACTCCAGGCCACTTGTGCTGATGCACACGCCCTCTGCACCCGTGCCGATGGGCAGCAGGCCACACGTCTTGCCGAGCGAGGCATGCGAGAGGTGCAGCTCGTGCTTGCCCTGTGCGGAGATCACAGTCAGCGCACGAGCCTTGCGAGCATGTCTGGCGATGGCCGCAACTCACCTTGGGCAGCACCCACGCCAAGCTGTTCTCGCTCACGACCCACGTGCGGTTGCGCTTCTTGAGCTTGCCGCCTCTCTGCTCCTCCGTACTCGCCGCTTCATCCGGATCTTCCACGCCTCTGGGGTTAACGACGCCGGGCGCCAGTAGCCAGAGCACGTGTAGCGTGTGCATCGTCTGGTCCAGCCGTCCACTGAGACCGCCGTAGATGACGAGTTCCAGCTCGGCAGCCACGCCTGGTGCCGAACGCGGAGCAGCGCGCTCAATGTCTTCCACTGCATGAATGCTCTTCTGCAGATCCGTCGCGTACTGCGACGGACGCTCGAGAATGCTGACGCCGCGCGCTTCGAAGAAGTGCCGCACGGCGGGCCGGAGACTGTCGAGATCACCGACGATGGCGTGCGGATCCGACGCCGCTTCCGCGCTGGAGGGAGAGGCGAAGTAGGCGTCGAATAGACGATTCGCACCGCCGTCGGCACATACGCGGTACGATGCTGCTAAAGCGTCAGCCTGGTGCATGCAGGGGGAGCAGTGGCACTCACCGCCGTTCCAGAGATGCTCAAACGTGCGCAGGTGATCGACGTGCAGCGGGACGTTAAGCAGCACGACTGCGTGTGCCGGTGCAGCGCCGCCGTCTGTGGGAGCCAGCAGCCGGCTGGGATCCCACACCTGCACCGTCTCGCGGAAGCGACCTGCGCGGCGGCGCGGGACCGCAGGCGCGGTCTCGGCGGGTTGGGCTGTGCTTGCTGTGGCCGTAGCGTTGTCCCCTCCTCGTGAAGAACCAGGCTCGGGGAGAGGCTCGGTCGCGGTCGAAGCATCGTGCTGAGGCGCTGGCGTCGTCTGCGTCGACTTGTCGACCGGTTCCGGCTTCGCGTCGCTCTCAGGCGCATCCCTCGAGTCGACTTGCACGTTCGGTTCCTCCATCAGCTCGTCCTCCTGCCCTTCCTCGAGTCCAAGCGCACGCATCAACCCCTTTCTCCCCTCCCACGGCTTGCCCTCATTCCTTTCCCGCTCCCACTCATCGAGCAGATCAAGATCCACCGCACGTGCGCCGATCTGCCAGACCCGCTGACACGCGCCTGGCCCAACGCCATCGCTCGGCGCCAGGCGTTGCTCCGCCGCCGCCTCGGCCGGCTGCGATGGCGTCCAGCGTGGCTGGGGCGGCACGGCTGCCAGTGCGCCGCTTGCGAGAGCCTGTGGTGCTGTCGCATCGAGCGCAGCGGCGTGAGAAGTCGGGGCATTCGTGGAGGAAGTCGACGACGGCGGCGGGGAGAGCAGGCGAGTAGAGCGCAGTGCCGGAGGGAAGAATTCTTGATGCACTGGATGAGCAAACGATGGCTCATAGCGATACTCCTACACCTAAGTCAGCAAATAGCCCAGCCGAGTCTCGTGCGTCTCACGCACCTTGCCGTACTCCAGTTCGCGCATCAGCTTGGTCGGCGCATTTCGGATGTGCAGTGGAACCGGATACTATCGCGAGTGATGTTGAGGCGATGCCGATAGCGATGCAGGGCCAATGTGCCACTCGACTCACATTCTCGCTCTCCCTCACTAAAGCCTGCGCCTTTTTCATGGCGCGATACGCCCTCGTGCTCTTCTTTGCCTCGGCAAGGAAGACGACGCAGTGCGTCAGGTTCTCTGCGCACTCTGCCCGTCGACTTCGCTGTCAGCAAGGCTTTAGAAAAGGCGATGAGGGAAGACGTACCGGGCAGACCGACGACTTGACAAGCCTGATATGTCGAGACGGCCATGTGCAGTGCATCTGGCGTGCCAGAACAGTCCTCGGACGCAGCGACGATGAGACGCCGCGCAATGAAAAGTGCATCGTCGCCTGCCTGTCATTGTGAGGCGAAGCTCAGCGATGCGAAGGGAAAGGCAGTGAGCAGAGCGGCTTGACGCACCTCCACCATGCGCATCAACCAATACACGGCCGCCTGTGCATCACTTCCACGGATCGACTTGTGCAGCGCCGAGATCTTCCGGTTCAGGTTTGACATGAGCCGAGGCACGCGGAAGCACCGAAGCCTGACGAGCACAGACGCACCGTGTCATAATGCATGTCGCCAGTGCGATCATACAGCAGTGCACTCCTTCGCAGTGCAGTCTTGAGCTGCGCTAGCCGATCTGTTGACGCTTCTGGCTTTGCCTCGGTCGGCTCGCCGCCGGCGATGACGCCTCTGCCATCGTTGCCGGCGCCGTTGGAAGGCGCAGAAGCATCGGCGTCGGCATCGGCAGAGGTAGCGGTACTCGCGAGCGCCAACTCGAGGGTATTAAGTGCCGTCCTGCCTCACTGTCAGCTTCGTCTCGCACGCACTCTCGCACAACTCACCTAGCATCACCATCCGCCATGCCCGCAATCCACTGCAAGAGCTCCTCTTGCACCTCTCCCTTCCACCCCCACTCCCTCGCCTTCTCCCTTGCGCGTCTCAAGAGCAGCTCCACATCTTCGCGCTCGAGCTTCTTGAGCACGAACACGCGCAGACGACTGAGCAGGGCCGGTGCCAAGCGGAAGGAGGGATTCTCGGTCGTGGCGCCGAGCAGGAGGATGTGCCTGGAAGACATGAGCGAGGAAAAGGAAGAGGGAGAAGAGGGACGTACCCGCGCTCCAAGGAGGGGAGAAGGACGTCTTGCACGGCTCGAGACCATCTCTGGATCTATTCCCGCACACATCAGCCTCTGGGCGTCTGCTGGGGTGGGAGAGCAACGAGAACATACCTCATCAACGAACAGCACCGTCCTTTCCCCCGTCAAGCGCAGACGATTCACCGCCTCATCAAGGTGTTTCCGGAGCTCGACTGCGCCGACTGAGGTCGCACTGAGCTCGACCATTCGAGCTGCCGCTGAGCTTGAGCTCGAGGCACCGCTCGCTGCCCCTGAGGGGGACGGAGGGTGCGAAAGGATGCGCGCTAACGTCGCTGCATCCTTGCATTAGCGAACGCAGGAAGCGAAGAAGGGAGGAGAGAGTGAACGCACTTTTGCCGCTCCCCGGCGGACCCCACAAGATGCAACTACACATCCTCCCACTCTCATGCAATGCGCGAAGCGGCCCGGAGAGGATGTCTTGCTGTCCCTGTGCTCCACGCCTGTCAGCTAGGCCGGTGCGACAGGAGCAGAGCGAGACATGTACGCACCACGAACTCAGCCAGCGTCTTGGGCCGCATACGCTCTGCTAGAGGCTTGAGCGCCTCCAGTCGTTCCTTCATGCTGGGCCCTCCTCCTCCTCCTCCTCCACCGAGCATGGGCGGCTGCAGTCTGGCCGCAGGGGTGGAGGGCGAGCCACTGGGTCCGGCACCACTGGGGCCGGCGGAGCTCGGGCCAGCCATAGGCGTTGCAGCTGCAGCCGGAGCGTCGCTCGTGCCAGTGCGTCGACGCTTCATCTCCGGCTGCGCCTCGCGGTCGCGACGCATGAACATGGGCGCTGTCCTCGTCACGCCTTGGCCCGGCGTTCGAGGCTGCTGCGTTGCGCTCGTCTCTGCATCACCGTTCTCCACTTTGGCAGTGCTACTTGATGCGTGCGCTGCGGAGGTCGAAGGCTGCAGCGTAGAAGAAGGCGGAGAAGAAGGCGCAGCGAGACAGGCATCGAGATGCACGTTGAGCGTGGCCATCGGCTGAGGGCGCGAGCATGAGGGGCACGAAACGAGCTTGGGCGCTATCGCCGCTGGCCGTTGAGACATGACTGCCAGGCGCGCCCGAGCTGCTCGAGGGCAGCGGGCGAGCGGAGAGGAAAGGGTATGAGGGGATGAGGTGGAGAAGCAGCCGAGCAGGCCGCTCAGGGTGCGCTTCGCCTCCACGCGCGTCTTTCGGGACTCGGGCTGCTCTCCCCCTTCACTTCGTCGTGTCCGCCCGAGCGCATCCGAGCTTCTTGTCTCTCCACCATATCCCTCGTCTCCCTGTCCCGCCCCTTCATCGCCCTCCACAGCAAGACCAACAGGCACTATGCCCTCGGCCGACTACCTCGAGCTCATCTCGGCCGCGGAGCGCTTCACGCGTGAAGCGCTCGAGCGTATGGGCACTGATCCTTCGCACGATTGGCATCACGGTGCGTCTACTGCTCCGCTGCCCGATCTCAGCTTGCTCGAAAGGCGTGCGAGCTCAAAGCGCATGCGGCGGTCGCATACTGACGCTGCCCTTCTCAAATGGCAGTGCACCGAGTCCGACAGCTCTCCCTCGCCCTCTCGCGCTGCTCCTCTCTCTCTGCGCCGCCGGACTTGCTCGTCCTCGAGCTTGCGGCGCTCTTCCACGACGTCGCAGACGCCAAGTATGCGGTGCCTGGCACTTCGGCTTCCAGCGTGCTCGGGCCTTTCTTTGAGGAGTGGACGCATGTCGTCACGCCGGACCAACGACGGCTCGTAGAGCGCATCTGCGCAAACGTCAGCTGGAGCAAAGACGAGAAGCGGCGGCGGGCGAGGGCACAGGCTGAGGCGAGGGGAGAGGAGGAGAGTGGACTGGAGAAGGAAGAGAGAGAATGGAGAGAGACATGTCCTGAGCTCGCATGCGTGAGCGATGCGGATCGCCTGGATGCCATCGGCAGCATTGGTGCGTGCCGGACGCTTGGCACGCTGGAGAGGAGCTCTCCTGTTGACCCGAGTCGATCGATCGACAGGCATCATGCGAGTCTCAGCCTTCTCCGCCGCACGTCAACGCCCGTTGTACATCCCACCTGCCAACGCAGAAGGCGATAGCGTGCCACCTGCCGAGCAGGGAGAGGGGTACAATGGGAGCGCCGTGGCGCATTTCCATGAGAAGTAAGTCTCACTGTGGGGCGCGACGCGAAGGTGATAGCTGATGGAAGTGGGTGCACGCAGGCTGCTCAAGATCAAGGGTGATCGTTTGAGTACCGACATGGCGCGTGCAGAGGCGGAGCGGAGACAGGGCATGGTACGTCCTCTCTCTTTCTCGTTCTGCTTCTCAGTCCGCTGATGCGTTCTGCTCGAGCAGATGCGGTCGTTCCTGACTGAGCTCGACCTCGAAGTACGTCCGCCTTTCCCCTTCCGCGCCCAGCGACGAAGCTGACGTGGCTGCCGAGCAGTGGATGTTCGCAGATCAAGGCGCGCAGCTAGTGCTCATGCAATGATACGCCGATCACCCACACAGAGTCGACGGTGCATCTCGTGACATTACTCCTTCGCCTCGGCTCTCATTGCGCATCAGCCGTCGCCTCCTTCGCCTTCTTCACCGCAGCCTCCCGATTCTCCTGTCGCTTCAGCAGCTTCAACGCCTTCTTCTCCGCCCTGCCCGTCTCCAAAGCCGCCTTGTGTGCGCGGTCGTACTTCGCTTGGGCGGCCTTGCCTTTCGGCCGGTCCTTGCCCTTGCCTTTGGCCGCGTCCTTGCTCTTCGGCTGCGGCTGCGGGGCGGCCTTGCTAGAAGCTGGTGATTGAGTGGAGGGAGCGGCGGCAGCAGGCTTGGCTTGCTTGACCTTCTTCGCCTGTGGCGTTCCCTCTGCAGCCGGCGCAACGGCGCCATCGGCAGTCGCAGCTGCCGCCTTTCTCTTCTCGCCCTTCTTCTTCTTCTCTCCGCCCTCCTTCATCTCCTTTCCCTCCTCCGCTCCCTTCGCCGCTGGAGTCGCCGCAGCAGCAGTGTCGCCCTCGCCTCCAAGCTCCGCGCCCTCGCCCGCCGCAGCTGCCGCCGCCGCAGCAGCAGCGCGTCGTCGTTGCTTGCGATTGGGCTTTGCCGTGCCCTTGCCCGGCGCCGGGAGCGGCTTGATCTTGCGTTCCTGCTTTCCCTTCTTCTCTTCTTCCTCTGGCGCCTCGCCGTCCTTCGGCGCGGGTGCCTTGGTAGCCTCATCAGCCGGCGCGCCAGCCTCGCCAGCCGCAGCGGCTGCTGCAGCAGCCTGAGCCTTGCGAGCGGCCTTCTTCTCGCGCTTGCGCGTGGCGCGCGCATCCTTGAGGGCACGGCGCTGCTCGATACGAGCCTTGGCCTTGGCGCTGAGGTTCTCTGGCATAGCCTTCTCCGGCGCGAGAGACAGGGCGTCAGCACTCCGCTGCGTCCTCGCTGGCGCAGACGAGCAACGCAGGCAACTCATCCTCCGTGCACTCCATTCCAGCTTGGACCACCTCTCCCCCGCTACAGCAGCTCGACTCACCTTCTTGCCAGCCTTGCCCTCAGCTCTCTGCTCCTTGCGCTTCTTCTCCGCCTCATTCCTGTCCCTGTCAATTTCGGCCTGCACGCCTCTTGGGTCTGCGCCTCCCTCTGAGAAGGGCGCCGTGCGCTCTACTTCGTTGAGCTTGGCGGCGACGTAGGCAACGTAGCGCGCTTGACGACGAAGATGGCCCTGTTTGAGGGGAGAGGTCAGTCGCTGCGGCGACTGCTGCGCCTGGGCTGCGCGCTGATCGACAGTTTGACTTGCTAGCTGATCCCTCCAGCAGACCCTTCCACATCGCGCCGTCACTCACATTGCTCCCCAAATGCACCTCGACCATCCCATCGCTCTTCAGCTGCACCGACGGACAGCACACACAGCTGCGCACGAGGAAGTCGCCACGCTTCGGCGCGCGCTTGTCGACGTAGATCTGCGACTGCAACGACTGCTCGATGCTCAATGGCGGCTCGGACTTGGCCGCTGCGGCTGCCACGCCAAGCTCGTCCTCGTCTTCGGCCTCGTCGTCGGACTCCTCCTCCGAATCGTCGTCGGAGTCGGCGCCCTCGTCCCCCGAGTCGCGCGCAGCAGCCTTGCCGGCTGCACGGCTGCCACTGGCGCTAGCGCTGCCGCTCGCTTCCTCATCGCTGCTCTCCTCCTCGCTTTCCTCCTCGCTCTCCTCATCGGACGAGTCCGAGTCCGAATCGTCGATCCTCATCTCGGGCGGCACATCTTGCCCAACAGGAATGCCCGCTGCTTCATCACGCTCGATGGAGCGCGCGAGCTTTGCGATGCGCTTGAACATCGCGGCGAAGGACGGGGCGGCGCGGCGAGGCAAAGAGGGCGTGTCGTGTGAGGGTGGAGTGGAGGAGAGCGAAGAAGCGCGCCGCGAAAGGCAAGGTGCAGCTCACGTCAAAAAGCTCGCGCGTCGGCTTGCTCGGCCGCGCCGCCCGCTGCCCGATGAGATCGGGGGACGAGCACACGTGATGCCCCCCTCTCGCTCACCCAGCGCTGCCGCACACAGCTGTAGAGCCTGTCGTGGAGCTGGGTGTTGCGAGCACTCGACTCACACTGCAGGAGCGCTCGTCCGACTCTGAGTCGATGGCGGCTGAATCTAATAAGAATCCCTCGCCGCGGGATCGAGGCGAGCGGCGCGCCGCGCCGCCGGAAGCATTTCGCCTCTCCTGCAGCACGCAGCTAGCCTGCTTCTCCGCTCCTACACCCATCCCTGCACTCGCTGTGCCGGCATGCTCGCGGACAGCAGAAATGCTCCCGTCCAGAGGCGCAGCACACAGCGTGCAGCGGGTACGATTCTGCTCTGCAGATGCTTCTCAAGGAAGAAGGGAGAGCTGTGCAGGCACGGCCCGAGCGATTGACAAGTACGCCGCTCTCGCAGCCCGCAGCGTGCTTGGTGGCCTCTGCGCGGCTCGAGGCGCTGCCTGGCAACTTGAGCCTCACTCAGCAGCACGTTTGCAGTCAAGCGCTATTGAGAGCTGCATGAGTATCTGCTGTTCAAAGCATGGGCCTCGGGGGCGACGGAGGGAGAATCTGAGACACGGAGCGGAGCGGATGCTTGCGCCCTCTGCGTGTCGCCGTTCCTCTGGGCGCAGCAAGCTGAAGCCTCAGGCTTGGTCTCCGCAGCAGCAACGGCGGGAGAAAGATGTGGCGTGCCGCAAGGCTAGCTGGAAGGTCGCTGGGGAAAGCGCAGCGGCAGCGGCAGGACGGCACGAGCCCTCCAGCAGGGTGCTCGGACCGTTCTTTCACCGTCTGCTTGCACCCAGGCCGTCCCGAGCGCTCAGGCTGCTCTGCCGCCCAGCAACGGCGCACAGATCTGCTTCCACCGCCTCTCCGGCCCGAGAAGCGACGCTACGCCGTCTCGGCAGTCTCCCGATCCCCACTTGCCGTTCGCCGTTGCGCTGCTGATGGGTCCACCCTGCGGCCCATCCACTCGCGACCTCAATTAGGTACCGTCCTCATCATCCGCACTACCGTGCTAGCTTGGCGCTGCTGCTCCTCGGCACAGCGCACCGCGTGTGACTCCGACGAGTGTCTGCTCAGACGACTGCGTGTTGAGAAAGGGGGACAGGGAAAGGGCTGTGCTGATGGCGGCTGCTCCGCCCGTGCGCATGCTGCGGATCGTACAGGGTTCTGCCGTCCGTGCTGAGCTGCGAGGCAGCAGCGGGAAAGACAGGCGCAAGCTCGGCGGGCAGGAGCGATGCCGAGATCGGAGAGCACTAGGCGGGCTCGAGCACACACGACTCGCTCTATCTATAAGAGACGACGTCGGCTTGAGAGCCTCCTCGCTCCCACCTCTTCCCATCTCCTTCCTTGTCGCGGCTCGTGAAGTCGCACCCTGCCCGCTCCGCTGCTCTGCTCGCCGCGTCAACGTCTCGTGCCGCCTCGCCTCATCCTCGAAGTGTCAGCTGCTCTGAGAGTCCACTAGCGATACCTGTGAGTCAAGCGGCTCATGTCGGGTGCGAGAGCCGCGGGCCCTGAGAAAGGAGGTGGCCCGGCACTCAGCGGCTCAGACGTCTGGGAAAGGCGCTGCCGGCGCCGCGCGCATGGTTTGCTTGCTGCCGGTTCAGCACCTTGCTCGCACCTCACAGGCCGCAAGTGCTGTTTGCATAGCGGACAGCGTGGTGTGGGAGGTGTCACACGCCGGCGAGGCTCAGGGCAGTAAGGCGTGGCGGCGGCGGATGCGGCTTGTGCGAGAGCGAGATGCGGCCGGCGGGCGGAGTGCGCGCGCGTCATGATCGTCATGCAGCGCCGGCCCTCGGCCTGTGAGAGCGGGGCGCGGCACTCGGGCAGCAGTCAAGCGCCTGCAGCGGAGGCTGATGCGCTGCGCACGCTCCCTGTCCTGCCTTTCCTCTCTCCACCATACCTCCTCAAGCTCGAGCCTTCCGCCGGAGCAGCAGGGCGGCTGAGCGTCCCGCGCTACACGCAGATCCTTGCGTTCAGCTGCACGTTGGCTGAAAGGCCGTCGAGCGTTGCGCCGAGCCTCTGGGCTTGCTCAGCTCGTCGGGCTCGAAGACTCGAAAGGCCGGCTGCCGCTGCGTTCGCGGACATCTCTATTGCTGCTTGCACGTTGACGAGCACAAGCAAGCAGGCACTAACATGTCCGCCCGTCCACGCCAGCTCGGCTTCGGCCTCGACGCCGACTCCAGCTCTGCGTCTCTCCCGGGCACGCGCTCCATCCTCGAGCCCGGCGCCGTCGCCTCTGGCTCTCGCATTTCCGCCGCTCCTCTCTCGCTCGAGCGGTCCGGGCCGCCAAGCGACGAAGAGCGGGCATACAGCTACGAAGACGAAGAAGAGGAGAGCGAAGAGGAACCTCCTCGAGCCTACCAGTACGAAGAGGAGGAGAGCGACGAGGCGCCGTCTCCCAAGCGCGTTGCATCTCCACCTGCGCCTGCACCGCCCAGCGACGACGAGAGCGAGTCAGCTCCATCTCCGCCTGCTCCACCGAGCGACGACGAGAGTGAGCACTCGTCTCCTGCTGCTGCACCACCCGACGGCGAGAGCGACAGCGCCTCGTCTCCGCCAGCACCACCAAGCGACGACGAAAGCGAGACTGCGTCGTCTCCGGCCGCACCGCCGCCCGACGACGACGAGAGCGAGGCCGCTTCGTCTCCACCGCCAGCTGCGTCGCCAGCTGCGTCACCTGCACGGCCTCTCGACGAAGAAGAGAGCGACGAGGAGCAAGCTCAGCTATTCGACGACGACGAGAGTGACGCGGCTTCATCTCCGCTGCAAGCCCCGTCTCCGCCTGCGCCAGCTCTCGACGACAAGAGCGACTCGGCTCCTTCGCCGCCTACAGCCCCTCTCGACCACGAGAGCGATTCGGCTCCGTCTCCAGAGCAAGCAGCTTCTCCAATTGCGTCCTCTCCACGAAGCGCTGCAGCTTCACTGCCATCGCAGCCCGACGCAGATCTCAGCGCACCGCTTCCACAGCAGCAAGCCGGGGTTGAGCAGCACGCCGAATCTCCGCTGCAAACTGCTTCTCCCGCCGCGCCATCTTCGCAGAGCGCCTCTCCACACAGCGCATCTCCGCAGAGCGTCGCAGCGCCTTTCCCGTCACGGCTCGACGCGCACTCCAGCTTGCCGCCTCCAGAGCCGCAACCTGAGTCTCTGCTGCCCGCACCGAGCAGCGAACATACCTCTCCAGCTGCTCTACTAGAGCCAGTCTCACCAGCCGAGGAGACCAAAGCCGATCGCTCGCAGACGAGCTTGGAGAGCGAGCCTCCATCGCCACTGCTCGAGCCCGCTTCGTCCGTCCTTGCGTCGACGTCTGTTCCCGTCGTCGCTTCTCCCGTACTCGAACTTGCTGCATCTCCAGTCCTCGAGGCCGCTTCTCCGGTCCCCGAGCTCGCTTCGCCAGGTCTCGAGCCTGCTCTTGAGGACTCTGGGTCTGCGCATTCGCCAGACCTCGCGTCTGCTGTCGTCGACCCTGCTCAGTCGCCAGTTCTCGAGCCCGCTTCTCCCGTCTTCGACGCGCAGCTCTCGGCCAGCGCGTCGCCCAGCGCATCTTCTCCACCCGCTCCACCGTCAGACCTGTCCGAGGCCAGCTCGCCTCACTTCCTCGACGCGCAACTTCCCGAAGCCGCATCGTCCCACGCATCTCCGCTTGCACAGCCATCAGATCTACCCGAACAAGCCACATCGTCATCCGCCTCGTCCGACAGCGACATGCCCTCGCTCATCCGCACGTTGGGCCGACGCCAGTCCCGCAGCGACGACGGCGAGGAGGACGGCGCATTCATCTCTGGCGGCGCTCTTCGGCGACAGATTGCCCTGCCGTTCGTCACTTCGCGCGGCGGCGGCGGAGGAGGCAGTCGTCGCGTCAAGCCGCCCGTGCTGGAGGAGGACACCGGCCGCGCCGGCCGTGATGCGCAGACGCGCTCGCTGCTGATCGAGGAGCCGCTCTGGCCCATTGGTGATGCAGGCGAGTACTCGCTGGGTCGGAGTCTCAACTCGACTGCTGGGCCGTCCAAGATGCGCCTGGCCAGTGGCCTGCCTGCGGAGCCAGTCGAGGAGTACGACATCTTCGGCGGCAGGGTCGCGACGGGCGGTCATCTGGACGACGAGTACGGCTATGAGGATGAGGAGGCGCCGCGGCGGTACTCCGACGAACAAGAGGAAGACGCAGCGTACGATGCCCAGCCGCCGCCCTTGCCGTCGAAGGCATCGGCCTCGCCCGAGAGCCTCGACCGCAGCGACGAAGACGACGAGTCGGCCGAGGAGGAAGTGCAGGCGCACGAAGCCGCCAAGACGCCACCTTTCCAGATGCGCCGTCATCCGTCGTCGGAGCTGCACGACATTGCAGAGGAGCCCGAGACGCCTGCGAGCAACACTCCGTTGCCGGACAGCGACGACAGCGAGGAGGAGGAGGAGGAAGAAGAAGAAGAGGAGGAGGATGAGCTCGAGCAGACGGTCCTGCCGGCAGCGACTGCCTCTGCCCCGCCAGCAATGCCGGTGTCCGAGCGCCTCATCGACTCAATTGCCAGCCAGCACGGTTGGGCAAAGGAGCCCGCGTCCGCGCCAGAGCCCTCGCTCGTTGCGCCGTCAGCCTCGAGCATCAGATTGCCGGCGGCCGTGCCGCGTATCGCCGTTCCGTCCATCATTCGCGAGGCGCAGCCAGCCGCCAAGCCGGCACCAGCGCAGCTCTCGAATGCGCGACCCTCGCCGCCGGCCGCACGCGCTCTCGCCAAGGCTGAGAGCGAGTCAGAGGACGAGGAGTGGGAAAGCGACGATGGAGCAGAAGAGGAGGATGGTCTGTCTGACATCGGTGCGGCCCTGACGACGCTCGACGCCGCGAACCGCGACAGCGCAGCATCACCGGAGCCCGAGGAGGAGTTCGATGCAGGCTCCGCGCTCGACGACGGCAGCTGGGAGACGGACGACGAGCAGCAGCAGCAGCAGCAAGCGCTTCCCGCAGGCGAGACTGAGAGCGGGCTTGCCGTCGCGAAGCGTATGCCGATCCACCGTGTGCGCGCCGTGCGCGTTGGAGGCAAGCAGCCGCAGCGCAGCAGCCGCAAGTCTTCGTCTCGCAGCAGGTCCTCGTCGGAAGCTAGTGCCTCGGTCAAGTCGGCCTTGTCCGCGCCCGAGGTGCCGGTGAAGGAGCCTCTGTCTCTCGCGATCCCTGCGGCTGCCGTGCCGTCGAGCACATCTCCGATCCGGTCTCCGGAGAGCTACAAGAGCAGCAGCTCGATGGAATATGCATCCGCCTCACCGCAGTCGCCGAAGTCGCTGCCCAGCCGCAACTTCGCCAGTGCGCCGTCACCTGCGATCGCAGCGTTTGCGACCTCGCAGCAGCCAGCGAAGGCTCAGGCCGACGCAAGAGAGGTGCTTCCGGCGGCGAAGTCACATCGCGACGAGGCTCGCGCTGGCTCGTCGCCCGAGCCAGACTTCCCTGGTGGCTTCGACGCACAGCCCGCACGCGTCAGAGCTTCTTCGAAGAAGGCGTCGACGTCCACGGGACCGAGGGCATGGCCCATGCCGCCCTTCTTGGGCTCACGAGCAGCTGGCAAGAAGAACGATGCAGCAGCTCCTCCGCCTGTGCCGGCGAAGGAGCCCAGCAGCTTGCCCGCGCCAGCACCCGCGACATCTCTGGCCATTTCCGGCGCTGCACCTCGCGACATCGAGGCTGCAGGATGGAGCACTGCCCGACGTGTCTCGGACTCGTCTGCTTCCAGCCACGAGTACCACGACCTGCCAAGCCCGGCAGACGACCCGAAGCCGTCGCCTCTGGCCATCGCTGTCCCGGCTGCAGCCGTGAGCACCTCGAACCTCTCGGGCTCAATCTCGCCTCTGTACGCTAGCTTCGGACCGTCGTCTCCGATCCTCGTCCTGCAGCCTCCGACGTCTCAGCAGAGCACCGCCGCAGCGGGCGAGTCGAGCACTGCGGATGTGACGCCGTCGATGGCACTCAAGGCCGCGGCCATGGCCGGCTGGACGTCCGAGCCTGAAGAGCCGGCCAGAGATTTGGCTGCCCAGCGCTCGCAAGCCGCCGCGCAGGAGAACACGCTCATCCCACGGCGATCTGAGGCTCGTCCGCGCACCGACGCTCTTGCGGGGCGGTCTAACGCTGCCAGAGAGCGCACGGCCGAGAGCGCAGAACGTGCACGCGAGCTCGTGCGCTCGGCAGCGAGCAGGAGCGCCGCGAACAGGAGTGCCGCGGCCGGCCAGCTCTTTTCTGCCGGGCCTGCGCTTCAGAACGACAAGCCAGTCGAAGAGCTCGCCGGAGAGCAGATCAGCTTCGAGTCTGCTCCGGTCATCGCGCACGATCTGGCGTCCTCTCTGGTCATGCCAAGAACGCCCGAGCCCGAGCACGGCACGGTCGCATCTGCCGGCACAGCTGCTGCTACCCCGTCCGCGGCACGAACACGCGACGCCAGCGGAGCCTCGCACCTCACTCCGCCTGTGGCGAGTGATTACGGTCCGAAGAGCGCACGACGCATGTCAAACGGCAGTGCTTCGTCGCCGCGGCCGCCGCGGCCACCTCGGAGCGCATCTCGCGAGACTAGACTCAGTCAAGCCTCTGGCAGCGCATTCGATGACGATGCAGAAGATTCGCAGCGTCGAGCGACTCTGTCGCCCACGCGACGCGTGCGGCAGCAGGGGCAGCAAGAGCAGACATCGCTTGACGGCTCAACATCGAGCGCAAGCTATCGTCTTGCGCCTGCACGAGAGCAAGACGAGCACGAAGTCGAGGAGCACTATCGCAGCGAGCCGCTCTTCCAGAGCCAGGACTCTCGCGTCGAGCAGGTCTTCACGAGCATCGAGCAGGACGGCGTGGCCTCCGACGCGCCAATGGAGGCTGCGCGAGAGAGCCTGTCAGACCTCGAGGTCGAAGAACGCCGCCCAAGGCCCTCGCTGCCCTCGCTGAGCCTGAAGAAAGTCAAGGGCCTCGGCAGTCTCTCGCTCGGCCGCAAGAGCGCCAAGACATCGCCTCCCGAACCTGCGAGGCCTGCGAAGGGCCGCACCGCTCCTGTGCGAGGCGACAATGCCTTCGATGTGGCCAGTCTCGATGGCCAGAGCACCGCCAGCCTCAGCCCAAAGCAGGAAGAGCCCGATGCGGAACGCGGCAGCCTCCGCGGCAGCACCAAGGGCTCGGTCCGTGGGTCGATGCGCGGCTCGGCGCGGCGGTCTCGTGCGAGGCGCGGCGACAGCATGTCGCTGATCATGGCGTCGGCGCTCGAGGCACAGCGTCAAGTCGGCTCGCACTACGAGTCGCAGTCCATCGACGACGGCGTCGGAGGCCAGAGCGGTGATGCAAGATCGACGCAAGACGAGACTGCCTCGCTGAGCTCGCGCATGCGAGCGAGCAAGTCTGCGCCCTCGATCCGGACGAAGGACTCCTCGCGCTCCATCTCTGCTGAGAATGGCGCCTCGAGCGGTCGCACGCCAGCTACGCCCGAGGCTGAGACGTCGGCGCCGACGAGCGTCAACAGCATCTCGCTGTCGTCGCCCAGCAATGTGCTGTCTCGTCTGCCGCCGCTGGAAGACCACAACGACGAGGAGCTCGACTCACTGCCGCCGGTCGAGAAGTACGTGGCCCTGGCCGGTGTCCTGGCCGAGATGCTCGAGCCAGGCGGCAAGGCGAGAGTGCAAACGCTTGCCAACGAAGGCGTCCGGCTGCAGCGGGAGCAGCGTGCGCGCGAGCTCGAGGTTGAGCGGCTCGAGGAGTGCATGTGAGTGCATGCGAGCGTGTGCTCGATGTGCATCTGCTGACCTCCTGACACAGTGCGGCACTGATCCCGGACGACCTCGATCGCGAGGCCATCCGCGACCTGCACGTTGCGTTCTCGACGAAGGTGCCGCGCGACTACTCGAAGCGCAGCATCAGCACGTCGACCGTCGACAAGGAGCGCATCGCCGAGCTGGAGGACAAGCTCTCAACAATGGAAGACAGCGTCACATCGCAGAAGACGCGTCTTCACGAGCTGGCGGGAGTGCGCCCGCGTCTGGCGACACAGCTCGAGCTCGAGCGCCAGCGCTTCGAGAAGATGCGCCGCGTCGAGAACACGCTGCGTCGCCTCCGGCCCGAGGTCTTCCAGACGCTCGGCGCCGAGGCGAGCAGCAGCACGGCAGATGGGGAGGCCGACGAGGGCCTCACTAAGACCTCCGGCGCTGCCACGCTCTCCGGCGACGTGTCGGACACCGGCGCCCGGGGCGAAAAGTCGCTCGAGTTCTACGGCGAGGAGAGCGAGCATGCTCTTGGCCTGCGCACCGCCGTCGCGGCGCAGCGCGAGGCGATGGATGTGCTCAAGAAGCACGAGCAGCGCTGCTACAGTCTGCTGCTGCTGGGCGAGACGGCGCTGCGCAACCTCGTCGCCGACGTCATCGACATCGCTCTGATCCTCGACAGCTCGAGCGTGCGGCCCGATGACGAAGAGGCGCGCGCGAACCAGCGGCGCCTCCGTTTCTCGCGGTCTGCTCGCTCGGCAGATGAGCGAGCCATTGCCGACGCAGGTCGCGCGGAGCTCGACGGCAACGGCGAGGACATCACCGACGACTTTGAGCGTGTGTGCTTCCTGCGGCGCAAGGTCGAGAGCCGCATTCTCGAGCTCGAGGACCTGCTGCGCAAGGTCTCGGACTACTACGCCAAGGCCATGGACACCGAGCTCGCCCGCCGCGCGCTGCCCGGCAGCAGCACAAAGGTGCGCGCGCCGCCGTCCGCTTGGCGCGGTCGAGACACCAGCGCCTACTTCTCGTCCAACGGCTCGCAGGACTCGCTCGCCTCGGCTCGCCAGGCGGACTCCAGTTCAGCAGACGCGCCGCTCTCGCCTCTCGTCGACGAGACCAAGGACTCCGCCTTCGCAACGGCGCCCAACTCGCCGAGCCAGGAAGAGGCACCAGTCCTGGCCACGGCTCCTCCCGAGGCGGTGCCGCAGGCCATCGCCCTGATGCTGCGCCTGCTCTCGACGCTGCGCATCCTCTCCGTGCCGCACACGACGCCGCAGCAGCTGCGCCGGTCCGCCTTCCGCCTCAGCCAGTGGTCGCAGCGCGCCCACGCCACGCTGCCGCAGCTCGAGGACGCGCGCGAGGCGCTCGACCTCGTCATCGTACACGCCGAAGAGACGAGCGAGAAGCTCGCCGAGGCGTGCGTGCGCCGCATGAAGGTTGCTGATGCGCAGCGCCGGGCCTTCTGGACGGCCAGCGCGCAGGCGGCGCTGACGAGCCTGATCCTCGGCTGAGCGCGAGGCCCTTCTCCCGCATACCCCCACACTCTCTGTCTGTGTCGCTTCGGCGCGCGCAATACCACCCTCGTTCACAAAATCTGAGCCAGACGCGAGGGCACGAGAGAAGGAGCGAGCAGTGGCAAGGCAGAAGCGGCGGGAGCAGCCAGGCGAGTAAGGGTCCGAGTCAGGCGCGAGAAGCGAGGCAAGACCAGGCGCGAGAGTGAGGCAAGGAAGCTGAAAGTCAGGCAAAGTCAGGCGCGAGGAGTAAGGGATGCAAGAATGGATTGCGTGCAACTTCTAGAAGCAGGAAAGGAGCGGTAAAGGTGTGTGACGTAAGGAGCTTGGCTGAAGCAGGCGGCGACAGAGGAAAGAGGACAAGGAAGCTCGCAGAAATATGACTCGCGGCGCGCACAGCGATCGCGCGAGGGAGAAGGAAGAGAGTGTGCAAAGGTGGGCAAGGAAGAAGAGGAAGATGGGTGACTAGCTGAGGACCAGGCCGGGCAGGAGGCTTTTAGGCAGCGACGCAGGCGCCGTTGACGACCTTCTGGCCGTTCTGGCAGACGGCGTAGCCGGGAGCAAGGCCCGAGCACGTCGTGGCCGTGCCCGTGCCCGTGGAGCCGCTGCCCGTCGAGCCGGAGCCGGTGGAGCCGGAGCCCGTCGAGCCGGAGCCGGAGCTGCCCGACGTCGTGCCGGCGTTGGGGTCGCGCGTGACGCTGAGCGCGACGGAGCCACCGCACGTCTGGGCCGCGTTGCCGCCGCAGGGCATGTTGCAGTTCGTGGCCGTCGTCGTGGGCGCCGCCTTGGAGCAGTAGCACTCCGTGCTCCACTCAGTGCCCGAGTACTGGTAGCCGCGGATCGAGCAGCCCTGCTGGCACTTCTCGGTGGTCATGTCCGTGCCCGTGAAGACGTAGTCGTTCATGGCGCGCTGCGAGACGACATCCTTGAAGCAGCCGAGGTAGGCGATCGGGCCGGCCGACGTGGCGGGCGTGGTGCTGTTGCCAGTGGAGCCCGTGCCGGTCGAGCCAGTGCCAGTCGAGCCCGTGCCGGTCGATCCAGTGCCAGTCGAGCCCGTGCCCGTGGAGCCCGTGCCAGTGCTGCCAGTGCCGGTGCTGCCAGTGCCGGTGCTGCCGCTGCCCGAGGCCGGGAGCGACGTGTTCTCGAAGACAGTCAGGGCCCACGAGCCACCGCACTTCTCGCCAACCTGGCCAGCGCAGTCCATCGTGCAGGCGGTCGAGGTAACGGTGGGGATCACGTTGGAGCAGTAGCACTCGGAGCTGTACTGCGAGCCGGAGAACTTGAAGCCCTTGTCACCGCAGAAGTTGGCGCACTGCGAGTTGGTCATCGTGTTGGTGCCGGTGCTGGCGCTGTTCATCGAGCGAGCACCGCCCGTGCCGGCCGCGTCGGCGAAGCAGCCGCGCGAGACACCGCCGTACTTGAACGTGCCCGAGGGCGTCGTGGTGGCCGGGGTCTGCTGGGCAGCGGCAGCGGCGGATGAAGAGCTGGCGGCAGCGGCGGCAGCAGACGAGGCGGCAGCAGCGGCGGACGAGGAGCTGGCAGCAGCAGCCGACGAGCTGGCGGCAGCAGCAGACGAGCTGGCGGCAGCAGCAGACGAGCTGGCGGCAGCAGCAGACGAGCTGGCGGCAGCAGCAGACGAGCTAGCGGCAGCGGCGGACGACGAGGAAGCAGCGGCGGACGAGGAGCTGGCAGCAGCGGCCGAGGAGCTGGCGGCCGCAGCGGACGAGCTGGCGGCAGCAGCAGACGAGCTGGCCGCAGCGGCGGACGACGAGGAGGCAGCGGCGGCGGACGAAGAGCTGGCGGCGGCGGCAGCAGCGGCGGCAGCGGCAGCGGCAGCAGCGGCATCAGCCTCGGGCGACGTGCAGATGCTCTTGCCGGTCGGGTCGGCCTGCGACGAGGCGGGCGACTTGGCGGCAGCGAGGCCGGGGACGGCGGGGCGCGAGCAGAGCTTGATGCTGTTGACCGACTGGCACGTGGCGGGCGAGTTGCCGAAGCCGTTGGCCTGGGCCGGGGGGTACGTGAAGATCTTGCCGCTGTTGCTCAGCACGAGCTTGGAGTAGTCGTAGCCCGTGCCGATGGCGAGGTTGAGCTTGTTGCCGTTCTGCATCGTCGCCGTGAGCACACCCGAGGTGGACGAGTAGGCGCAGGCGGTGGCCGTCTCGCCGAGCTCGATCTGGTGGCCCTGGCCGAAGCCGTAGATGGCGGCGCCGAACGTCGGGTTCTTGCTGTACACTCCGGGCTCGATGTGCAGCACACTGTTCGAACCGAGGAAGGCGACGCTCTGCTGGTCCAGCGCCGGGCCCTGAGTGGGGTTGAAGTTGTCGAAGGTGCCGCCCGACAGGTACATGACCGAATTGTCGACGGTGAAGCAGCCGTTGCCCGGGTAGTTCTGGTTGAAGTCCATGCGCAGGTTGCGCATCGAGATGGCGCCGACGTTGGCGATCTGATTCACCGAGGCGGCGGTGCCCGACTGGGTGAAGCGCGAGGGCATCGTGACCTGGTTGGCGTTCATGGGGCCCTGCGCGTCCTGCTCGAAGACGATGTTGCCGTGATTGGTGCAATTGGTCTGGCAGCCGAGGAAGGCCTTCATGTCGCCGCCGGCAGTGCCGCCGCGGCCGCACATCTGGATCTGGCCGCGATTGCGCCAGACCATCAAATTCCAGGCCCACGTCGCGGGCGTCTTGGCGTACATGTCGTTTAGCAACAGATTGCCGCCGGCGTAGACGCCCATCGTGCCGTCGGTCCAGGGCGACAGAGAGTCACCGTCGTAGCGGGCGCTGATGCCATTGGGCACAACGAGGGAAGTGTCGAACTGCGAGATCGTCTCGTTGCCATAAATGTATGTGCGGCCGTAGTGATTGTGCGGGCCGATGCCGGAGTAGTGCGCGGTGACACCAGAATTGATGATAAAGTTGTTGCCGCTGGCGCCGATAGAGAGGAAAGGCGTTGAGTCGCGGATGTCCGACGAGGCGGTGAAGTCACGCTTGTTGAGGTTGTGCGCCTCGGGGTTGCGGCGGTGCACCTTGCGCAGGCTGCCGGCCGAGTGCTGCTGGTTGCCCTCGACGGCCATGGTGAGCGCGCCGATGCTGGCGAGGAAGGGGAGAACCTTGACCATTGTGGATGGAGGTGGGTGGGTGCGAGGGACGAAGAGGTTGCTGGAAGAAGTTGTCGGCGCAAGCGCGAGTCAAGTAAGTGAGGTGCCGGAGAGGCTGTGGGAGGACCGAGGCCGAGAGGCAAAGGTCGCTAGCTGGGAGCTGGGGAGAGGGGAGAGAGCGATGGAGAGGAGTGAGTGAGATGGAGAAAAAGTGAGGACGACGGCGTCGAGGGTCCTGGTCTTATACACGCACCGAGGCGATGGCAGCGCCCGCGGTGGGCAGCGGCGGCGGCGGCGGCGCCATGGCGGACGGTGCAACGCCGTGTGCCGCAAGAGTCGGGCGAGGGAGCGTCGTGGCGCGGAGGAGTGGGAGGCCATGTCTCGCATGCGGTGCGAGAGGCGTCGGGGCGGGAGCGCCGGAGTCTGGCGGCAGCACGGCGGCGTCTGGCGCCTGCGCCGCATTCGGGGCCCACGCAGCGCCTGAGACTTGCAGCGCCATCGGGCGCCGGCACGGCAGCGGTGCAGGCGTGCTGTTCCCGCGCTCGCCGGGCCGGTGGTGCAGCGCAGGTGACACCGAGGCTTGGAGGCGCTGCGCCGTGCTGTGGTGGGCAGAGCGACAGATCCGCGTGCGGCACGGCGCGGCGGGCGGCGGCGGCGGCGGCGCTTGAGGCGGACGTCTCAGGCAAAGCCCGCTCTGCCGCCTGGGCGCACGGCAGCGCGCATCGGCCGTGCGCCTCTGCCTCGCAGCGCCACGCCCTGACCGCACCCGGCAGCGCGAGACAGGCTTCGCACCCAGCTGCCAAGTCAGCGCCGGCGTTGCTGCCCAGATGCAGCTGCGGTGCCGCACCCGGCTGTCGGTGTGCGGCTGCGGGCTGCTCGGCCGCCCGGCCCACGCGAGACAGTGGCTGGGCCGGCGCGGCGGGCCATCGGCGCATGGCTTCGACGCACGGCTGCGCTTCTGCACGCCTGCACCTCGCTGCACGCGCATGCAGCCGCGAGTCTCGGGCGGACATCCAGCGTGCAGCAGCCCAACGTCGGAGGCTGCCGCCGTCTGCGGGCGCCGCTCTGTTGGCTGCGCCTGTCCACGCTGCATCCAGCGACGGCACGCCGGCACCGCGCCCGGCCGGCCCTGGCGTGGGCCTGAGGCCTGTGTCAAGGCGACAGCGGATCGCCGGCGTCGCCGGTGCCGCTGCGGTGCCGCACCCGAAGCGCACGGCCACGCACGCACCAGCGCAGTATGCACCTGGCAGCAAGCCGACGCCGCGCAGGTGCGGTGGCTGAGGCCATCTCGCGGCGGTACGCCTTCGCAGCCGCGCCGGCGCCCGGGCGTGGATCGGTGCGTGGACCTGCCGCATGCGGACGCGCATCGCGCCGACCATCGCATCTCAGCGCTCAGCCCACCGCGCGGAGGCGTCGACCACCGCACTGCCTGCGCCGAATACAGCATCGCCTGGCCTGGGCTTCAACCTGCTTCTCTCCGCCCTGGCTGAATATAGAATACAGCCTCGACTCGGAGGCGGAGGCGCGCCGCTGGATCCCCAAGCGTCGTTGCCGCAGTCGCCGCCGCCCGCCGCCGCCCGCCGCCGCGGCCGTGCCGAGCCGAAGCCTCCGCCCTCGCACATCTACGCCCTCTGCACTGCATGCTGGTTTCCGCGCTCGGGCTGCCGGCTTTGTCACTCTGCGACTAGCGTGATGGGCCCTCGTGGGAACCTCTACGGCCGCAGCAAGCCGATGCCGGCGCCTCCGAGAGGCAGGACCAACACTTCTGCGCATCGCCAGACCTCTGTACGCTTGCCAGCAGCCAGCGGCGCTCCGCCAGCTCGCTCTGCAGGATTGGAACGTGGGACTTGCTCGTGCATGGCACTTCCCAGGGATGAGTCTAGCTTCGACGGAGTATTGAGCCGCTGCGAGTGCCGTTGCCCCACGCCCACGACACCGAGATCGGCGCGAGCACGAGCGTGCCGCGCGCGCTCGGACATTTCCCTTGGCGCGTCGAGTCGTGCATCGGCAGACAGGCTGCGAGTCGCTATCGCCGGCCTTGGTCTGTGCACACATCGACGTCTGTCATTCTGTGCGCTTTTGGTGTGCGTGCCTTCGTTCCCACTAGGGCCAGTCGTTTGGAGCAGGCGAGGCCACGCCAGCGTCAGCATGTTGCGAGACGATGCCAGCGCGTCACGCATGCGGCACGTCCAGACGCCGCGCGGCGGGCGTGGGACCAGGCCTCCGAGGGCGCCGCAGCCATGCTCCGCTGCTCCATCCCCGCTGTCCGCACTCTCCACGATCCCCATCCAGCGCACCAAGACGACTGCGTCTTTCTTTTTGCGTCAATATTACGCCCGACAGCAAGCGAGTCGGCTGAGTGTGTCACCCGAGGCCCAGCCTCCGCGGACGGGATAGTGGGAGCCACGCTGTCCTGGATGGGTGGCTGCTGGCAAGTCTGCTTGCGGCACGGCTGCATCGGCGAGGCCGGCCACATGGCTGATCTCGGCCGACGCAGTTTACCCATCCCACGCTGCAGCCTTACCAAATGCCAGATAGGCGCCTGTCGTCGAGCGCAGCAAGAGCTGCGGGTGACATGAGCGTGGTGCACGCCGATGGTGCTGGGCCTGGCGGGCGGGCGCCACGCATCCACCATGCCGTTCTGTGAGACGCACGGGTATACCTGCCTTGCTCGAGAACAGCGCCTGAACAGGTCTCTCTGTCGCTGCGGCTGTGGGACAGCACCAGCCGAGCTCGACAGGCCGACGGGCCGAAGGTAAGATGTCTCGCGCATGCGGCGCGCCCGCGGATGCCGGACGGAGGCGGAGTGCGCGGCGGGGCGTCAAACAGAGGCGTGAGGCGCATCGCCGCGCCGCGACGCCGCAGACGGACGATCCTCGAGCCGGAGCCTGTTTCGGCTGCGGCGTGCGGCTGCGGCTGCACCTTCAGCAGCATGCTTTGCCGCAGAGTCGGCAGCAGAGCAGCCCGCACCGAGCATGCGCCGCCAGCCGGGCATCAGGCGATGCCGCAGCCGGTGCATGCTCCAGCCGCAGGGCCGCCAGAGCACGTGCGGTGCCCGCTCGGAGGGCCAGCCACGGAGCGCGGGACGCTGCTGCCACGTCTCTCCCACGCATGAGGGGCAGCACGGCTGCCAAGACCCTGAGGCGCTGGTACCGGGAGAGCAAGCCATGGCAGCCACGTGCCAGCAATGCGGTGCCACCCTCTGAGCCTTGCGCCTCCCGCTGCGACTCACGGCAAAGCGTGGCCTCGTCCCCAGGGGGCAGATGAAACAAGGACCCGCACGGGACGTCCCGCTTCCTCCGCTCTGCACTCTTCTCTTCTCTCTCGCACGAGCGGCACTGGAATCCCACAGCAGCAAGATTGCCGATTGAGCGCCTCAATGAGTCTTCCTGTCACCTAGGCACCAAGTGCAGCGCACAGCATCTCCTCGGTCGCGCGGCGCACGGCCGGCGGAGTGTTGAGGCTCGACATGACATACACGACGTTGCCGAGCGGGCGTGCGTGAATGTTGAAGCGCAGCTCGGAGCTCTCGGCATGCACGGCATGGCGTAGCTGCTGCAGTAGCTCGACGCTCGCTGTCGAGGTGTAGCCTGAGAGATGCGTGAGAGCGGTGAGCAACGGCGAGCTAGCGAGAGAGAGAGACTCACCACCGCCATTGCTGTCCCGCAGGTTGACGACGAGCACCGTGCCCATGGCCATCGCGCTAGCAATAGCGTCGCTGCGACTCAAGCGCTCGACGACGCTCTGCTGCCAGAACGACCAAGGAGCGATCTTGCCCTTCGCCTCTTCACCAGCCGCAGCCTGCGGTGCGTTCCAGTCCTGACGCGCCGCACTCCAAGTCTCATCGGTCTTGTCGAGCCGTGAGATGCGACGCAACGCCTCAGCTGCCACTTCGCAGCCGACGGGATGGGCAGTGTAGCTGTGCCCGTGCAGCAGGGCGTCTACTTTCTGCTCAGAGCGCGCAAAGGTGTCGAAGATGGAGCGAGAGGCTAGCGTCAGGGCCATGGGCACGAGTCCGCCGGTGAGAATCTTGGCGAGGACAGAGATGTCGGGCGTCGTGCCGATGACCCGTGCGGGGGCTGACTGGCCAAGACGCCACAGTCCTGTGAAAACCCTGTGGAGAGAGAGCGAAGTCAGCGGCGCCATCAGCACCCGCTGCTGGTTCACTCACTCATCGTAGATGACAGGCAGTCCACGCCAGTCCGACGGGTCTCTCGTGCCCGTGCGCGGCTGCACACGACGCTGGTCGCGCAGCGGTGGGTCGACCAGACTGAAGAGGTCCTCCGACTCGCGGACGGTGTCGACCAGCACGCGCTGGAAGAGTGGGTCGACAAAGACCATGCCTCCTGCTCCGAGGATGAGCGGCTCGATGACCAGGGCGCCGAAGCGACGACCTTGCGTGACGGTCAGGTGCTCGAGCCACAGCCGGATCTGCGCGGCGTACGACTCCGCGAGAGGGTCGCTGGCAAGTCGGGTCTCGACGTCGTAGATGTCGGCAATCGAGGCGTACTGCCGCGTCTCTCCGTCCGGCTGCGTCACGAGCGCTCTTCCATCGTGCACGCCGACGGACGGTGGGTCCAGCCAGGCGCCTCGACCCTGGTACCAGTGCACAGCCGCGCTGTACGTGCTCGGCTCGCACGCGTCCATCGTGCCGATCGTGTCGCCGTGGTACGAGCCCTTCAGGCCAATGACCTCCCAGGTGCGCTCGGCACGGCCGCCAGCGCCACCTGCCTCTTTGCCGCGTGCAATGCGCTGCTGCACCGCCGACGGAGCGCGAGGGCCAGCATAGTGCAGCGCAGCCGAGGCAATGGCCATCTTCAGCGCCACCTCCATGCCCGTACTGCCGTCATCGGAGAAGAAGACTCGGCTGGCCCATCCGTGGCCTGGGCCATGCGATGCAGGCAGAATTGGTGCTAGGTCGCTGCCCTTCTCGCCGCGAGAGATGCCCAGCACTGCCTCGGTGAGGCGCAGCACCGGTGCATTCGTGCTCATGGGGAAGAGCACATGGCCGTAGCGCGCCGCGGCGCGTGCAGCTGCACGGGTGACGCCTGGATCGGAGTGGCCGAGACATTGTGTCCACCATGAGGCAGAGCCATCGAGCACGGGTTGCAGTGCAGAAGCAGGCGTTGGCGTCGCTTGTCCTTGCGATGAGGATGCGGCGGTGAAGACGGAGAAGAAGTCGCCTGAGGCCGAGTCGATCACGTTGACGTCTTGCGGCGTCTTGGCCAGGGTACTATGCGCCAAGATCAGCCTGCGTAGCGCGAGAATGCTATCATCGAAAGTGACTCACTGTTGTGTGAAAGGCCACCAGCAGTGATCCAGCGTCCGTTGGCCCATGCCGGCGAGCTCGGCCATCTTCTGCTCATGCTCTCTCCTCAGCAGCTTGATGACCTCTCCAGCCTCGCTCCCGCCTGCCAGACCCTCGTAGAAGGCCTCCATCTCCTGCTCGTCGCCTTCACGCTTCGGCGGTGGTGGGCCCAGGCTGCCAGTGGCATCCGGGCCCGCCACGGAGAAGACAGGCACGCCGTGCTCCTCGCCCCAGCGTTTGAGGTACTCTGCGTTGCCCCAGCGCATCGGCGCGTTGAGCCGATCGGCAAAGAGCAATATGGCGCGCACGTCATGGCCCGCCAGCAGCAGCGAGTCGTACGCAGAGAGCGTGGTGCTGATGCCGCCGAGGTTGGAATCGCCAATGAGCAGCGTCGGCAGGCGCAGTGGCCGCAACGCGTGTGCCGTCGAGCCGCCGGCGGGCGTAGGCGAGTGCACTCCGCCAGCTGTCTCGACGTACAGTGCAGAATGTTGCTGTGCGCTCGATGATGCCTCGGCGCTCGAGGTCGAGGCGACAGAGCCAATGTGCTCTGCGATCTGCGCGACCAGCTCGGCATCGCTCGGCACTGCCTGCGAGCCCTGCGTGGCTGCGAGGTGCGGCGAGGCAGCGAGCGCCCACTGATGCAGTGTAGCTGCCCGAGTCTGCGGAGCATAGCGGGCCAGATGGCTGGGGAGCATCGGGTCAGCTCTGATGCGGCCGACCGACCTTGCGGGCGGTGCGGACACGAGACCGCATCACTGGCTCGGCGGGAACGCAGGCATGGGCCACAGCCGCCAGCCGTCCGTGCCCATATGCAGCACAGTCTCTCGCCGCGCCCGATACTCACCGCTCATCCGCCTCTGCGCCCGGCCCCGTGCTGACAGGCTTGAGGTAGTAGGGCTGCTCGCCGGCACGCACACTGGCGCGGCACAGCGCCGTGGCGAGCACCGTCTTGCCGACGTCGGTGTTGGCGCCGAAGAGCTGCGCGAGACGCAGGTGCGCATACAGCCGCGGCGCAGCGGGCGGCGGCATCGTCGGGCGCAGGAATGGGTCGCGGCGGCGGTCTGGTGCTGAGTGGTGCGGAGGAAGGAAGAGGCGGGCGGCGCACGGCCATCATCATCCTTGGGCGGCCGGGCCGGGCGGAGCGGCCGACTTGCCGCGGGAGTTCTGCCGCGGCAAGGCCGAGCGAGCGTGGGAGCAGCTGCGGCTAGCGAGCACCCTCCTCCTCCGTCTGCTACTTTCGCATCGCTTCTCTGACGCATCGGCGAGTGCGCTGCAAGACGATAACCGCTGAAGTAGCAGAACTGTCTTAAGTCTGACAGTCTCCTGGCACATCTCATGAGTCCTGTGCACACGGGCGCAGCTCGGCAGCATGCATAGATTACCGAAGAGCAGGGGAGAGCGCGGTCGCAAAGCATCCTGCGCGCGCGTGACAGAGGCAGGGTCGGGCTGCGAACGCATCGGGCTACGGCGCCTTCTCTGGCGGACGCGCAGCAATCTCACGCACGAACGCCCCGATACTGCCGGGCAGGTCCGAGCTGAAGGTGCGTCGGTGCCGGTCGCGCCGCTCGCGTGCCGTCTGCGTGCCGGCGCCAAAGAGCGGCGCCGGCGGCGGGGTGCCGCTGGCCAGCGCCGAGGCGAGCGAGCGGCTGGGCGTCAGCATCGACGCGGCCGGCGGGCCTTGCACGCTGCGGCGGCGCAGTGCTTCCCCGCTGCGCGCCACGGCCGCCACGCCGCGCGGCTTGGGTGCGCCAGGCGTGCCGGGCGAGTGCAGCGAGAGCGTGGAGAGCGGAGGCAGGCCGTCCGAGTGCGAGCGCAGCAGGGAGACGCTGCTGGCCGACTGCGAGCGCAGCAGGCCTGAGTCGGCCGTAGCGCTGCCAGGTCTGCTCGAGGTGCGGGGCGTCAGAGCGGCAGCGCCGTCCTCGTCGTCGTCCGCTGCGCCCGCTGCCGTCGTGTCGGCGCGTGGCATGGGCGTGTCGGCGTCCGATGCACTGCTTTGAGGAGCGAGCAAGGACGTCGGGCCAGCAGTGGACGGCGAAGAGGCGCCGTTCGCCTGCGCCAGGTTGATCGACAAAGCTTCTGGCGGGACCTTGCGTGCCGATGCAGGTGGCTGGAACGGGGAAGAAGGCGCGGCCGGCAGAGCGGCGCCTTGCGCAGGCAGCGCTTTGCCGCCGAGCAGCAGTGTCGGCGGCAGCTTCTTCTTTCGCCGTCCGCCGAGTCCTCCGGCGCCGCCCTGTCCGAGCTCGTCCTGCTGCTCCTCGCGCTCGCGCTTCTCCTTTGCCGCCGAGCGCGCAGCCTCGAGGCGTTCGTGCTTGCGGCGCTGCTCCTCCTGCTCCTCCTTCTCTTCCTCCACCTGCCGCATGCGCGTCCACTCTTGCTCGTCCATGGCATCGCCGGCCCAGCCAGCGGCCGCCGGTGCGTTGGACCCATGCGCAAGGCCCGATGCGGCAGCAGCCACGTCGCTGTGCTGCGCGCCGCCGGCACCGATGGCGAGGAAGGCTTCGCGCAGACGCGTGACCTCCGCGGACAAATGCCGCTCCCACTCGACGAGCTGGTAGATCAGCGAGCAGTTCGGAGAGATGCTGGCCGACAGGCTGAGATGGCACGAGTCAGCGCCGCTCATGGTCCTGCACAGCATGAGAACTCACTCCTTGACCAGCGTGTAGCAGTCGTGCATGCCTGTCAGGCCCGCACTGCCCTCGAGCGGATAGCCGAGCGCCGCAGCCTGCATGACAAAGGCAATGACGAGCGTGGCGCTGCGGCTCACGCCGCACTGGCAGTGCACAAGCACCTTGCCCGGCCGCCGCTCGCGCGACGTGCCCTCGTCTTGCGCGCGCGGCGCAAACGGCCCGACGCACAGCGTCTCGGCGATCAGCGCAGAGCCGACCTCGAAGCCGCCGCCAGGCTGCGCCAGGTCCGTCTCGTCGTGCGTCCAGGGCAGCTTGACGTAGCGCAACTGCTGCATCCGCCCGCTGAGCGGAGACGCCGGTATGCTCAAAGCCAGCGCGCCGGGCGGGAGCACCACGTTGGTCGTCTCCGGCTCTTCTGTTCCGTTTAGCACTGGCGAAGCCACCTCGACGCTGGGCGTCGGCGGCGTGGTGCGTCCCGTCCCGCTCGTGTCGGCTGCGCTTGACTCGGCAGAGGAGGAGCGTACGGTGCTGTCCTCCTCTTCCTCCGACGTGCCCTCCTCGGGCACGCCATGCTGCAAGACGCCCGTCCTGTCGCGCGGCGTGCCGAGCTTCAGCGGCGAGAGGTCCTTTGTGCTGGCGCCAGGTCCGCCGGAGCGTGGCGAGCGGCCCTTGAAGGCCAGCTGCAGGTTCGGCGTCGACGTCGTCGGGCGCAGATACAGCGACGGCGGCGTGAGCGGCTGCGATGTGGCTGCTGAGCCAGACGCTCCCGAGCTTGGGCCCGCGCCCGGTTGCGCGAGGGCGGGCGTGCCTGGCATGAACATGCTCGTCATGGGAGTGTGGTAGATGGACGGCGTAGAGGGCGATCTGGTCTCTCTAGTCACCGGCGGCGCTAGCCTGGCGGCGCTGCGGCGCGAGGCCGCCAGCGTCGTCAAAGGGCTGTTGCGCTCCTCGCGCTGGAACGGGAGCTCCGTCTCCTTTGCGACGTTGAGGATCGTCGTGATGCCCAGATCGCTGAGCGTCTCGGCGTCGCAGGCGTTGTGCTCGTCGCCCAGATACAGGCCGGGCAGCACCTCGACTGGGCCGGCGGCGTACACTGATCGCGCGTGCTGCAGCGTGGAGCCTTTGCCGGACAAGATGTGCTCTGATGGATCTTGCCAGATCGAAGGCGGACGCGTGCTCGAAGATGGGCCGCCCAAAGAGGGCTGCGAGGTCTGCATCGGAGCCAGCGAGAGTGTTGGAGGCGCGCTGCGAGAAAGAGTCAGCAGCTGCCGGCCAGACCAGGCGTCTCCTCTCGCAGCGTAGCAGCCTCAGCAGCCACAGCTCCTGCGAGCATCTGGCTGAGGTTTACTGCGAGCATCACAGATGCCGCAGAGCCAGCAAGCTGATGGTCCGTCTCAATGCCAGACGCAGGGTGTTACGCGCTGCGGCGCCTCTCAAAGTTTGGGATCTCGAAGATGTCCTTGACATCAAACATGTGCTGCCAGAAGCACGCGGCGCTCTAGGGCCACTTTGACGCAAGCCCGACCTCCCTCACGAATCACCGGCCCACGCTCGACTCACCGACGCGCAAAGGGCATGCTCGGCCGCCGCCTCGGCGTGCCGCGCAGCGTATCCCGCAGGCTCTCGGCGGGGATGGGCACGAGCGACGTGCTGGCCTGCGAGCTGGCATCGCCGCTACGCGCTGCGGCTGCGCTGGCCGCCGAGCCAGCGGCCAGCGGCAGTGCCGGGCTGTTGGGCGCACTGCGCGCCGCTGCCGCCGCGGCGGCGGCCGAGGGCGTGGGCTGGAGCGTGAGGTGCGTGGGCCGCTTGCGCCGGATGCCGAGCGGCGGCGGATGTGTCTGCGACGGCGCAGGCGCCGCAGGTGCGACGCCGGCCGAGGGCCCTGGCGGCGACGGTGCAGACATCAGCGGCGCCGTCGACTCGCGCGCCGCTGCGGGGAAGAGGCGGGGCGCGCCCGGACCGGCGGATACGGTGACAAAGGGCGGCAGGGCGTGGAACGCAGCAAGGCGGATGCGCGAAGCTCGGCGCTCACGGCGCGTGGAGAGATGCGCTGGGCGAGGTAAGGCAGAGGTGTGCGCGATGGGGCGGTGGATGCGGGTAGGAGGAGGCAGGCACAAGCGCGAGGCGAGGAGCAGGAGGCGCACGCGCATCACGCGGCGCCCGCACACAGCCGGCCGGCGTGCTTGAGCTGTGCTCATCTGCCCCTGCTGGCGTGCCTGGCGTGCGCGGCTCTCTTCTTGTGCGCGCGGCGTTGCGGCGTCGCCGCCGCGCATCTCATGGCGCACGCCGCCAGAAGGGCAGCCGCGGCGTGCGGTGGTGCCGCTGCGCCGCCGCGCTGCGCCCGCCAGCCGCCGCCTTGCGGCCGCATCGCGCATGGCGGCGTGGGAACACCCGCCTTCATCCGGAGCCCGCTGCTGCGGCGCCGCTGCCGAGAGAGGGGCAGCTCGTCCTACGCGCTCCGCCGTCCAGGAGGCAGCGTTGCTCTGCTCATCTCCACACACATCCTGTCGCCAACCTTGCTCCTGCGCGTCGAGATAAGGCGCGTCGTTGCGCGAGCATTTGCCTCGCTGCGGCCTGGGACAGACCTGTGAGCGTCGGCGCCCCGCACCAGGCAGAGGCAGAGACGCAAGCGGCCCTGCGCGCGGCAAGGCGTGGCGAGCTCTAGCGGCAGGTGCGCAAGGGGCAGACTGGACTCAACTGCAACGTCGCATGCAGCACGGCGCTCAGCTGTCGCCGACGCTGCGTCCTGCCGAGACATCAGCCCACCCGTCCTCGCTCACCGTCGCGCGAATGCGACGCGCAGAGGGCCGTCCAACAGCCTCATAAGCGCTCGTGCCGCTGCGATGCGGCCCGGCTCGCACATCCAACATGGCCTCTCGTCTTATCAGCGTCGATGCAAGCAGCAAAACCCTCCACATCGCCCTGCCAACCTCCAGCCATGCCCTCGCCACAGCGCTCGAACTCGAGCCGATCTTTCCTGCGCTCGTGTTCCAGGAGGCGCCGATTGTGCCGACTACGACAGCAAGTATCGCTGCATACCGAGCGCGGCGTGCGCAGAACAGCGTGACGAAGCAGAAGATCAGCGTGGATCTTCTGGGTCGAGTCCACTCCCTTTCTCATCCGCGCTGGGAGATCGTCCGTACCTGCGTCGTCGACGAAGCGTCTTCAAGCTCGGAGCATCTCGGCTCGCTTCCCGCCGGCGCACTCGCGCGTCGCGTGGACGCAAGCCTTGCCCGAGCGCTCGATGGCTGTCTAGCAGCCGCCGCAAGCACCCCTCGCACGCTCTCTCTCTCTTCCGAAGCCATGTACTCCCATCTCGATCTGGAGATTTCCCCCGCAGGACTGCGGCAGTTCTCCATGGCGCTGTCAGACTCCTTCGCCGGGAAGAAGGAAGGCGTCGAGCGGCTTGCCTGCTGGGACGCCACTCGTGCTCGCAGTGCATTGTCGCTTCACGCGCCTGCACCGGTGCTCGCAGATGGCAACGCCGGTGATCACATCTTCAGAAGCGAGGATGAACTCCAGCCGATGCTCAACGTCGGCCTCTTTGCCGCGTCGAATCTGCTCCTCTCCGTCGCGCGCCATGATGGCGGTACTCTGCTGTGGGTGCGCGAGAGAGACATCCTCAACATCCTCCCGCCCGTCAAGACATGTCTCGAGGACGGCAGCGAGCCCGACTGGTACCTTCTGCAGCGACGCGGCGAAGAGTGGAAGGTCGCACTCGTTCTGGAGCTCAAGCCGTTCGTCACGCGCGAGTTCCTGTCGGATGCCTTCATCGACGAAGAGGGCAAAGGCGGGGCGGCGGACCACCAGCACCTTTGTGCGCAGCTGTTCGACCACCTCTGCGGCACTGGGGCGCCGGCGGCCATCGTCATGACCGGAGAGGAAGTCGTCTTCTTCGAGGTGGACCCGCGTGGCGCCACCGCAGCGTCACCGTTCGACTTTACGCTTTCCGCACACCAGACGCTCTTCGCCCACTCCGCAAGCCCCGAGCATGACGCGGACCGCTTCTCGGTGGTGCGCAACCGCAATCAGGTGGCAGTCGTGACGGGGCTGGCGCTGCTCGCCGCCGAAGCCGCACCCACACGTCGTCGCGAGCCCTTCTTTCTGCAAGCCGAGCTGCAGCGCCTCATCGCCCTCGCTGCGGCTACAGCTGCCGCACCCGGCGGCCTTCGCCGAGGGCCAGGTCCTGCGACCGGTCCTGCGATCGGTCCGGCGCCTGGTCCAGGCGGCACAGGCGAGGGCTCCGGGGCCACGCCTGGTGCATCGAACACAGCGCCGCCGTCGCACAGTGGCCAGACGCAGGGTCTTGCCACCACTGGCCCGCCTCGCGACGCCGCCTTGTGTCTGAAACACCGCTTCGACCCATTTGCACAAGGTGGCTCGGCGCTCGCATACCGCGGCTGCATCGGTCACGCTCCGGCCAGCGACACACACTTCTGCATTGACCTGTCGTATCGCGAGGCGCCCTGCTGGCCAGACCTCTCCCCGTCAATATGCGCAACGGGCCACACGCCTGTCGTGGTCAAGATAGCGCTCGGCCCAGGCCAAATGGCCAAGGACAAATTAGCATGGCTCGACGAGCTTTCCGAGCAGCCCAGTCCCGCCCAACGCCTCGAGCGCGAAGCAGCCACATACGAGGAGCTGCAGCCTCTACAGGGCAACGTTCTGCCCAGGTTCTACGGCATCGCGCCCGGCCAGCGTCGAGGCTACGTGTACCAGGACGTCGGCATCGCGCTGAGCGAGATCCTCACCAAAGTCCTCGAGGACGGAGCCCATGTGCCGAGGCTCTACCACACGATCAAGCAGCACATCAAGGCGTTGCACGCAGCCGGCTACAGCCACGGCGACATTGCTGACCGCAACGTCTGCGTCACGGCGGTCGAGAGCACCCTGTGCGTGCGGCTCATCGACCTGGGCAGTGCCCAGAAGCTCGAAGCCGTCAGCAGCAGCGAGCGCAAGGAGCTCGAGGAGGGCGACTTCCAGAACCTGCGTGAGATCTTCAGCCTGCGCGGGTCGGACCCGGAGCCACCGCTCCAAAGCGACGACTCGACTGAGGCGCTCTGAGCTCAGTCTTCGAGCCACATTCTCTGACTGTTTACAGACAGCACTTGTACTCTATACACCGCATGTGATACCTCCTTGTGCCAGCGTGCGTCTGTCAATCGCGGTGGCGCGAGATCGAGAGCTTGAGGCGAGGGCTCGACACCCTCTGCAGCTGCTCCCACGGTCTCTCTCGAGTCGACCTCCACGCGCGCCTTTCTGTTGGCGCGTTTGCCCACCGCGCACCCTTCCTCTCGACCCTCACAGCCTTCGCACGCCGCGCCCCATGCCCCGCTTCTAGGCGCTGCCAGCATGGCGTCCAGCAGCCGCAACGCCGCCGCAGGCAGCAGCGCGCCCAGCGGCAGCAGCTCCAGCGGCCAGCTGCCCGCCGGCCAGCGCGCACAGGCCACTGCGCTGCACTCAGCAGCGGCATCCGCCGTGGCCGCAGCCGCTGCAGCCCAGCAGCCGCACGCCACATCCTTGCTCGGAGTGCCAGGGCTGGGCAGTGCGGCTTCTCATGCTTCAGCGCCCGCCCCTGTGCCCGGCCTCGAGCTGCCGCCTCTCGGCGCCGTGGCCACGAGCACGCCGACGCCGTACCGCGGCGCGCGCACGCCCTTTCCGCTGCCGCTGGGCGCAGACCATCTGGGCGCAAAGGAGAGCTTGGGACAGAGAACGCACCGGGATGAAGAGCGTCGCTGCTGTGAGTGGTGCCAGACTTGCACCCAATGTCAGGCAGCTCGCCCAGCTCTGCTGGTAGCGTGCTAGCAGCAATGCTGCAAGCGCATCGCCGCCAGCCGAGCTACGTACTGATCTGTCCCCTGCCGCAGTCTATCTGCTGCTGTCTCCGGACCTGCACATCGTGCATGCAGATCCCGCGCTGCCGGCGCGCGTCGCGGCAGGTCTGCCCTCGCTGCCATTTGCGCAGCTCGTGCACCCTCGCGAGCGACGGCGGGTGGGCGAGGAGATGCGAACCATCGTCGGTGCGAAGAACACGTTCGGGAGCGTCACGCGGTGCGTTTGATGGCTCGCTGCAGCTGTAGCAGGCCAGGATGGCTGAGCGTCGGGCAATCTCTCGACTGACACTTCTCGCAGATGCCGTTTCCGTTCGCAGTCCGCCCTGCGCAGCCTCGTGTCACAGCACGGCGCCAGCTCTGCGTCCACTCGCGAGTCGCCAGAGGAAGACTCGAGCGCGGCGTGGCTGCCTGTCGACATCGTCGTGAACTACATCGGCGAGGAGTTGGCTCTGGCGTTCTGCCACGCCGTCGTCGGTGCGTCGTCCGGGCTGTGCATGAAGCGTCCAGAGCTCACGATGCTTCACAGACCGCAGTGTGGAGGACAACGACGAGGAGCACAAGACGTCGTGGAGCAACTGGTGTGGCTCTTCAGATAGCGTCTGGGACGATGAGGTGAGTTGTGCCAGACTGAGAGTCGCATGTGCAACATAGACTCACGTCCGTCTGCTGCAGCAATGCGAGAGAGCTTGGACGAACGTCCTGCGAGCTCAGCCGGCGCACAGCCAGGCGCCGCAGTCCGGCACGAGCATTCTCAGCGGCGCATCATACGTCTTCCAGATTCTCTCCGCCGGCCTCCGTCCGAAGATCCTGCTCAGCTGGCCGCCGCCTCGGCTGTACCCATCGTCCGAGTATCCAGCAGCGACGGCGCCGTACACAGATGGATCCTACTTCGCGTCTGACTTTGCTGCTCTGGCACAAGGAGTATCAGCGTCGTCGCGAGGCGCATCCGACGCCAACACGTCGTGCACGCGTCGCTTCCGCGCCCGACACACGCTCACGAGCGAGGCGAGACTGCGCACCATCGAGAGCGTGCTCATCCCCTACGGCGACGTCGTGCTGGCGTGCTTCAGCACCACGTTCGACCAGCCGCTGGCGGGCGCTCTGCCGCCGGGCCCGGAAAGCGTGCCTCTGCAGCCGCCGCCGCCCAAGCTGCCTACTCCGCCGCCAAGCATCAAGACCGCGACAGCAGCGATAGCACCGTCTGCAGCCAGTGCATCGGACAGCAAGGATGCACCACCGCCTGCCAAGAAGCGCAAGGCTCGCCGCAGCAAGGCGGATACAGATGCCCCGCCGCAGCTGCGTGCCCCTCGCCCGAACACTGGCGGTCCGAACGCGGTGCAGCATCGCGAGCCGCTGCCGCGAGCTATGCCAAAGTGGATGCCTCCGGAGGCCATTGCTGCCCTGAGCGGGCCCATCGCTGCAGCAGATGTGGCCTCTGCATCGTCGTCGAGCTCTCGCGACGCGCTTGCCTCGCTCGCAGCTGCTGCGACGCAGAGTACGACGGCGAGCGGCGAGGTCGAGGCGCAGACCGAGGGTGCAGAGCGCACCGAGGACAAGGCGTGCTCGAGCTGCGGCACAGGCAACAGCCCAGAGTGGCGCAAGGGCCCGACGGGAGAGAAGACGGTGCGTTGCTCGACGCAGTCCGAGAGGCACCTCTGCTGACGATGCCCACCACAGCTCTGCAATGCGTGCGGACTGCGCTACGCCCGCTCCATCGCCCGCAAACGCAAGAAGGAGGAGAGCACGAAGCGAGTCGCAGACGGCACGGCCGAGCAGGGCCCTTCCGCGTCCTCGTCAGGCGCTGCCGCGTCGACTTCGTCTAGCAACAAGAAGCAGAAGGGCAAGGCCCGTAAGCAGGCTTCGCCAGTGCCGCAAGCTCCACCTCAGACCGGCGCTCACGCTACTGCTGCTACCGAGACATCTGCCTCTGCCTCCGACGCAACCCCCACTTCACTCGCACCAGCAGCCGGCGGGATGGAGGTGCTCATGCCTCCGCCGCCCTCTTTCACACCCGTGCCATCACAGCAGTCAGTCGGCAGCCTGCCGCTCGTGTTTACGCCTTCCGGTGCCGTCGCAGACGCCGAGGCGACGACGGCAGCCTCCTATGACTACGCCAATTCCTCCGCCTTTGCTCTCGCGCAAGCCGCCGCCGTGGCCGCCGCAGCCGCCGGCCTCGAGCCTTCGTCCGAAGCGGCCGAGTCCGGGCGTCTCTTTGCACTGGCGGCGCAGCACGACGCTGCGCCGCGCCACGCCGCGCTGGGCGCGTACGGCGACCGGCCGCCGCATGCTGCCATGCAGCAGGCCCTCTCGAGCTCGACGGCGGACGCCGGCTCGAGCACTGTGGCGCCTGCTGCCATGTGAAGCCAACTTCCCTCATTGCTGCCCCAGAACAGAGCATCCTGATCCCTCGCAGCCCGCCTCTGCGCGCGCACCAGCCTCTGTCCCTCCTGTTCCCTTCGTCACCGCCGCCCGCGCCATGCTCGGCACTCCTGTATCGTACGCAGCCCACTCTGCCGCTCTTGCCCCTCCTCAATGCTTACTCGGGTCTCTCCTGATGCCCGCTTGCAGTTCGCTGTGGTGCTCTCACGGTTGCTGCATCATGCTGCAAGCAACTGCAGCGGCGTGCATGCAGCACCGCGCAGCGCAGGCGCGACCGGCACTCTGACTCGGGCGCGGCGCGCGAGGTGTTGTTCTCCACCTGCGGCGCGTGTTGGTTGACGGATCTACGCGCGCCGCGCCCGCACGGCGCTGCTAAAGCCGCGCCACGAAGCCCATCCCTCGCGCCTCGTCATCCTCAGCCTGCTCCACCACGCCCACACCTGCAGTCCATCTCGCGCCTCCTGCAGCGCTGCATCCCGCATCCCGCCTCAGGCAGCCCCGCACTCAGCCTCGCCCTCGCCCCTGCCAAGCTGCATCTGTGGCAGGCGGAGCTTTGCCCGCACCCGCGTCATGTTCCGCGCCGGCCTCTCTCCCTCCCGCTCCACTGGCTCCTCGTCGTCCTCGGCCCTCTCACACCTCCGCCAGGCGGCCGCAAGTCCCTCCCGCTCCACTGGCTCCTCGTCGTCCTCGGCTCTCTCACACCTCCGCCAGGCGGCCGCAAGTCCCTCCACGCCGCCTCACTCGCCCAAGTCGACGCCCGCAAGCACAAGCCTCTCCACGCCGCCGCACACGCCGCGCCGCATCCGCACCGCGTCGCAGAGTGCCAGCTCGTCCCTCGCACACGCGGCCTCGCCCGCCAGCTCGCCCATCACGGCCAAGAAACGCAGTCCGGCAAAGGCCGGCGCTGCGCTGTCGGCCGCGGCCCGCGCCGCTGCCGGCAGCAGCAGTGGCAGCGGCAGCGCCGGCGGCAGCAGCAGCAGCGGCAGTGCGGCACGCAGCTCGGATCCCTTCGACGACAGCAGCCTGGCGCCCGGCAGCGACTCGCTCGATGAGCTCTCCGTGCCTCGCATGGCCATCGTAGATGAGCTCGACGATGCAGCGCCGGCGAAGCAGAATGTCGTCGTGTGCGTGCGCGTGCGGCCGCCGGCAAGCAAGAGCGAGGCGGAGCAGCTCTGGGCCTTGAACACTGCCGAGCACCGGCTCACGCCGACGGAGCAGCACCCGTCGCTTGCCAAGCGTGTTGGCTCCTCTGCGCCTCAGCCCGGTGGCATCGGCGCTTCTGCGTCCTCGTGCGATCTGGAAGGCTCAGCGGCGGCGTACGACTTCCGCTTCGACTCGCTCGTGGGCCCAGACGACTCCACAGACGGCATGTATGCGGCGCACATCAGCCCGCTGGTGCGCGCAGCCGTGCAGGGCTACAACGGCACCGTCTTCGCCTACGGCCAGACGGGCAGCGGCAAGACGCACACCATGAGCGGCAGTGCGACGGAGAAGGGCGTCATCGACAGAGCCGTGGAGGAAGTGTGGACGGGTGTGCGGGAGGTGAGTGCTGCTGGATCATGTTCGTCGAGTGCGGGGGCTGACGAGGCGCAGGATCCTTCGCGCGAGTTCCTGCTGCGCGTCTCGTACCTCGAGATCTACAACGAGACGCTGCGCGACCTGTTGGCGCCACTGCCGGCATCGCAGGACGCGACAGACGTCGGCGGCCGGCCGGCGTCGCCGACGAAGGGCGGCAACACACCTTCGGCTGCACAGGGTGTGCTACGGATCATGGAGACGCCAGGCCGAGTGCAGGTCGTGGGCCTGCGCGAAGACATCGTGACATCGCCTTCAGGCGTGCTCGCCCTGCTCGCCGCCGGCCAGGCCCAGCGAGCACAGGCCGCGACAGACTGGAACGAGCGCAGCAGTCGCTCCCACTGCGTCTTCACCATCACCATCGAGAGCCGCGCGCGAGACTCGGAGGGCAAGGAGGTGCGCATCAGCCAGCTCAACCTCATTGACCTGGCTGGTAGCGAGCGAGCCGCGAGTGAGGCGGAGCGGCGCAAGGAGGGAGCATTCGTGAGTCTGAGCAGCGGACGCCGATGGTCTGACGAGCGCTGACACCCGCCACAGATCAACAAGTCTCTCCTCACCCTCGGCACTGTCATTGCCAAGCTCTCCGAGGCGCCAGCAGAAGGCGCAGCGGCGCAGCACATCCCCTATCGCGACTCGAAGCTCACACGTCTGCTGCAAAATTCGCTTGGCGGCAACGCACGGGTCGCCGTCGTGTGCACGATGAGCCCTGCTCGCGAGCACGCCGTCGAGAGCCTGAGCACGCTCAAGTTTGGACGCCGCTGCAAGATGGTCACGACGCGCGCACGCAGAGGCACAGTCGTCGATGACAAGGCGCTGCTGCAGCGCTACCGCCGCGAGCTCGACCGGCTCAGGGCGCGCCTGGAAGCTGCACCGACGCCAGTTGTCATGTCGGACGACGTCGACGACGACGGCGAGCGGCGGCTGCGCGAGCTCGAGGACCGCCGGCAAGAGGCGCAGCGCGAGGTCGATGCAGCCGAGCAGCAGCGCAGCGATCTGCGGGCGCAGGTGGAGCACCTCACGCGCCTGATTCTCACGAGTCAGAGCGTCGCAGAGGAGAGGGCAGAGCCCACTTCTATGCTCAGTGTGCCGCGCCGTGCTGCGCGCCTGAGCGACATCGGCCCCTCAAGCCCCGCTCGCCTCGGACTCCAGCCGGCGTCGCCGATCATCCCGGCCACGCGCCCATTCGCACTCGAGGCGGAGCTTGCGTCGCTGCGCAGAGAGCTTGCATCGGCGCTATCCGCTCGTCAGGCTGCCGAGGCTGCCCGCCGCCAGGAGGCGGAGCAGTGGTCCGGACGTGCCGCGGAGCTAGAGGCCGCGAACAAGGCGCTGGAAGACGACCTCGATGCCGCCGACACGTGGTGCAAGGACGCCAAGGAGCGCATCGCAGCTGCTGAAGCGCGCGAGCACGAGGCTCGCGAAGCCAATCGCCTACTGCAACTTGTCGCCAAGAGCAAGACTGGACGAGACGAAGCGCCGGAGAGCGCAGACGCCCGGCAAGTGCGAGAGACTTCCCAGCGCCTCGCTGTCGAGCAGGCACGTCGCGAGGTCGAGCAGGCAAAGGACGCCGAGCTTCGGCGCATCCGTGAGGAGCACGAGGCTATGGCAGCGCAGCTTGCCGCCCTCAACACCAGCCTTGCCGAGGAGCGCAAGAACGCCGAGCAAGCCCGCACTGAGCTCTCTGAGATCCAGCGCGAGAGCCTGCAGGAGAACGCCGAGCGCGACTTCGAGCAGCTCGTGCGCGAGTCCGAGCAGGACGTGCCTTCTGCAGCCGCCAAGGACGACGCTCAGCAGGTCGAGTTGCAACGGCGCCAAGCCGAGCTCGACGAGCGGGAGCGGAAGCTCGACGAAGAGGCTCGGCGGCTCGAGGAGCTGCGGAACGCGCCCCGGCCATTGCCAGTCCCCTCGCCTACCGGTCCATCGCGCACCGAGCTGCTGCAGCGCCTCAAGACGCTCGAGGAGGCCAATGCCGCGCTGACGCTCAAGAATGCCGAGCCGCTGCCGCCGCGCGCCACTCTTCCCATGTCGCCCAACTTTGTCGCCTCCAAGCCTGGTCCATCACATGATGGCGCCACGCTCGTGGCTTTGCAGATCGAGCTCGATCTGCAGCGCTCTCGCATCGCCAGTCTGGAGCGTCAGCTGGCGGAGGAGCGCGAGAAGGGCCGGCAGGTGGGCTCCGCCTTGTCCTCACCGCCAACACCGTCTGCATCTCCGGTTCGGCGCCAGACTGCGGCGCTCCTCGCGACCGACAAGCTGGCTCGCGGCGGTTCGGTGCGCGAGTACCGCAAGTATGCGCCGTCGGAGCCCGCTGGCTCGCTCCTCGGGCGCACGCGTATGTCTGCGGCAGGCGACCTGAACACCGGTCTCGGGCGAGGCGGAGCCGCAGTCGACGAGGCTATCCGTGCCGAGCGCGAGGAGATCACTCGCCTCAATGCGGTGATCACGAGTCAGCGCGCCATCATGGCCGAGCTGGAGAAGAGCGTGGCGGCGTGGAAGGAGCGGCTGCGCAAGCAGCAGGAGATCATCTCGCGCCTCGTCGAGGGCAGCAGCGCCACGGCCGATCTGTCCGCCTTGACGGCGGCAATGGCGCCCTCGCCTGCGCCGTCTCGCCTGCAGGAGGTCACGCTGAACAGCAGCGGACGCAAGCGTCTGTCCAGCGGGACCGCCTCCTCCTCCGCAGTCTCATCCTTCGGCACGGAGCCGCTGCGGCGCGCCGGCACGACTACCTCAGCCTTTGGCCGCGCCGGCGCAACGACGAGCTCCTCTTCGCCGTACTACGGCGCACACACCTTCAACCGTCCGCCGGCCGGGCTCGGCCTGACGCCGTCGTCGCCCACCAAGGCCGCCGGCGCCTACTGGAGCGGCCTGCCTGGCGGGCCCGGGCCCGAGCCGCTGCCCATGCCGGAGCGTCTCGCGGCCGAGGGCCGCACGGCACGCCGACGCCCGCGCCGCACCATCGAGTCTGAGATCGCGGCGCTGTCGAGCAGTCCGAGAGTTGAGGCGACGAAGAGCCGCTTGCTCGAGCCGTCGAGTCCCGCCAAGCTCTCGCACGCCCTGCCTGTGCCGACTCGCGCGACGCGAGAGTACTACGTTTGAGAGCGACCCCTGCTTCCCTTCCCTGCGCCCGCGGCAGCTGTACTTGTGTCTAATCTATCACTGATCCCATCATTGGCGGCCCGAGGGCATGAGAGAGCTTGTGGAGCCGCAGTGATGCGGCGCTAGCGTCTCGAGCTGGCATCCCCTGGCGCACATGTCACATGCCGGAGGAGGCCGCGCGCTGCCCTCGCAGCTCGAAAAGCGTCATGCGGGGTGCCTGCCACAGCTCCTAGGCGCCTTGAGTGCGCCGAATCAAGCGCAAGGGGTCCCTCGCCGCGCAAGCGCTATTGCTGGGGTGCTGGCTGGCCGCATCTATATGTGGCTTGGGAGCAGGAAGGGCGGCCAAAGGGCTGGCTGGCAGGCAGCGGGGGCTAGGGAATCTCGCGTGGCCGCCCAAGGGCCAAGAGCAAAGCCCACCGCGTGGCCGGCCGTCGGCGCTCGTGTGATGCGCCAGCATGCGCATGCGAGAGCCGCTCGCTCCCGCTGCGGCTGCGCTGGCACCATCAGCTGGGGCGCATGCAGCAGCACCAGCAGCATGCAGCACTCAGCCGCTCAGCCGCAGCGACGCTCGTCGTGCTGCGGTCGTCTGCGGGGGCGTCGCACGGGTCCAGCCGAGCTCCGCCGAGCCTCTTCTGCTGCTTCTCCGCCGCGCGGCGTGCGTGCCTGCCGAGCCGAGCTCGCGCTTGCCGGCGTTTGCGCTGCCGCTGCGCCGCGTGCGCGCTGTGATGGGTTCGCCTTTTGCCGGCGGGCGGGTGCGGCCGCAGCGTGCGTGGCCGGCGCCGGGCCGCCAGCCTCGCCTACGCCGCGCAGGGAGCATGCCGGCCGCCTTCTCTCCGCCCTCAACGCCCCTCTGACCCCAGCCAGGCCCTTGCTGGCCAGCCCGGCGGCAGGCAGCCTCATTGCCTCGAGCGCCACTGCTCTTCTCCTCTTCTCCTCCGGCTCCACCAGGCGCGCGCACGCCCGCACCCGGCGAGCCACACCGCCCGCCCGCCCGCGCAAGCTCGTGCGACCTAGATCTGCGAGGCCGCCTGCACCCCGGCGCCGAGCAGCACTCCTCCTCTCGACTCAGAAGCTCGCCAGTGGCGCCGCCCGACGCACGTCTCGTGCTTCGCCCACTCCCACCTCGCTCCTCCCAGCCAGCATGAATTGGTAGAGCTGCCGCATCGCCCAACTCTGCGCCGGCCGCCGCGCGCTCGCCTCCTGTCCTCTGCCGCACTGCGCCCGCTCCGCCGTCCAAGCACCGCTCTTGCGCGCCTCTCGCCGCGCATACCTCACGCATCATGGCCGAGCGCATGCGCTACGAGTCCGAGGAGCAGCCGGGCGGCAACTCGCTGCGCGGCGCCGCGTCCAAGGATGAGGCGTGGATGGGTGCGTTCGAGCGTGTCCTTGGCGACCACGGCGAGGGCGCGCTCGATGCAGAGCGGCGCGGCAAGGGCTCTGATGGAGGAGCTGGGCGGTTGGGCCAGCAGAGCGCCGCCGCAGACAATAGCGCAAAGGCGCAGCTCAACGCCGAGACCAGCGGCAACGCCGGCGGCAGCCAGGCCCGGCCACGTCTCGACGAGCGGTCACGCATGGGCTCTGCCGCGGCTCTGAACGCTGCGCAGGCGAGCCAGCGGGAAAGCATGCACACCTCGCCGCCCGTCAGTACTGCTCCATCCGCCTGGACGATGCCCCCTCCGCCGCCCCGCGGCCGCAGCCGCAGCGGCAGCCAGTCGTCCGAGGCCCCTGCTGCTCCGCCTTCATCTTCGCCTCGGCCGCTGCTCGCGCCTCCTCGGGCCTCGCATGGCAATCTCCACGAGCAGCTCGCGCCTTCCTCGCACTACCGCGGCGACGCAGGCATGCGCACCGCCACGTCCAGCAGCTACAGCCTCGCGCCGCCGCCCAGCGGCCTGCAGCGGCCTGCGCAGAAAGCGCGAGGCTCTGCCTCTCGCTCCTACGGCGACGAAGGATCGTCGGGCGAGAGTCAGAGCGGACCGAGCCTCGTGGCTGTGTCGGAGTCGAGCATCGAGCTCGAGGGCGTGTATGTCAACCACGCGCCGAGCATCACCAAGCTCGTGCTGCGCAACCTCAACAAGGGCCAGCGCACTCTGGTGCGCATCGAGAGCGACCTTGGGCGGGGTCTGAGCTTCTTGAAGCGGAAACGGAGCGTCGTGCCGGACTGTGAGTGTTCCCGCGCATACAGCTTCTCTTGCCTTCCGCAATGCTGACGAAACGCTGTGCAGCGCTCGAGGCCATACACTGGCCGGCGAACACAACGTCGTGGGCCCGCGCAGACGGTCTCTCGCCGCCGAAGCTGCGCGACCTGCGTCACTTTGGCGCGAACCTCGAGACGGCAGACTCTTTCATTCTGGAGGCGGGAGCCGAGATGCCGCTGTTCGTCTCCTTCCGCGCCGCACACTTCGTCGTCGATGGCGAGGCCCGCTGGCAGCCGCCACGCAGCCCGACCATCGAGAGCGCTCCGGGCAGCCCGCCGCTGCCGCGCGCGAGGGAGGGCACGCTGGCGAGCAGATCGTCGAGCAACTCGTCCGCCGCGACGTCACCGTCCGGGGCCACCGGCGCCAATGCGCTGCAGCAGCAGCAGCTCACGGCGCCGCAGACGCCAGTTGCCGACATGTCTGCTTTCTCGCCGCGATCAGCGCCAGAGTTGTCGTCGACGTTCGAAGCTGGACTTGGCACCGGCCCGGTGCACCGCGGCTTCGAGGTGCGCGGCATGGTGACACTGCGCGCCTGGACGATGCCTGCTGCTGCGCAAGACGCTGCGCCTGGAGCAGAAGACCCGTCGCTCGCAGCAGACAAGTCCGCTGCGCCTTCGGCTGCCAAGTCCTGGGCCTCGACCTCGTCGTCCTCGCGACCCGGCAGCCTGTACGGCTCTCATGTGTCGTCGGCTCAGGCCTCGTCCACCACGGACACGTCCGTCTCGACGGAGCAAGAGGGCGCAGGCCAGGTCACCACGCTGCCCTTCTGGGCGTACAGCTGCCGTCCGCAGCTGGCCGTGTCATCCAGTCGCGCGACGCCGACGCATCGTCATCTTGAGGAGGACTCGTTGGCGCCGACGCAGCCGCACGTCCACGGCCTCATTACCCTCGACTTTGGCGACATCTTCGTCGGCCAGAGTGACGAGCGGGAGATCACGCTGCTCAACCAGTCAGAGATCGAGGTCTTCTGGCAGGCGCGCCTGGACGACGCGGACAGCATGCTTGCCGCGCCGCCGCTTTCGCTCGTGGACAACGACACCGGCGCGGTGGTGCAGACCGTCTCCTCGAGCGACGAGGTGCAGTCTCGGCCGCACATCGTGGCTGCCTGCACTGCGCAGACACTGCGCGTCGCGTTGCTGCCGCGCGAGCCCTGTCGTGACTTTGAGCAGGTCATCAGCTTCAGCAACCTGCACAATGCCTCGAACACCGTGCGTGTGCTCGTCCGTGCCAATATGCTCGGCGCCGCCACCGACGATGCGCTCGCGGTGCTCTCTGGCGACTCGATCGACTTTGGCGACTGCTGCGGCGGGCACTGGACGCGGCAGCTGCTCGTGCTCAAGAACAATGGCGACCACATCCTCGACGTGGCGTTCAGCGTCCAGCGCGGCGTCGAGGCCAACTTCCAGCTCGCTGAGCTCGCGCCGCAGATCGAGGAGATCAGCAGCGACGACCTCTTCATGGAGCCGCCGCCGCCAGCAGCCAGCGGCGCTCTGCCAACGCGGCAGATGGACAGCGAGCCCAGCAATGCGAGCTCGTCTCGGAGCGATGCTACGAGCAGTGCTGTATCCCAAGAGGGCTGGCGTCTGCTGAGCCCGCGGTCTGGCCATGATACAGACGACGAGGATGCGGCCAACTCAGCTGCTGAGCTCGCCAAGACGCCGACGCATCATGCTCTGACAACATCCGCGCCCGACCCGCCGCCATTGCAGCTGGCTGAGGCCACTCCGCACCCCGGCGAGCGCGGCTTGATCAAGGCTTGCACGCCGCTGGATCTGCCTACAAAGCGTGCGAGCGATGACGATGTCGACGCCTCGTCGGTGGCGTCGCAAGCTGGCTCGACGCCTGGCTCGCCGGTGCAGGCGCGCACGAAGCTGTCTGCCGAGTCCAGCGCCGGTGGCAGCGCGGTCGAGAGCGGTGATAACGCCGACGGGGAGGAGCGGATCTCGCGATTGCGCCCTCAGCCCTCGTCCGATATGCTCTTCGCCCCGCAGTCCGCTTCGCGTCACCAGCGTGAGGGCACGTCCACGAACGAAGACGTCGTCTCGCTGCGGTCAGAGATCACAACCGCCACGTCGCAGGACAGCCGCATCGGCTCGTACGCAGCAACAAGCTCGCAGCACAGCGGGCCCTCGCGGACCTCGGTCCGCATTGGCGGCAGCAGCGGTGTGGTGCTGCGTGGCTTGCGCAGCGTCGAGCAGGCGCACAGCAATCAGCTTGAGGAGCTCGTGCTGCGTCCCGGTGCCGAGTACCGCGTCGTTGTCGCCTATCGGCCGCAGCGCGGACAGGTCGACGAGCACTTCAGCGCAGGTCGGCTGCGCGAGGACACATTCAACATCTCGCTCGACTACGCTCGTGCCCGGGCCGATGGAGCGCGCTCGCGAGGCGGACGGCAGCGCAAGACGGTCCTCTGCCGTCTGCGCACGTGCACGTCGTTCATCACCGTATCGCCGCAGCTGATCGACTTTGGCGAGGCCAACGTCGGAGCGCGCAAGTCTGCGCACGTCGCCGTCGAGAATCGCTCCGAGCTGACGGCGCGCATCGACGTGCGCTTCGTGTCCAAGGTGCTGAGCATGTATCGCGACGAGGTGGCCATCCCGGCGCTGCAGACCGTCGAGCTGCGCGTCGACTTCTTCCCGCGCCGCATCAACGAGGCCTACCGCAAGCAGATCACCGTCGCGAACCTGATGAACCGGACCGACGACCAGATCTTCGAGGTGCGCGCCAAGAACGTCGACCGCCAGCGCGTCAGCTTCCACTCGCTGTTCTACCGTATCCTGACTGCCTCGGGCGCAAACTTCATCGACTTTGGCGACGTCAACATCAACTCGACGCGCGTGCGCACTTTCAGCATCGAGAACATCTCCGGCGGGCGCCTGGCACTCGAGCTCAGCGCTGCGCACCCAGAGGACCTGCGCCTATTTGTCAAAGCTCCGCCGGCCAAGGAGGCGGCTCCCGGCAGCGAAGCCGCAGGCGCAGATGCCACGGACCGCCCTCGCACGCCCAACAAGGCGACTGAGGCAGACGCTGCCGACTCCACGGGCGTGCCTAAAGTAGCGACTCTCGAGGTGCCCGGGAAGAGCAAGACTGGCGCCAGCGGCGCGGATCTCAAGGAGCGGTTCCTGGAGACCATCTCGGTCGACTCGCCCGCCTCGATCCGCCGCGAGAACGCCTCATGGCGCCTGGCGCAGAAGCACAGCCACGTGCGCGCAGCCAAGGAGGCGAGCAGCAAGGCGGCTGCTGGTACCGCAGCCAAGGATTCTGGGGCTGCGCCGAAGCCCAAGGCGCCCATCAACATGGTCTCTGCGCTGAAGAAGGGCGGCAAGGGGCGCATCAGCCTGCAGTGGGGCCGCTCCATGACGTTCAAGGACCGCAAGATTCTGTCCGACTTCGAGTATCTCGACCTCGCTACGGGCCCGCCCGTCGACACGCGCCGCATCTCGGTGAAGAGCAAGAAGTATCAGACGCTCGAGACGCTCGAGATGGGCGAGCGCTCCACGCGCTCAACGCCAGCGAGCTCCAAGCTCAACGTGCGGGCCTCCCGCGCCGAGCAGTCGACGACCGACACTGCCTCGGGCGATGGCGGCAGCGGCAGCATCAGCCGGGCCTCCACGACCAAGAAGTCGCGGCCATCGGTCAGCTCGCGAAAAATCACGTCTACCGCGACAAGCGACGCCAAGGAGCCGCCAGCCACGCCAGCTGCTAGCTCAAAGGCGGCTGCCGCCGCAGCAGAAGGCGGCGAGGCCGAGTCGGGGTCCAACAAGTCGCCAGCACTCACTGGCAAGCGCAAGCCGCAGGCGTCCTCGCTGTCGAACCCTGCGAGCGTGTCGAAGCTCACGCCGGACGAGCTGATCGCGGCAGTCGAGGCGCAGAGCTCGACGCTCAGCGCGTTCTTCATGGGCAGCGCCGAAGCAGAGGAGCGCGCCGTGCGGACCGAGATCAACTTGCAGCGCGAGCTGCAGGCCGCCATTTCCAGCGGCCGCCTCGTGCCTGTCGATCTGCTCGAGCTGGACACGAATCAGGAGCGGCAGATCGTGGCCGTCTACACGCCAGTCGCCAGCACTCGCCCGCACATCCAGGGCAACTCGCGCAAGCAGGACTCGCGCATCTTCCTCCGCCTCGCTCAGTTCGACGACGCCGTCGTGCGCGCGTCTTCGGAGTTCAGCGCGATGGCGGACCTCGAGATCGACGAGCTGCCCGTGCGCGACCTGATGGTGCGCTCGACGCTCTGCCGCAGCCTGCTCGAGCTCGGACAGCCGCACATCAACTTCGGGCACATGGAGAAGGGCGACTCGAAGGCGCGCAAGATCCTCATCCAGAACCGCAGCGAGTGGGCACTGCGCTACTGCATCCGCAAGAGTGGCAGTATTGCGAGCGGCGACATCAAGATCGCGTCGGGCCTGTACGGCATCGTGCCTGGCCACGGCAAGCGTGAAGTCGACTTTCTCTTCTCTCCCTCCCTCACGGGGCAATTTCAGGAGAAGCTCGTCGTTGAGAACGTCGCCGACCGCGAGCGCGACCAGACCGTCTCGCTCAAGGCGACGGTGCGCAAGGTGCCCAACTTCGCCGTCGAGCCGGCGAGCATCGACTTTGGCGTGTGCCAGCCCGGCAAGCTCACGCGCGCCGAGGGCTTCGTGGTGACGAACACGACGGCCAAGGCGCGCACATTCGTCGTCGCTGTCGACTCCGACGAGCTGCGCCACCAGCGCAGCATCGTCGACGTGGTCATCGCCGCCGCTGCTGCCGCCGAGGGCAGTGTGCGCGGCACGCTCTCCAAGGCCGAGGAGGAGGAGGTCGAGCATATCTCACAGAAGCTCAAGATCGCCACGCGCAAGGGTCACACTGACAAGGTCAAGAAGTACGAGACGCGCCTCACGGAGCTCGGCATCAGGACGCCCTCGTCCACTGTGAGTGCTCCGTTCATGCGTGTCGAACGAGCCTTCCCTGACACTTCTGCTACAGGACGAGCGCGAAGCTGGCGCCAGCGAGGACTCCGCCGCGCCAGAGCCAGATGCGCCGGCCGCCGCGCCCGCGCCCGATGCTGCTGCTGCTGCTGTCCTGTCGCCTGAGGAGCAAGCAGCGCGCCTCAAGCGCACGGCCTCGTCCGCCGTGACCGTCGGCATTGCCGCTGGGCAGAGCAAGCGGCTCCTCATCCGCCTCCGACCGCACGCGGTGCACACCGCCCTCGACGCCTCGCAGTCCGCAGCCGCCGCTGCAGCTGCCGCGTCGGCCGCGCCTCTCGATGCCGACGACGTGACCGTGCGCGTGCAGATCCACGAGGTCAAGAACCGCGACGAGACCCGCTTCGTCGACGTGCGTGCGCGTGTCGAGATGGCCGCCGACGCGGGCTGCAGCGAGACGGAGCCCAAGCTCGTCGACCCACTGCCGCACGACGACTCCATCGTCTTCTCCTCGAGCAAGCCGAGCTGATGTGCGCGCTTCGCACGCGGCGCTTCCATGCCTCATCCGTCTCCTCCTCTCCGATTGCCTTATTCCCGTCCCCCAAAAGTTCCGGCGCAGCTGCACCTCTGGTCGTCGTCGTCCCAGCATCCCACCTCTCACAGCACAAACTCCCTTCCCCGAACCGGCCGCTTCCAGCCCTCCGCGCATTCGCATCTCGACCCATGCTCCGATACCACGACGTTAATGTAACACACACAATGACGGCCTCATCTTTCCTGGTATCGTGCCGCCGCCGCCGCTGCCGTCGCATCACCACAGGCCGCGCAGGGCCGCCACGTCGCTCTCCGTCATGCCGCTGGCAGCGTGCAGGCCCACGTCGGTGGCGGCGCGGGCCCGGCCGGCTGCGGCGGCGCGCTTGGTGCGCGAGGCCGGATTCGAGCCGCGGCGCTTGCCCTCCTCGCCGGCGGCGCCGCTGCTGCCGCGCGGCGTCGTCGCGGCTGTCGGCGGCACGAGCGAGTGCTGCGAGGTGGCAGCCGAGTGCGGCGAGGTGACGGGTGTCGTCGGCGTCGGCGGGCCGTCGGCGTAGGGTGCGCGGCCGCTGGCGTTGGACGTGCTGCGTGCGCTGCGCGTGGACGATGCCGCATACTCGCCCTCTCCTTCCTCCTCCTCGTACTCTGCGTCCTCGTCCTGCGTGCCGGCCAGATGCGGCGACGAGAGCTTCGAGTCCGAGGCGCCGCGGCTGCCAAAGAGCGAGAAGCGCTTGCGCATCGGCAGCGCGGCGCCAGACGACGTGACGGTGCGCACAGAGAGCAGCGAGCTGGAGGTCGTGCTCGAGGAGGACACATTTGGCGGCCGCCGCAGGGTGCCACTGCTAGCTGCACCCCCGCGCCCCGCGCCTATGCCCGCCGCACTCAGCTCGGCGCCCGAGACGCCGAGCATGCGTTCGGCCTTCGACAGCGGCTTGCGGTCTGTGCGCCGACTGGCGCTAGCTACCATGCCCATCGGAGCGGGAGCGTCGTCCTGCTCGTCTTCCTCCTCCGTGCCGCCGCCGCTCGAGCGCTCGCTGTGGCGATCGTCGGGCGCAGCGGGTGGTGCGAGCACTGGCGGCTGCGCGCGCGTCGCATTGCGGCTCGCAGACGTGGCGGACCAGCGGCGCGTCGCCTCTGGCCGCGGCGTGACGGCGTGCGGCGAGTACGGCGCCTGGCTGCTGGACACCGAGTCTTGCCGGCTCTCCCAGCGGGACGTGGCGGCCGAGAGCGGCATGGCGATGTCGCGCGTCGAGGCGATGGCCATGTCGCGCGAGGCCGAGAACGTCGTGGGCGTTGACGGCCCTGCAGAACTGTCGGTGACCTGCCGCGCGCCGCGCTGCACCCACTTCGAGATGGCCATGACGGTGCGCAGCGCACGGATCTGCAGCGCCTCGTGCCCACACAGTGCTGCCGTCTCGTACAGCACCACAGCCAGCCGATGCCGCTCGGCTGGCGCAAGTGCCGACTGAGGCCAGGCCGCGTTGCTCGGCGGCGGGCCGAGTTCGCGCGAGAGTGCCACGTGCGCCGCATGCCGCGCCCAGCGGTCGAGCTCCGGCAGCGCGTAGAGGCTGGCAAAGAGCAGCAGCGACGCAGTGACGCTGGGATGCCGCTGCAGCGCCGTGCAGATGCTGCGCGTATAGAAGAACTGCAGCAGCGCCAGCACGACGGGGCTCGGCTCGGCGAGATGCAGCAGGCGCGGAGTGAGGCGGCAGTCTGGCGGCGAGTCCTTCGACGACAAATGTGCAGGGCCTGACGCGCCATTCGGCATAGCTGCCGTTGCTGTGGCGGCCCGTTCTCTGTACTTGCTCAGCTGCTCGGCAAACCAAGGCCATCTCCGCGTCAGCAGCGCGCGGTTGCAGCCGATGCGCATCCCGTCCGAGCACACAATCTCAAAGTCGCCCTTCGCCCCAAGGGCGGGCGCCTGGTCGACGCCCTCGCGCGGCAGCGAGTGCGCAAAGGAGCCCACAGTGCTGGCGCTGAGCGCCTCGAGCCCGAGCTCCATCGCCTCTGCGCTCGCCGGCCGCATCGGCGGCTGGTTGATGCCCCAGGCCTCGAGCTCGAGCACGAGCACGTGGTCCCAGTTCGTCTGCCGATGGTTGTAGTCCGAGACCAGGTCACGCCCGCGATGCCCGAAGATGATGAGCCGGTTGCGGCTGGGCCACAGCACTGCGCGGTTCCACGAGCCGATGGAGAGCAGCGCGCCGACGTCAAGGCGCGACCACTGCATCGTCGGCAGATGCAGGCTCCAGACGGAGAACGTCTGCGACGTGTTGGCGAGGTACGTGCCGGAGATGAGCAGATGCGAGCCAAGAATGGCGCCCGTTGGGAAGCGCAGGCCGGGCGGCAGCGACACGCCCGTCATGTCGCTGCTGCGGTCCTCGACGGCCAGCTCGCTCTGGCCGCGCAGGCGCACCAGCTCCAGCTCGCGCTTCACGTCGGTGAAGTTGTAGTTGGTGTACACGTAGAGCGGCAGCGGCTCGTCGTCGGCCGCCGGCTCGGCACTCATCGGCAGCAGCTCGACGCGCATCTTGCTGGCGCTCTTTGGCGGCAGCACGCTGGCGCCCGTGTCCTGCTGCTCCGTGCGCGGCGTGCTGCTGGCGTCTGCCTCCCGCTCCACCTCGTTCTCCACGCGCCAGCGCCCGGCCACTGCCAGCGAGCGGTACGAGCCGCACTGTCGCGCAAAGGCGTGGCTCGCAGTCCAGCGCCGCGTGTTGAGGTCGAAGACGTTGATCTCCTCGACGTACTGGTTCGCCATGTTCTGCCCGCCGATGATGACCAGCTGGCCGGCCGTCATCGTCGAGCTGAGATGCGCATAGCGCGGCACAGGCCGCGGCGCGCTGCTGCTGCCGGCCGGCGCCGCAAAGGCCAGGTCCCACGTCTGCGTCGCGAGGTCAAAGGCGATGACCTCGTCGAGCACGCACAGCGAGTCCGACGATGGCGCCTCGGCTGCCGACGTGTCGGCTCCCGGCGCGTAGCCCATGCCGCCGAAGATGATCAGCCGCCCGGCCCAGAGGTCGGAGCTGTGGAAGTAGCGCTGCTGCGGATGCGGCGCGCGCGATGCGCTGCTCTCGTCGCCAGCGGCCGGCGCCGAGCTGATGCGCGTCCAGCGCAGCGAGGCGAGGTCCAGCTCGTACAGGTCGGAGACCATGCGCCGCGTCGAGACGAGACGCCCGCCAAAGAGGTACAGCTTGCCGCACGTGCCCGAGCCCGGGCCGGCATCGACGAGCGTGACCGACGAGCCCTGCAGCATGGTGTCAGCACAGCCGACCGACAGCCCTTGCACGCAGCACACGCACCACGAGCGGCGGCGGCATGTCGCCCTGGCAGGCATGCCAGTGTGCCGCCAGGCTGGCGAGCGGCGCGTGCATGGCTGCACGCGGACTCTGCAAGCGACAGCCAGCGGCGAGCAGGCACTAGAGTCAGACGCCTGCGCCGCAGACGGCGGCGGCTCGGCGTCGCAGGCCGCTGCGCGTGCCCGGGCGCAGGAGCGATGCGCGCGACGGAGGTGGGCCCGAGGGCGCAAGAGGCGCGTCGGATGCGAGGCGTGTGGTACGAGGCAGAGGCGGCGGCAAGGTGTGGTGGCGGTCGCGCGCTCTGCAGCGCCGACGGCGAGCTGGAGCGAGGGCGCGGGCGACGAGGCGAGGGTGAGGGAGCGCTGCGTCGAGGAGGCAGCAGCAGCGCAACATGCCGCCGCGAGGCGCGTGCGCGTGCCGCGCCCCTCTTCGCTTCGCGTCTGGGAAACGCGTGCCGCCGCGGTGTGCGTGCCTTGCTTTGCCGCCTGCCTTTGCTGCGTCTGCGCTGCGCCTCTCTTGTGCGGCGTGCTCGCTTTCGCTGCACAGCCAAACGGCCACGGTGCAGCAGCGTGGGACGCATCTGCGGACAACGAACTCGGGTCGAGAGCGTCCGGTCGGGTCCCCTCGCAGCACGCAAGCACCAGCCCGCTCAGCGGCAGCAGCTCTCGCAGTCGTCTGGTCCTGGTCTGCGTTGACGAGCAGGAGAGGCGAGCTCGGCAGCAGGCTCTGTCTGCACTTTCGGACGGCTGCCTCTTTGTACACGCTCTCGGCCAAGCACGCTGCCGCGGACACCTCACGCTTGTGCTTCTTCCCGCGTGGCAGCGGTTGCTTTGATGGTAGGCCTAGCTTTTACTGCGTGATGGCCCAAGCTCAGCCGCGGGGTGCTTGAGCAGCTCCGCTGGGTGCCAGGCCTCAGTAAGCCTAACCTGGCGCGGCAGCTCGCTCGATCGGCGGCAAGGCTGGTCGAAGAGAGGCAGAGCAATGCACGGAGCTCACCTCGGCCTGGCCGCGACAAGATTCAAAGCCGAGCCTCGGGCATCTGCACTTGCACCCTCTCGGCTCTGACACCACCAGCCCCCGTGGGTCCAGATTCACGCGTCTGGAGAGGTGCTTTGCGTGGGGCGAGGAGGCAGGCCCAGCCGACGGTTCGCCGTGCGCAGGGGCGACAGGCGGCGTGCGCATGACGCGCCTGTTCCCACACCCCGCGACTCCGCTCCGCTCGAAGCCGGAGCCGCGCCGCGAAGGCTGCTGGCGAGGTGCTTGTGCCGAAGTGGAGCCGAACAGGCCGTGCCTCGAGCGCACCAGTCGAGTGTGCTGAATGCTTCCTGTCCCGGCTCCTTAGACGTGCCGCCGGCCGGGCGCTGGTGTTGGCAGCAGCGTCAGCGGAGAGAGGAAAGGACAGCTTCAGCGCAGCGGCGTCTTCTTGGCCCGATGCCGGCTGCACGGCGAGAAGGCATCTTGCCGCGCCGGGCCAAGCTGCGCCTCCCGCCTCTCACCACCACCATCCGTCCATCCGCAACGCCATGGGTGCCCAGCAGCAGCAGCACTTCTCCAGCACGCGCTCCTCGTCGGCCGCCTCGACGCCGGCGCAGTACGACAGCGACGACGGCGCCGCCACGCCGCGCACGCCCGGCGGCACGGCCGCGCCGCGTCTGCGCCGCAGCCGCTCGGCGCTGTGGCTGCAGCGGGCCGCCGCAAAGGCGCAGGAGCAGCGGGCGCACCTGGAGCGCCAGCTGGCGGAGGAGATCGTGCTGCGGCGCGATGCCATTGGCGGAGTGAGTAGGCAGCCGTATGGCGGGCATGGAGGATGGCAGCGATGATGGCTGGAGGCGAGAGCAGCAGTGACGCCGCTATACGCCTGGCTGTATGCTCACGCCGCCTGCGCAGATCGACAACATGTGGCTGCTGCTGAGCAACTCAACAAGCTCGTTCAACCCCGTGTGCACAGCCACGTACACGTTCAAGCAGCCGCCGTCGATGGACGGCATGCGCGCGGCGCTCGGCAAGCAGGTCGAGCTGTTCCCCAAGTACAAGCAGCGCCTCGCCAACGTCGGGCGCCGCTGGCACGGCGCCAGCTTCGTCGACGACCCGCACTACAGCGTCGACCGCCACTTGTTCGAGGAGGACCTGCCGGGCGAGGCGGGCAAGCGCGAGCTCGAGGACTTTGTGCGTCGTGCGGGGTGCAAAGTGGAGGTGCGGCGCTGACAGCTTGCCCTGCAGACCGCGCGTTTCATTGCCAAGGAGTGGGACTTCACCAAGCCGCTGTGAGAAAGGCGCTTGCTGCGGTGCTCGACGCTGTGCTCACACCGACACGCTCAGCTGGGAGACGTACATCTTCCCAAACTACCGCAACCCCAAGACGGGCGCGCGCGGTGCCATGGTGACGCGCGGAGTGAGTGCCGAGCCGCATTGTCCGCCCGACACACTGCTCACTTGTCGCTCTCCAGCACCACACGCTCACCGACGGGCAGGGCTTCGTCATGAGCCAGCTCATGATCACCTCGTATGGGCCCGAGCTGGAGCGGCAGCTGCACGAGGGAGCCTCGACGATGCACGCGGCGCGGCGCGGCAGGGCGCGCCCGTCGCGCATCCACAAGGGCCTCAAGCCGCTCGACAAGTACCGCCACGTGCTGGCCGTGCAGCTGCTCATGTTCGGCTTCTTCTGGACGGCGTACATGCTCAACGCGCTGCGCAATGCGTGGGGCAGCTTCATGCAGACCATCGTCATCTCCTTCTGGTTCTGCTTCACGTCGTGGCGCCAGCGCTACGCCACGAGCGCGTACAAGGGCGACCGCGTCAAGGAGCGCGAGTTCAGCACCAGCCAGCCAGTGAGTGGCCCGGCGTGTGCGCGAAGCTGCGCCTCAGCTGACACCCGCGCACAGTTCAAGATCTCGGACATCAAGCTCTGCCAGCGCGCCTTCTCGGGCTCGCGTCCCGGCGGCTGGCTTGACCGCATCGGCGGCAAGCGCGCGCGCGCACTCGGCGGCCACATCACGCTCAACGACTTGCTTGTCACGGTGCGTGTGCTCTGATGGAGCTGCACGGCGATGTTGCTGACCCTCGCCGCAGGTCATCTCCGATGCCATCCTCGCGGAGATGGAGCAGACGAAGCAGGTCGAGCTGCCGGGCATCATTCCGTGGATTCAGCGGCGCGCCAATGCCATTCTGCCGTCGCGCATCGCGCTCATGATCCCGATCTCGATCCGCCCGCTCGACAACACGCAGATGCAGGTGAGTCGCTGCGATCCGCGACCTGGTGTGTCGTGCTGACGCTGTCTGGACAGAACTGGAGCACGGGCAGTGTCGCCTACCTCTCGAGCGGCGAAGGCCTGCCGACGTCAGCGAGCGCCATGCACAAGCGCCTGCACAGCAACAGTGCCGCGCTCAACGTGCTCAAGCAGGGCTGGCTGCCGACGATTGCATTCTGGGCCATCCAGCTTACTGGCCAGGCTCCGTGAGTGCAGCATCATGCGCCGGTGTCGCACGCCTCTCATGCGCTTTCCCTCGCAGCCTGCTCTTCCCCTCTGCTCTCTGGACGCCGTTCCGCTCCATCGTCCGCTTCTACTCCGACCTCACCCTCGGCTGCTTCACGGCCGTGCTCACCAACGTGCCGGGCCCGCAAGGCACCGTGCATCTTGCTGGCACGGACATCGTGCAGTGGGTGAGTGCCTCTCCCGGCTGACTGCGGATGCTCGTCTGCTGACGCCACGCACCAGACCGCCTCGCCGCCGCAGGCCGGCAAGGGCACGCTCGGCATCGGCATCATCAGCTACGACGGCCACGTGCGCGTCACGATTGTCGCCGAGTGAGTGCCGCGTCTTGTGCTGTGAAGGCTTTCTGGCTAACCCTCTGCCCAGCCACGTCAAGGGCGCGCCGTCCGAGGGTGTTGCGCACCGCATCACCGCCAAGGTCGAGCGCCGCTTCCAGCAGTACCTCGAGGTTGCCGAGGACATCGCTGGCCGCTCGAAGGCGTCGTGAACGCCTGCCAAAGCCCACGCTTCCGTCTCTATTCTCCACTGCTCCACCTGCTCCGCAGCCCTGCTTGCCTGCTCTCAAGTGCCTCTCATTATACTGTGCACGATTATTACCCTCCCTCCCTGCGCGTCTGTCTGCCTCAGAACCATCTTCGCCGCTGCGAGGCAGTGTCAGCGTCTTGTGATCGATCTTCTGCTGCTCGCGACACTCACCTGCAGGCCGAGAAGCTCGAGGAACGAGCGTGCCATGCCGCCGACCTGCAGCGCCGGCGGCTGCACGCCCTTGCCGTGCACTTTGAGCGTCCACACGACCTCGCCGTCGACGTAGAGGCGCGACGTGACGACGGGCGACTGCGACTCGCGCGTGTCGACCTCAAACTGCGTCGCTGCGTCAGCACAGATGCAAGCACACTTAGTGGCGTCAAACGCACGGTCGACCACTTGACGTTGCCGTCGGGCGTGTACCTGTACACGCGCTCGGCGCCCGTGGGGCCCAGGCCGTGCTCGTCGCTGAATGTCCGCACGGGCAGGTAGAACATGGACATGGGCGACGTGCTGAACTCGGTCACCGGGTGCACGTCGGATCGCTCGTACGTCTGCGCGCGCAGGCCCACGGCGGCGTGCTCGTGGCGGTCGCCAGAGAGGACGATGACGTTGGGCACGTACTGCGGTGTGTTAGCGACGCGCGAGAGGCGCTGTACTGCCGGTGCTCACCTGCATCACCTCAAGCAGGCCCTCGCGCTCGTGGCGGTACGCGCTCCATGAGTCAACTTGACCTGCAGTAGCGAGTCATCAGCGAGGGGCGCGTGCCGAAGCCCGGCCTCGACTGACCGTCAAAGTCAAGAGGGCCACCCCAGAGCGTGTTGAACGGCACGGATGATACGACGAACTATAGGCGTGTCAGCCGAAGTGACATGCATTTGCGGGCACAGCGCATACCTTGAACGTAGCAGTCGAGCTAAGACGCAAAGCGCAGGTCAGCCTCTTGACCTGTGCACTTCGTCGCCGTGACTCACTTGACGGCGCCGAGCCAGCGCAGGAAGACCTCGCGCTGCTGCTGCCCGAGCATCGACTTGTGCTCGTCGTCAGGCAGCTCGGGCGGCGAGCGGTGGGCGCGCGTGTCGAGCACGAAGAAGGCCGTGTCGCCGTAGCTGTCGCACGGACGAAGTCAGCCTCTACCGGGCCTTACGGCTTAGCGCGCGTGCGCACCGGAACGAGTAGTAGTTGCGGCCCTGCTCGATGGCCGGCGGGTTCGCGCTGCCGACGTACTCCTGCCACGCCTGGTTCGCCGGCTCAAATGCCTTGTTGCGGCCCACACTCGTTGCCGTCTCGTCGGCGCCCTGCAGCTCGTAGCCCGACCAGTTGTTCTTCACCTCGTGGTCGTCGTAGATGCCTGCCGTGCGCATGTCAGCAGCCGCGACTCCGCCGCACCTTGCGCAGATACGCACCGATGACAGGCAGCCGCTCGTACACGCGCCGGAACGACTCGGACGCGTACAGGTTGCGGAAGAGCAGGCGGTACGCATTCGTCACGGCGCCGCCCCAGCGCGGCACGTCGGCGTAGATGAGGTCGCCGAGCTGCAGGAAGAAGCGCACGGCGGGACGCTCGCGGCCGTCGATGAGCGCGTTGGCGAACTGGTCGAAGCCCTGGATGCGGTTGCGCGTCGCGTAGCCGCCGTGCTCGCCGTGCCCGAGCGCACGCAGGATCCAAGACCAGGCCTGCAAAGGCGTCAGCACATGCACTGGCGTTGCTTGCACGTCAGGTGCTCACCCAGAACTGCGTCGGCTGCCACGGGAAGTCAGGCTTGACGCATGAGCTCGTCGCAAAGGTGAAGCTGCAGCACAGGTGAGCGTCCGTAGAGCAGCGCAGGGGCAAAGCACTCACTGATTCGGGTCGTCGAGCGGCGTAGCCTGCCCCTCCTGACCCTGCGGCGCACCAGCAAGACGCTTGCGCGCCAGCTTGGGGTCAGGCCAAGTGACGAAGCTGCGCGGGCGGTGCGGGTGCGGCGCAAACGTCGAGTTGTGCACGAAGGCCAGGCGCCACTCGTAGGCCGTGGCGGGCCAAAGGCCTTCGAGCGTCGCCGTGCCCGTCCAATCCGTCGCCTCCGTCAGCGTCACGGCCGGCCCGCGCTCCCAGCGCTTCGGCTGCGAGCGTGCGCGGCCGTCGATGTCGCGCTCGGCACGCGGTGCCAGCGCCTCGCGGTACACGATGCGCAGCGGCGCCGGGTTCTGGTAGATCTCAGACCCAGCACGCAGCGTGCTGCGCCCGCCAGACTCGTCCTCCAGCAGCGAGGACCAGTCGCTCGTCGCCTCGTGGCCCAGCGGGAAGGGGTAGCGCACATGCAGCACGGCCGAGCTGGGCGAGAGATGTCCGACGCGCGCAAAGTGCAGCGTGTGCTCGTGGTGCGAGGGGAAGAGGTAGGGCGAGGAGAAGGCGTCGAGGAAGAAGAGCAGCAGCAGCACGTGCTGCGCCAGCGCCAGCAGGTTGCCGCCGGGCGAGGAGGTCGAGAGGCCGAAGATCGAGGGTGCGATCTTGGCAAAGAAGCCTGGCCGCGCGACCTTGGTCGGCTCAACGTGTGCGACGGGCGCCGCGTGCTCGTCGGTGGCGGGCGCCGGCAGCAGTGCCGAGCCCTCGCTGGGCTTCTCGTCGCCGGCGGTGTGGGCGATGGCCTGGCGCCCGGCGGCGGCGCCGAGGCGCAGCTGGCCGACGGGGATGGCGCTGGCCATCTCGCGCAGCGCACGGGCGGCGGCATCGCGGCGCGAGAGGCGCCAGGCGTGCACGCTCCAGGTGAAGGCGTACGTGCCGAAGAGGAGCGGCACAGCGGGCCAGGCGGCGCTGGTGGGGATCCACTGCAGGAAGACGTAGACGAGGACGCGGAAGAGGACGCTGCTGAGCAGCTGCAGCGAGTCGAGCAGGCCGCGTGGCAGCGGCGCGGGCGCCGTGCTGGGCGTGGCGGGTGCGGCCTGCGTGCGCCGGTCGGGCATGAGGGCGGCCTCGCGCTTGGCCATGGCTGCGACGGAGGGGTGGAGGTGAGGAGGAGACAAGAGGCGCGTCGCTGTCAGTCAGCGGCGCGACGCGTGCTAAACGCACCCTGCCGCCCGCGCGCGCCCCTGCCTGCCCGCCTCTGCCGCATGACGCAGCACATGCCGCTCTCACGGGCCGCATCTGCGCGTGGGAACGCCTGCCACGTACCTCTCGACCCCTAGTCCGCCTCGCTGCTGCCTGATACGCAGAGCTGCGGCAGCTCGTTTGGCCTCATAATGCACTGCAGAAGGTCTCGAGTGCGCTAGCCGGGTCGAGATCAAGCCTGCGTACCGGCAGACAAGCAGGGATGGCGTGGAGGAGCGCGGTGTTGGCCGCCTTTGTGTGGCAGGCGCCCGGCAGCCTTACGTCTCAACATGTCCATGCAACATCGCGCACACGACCAACACTTTTGCTCTGCACTCGGCGTGGTCTATCTGTCTCGCCACTTTGCTGTTGCACATGCTCGTCTCTTCAGACGAAGAGGGAGCAGCTCTGTTGATGCTGGGTATGTGTCGGCCGGCGCAGACGCGCGCACCTCGGCCGTCCGCCGCGCCTGCTTCGAAATGCGCGGCGTGTCGTTGGCGTGCCTTGCGAGGCGTGTTGCGCGCGCAGACAAGCTCGGGCAGATCTGCGCTAGCCAAGGCGGCATGGCCGAGCCTCCAGCTCGAGCAGCACGACAGCCGGTGCCGTCCACCCTTGCCACGCTGCGGCCGCAAGAGCCGGCTCCGGCATGCGAGCCGAGCGCCAAGGGGCGCGCAGACGAGAGGCCGGGCGGCCGGCATTCGGGGCAGCGCGCAGATCGTACGTTGCGTGCGAGCGCGGGCACGCGGCGAGTGAGGTGTCGGCGCTGACGTGCGCGCTAGCGCCGCTGTCGGACCCCGCGTCCGCGTCTTGCGGTGTGGCCGCTCGCATGACCCGGCGACGTGGAAGGGGCCGCACCCTGCTGGACAGGCGAGTGGCAGCCGCGGCCGCTTCTCTCTGCACCACCATCACCACCACCAGCACAAGCCGCCACCACCCTCTTTGTTTCTCTCTAGCCGCTGCCGTCTTCGCCTCTCCTGCGCAACCCCGTCCTCGTGCTCCACCATGGCCTGTCCCGGTGCGTCACTCTCTCTCTGCTCTCCATCTCACGCGCTGACACCTCTCCTGCAGTGAACCACCCCTTCTTCCACGCCCTCGTCTTTCTCCTCGGCGTCATCGTCGTGCTCGTGCGCCACGTCAAGGCAGACGACTCGCTCGCGGCGCTCATGGCCGCGCAGCAGTACTCGGCGCCACAGCTGCTCCTGGCCGCCGCGGCAGACGGCGTGGGGTCACATGTGCCGTGGAGTGTCTGAACTGGTGCGTGGAGGCAGGGGTGGGGACAATTGCGGCATGGCTGGAGGAGGCATGATGTGCATCGCTGCCTGGGAGGTGTGGCAAGGTCGCTGGGTGGCGAAGCGAAGCAGAGAGCAGCAAATCCCGGCGCTCGAGCTGCTGTCTGCCGGCCTGCTGGGCAGCAAACACGCTGTACATGCGCTGCAAGGTGCGAGGGCTGTCTTTCTGCTGTGCGAGCTATCCGAGTCGGGCAGGCGATCCATGGCGGTCCAACGTCGGCAGAGCTGGCGCCGTCGTCTCGAGCGCTGCGCGACCTGCGCTGACTCTGCCGCTCCTCCAGTCCCGTGCTCTCCTCTGCTAGCCTCCTCGATCCGAGCCTCTCCGCTGCTCGCCACTGTACTTCTATCTCCAAGGATGCCCTAATCATCGATATGCTGTGACACTGCTTTGCGACGCACGCTTGGAGACGAGTCACACGGCCACAAGCGTAACGTGAGGCAGAGGGAGTCAAGTGATGACATAGATATGGGGCACGTATGGTGAGATAGGAGATACAGGCGGAGAAGAGACGTCATGGCGGCGTAGAGTGGGATCGCGGCAGCGCAGAGCGGGGGTGGAGAGCTGGAGAGCACGGATGCACGCGCCTAGATGGCGACGGCGACCTTGACGGCCACGGTCGTCTCGGTGGCGGTGATCTTGTTGATGAGGCTGCCGACGAAGTCGAAGACCTCGTGCACCTTGATCGTCGCCGTCTTCTCGACGCCCGCCTTGTTCTTGCCCTTGCCGTCCTGCATGGGATGCGTCAGTCTGGCTCGGCTGCATGGCACGAAGGAGAGATGTGACGCACGACGTAGAAGTCAACGGTCGTCGTGCTGCCGCTCGTCGAGTACTTCTCGCTGTACGCGCGGAAGATCTGCTTGTCCGTCGGGTCGTTCTGCAGCTTGTCGCGCAGGTCGGCAGCGCCGGAGGCCGTCTGGCCACCCTTGCCGTCGAGTGTCTGTGCATGTGGGGTGAGTCGTCTGTGCGCGCGGCGTGGTCGCTGATGCTCACCTCGTAACGTGTCACGCCGTCCGTCACGGGCACGCTGTGGCAGAGTCAGCACAGATATAGGCGTGCTGAGAGCGAGCGGGCTCACGCATTGGCATCGCCGGCAGAGTGGCTGACGAGCGCCTTGATGTACTTGGCGACCGCCGACTGCTGGCAGCCGGCATCGCACGTGTCGCGCTGCACGGGCATGGCCGCGGCGAGCGTCGACGAGAAGAGGAGGACGGCGAGGAACTTGAACTGCAGAGGAGAGAGATTAGAGGGAGAGAGGGTGGGTTGGTGGGAGGAGGGCGGCGAGGAACTTGAACTGCAGAGGAGAGAGATTAGAGGGAGAGAGGGTGGGTTGGTGGGAGGAGGGCGGCGAGGAACTTGAACTGCATGGTGAGAGATTGGAGGGGAGGGTGGATTGGTGGGAGGAGGGTGGATTGGTGAGGAAGAAGTGGGAGAGGCGGCGCATCAGGCCGCCTTTTGAGCTTGTGCGGCGCCGAAGCAAGCGAGGCGTAGCGTGGAGGATCGTGCGAGAGCCGTCGTCAGGCCAGCCCGGTCCCGCGCCTTGCCCGGTCCGAGTGGCTTCGAGGCGGAGGCGCCAGGCACGGCGGGAGAGATCAGGTACAGGCATGCTTGTCCTGGCTGTCGAATCTGGCCCTGAGCCGCTCCGTCCCGCACCCCTCAGGCACCATCGAAGCACCTGCAAGAGCCAGAGGGGCTCCTCGTCGATCTTCGCTGCCCCTACAAGGCACCGAGAAGTGCAGCAAGGCCTGGAGTCTTCGCGCCACGAGCGTTCGTCGGGCCCCTTGGAGCGGGTCATGCCGGATCCGCCGCCGCCAGGTACAGGCCTGCGTGCCTTGGAAGGGCCGCAGATCGACATTGATCCGGGGCGAGGAGGCTGGCCTCCCCGAGAAGCGTTTGCGTGCTGCTCAGCATCCTCCTGGCGTCTCCTGACAGCGACTCCTCTCGGCGCTCCAGGCACAGATGAGGCGCGAGCGTGGTGCGAAAGCGGGGCCTCAGCCTTTCATTAGGCCACGGGAGCGCGCATTGAGCGGGAAGCGCCCTGGCGGCGGCCCGACAGGAGAGCACTCCACTCGCTTGCCCGCCTAGCAAGCGCCTCCTCGTCTATGCATAGCAGCTGCTTCGACGCATCGGTCGCAGAGACGCTTGGAGCACACCACCGAGCTCGGCCCAGGAGCGCTGCTCTGACTCAGCCGCACTCTGCTTGCATCAGCCTCGAGGAGCACAGGAGCCAAAGTCTAGCCTGCCTCGCTCCGAGAGGAGCATGCGCCTGGTGCTGGGCCGCGATCGATCAACCTCCTCCTCGCTCGGCAGCGGTGGCTGTGTACATCCGAAGCCCAGAGATGACAAGAGCGAGAGGAGCTCCGTCGAGAGGTGCGGCTCTTCAGCTCAGAGCAGCCGAACACACGCATCGCTGCTGAGCGGACCCCTTGGGAGGTTGGACGGGCAGCATGTATAGATTAGGCAGCAAGATAAGAGAGGGCAATAAGAGAGGGTAGCATATCGTAGCGCACTGCTACGCAGCGCTTCACGCCGGCGTCTGGGTGTAGACGTCGATGCGGCTGATGAGCGTGTCTGCGTACTGGAAGTACTCGTAGACGCGTGTCTTGGCGCCCGGGATCGGGATGGCGCCGTTGAGCAAGCCCGTGTCCTGCGGGCGGGATGTCAGCTCGGCGCCTCGCTGCGGCGCCCGGTGTACGCACGATCTTGTAGTTGACGAGCAGCGTGCCGTTGTCGAAGGCCGTGTACGCCTGCTCGTAGGCGCGGTAGGCGAGCGCCGAGGCGCCGAACTGCAGGCCGAGGCGCATGTCCGTCGCCGAGAAGGACGTCTGGAAGGGCCCGATGCCGTTGAACGTCTGCGCCAGTCAGAGTGTCAGTGCGTGCGGCGGCAGCAGTAAGAGTGTGAGAGACGGCAGTCAGCCTGCTCACCTCGAAGCGCTTGACGTCGTCGGTGAGTGGCACGCTGCGCAGGGCTGTTCAGCACGGGCAGCCACGGCACGCTGCGCCTGCCTCACGCATCGGCGTCGGCCTTGCTGTGCGTCGTGAGCGCCTTGATGTAGGCGTCGGCGCCAGCGCGCTTGCAAGTCGCATCGCACGCGCGGCGGGGCAGCGAGGCGGCGAGCGCCGACGAGCCGAGCAGCAGGAGGGCAAAGGAGAGCTGCATGGTGGTGGTGTGAGGAAGAGGGTTGCGGTGCGGTGTGGTGCACTAAGCGTGCCCAGCTCTCGGAGGGGCGTGTCCGCCGTGATTGATGAGCGCGCCGGCGGCGTGAGGGCCTTCGCGCGCCTGCTGCGAGCAAGCGGCTTGGCGGGGGAGCATCGCTTCCACGCAGAAGGAGCGGGCGTCGCAAGCGCTGCCGCTGCTGCGACTTGCGCTGCTGGCCCCGCACAGGTCCACAGCGCAGTCTTAGTGCGGCCACCATGCTGCGAGAAGCCCGCGGGAGTGGATGGCGTCGTCCGGCGGCGGATTATCCGGCCAGCCGGCGGCGGTACCGCGACGGGAGGGGATGGAGCCGTCGGCACGGCGTCCTAGCGCCGGCAGCATGCGCAGCGCCGTCCGGCAAGCCTCAGGAGTGCCTTGCCCTCGTCCCTTTGGGAGGCAAAAGCGTGCGCGCTGCCCTCATCCTCCTGATGCGAGGCAAAAGCGTGCCCCTGCGAGTAGGGCAAAATCAATTGCTTGGACGGGGAATCGAACCCCGGGCTCCCGCAACCGGTGCGATCACTCGCTTGTGGCAAGCGAGAATTTTACCACTAAACCACCCAAGCATCCATATTGACCGTCTCAATTAGACAATATATGAACTTTACTACAACGGAAGCAGCACGGCGAACGTAAGATGCTGACTCGCCATCGCGAGCCTCCGTTGAAACGTTATGGAGCTTAGGTGCTTTAGTGGAGCGCATTGTCAGTTGCTCTCTCACGAGTCTCGCTCACTTGACGTGTACCTAGGTCGTAGGAGAGCAGGGCACTCTCCTGCGTGCAGGACTCCTCGCCTTGCCGCAGTGAGCCCTGAGCCGTTGCCATCGCCTTGAGCAGAGAGCCACATCTGGAGCCTTCGGCCGCGGCCCTCTGGTCCTGCTGATCTCACCGTTGCTGACTTGCATCTTCCTTCCCGTGGCAGGACTCGTCTCGCTGCCTGTACTTGCATGCGCCGAGCGTGTCCATGACAGCCCGATGACAAGTCAGCACCTTTCCTCATTGAAGCGCTCCTGCCTCTCCTGGCTGCGTCGTGTGCTGCAGCGAGCCTCGACGGCGCCGTGCTCGTCCGGAGTGCATCACAGCTCGACGCTCGGTCGCGCTCGCAGGCCTAGTCCACGCACGAAGCCACGCAGCTGCGCACATCGATCACAACAGACGGCAAGAGCAAAGAGTAGCGTTGGATCGCGCCGGCCAGCAAAAGGGTAGGATGGGTGTGTACGACTTGCTACAGCGGGGACGACTTCGGTTGGGAGAGAGGGATCTTTTTCGCCACGGGCGCGCAGACGAGCGGGGAGAGGAAAAGAGGAGGAAAGGGCGCGCGCCCAGGCAGCGGGCGGCGCATTGGGCGGACGTGCGTGGACGTCCGCCGGTGCTGGGATGCGACGCCCGTGCGGCGAGCCACCGCAACTGACGTGCATCTCGCGTGCGTGCGCGCACGCTTAGCCGAGCGACGGGAAGGCGCTCTGGTCCTCGAGGTTGACGCTGGCGCCGGCGTTGCCGCCACGGCCGCCGCGCGGGGCAGCAGCGCCACGCGGGCCGCCACGGCCGCCACGGGCGCCGCGCTCGGCGCCGCGGAACGAGCCACGCTCGCCGCCACGGAAGGCACCGCGCTCGCCGCCACGGCCGCCACGGCCACCGCGCGCACCGCCGCGGCCGCCGCGCTCGGCACCGCCGGCGGGCTGGTTGAACGTCTGCTCGATCTCGAGCACCTGCCGCTCCTTCTTCTCGCGCGTGCGCCGGGCAGTCTCCTGCGGATGGAGGTGTCAGCGACGGCGAGCGAGCCACGCCGGCAGTCGTCGAAGGGCCATGCCACGCCTTGCACGCATGCACCCGCAGTGCGGCGCTGCACGCTCCGCACAGGCATCTCCCATGCTTCTTACACTCGACTCACCTTCTCCTTGGCGGCCCAGAAGTCCGTGTTGCCCTCGCCCTTCACGACCTTCTGGCCGAGGCTCGAGTCGTCCGTCTCGGCCTCGCGCAGCGGCTTGGCGGCGGCGCTGAGCTGGGCGCGCTTGGCCTTCTGCTCGGCCAGGTAGTCGTCGTACGTCTTGGTGTTGTCCTCCTCCTCCTCCGGCACGGGCGCGACGGCGGGCGCTGCGGCGCCGGCAGCGGCATCGTCGCCGTTGGCAATGGCGGGCTGCGCGGCAGCCTCGGCGGTGGCCGCAGCGCCCTCGGCGGCGGCGTCGGCGACGGCGTTCTGCTCGGCGGCGAGCTCGCGCTTGCCGTCCTCGCCGCCCCAGCCCTGGCGCAGGTTCTTGTCCGTGTCGCTGGAGCACGCCGTCAGATGCAGGCCACGTCGCCCCACGCCCGCCGGCACTCACACACGGTCCGTCTGCGAGTGACGGTCAAAGGCACGGCCGCGGCCGCGCGGTGCGCCGCGGCCACGGCCACGGCTGTCGGAGCCACGAGCGGGGCCTGCAGGTGGAGGATGATGAGCACGGCCCGTGCAGCGACGCAAGTGCGAGTCCGGCATCGCGAGCCTAGCCCATCATGCTCGACATCGACGGCCCAGCAGCATAATCCCACGCCGTGGCTGGCACCGCACCACTCCACACGAGTCCACTCACGACGCTCTCCGCGCACATCGCGCTGCTGCGCCAGCTCGGCATCCTCGGGGCCGGCGTTGGCGGCGGGGGCAGCGCCGCGCTGGGCACCACCGCGGGCGCCGCCGCGGCCAGCACCGCGCTGGTTGGCGCCGCCGCGAGCAGCAGCAGGGGCCGGGGCGGCACCGCCGGCGCCGACGACGTTGCGCTTGGGCGCAGCGGCCGGGGCTGCAGCAGCAGCCGGGGCAGCGGCGGGCGCGGGCGACGGTCCGTCGTCATCTGGAAGCAGTCGCGGTGAGCCAGGTCTGAGAATGCACCGTGCTGCTGCACGCGACTCACCGCCCAGCAGCGCGAAGGGGTTTCTGCTTGCGACCGACATACTTGTGCGGCCGACTTTGGCGCGTCGGAGAAGCTATGCGCGTGTGAAGGGGTGCGACACGAAAGGAGGGTCGGACTGCAAGGCCGGCGACGTGTCAGTGGGAAAGACGGGCGGCAGCATGGCCTCGCGCCCGTCGCGCCTCTCGCTCGCTGCGCATGGCACGTCACCACAGCAGAGGGTGCAGCAGATGTGCGATGCGGCCTGTGCTGCTGCGAAGACGCCCAGCAGACGCAGCAGAGCGCCTGCTCGCGGCGAGACGGGCGAGCTTCGCTGTGCGAGCGTCGCGCGTGCAGAGCTTCGCCGCAGCTCGCTGGCTGGCGGTGCGAGGAGCGCATATGTGCGCGACGGCGAGGCGCGGCGGTGCGGGCGGGCGGCGGCGACTGACCAGGCTCAGACAGGCGAGCGGCTGAGGTGGAGCGGGGAGAGGGGTGCTAGGGCGGGACGCAGGCAGCCGCGGCGGGTGCGGAGCTGCCTGGCCCGCCAGCGACGACGGCGGCGGCGGCGCGCTGCGACCAGCTCAGAAGCCTCGGGCGAGGCGGCACGCGCCGCGGCGGCCCCGCCAGACATCAGACGCAGCGCCGCGCGCCAGCGCAGGCGCACGCCCCACGCGGCCAGCGCCAGGCCGGCCAGCGGGCGCGACGGCCGCATCATGCCGCACGCTCCCGCTCCCGCATTTGCGTGATGACGTCGCCGCCGCCTCACATGCTAGGCTCTCGAGCAAGCTACACTTCCACAGCGCAGCCGTTCCCTCAACTTGCTATTTCGTGTGCAGGATGTGGCGGCAGCAGCGTCTTGGAGATGCCGCTGTGCGGGCCAGGCGCGCGCGGGAGCGACTCTCAGCGCGCGGGTCGCCAGCTTTCGCCTTCTCGATGCTGCGCTGCTCAAGGGGCCGCGATGGTCGAGGGCCGCACTGCATGACAGCTGGCACCTGCAGCAGTCGCAGCCGTAGCTGCATGGTCCTCTTGAGCAACTCTCTTCATCGCAGTGCTGGAAGTAGATCTGCGGTGCGAGTTGCAGGGCTGAGCTTGCGACGGCGGACGCCAGGCAGCCTGTGTCGGGAAGAGACAGTCGAGTCGAGATGCGCGAGCAGGGCTCCGGCTGTGCCCCACCCAGCCAGCACGGCGTCTTCAGCCTCCTCTCCAAAGCCGGTCCTCACTGCATATCTCGCAGCCTGGAGTGCAGCGTCGTCTGTTGCCCTGTCTCTGAGGAGCAGCAGGGGTTACGTCGCTGGCGCGGGAACAGAGCGGGCGCACCACGTGACGCGTGCCCGCCGCAGCAGCCCTGCCGCGCGCCAGCCGTTCCCACGCAATGCCGCGGCTCTCAAAGGCGCCGCGCCCGCTCGAGCCTAGCCGTGGCGCTGACATCGCTGAGCTTCGGATGCCGCACGCTGGAGCATCGAGGTGTGCGTATGTGCATCGTTTTCAGCGGTGACGCGCAAGGCGCTGCCAAAGGGAGAGACGTGTGTGTGGTGGGTCGTCACTGAGAGAAGAAAAGGGGGGCGGGGATGGGGGACAGGGGCCAGGCGAGAGAGCGGAGCGGTCAAAAGGGGAGTGGGTGGGCGCCGGAGAGCGCGCGCCTAGTAGGCGCCAGCGGTGGCCGGGGCCTCGGCCACGGCGTCGCCCTCCTGCGGCGCCACCTCGGCGGCCGGCGGCGCAGCGACGGGCATGCGCGACTCGGACATGGGCTGCGCAATCGGCTGCTCCTCCTTGGGCTCGAGGATGGTGACCGCGTCGGGCAGCGGGAACGGCTTGCCGGTGCGGCCCTCCGGGTCCCAGCCCTGCATGCTGTGGCGCGACAGTGTGTGAGCATATGGGAGGGCACATGCCATGCAACGTCGCTCCATCTCGTCGCCGTCTCATCGCCACCCCTCGCCGTGGCCCTCTTCCCACATTGCACGTCGCAGCTACTCACATCTTGACCTTGATGCCCAGCACACCCTGCTTCATCAGCACGTGGCGCACGGCCTCGTCGACAAAGTCGCGGCACGGCTGGCCGGAGTGGATCATGAAGCCGTCGGTGAACTTCATCGACTTGGCACGCGCAGCACGCAGCTTGCCCGAGATGACGACCTCGCAGCCCTTGGCGCCGCTCTCCATGACGAAGCGCAGCACACCGTAGGCGGCGCGGCGCACGGCAAGGCCGCCGAGCAGCTTGTAGCGCAGGCTCTCGCACTGCGCAACGGCGTGCAGGCCGCGGTTCTGCACCTTCTCGGCGTAGAGCTCGAGCGAGTTGTCGGGGAACTTGAAGCGCTTCTGCACGAGCGCCGTGAGCTCGCGGATGCGGCGGCCCTTGTCGCCGAGCACCTCCTGCGTGTGCGTGGCGCGGATGATGATCTCGGTGCGCGCGTGGGTCACGCGGACCTCGCAGCCGGAGTAGCCCTCCTCGGAGAGCTCGCGCGTGAAGAACTCGCCGAGCTCGGCGGCGAACACACCGTCAGCCACGAACTGCGCGTGGGCGTTAGTGGCATGAATGTGGCGGCAGCATCGGCAGTGCGGCGCGCACCTTTCTGCGCTTGGAGATGTTCTGCGCCATGATGATTCTTGAGGGGAGGTGGTGGGGGTCGCGAGCCAGACGCGGCGGCGGCGAGGCAGCAGCTGCAGCCACGGTGCGCCGCGTGAGCGACTCTTTTGCGTTGGCGCGGCGTCTGGCAGGAGCGGCACGGCGGCAGGGCAGCAGCGCTGCACACCCGCAGCACCGCGCCGCTTCCTCTCGGCCGGCTGCGAAATCTGGCGCGCGCCGCCCAACACCCCTTCGCGCTTGGCAGCCTTCAGCCTCGTCCACCACACCCTCGAGGCGCGAAGTGAGTCCCCTCCCGCACCGCACGCAGCAGCAGCGCGAGCACGCGGCGATGAAGAGCGGCGCACATTACGCGCCTTTAAACTGGCACCTCTTATTGTCAGGCGGCCTGCCGCTATGGCGCACCCGCGACCACACTCGCACCCGCGTCGGCACGGCCGTCGATGCTCCTCACTCTGCATATCTGAGCCGTCTTTCTCTCGCTCGCTGCTGCTGCGCGTGCAATGCCGTGCACGTCGTACAAGCGCTGACACGCCTCGTCTCGCTTGCAGCTGCGACGTGTCTGCGGCAGGTCCTCGCGCGGCGGCGTGTCAATGTCATGCCTTCGCACTGCTTTCGTGTGCCGGGCCGCAGAGGATGGGCAGTCGGGGGTGCGACTGGGTCCGAGCCCACAGTAAGCCGTACCAGCCCACTTCCGCGTTCGCCTAGCGCGCTCGTGATGGGGCTCGGGCATCGCAGCCGGGGCACCGCCGTGCCGCCGCCCTCATCTGTGCGCGGGTGATGAATGTGTCCTCGTCGCTCTCCTCAGCTCTCTCGCTTCTCTCTGCGCTACCATCTGTCGCCGAGCCCTACCATCTCTCAACAACTCATGCCAGCCATGGTTTGCTTCTCGTCCGCCTCCTCGCGAGCACGACTGACTCCTAGCGCAGAAGAAACGCGAAGCGAGCGAGGAGGCGCACGACGTCGCTGCCAAGAGTGCCGTGCGTGCGCTCGCCATGTGGCTGCGGCCTGCTGCGTCTGACGCTTGCTGTCCAGGCATTCGACGACGACGCCGCGGTGGAGCTGAACTACGCCATCCGCAAGGTGATCACTGCGCACGCCAACGAAGTGAGCGCGCTGCCGCCGTTGGCCTCGCCGACACTGCGGGTACTCACCACCACTCTGTGCCCAGCTGTACGATCACGCGCCCTCGCTTGTGCAGTTCAGAGCCAAGGGCCGCATCCACCGCCACATTGGCACGCTCCTGGGCAGCGCCCGCGCCGGCGCAGAGGCGGGCCGCCGCTTCGAGGCCGACAAGAAGGCCGCTGCGGCGCCCGAGAAGAACTCGGCCACACCGAGCCCCAAGAAGGCCAAGCACGAGTGACGTGGATGTTGGCTGAAGCGACAATGAGAGATGAGCTCGTTCTGCCGACTGTGTGAGAGCTGCGCAAGGTGCTTGCTGCGGACTCGACGTGCGTCCGTCTGTCGTGCCTCACACACCCAGCATCGCAACCTCCAATCTCGTTCTTGCTCCAGCCTTGCGGTGTTCAAGTGACAGCGGAGCGCCTCTCTCTCTCTTGAGCGCTCAGCGTCCGCTCCGCTGGGTGGTGGAGCACGTCTTGAGGCGAGCGTGCATAGAGTCGCAGAGATGGCAGTCGTTGGTGAGCGGCGCCCGCGTGCCCACCAGCCGCCGGCCGCTGCGGACAATAGCAGCGCTCACAGCCGGCAGCGGCCGCTCCGCTTGTGGCTGAGCCGCCGCGAGCTACACTGCATCGCGATTCTCCAAGAGGCCGAGCGTGGCAGACCCTTGCCAGTCGGATGGGCGCTGCTGATGCTGCTGCCAGTGCGAGGCGAGGCGAGGCGAGCCGGCGGCACGCGCCTCGGCGCGGCAGAGGCGCTGCCGGCGGCATGCAGCGCGCCTCGGCAGCAGCGCCGAGCCGCGCGTGTTGGTGTCGTGTTGCTCTGCTCCTCCTCAAGCGCCAGCGTCCTTCTGGCCCCATGAGCACGGCACACGCCGCACCCGCAACCATGCATGGCCGTACTGACATCACACACGGCGCTTATGCACCGCAGAGCGTGATGTCGGGTCGCTGTCGTCGAAGGAAGGCGCACCTCATCTCGCACCCGCCGCCGCCGGCGCGCGCTCAAGCCGCCGGGGCGCCGACGCCACACAGCCGCAGCTCGCTCAGGAGTGGCGCCGCAGCCCCGAGGTCCGCAAAGAGGCCGCTCGGCAGGCTTTGCTCGAGCGACAGGGGCAGCACCCGTCTGTGGGCCAGATCTGGCAACAAAGGCCTCAGAAAAGGCCTCCTGCTCCGCACTTGATCTCGCAGTCAAGAGTCAGCGGCCTTCTTGTCCTCTCACCTCTCGCCCATCTCTCGCTTCTCTTCCACCTCTCGCTCTCGCTCTCGCTCTCTCGCTCAAGCACCACCACACTCCTTGCACCATGTCGCTCCTTCGTGCTCTTCTCTTCGTCGCCGTGCTGGCTGCCAGCGTCTTCGCACAGGCGTCCAATGACAACCCCGTGCGTCGCGCGTGACCTGCACTGCCTCGCCAGTGCTAATGCAGGCGGTCTTCTAGAATGGCAAGACGCTCTACGTCTCGGAGTGAGTGAGCAATCGCCCTGCGCACTTGGCGCTGCTGCTGACGACATCTACTCGGCAGCCCGCACTGCAACTCGTACCAGGTGCGCCTGCCCGAAGCTCACCATGCCCGCGCTGTGCTCACTGCCCCGTGCAGTGCCGTGTCAACTGGCGCCAGGGACAGGACGTGTTCGTCAAGTGCGTTCTGATGCTCTGCTACGGCTGCGCTCGCACGCTGACACCACTGCGATCACAGCTGGATCAATGCGCCGCGCGGCAAGCTCGACATTCAGCTCGCGCCCGAGTCGGACCAGAGTCTGCCAACGTGTGAGTGCAGCAGCACCACACTGCACTTGTCGGCAAATGCCTTACCTCTCGCGACGCTCAGACACGCTCGCGTCCAACATCGGCGCCGTGCACGGCAAGGCCACGGTGCGTGGCACGCAGACTCCCGTCGCTGCAGTCAGGACAGTGCTGATGCTTGCCGCTGCAGTGCAACAACGCCGGCACGGGCAAGCGCTGCGGCCGCTGGGACGGAAAGGTGCCCGCCGACGTGCGGCCAGGCGGTGAGTGCCTGTGTCGCTGCTTTGAGAGATGCACCTGCTGAGAGAGCACTTTCCGGCGCAGAGTACAGCATCGTCGTCAAGAGCCTCAGCAGCAACGCCGTCGGCTACACGGACGTCATCCGCGTGCGCGTCGCCAAGAAGGACCAGCGCCGCCGCCTGCCGGAGCAGCTCGACGACGACGTCGAGGCCTGAGCGTCACAGCACCAGCACTGTCCGACTCACATACCACCGCCTCATCACTCATCTAGACCCATCACTGCCGCTGCCCTTCTGCGCGCGCACCACATCACATCAAGACCAGCACCACCACCTCATTCGGATACGACGAGAAAAATGCATTAATGACCGCGAGCTTGGATGAGACGGGACGGGTGTGACAGATGAGGTGCGCATCAGAGTGCGAGAGGAGGAAGAAACGAGCGCGAAGAGCGCATGTGTGGGATGCTGAGCGAATGCAGTGGGCAGAAGAGACGCCGCTGTGTGGTGTGTAGGGTGCATGTGGAAGGATGCTGAGGTGCGCTTGGTCGGGCGCGATGGGCTGGGCTGAGGTGCGGAGAAGCCGCAGATGGACGCGAGGAGTGGCTCGCTGTGGGCTTCGGGTGGTGGGTCCGAGTATGGAGGGTGCAAGGCACTGACGTCGAGAGGCGAGACGTCGCCGAGCATGATGGCGCGAGTGGGCGCGTGGAGGCGCAGAGGAACGCAGGGAGCCGACGCAGCAAAGGCGCCGCTGCGCGTCCTGTCAGGCAGCCGTCGTCTGCTCGGCCTCGACGAGCGGCGACGAGGGCGCACCGGCAGCCGGCGGCGTGGTCTCGGCAGCGACGGCAGCGGCAGCGGCGGGTGCTAGCGGCTGCGATGAGGCGCGCGGCGAGGAGCGACGACGGTCGCCGTGGCTCGAGCGTCGCGGCGCACGCGTGCTGCTGCTGTTGTCGCGCGGCGGCAGGCCGAAGCCGAAGAGGGCACCGATCAGGCGGGCGTCCTCGTTCTGCTTGCGGCTCAGCAGCTTGGCGCCGCCCTCGGCCAGGTCGTGCGCCGAGCTGATGGACGAGGCCAGTGGCCGCACCGTGGCGATGCTGGTGGAGCTGTCGAACGAGTGCAGCGGCGGCCGGGTCGTGCCGGCAGCCTGGGCGGCAGCGTCACGCGTCATGCCCGTGCCCGGCGGCATGTCCTCGGCGAGCTGCGCCAGGGCGCCGTTGAGCTCTGTCCAGGAGCGGTGCTGCAGGCGCAGGGCGCCCAGCGAGAGCTCGGCATCGCCCGATGCCGACGTAGAGGCGCGGGCGCCAAAGGCGTCGCGCAGCCCGACGTCGTGACCACGCGTGGCCGAGCCGGCCTCCACGCGGGCGACGTAGGAGTTGAGCGGCGCAGCGGCGGAGAGGGCACTGCGAGAGTCGGCGCGCAGCGTGGCGACGGCGGTGCGCAGAGAGGACTGCACGTCCTGTAGGCGCCAAGAGCACGCATGAGCGGCCTGACAACAGCGAGACGCAGCAGCGAACACTCACGTTCAACGTCGCGAACCACTCCGTGGCCTTTGCCTCGAAGGCACGGACCCGCTCGGCGCCCGTGCCGACGGAGAGGATGTCGTCCTCTGCGCCGTCGTCGCCGAGCTGCTGCGTCGTCTGGGCGGTGCGCCGGTCGATGTCGGACGCGACGGAGACGAGCGTGGAGAGCGAGCCGGCAGCCTGCGAGAGGAGCGAGGCGAGGTGCTGCGGTGCCAGGTGTGAGCCCAAGCGACGGCAGAGAAGCGGCTTCGCCAGGCACTCACCTCGTCGCACTCCTTCAGACGGTCGATGGCGCGCTCCTTCTTCTCGTTGCTGGCGCGCCGGCGCTGCATCTCGGCGCGCTCGCTCTCGCTCGCCGCCGGGCTGGTGCTGCCGCTGGCGAGGCGCGGCGAGGGCGCCCGGCGCAGCACGTAGCTGCTGCCCTGCGCGCTGTTGCTGCGGCTGCTGCTGGCGCTGCCCGGCGCCGGCGGCGCGAGCGCGGCGCCCGCCGACGAGGTGGAGGAGCTGGCGTGCGCGTCCATGCTGGGCGTCGAGGTCAGCGGCGAGACGAGCGGCGAGCGCGGAGGGTGCGGAGTGAGAGGAGTAAGGAGGATGCGATGCTGGTGGGAGTGGCAGGCAGAGCAGCGGAGACGGCGCCGCCTTATGGGGGCTGCCGGGCGCAGCGGCAGCACGATGAGCACGAGGGGCGGAGTCTGGAAGCACGATGCAAGCGCAGCGGCGGCGGCGCGGCGGCGGCACGCGGCGGTGCAGCGCAGCGCATGCATCTCGCAGGCGCGACGTCGTTAAACTCGCACGCCTGCCAGCGGTGACAGGCGCTCCTGCAGCCGCCGCAGGGCGCCCGCGCCGTGCCGCACACATCAGCTGCTCGGTACACTCCACGCTGCGGCGAGCCAACATCAGGCAAGCGCAACAGCAAGGCGAGAGCCCGAGAGGGCAGCCAGAGTTTGGCGGCAGGGCGGCGCTGATGGCCTGCAGGGGCGGGCAGCGCCGCAGCGCAAGATGCGGCGCCGCCGCCGACGCCCGCACCGCGGCGCAAGCTCGGCCTCGGGCTCGGGCGCGACGCCGCACGGCACAGCGGCCGCCGCAGCGTCACAGAGGCTGGCAGCAAGCAGCGGCACCGCGATGGTCCTCTCGTGCCCCCATCTGATCCGCAGCCGCCATCGCCCGCACCGCACAAGCACGGCCTCCAAGCCTCTGACAGCAGCGGCATGTGCAGTGCGCAGGAAAGCGCGCCTCGCGGAGAGAGCGATGGCGGCTCTTGAGCGCGCTGTTCGCCCGCTGGTGACGCCACGGTCGCACCGCGGCAGGAGAGATGCTCGCGCCTCGCGCCTCTCCCCACGCCTGCGAGACGACCGCTCCCAGATTCCTTGCTGGGCCGCCGCCGTTGTGCCTGCCGCTGCTTGAGCCTCCGCAGGCCCGCAGCGTCAGGCTAAAAGCGTGCCTGGCACGGCGTCTGGCAGATGCAACGGCGAGCTCGCAGCTCGGCCTCGCCCTTTTTCCGCTGGAGGCGCATGCGGGCACGGCGCCTGCAGCGCGGGCGCGTGGGAGCAGCGTCGTATGAGCGGCGAGCGGCCGGCGACCCGCGCGCGTGCCGCTGCATGGGCCCCAGCACCAGGCCCTCGTCGCCGTCGCCGGCTTGCTGGTGAGCCCTGGACAGCCTTCGAGTCCCGCTGCTCTGCCAGCAATCACAGACGCAGGGTGCAGCGCCGCTGGCGTCAGCAGCTGGCATGCGCGGCGCCGAGGTATGGAGGCCGCTGCGTGCGAGTTGGCCGCGCTCCACCACCTCCTCCAAGTCCGCCCTCCTCGCCTGAACATCGGGGCGCAAGAGAGGCCGCGGCTGCTTGCTGGGGGCGCACCCGCTGCGACATGGCCGTTGCAGAGCTCCTGCATCTGCCGATTGCAGCAGGATGAATAGAAGCGTCGCACTGCCCGGCTCATCTTCGGCTGAGACGTGAGGCGCAGAGCGCGCAAGAGGCGCCCGCTCGCGCGCCTATGGCGTGTGGCAGAGGGCGGGCAGATCGCGGCGCTTCGGGCCGACCAGCGGCGGCGCGGCTGAAGCAGCGAAGGCGCGGCGGCACCGCTTCTTGCTCTGCTGCGCGCGCCCTCCCGCCGGCACCGCACGCATCGTCCGGAGATCTCGATGTGCGGCTCGCCATCGAGGGTGCGCCGCCGCGGCTTGCGCTGCGAGCACTGCTGGCTGCACGTTGCCGCAGCAAGGATATTTGCAACGCCCTGGGCGGCGCCTTCCCCGCATCAGGACGCGATGGTCGGCGACGCAGCTTGCTAGCGCAGCCTCGGGTCGCCTGTGCAGCTGCAGCTGGGGCCCAGGGTGTGGGGAGGGCTGGGCTCGCAGGAGACACCGCGTGCAGACGCCGGCCTGTCAAGCGGGCCTTGGACGCTGCCAAGGCGCTCCGACGCGCCTGCTCCCAGCCGCCAGGAGGCTGCCTCGATCAGGCAGCGAGGATCAGAGCTGGCGTCACGAGGCGGCGCCGAGCTGCAGGCGCACGCTCCGCAGCGCGGCGATCATGCGGCGCGCGCCGCACGACGCCTCTCTTCGGCCCGCGCCCGCGCCGCGATCGCAGCTGCTGCAGGCGCCTTCTCTGCGTGGCTGCGCTGCCATCGGGCGGAGTGTGGCGCCCATGACGGCGTGGCGAGCCTGCTGTGCATCGCACACCCCTCGTTCCGCTGCACGGCCGACGTCGGCGACATTTCACACACGTTCCGACACGCTGGTGCACATGCTGCAAATAACAGATTCCTGCGTCTTCCGACGGCTGCGGCGGAGAGATACATGCAGGGGCGCGCGTGCGGCTCGATGCGCCAGCTGTGGCGCAGAGCACACACTACTTGCTCTGTGAGAGGCGTGGAGGTGGGGATGCAGACGGAGCAAGAGATGGAGAGAACGAACGAATGACACGGCAAGAGATGCGGAACATGGATGGAAGCGCAGGCGATCTACGCCTACGCCGCCTGGCCCGTGGCGCCCTTGCGGTACGTGAAGGGCTGCGAGAGGAAGCTGTCGTAGTTCTTCGCCAGCTTGGCGTCGGTGAGCGCGCGCTGGGCGCGGATGAGGATGCGGTACGTGCCCTCAGGGACGGTCTGCGTCGCGCCCGTCTTGGCATCGTAGTAGCGGTCGCTGATGCGGTAGTTGACCTCGGGCAGCGAGGCGTCCTCCGTCGTGCGCGACGTCCAGCGCTCCGAGACGAAGCGGCCGAGCGTTGCGGCGTCGGTGAACAGCGGGCCCTGCTGCTGCTGCGGCGGCTGCGCGGGCGTCGTGCTGTTCGACGGCGGCGCCGGAGGCTTGCCGGGGCCGTTGCTCGGCGGCGTCGGGCCCTTGCCGGGGCCGTTGGACGGCGGTGTCGGACCCTTGCCGGGTGCGCCCTTGGACGGGCCGTCCTTGGGCGGAGCAGGTGCCGCCGGACCGGCCTTGACCTCGGCAGCGGCGGCGGCGCGTGCGGCGTGCAGCGCACGCTCGTGGCGGCTGCGGCGGCGCACGAGGCGGTCGACGGGGTCGAGCAGGCTGCGGCGGGCGCTGGCGCTGTGCGTGATCGTCGGCTGGAACGTGCTGTTCTCGGCCACGAGGGAGATGTCGAGCAGCGGCGAGCCGTACGTGTAGCGCAGCCACACGAACGGCTGCGCGCCGGGCGCCGAGAGGTCGAACTCGAGCTTGTCGGCGGCCGTGAACGTCTTGTTCTGGTTCGAGAGCAGCGCCGGCAGCGGGTAGTCCTCAAAGTACGACGACGAGTCGAGCACGGGGCGCGCGGCGACGCTGGCCGCCAGGCCCATGTACGGCACCGTCACGGTGCTGCCGTCCTTCTCGCCGCGCGCAATGACGGCGCCCGAGTAGAGCGGCAGCGTGTCCTGGTTCGTCGCCGGCGCCGTGAAGGTGACGAGCACCTTGCCCGACTGGCCGGGCGCCAGCACGAGCGTCGGCGGCAGGAACGTGGCCGTGGCCGCGTCGCCGCCGAGCGGCACGGGGAAGATGTTGAAGTAGGTGTAGCCGGCGACGCTGTTGTTGGCCGTGATGGCCGTGCCGGCAGGCTCGTGCACGAGCGTGTACTTGTTCAGCTCCTTGCCCGTGTTGCGGATTGTAATCGTCTGCGCGCCCTGGAAGTTGGCCGTGTCGTTGAGCGCCAGCTGGCCGGGCGTCACCGTCGTCGTGCCGAACACGGCGTTGTACGTGTTGATGAGGCCCGAGCCCGTGCGGCCGACAGAGGCCGTGGGCGCGCCCGAGGCCTTGGACTCGGGGATCTTCGACGACGAGGCCTGCAGGCGCGAGCGCAGCTGCGCCGTCGAGAGCTTGCCCTTGCCGGCGTTGGCCATGATCTGCGCGACGGAGCCCGAGATGAACGGCGCGGCCATGCTGGTGCCGCTGATGATCGAGTAGCTGCCGAGCGCGCGCGGCCACGTCGAGAGGATGTTGCCGCCGGGCGCAGCGACGTGCGGCGCGTAGTCGAGCTCGTTGGACGGGCCGAAGTTGGTGAAGGAGCTCAGCAGGCCGCCGTCGACGGTGTTGGGCACCGTGAGCGCGGCGCCGGCCTCGAAGGTGATCGTCGGGTTCTGGCCGGCGGCAAAGGCCTGCTGCAGCTTGATGGCGTCGTCGCGCAGCAGCGTCGCCGCCTGCTGGCCCTTGATGGCGCTGACGTACGTGATGGCCGCCGGAGGCGGCGTGTTGCCGACGAGCACGACCTTGCCGCCCTTGGCGGCGATGTTCTGGAACTTGGTGACGAAGGTGCAGGTGCCGCGGAAGACGAGGACGACCTTGTCGCTCAGGTCCGGCGTGCTGTCGGGCAGCGGCGAGCAGCCGTCGTTGGCGACGGGCGTCGTGGTGAGCGCGTAGAGCGGCAGCGTCGGGTTGTCGAGCTTGAACGGCTGGCTCGTGAGCACGGTGAGCTGCGTGAAGCCGGGCACGTTGTTGACCTTGGCCTCGTAGCCCGTCAGCTCCGTGTTCTGCACGGCGGCAACGTTGATGCCGGCCGACGTCGTGCCGGGCGACGAGCCGAAGAAGGCGCCGCTCGAGCCCGAGTTGCCGGCCGAGATGACGACGGGCACGCCGTAGCTCGAGATGCGCGAGGCGACGAGCGACGTGGGCGCTTGGGCCCAGCCCTGCGGACCGCCAATTGAGATGCTGATGATGTCGACACCGTCGGTGAAGGCGCGGCTCATGCCGGCAATGAGCACGTCGTCAGTCGTCGAGGTGCGCTCGCCGCAGCCAAAGACGCGGAACATCTTGCCCTTGGCCTCGGGCACGACGCCGGTGAAGCCGAGCGTCTTGTCGTTGGCGATGATGGTGCCCATGACGTGCGTGCCGTGGCCGCTGCCCTCGCAGTCGGCGAAGGGGTCGCTGTCCGGCACGGGCACCGAGTCGTCGGCGCCCGTGTATGCGTCGCCCACGAGGTCGTAGCCGCCGACGATCTGGCACTCGGCGTCGCCGAAGCAGCGCGTGCCGGCGGCGCGGCCGCCGTTGAGCGCCGGGTGCGTGTAGTCGATGCCCGTGTCGAGCACGCCGACGGTGATGCCCTTGCCGAAGAGGCCGAGCGCGTGCAGCTTGTCGACGCCCGTCATGACGTGCGGCGCAAACGTGTCGTTGCGCGTCGGGCTGGTGCCGCCGGTGCTGGCGCTGACGAACGAGTCGGCTGCCGTGCTCGCCTCGAAGGCGGCCGGGCGGTAGCGGCGCAGCGGGTACACGGCACGCACGCCCTGCGCGCTCTGCAGCGCCGCCACGTCGTCGGGGTTGTCGAGGCGCAGGCTCATGCCGACGAAGATGCGCGGGTCGGTGAAGTCGCGGCGGTGGTCGTACTTGATGCCGCCGCGCGGCGCCCGGCGCAGCAGCTCGCGGAAGGCGGCGTGCGGCGAGACGTCGCGCTTGCCGAAGGTGGCCGACTTGACGTTGTCGTTCGACTCAAACTCGACCTGCAGGAGAGAGGTGTCAGTGCGAGACAGCGCAGGACAGCGAGCACGACGCACCAGGTAGCCGCCCGTGACGAAGCTGTCGTCGGCGGCCGCCGCGATGGCCTCCGGCACGGCGCCGGACGAGCGCTGGTTGTCGGTGGAAGCCGCGACGGGGCCCAGCGGGCTGTATGCCTCGGGACCGGCGAGGTCGGGATTGGAGACGAGGCCGCGCGCCGACACGGCGGGCGACGCCGCGGCCAGCAGCGCGAGGAGCGGCAGCGAGAACTTCATGGTGGTGGAGCTGTGTGGGTCTGAAGGAGAGTCGACAGCGAGGCAGCGCTGCGGCTGATGGGGAACACACTTGGCGGGCGCCTTGAGGGCGGTGGGATACGGCTGCGGGGGAGAGGAAGGAGAGCGAGCGTCTGAGGAATCGGGGCTGCGACGACGAGCGAGGCGTGCTCTATATAGGCGTCGAGGGCGGCGTGGCCGGTCGTGCCCCCTGGGCAGAGATGAGGCGCCGTGCGGCGTCGCTGCACGGCAGCCGCTGCGCAGCATCTACGCGGCGCAGGCGCCCAACGCGCGTCCCAGCCGCCGCAGCATCGCCGCGCTGCGCCCGATAACGCAGCCAGCGACAGCAGGTGGGCACTAGTCGAGTGCCTGGCTGGCGACGCTTGCGTAGGCTGCGCTGTTCGGCCGCCGCGGGCAGCGAGGTGCCATGCGAGAGGGGGTGCAGGCGCAGGCGCAGCGGAGCGGGCGCGAGAGTCTCTCTGCGCCGCCGCGCCGCGCCGCTGCCGCTGCGCCGTGGCGGCACTCTTGGCGGCGCGCGCACGGACTTGCCCCTCTGCGCCCTCGCTGCCGGCGGCCGGCGCCTGTCTGGCACTTGCGAAGGCTGCGCATGATTGCATCAAATGCCGCACCAGCCGCGGCAGGCGGGCCGGAGCATGCGAATGTGCGGATGCTGCACGCCGCGCGGGCGTACGAGCAGCGACGGGGCAAGTCCGTGGGTGCGAGGAGAGCGGAGGGAAGAGCGGCGCTAGAACGCGCTCTGCAGACACGCGAAGGCGACCACGCGCCGCTGCCTCGGCCATCCGCCGCAGCAGCAGGCGCGCCTCCTCCCATGACGGCCCATCTGCATCGCTATCGCAGCTCGCCTCGCCGCCGCTCACTCGCTCTCGCGCCACCTCCTTTGTCAGACTGCGCCCTCGGGCATTGCGTGCCAAAGCGTGAGCGATAGCCGTCTCGGCCCTCCAAGGAGGCGCCTGACCACCGATGACCACCACGCATCACATCACGAGACGAGCTTGCTTGATGACTTGCGTCAGCGGTGCTCATCAGCCGGCAGCTCTGATGCGCAGCCCGCCCAGCGAGCCGCGAAGCGCCCACCATCGAACACGCAGCGCCTCCAGACCGAGAGAGAGGAGGTGATGCGGCGTGCTCGTCGTCGCCGCCTCTCGCTCGCTCTTCCCATCTCCGCGCGCTAGCAAGCGCACGCTAACGCGGGACGTGCGGCAGGGTGCAGGTCGCAGGATGCGCCGCTCGGCCTCGGCGCCGAAGAGCGCGCGAGATGCGCGCGTCGCGGTGGCTGACGCGCTCGCGTGCTCGCCGCGTGCTCGCGAATGCGAGATGCTCCTCGGCCGGTGACTGCTCCGCTGCCCCTGGGGGTGCATTCCTCATGGGCAGCGCCAGGCGCGCAGCGCTCCTACTCCTCGTGCAGCCCATGATATCTCCCTCTCGCACCGGAGGCACGCCCGCCACGCCCGTCGCATGCCGTGCGGCGCTCCCACTCCGCAACGACGCTAGAAGAAAGTGTGTGGCACACCTCTGCAGGCCGCACCCTTGCGCATTCATGCTCCCGCTGCTCGGCTTTGCTGCTCGTGTGCCAACGACACTTCCCGCGGAGCGGACGGCGAGAAAGGGCCGCCAACGATGCATGGCCTGCAGGCGAGGGTGCCGCTACCCCACACTTACCTCTCGCTGGTCCTTCGCCCTCATCCCAGCAGCTCCGCCGCTCCGGCAGCCGGCCCGCCTTCCCGCCGGCTCGTGTCTTCTCAGCTGGCCAATCGGCACCGTCCTCTCAGCTCCGCAATCCGAGCGGCTATCCTGCGCAGTGCGCGCCCGAGCGTGTTGCGCCGTCGCCCCTCGCAGCAGAGAGGAACAGAAGGGTTGCAGCTCCGCCTGCACTGAGTGTTGCTTTGTCTCGCGCACGACCTCGCTGACTCTCGCACCTCGCTGTTGGATGTCGCAGGGCCCGGCGTCCTGCTCGGCTCGCGAAGGAAGCCAGATGTGCGTCTCAGCGTTCATGCGCGCGCGGCAAGCTTCCCTCGCGCCCGGGCGACAGACCGCGGCGCCCGTGTCCGTCTTTCCCTCTGCGAGGCAAGCAGGACATGTCACGCGAGAGAAGCATCAAGGCTCCTGATTATGGAGGGAAAAGAAGGCAAGCCTGCCTGTCGCACGTCACGCTGTGGCGCGATGAGGAATGCGAGCCTGCTGCGACGGCCCCACGCGATGCGGCCCAGAGGGAGACGCGTCGGCGCCATCGCAACGGCGCTCAGTGCCTTCCTGTGGGCGCCGCAAGACGTGATCGCCGCATCCAGTCTCGGAGACGATCAGCACACAGCATCACAGCTTAGGCGAGGCTGCAATAAGAGCAGCTCCGAGGGTGTGCGGGGCAAAAAGAAGCGCATGCGCAGGGCCAGACCCGCAAAGTGCAAAAAGAATTCGACAACAGCAGTATTCGAAACTGCGCGGGAAATCCCATTTGCTACCAGTAGATCTGGTTCGAAGTTAATTCGAGGCAAACGCCTTAACCGCTCGGCCATGTTGCCCTTAGTTCATGTCAGCGGCTTGGACTGTTGCGTACATAAACGTGTAGCAAAACAAGCTGAGATGCCAGCTCGAGCGCCGCATGCTTCTTCACGCTCCGCAGGCAGACGCTCTGCCTCCTCCACCTTCGACCTTCATCTCCCCCCACACGCCATGGCCAGCGCAGATCCCGAGGCGCGCGCCGCCGTGCTCGTCGAGGAGCTCGAGGTGCTGCAGTCGATCTACGTCGACGAGCTCGAGCGTGCGTGTGGCCAGCCTGCGGTGTCGGCCGGTCTCACAGCGAGCTCACTCGCTCCTCTCAGTCGTCGATCCGGACAACGAGTCGCTGCGCATCCGGGTAGAGGCGGAAGAGGGCACCTACAGCGCCGAGAGCGAGCGTGCGTAACATGCGCAGGTACGCAGCTCTCATCTGCGCCCATGCTGACGCCCGGCGCAACAGCCATCGTGCTCTCGCTGCTCATCACCTACTCGCCCAACTACCCCGACGAGGCGCCCGAGATGGCCGTCGAGCTGCTGGAGGGCGAGTTCGACGATGACGGGCTGAGAGAGATGGAGCGGGAGCTGCAGGGCGTGGTGAGTGCATGGCGAAGATCACAGGCGGTCAGAGGACGCAGCGTGCGCCCGCAGGCGAGAGCATCGAGCACGCATGCGCTGTCTCTGAAACAGGGAGGGCGCCCTACGAAGACGCGAGCCTCGTGAGGGAAGCGAAGCGGCGCTTCAGGCATGAGCGCGGCTTCGGAGCAGTGCAGTCTGCGGATGGAGACAACTGTCTGGCCGCGCAGCACGTTCGACCGCCCTCCACCAGCCAGCCTCTGATCTCTTTCCATCAGGCGGAAGAGTCGCTCGGCATGGCGATGGTCTTCACCCTCGCTTCACATCTGCGGGACGCCCTCACGAACTATCTGCAGCGCGAGAAGGAGGCAAAGGCAGCGGAGGAGGCAAGGCGGAGAGACGCAGAGATCGAGGTGAGTTGCGCTGCTGTGACCAAGAGGCTGGACGCCGGGAGATGCCGAGAGCAGTGCCGGCATGCTGCACCCCTGCGAAGGTCAACGAGCCTGGCCGTCCGAGTCGCAGAGCGCATTCAGCTTCGGTCTGCTTGGAGTCAAGGGTGCCCTGCCTCGCTGGCCAAAGACTCGGTCTTGATCAATGGCATGCGGCTGGCATGCGCTGCTCTCTCACACCGGGTACCGAGCACTCTTGTGCAGCCTGAAGTCTTCATTGCATGTCCATTGCTGACTCAAGTTGCGCAGGCCGAGGCAGAAAAGTTCCGCGGCACAGCCGTGACACCCGAGCGTTTCGCCGCCTGGCGGGTTGCGTTCGAAAAGGAGATGGCTGCTGCGGCCGCCAAGGCCGAGGAGGAGCGGATCCGCCGGGAATACAAGACGGCAAAGGTGCGTCTCTCCAGTGCCATGGGATAGCAGACAGCTGATTGTGCATCGCAGGAGCGGGAAGAGTACCGCAAGCTGCAACAGCGGCCGACCGGCAAGGAGCTGTTCCAGAAGGGCGGCCTGCACTCCGACAAGAGCCTCGACCACGACGACGAGGCGGGTGCCGAGGGCGAAGAGCTGGACCTCTCGCAGTTCGGCTCGCGCGAGGAGCGGGAGAAGCTGCGGCGGGAAGAGGTCGAGAAGGAGGAGCGGGAGCGGGAGCAGAAGCTGCGGGAGGGCCTCGAGAGCGACGAGGAATAGACGCCGTCATGCACAGCTGGGGCGCACATCGTGGGATGGCTTGATGGGCATGCTTGCTCGTGAGACTGCAGCGTCGCGAGACTGCATTCGGCACAATGGCAGAGGACCTCGCCGCTCCTCGTACTCATGCTATCGCTCGCGAATCGGCCAGTCTCCTGAGCTCTCAAGAGCCGGCAGATGCCGCCGCTGCCCGGCTCGCGGTGCACGGGCGCACTTGATGAGCATGCCGCCGCCGCCGACTCGAGACTACGACACTGGGGCCCTGCCGGGCTGGCGTGCCCTCCTCTCGGCTTGCGGTCAGCGGGCGACACAGTGCCGGACGTGCGGCTGTGGGGCAAGCTGGGCGAAGCCAGTGTGGAGAAGCGAGCTACACTCCTTCCGCACTTTCTCTGATGAAGCAAGCGCTGCTCGATCCTCCGCACCTCCACCACCCTACTGCTCACTCTTGCCTCACTTCGTCACAATGCCGCCGAAGCAGGACCCTAGCACGCCTGTCAAGGTACATTCGCTGCTCATCGCCTGGTCGCTCGCGCTGACCTGCGTGGCCCCAAGCGTGGCTCCTCGCCCGCAGCGCGCGCTGGAGCCAGCGGCGGTGCACTGCCAGCTTCGAACAAGGTACGCCAGACGCTTGGCGTCGCGTTGCCGCACTCTTACTGAGCTGACGCTGCGTCCGCAGGACTTCGGCGATGAGGAATTCGAGAAGCTGGCCTACGCCATGATGTGAGTCGCTCGGCCTGTGTCGAGAGCCACGCTGACGAGGCACCTCGATAGGAAAGTAGCGACGAGCCATGTGAGCGGTGCGACGACACTGCTCAAGCCAGCCGCTGACTTGACAATGCAAGATGGCCGCAATCTTCGAGGCCTCGCCGTAAGTGTCTTCGGCTAGGCGTGCAGAGTCGACTCGAGCTGATGGGCGAGGACAGCGAGCTGCTACCGTGGAAGCCCAAGGGGCGTCTCAACGACAAGGTGCGCCTCGTGCCTGTCGCCTACTTCTGCTCGCTCTCCCTGATGCGCTCCTGTTGCGGCACAGGTGAAGCAGTTCTGCATGTCGGGCCGCGGCGGCCAAGCCGGCGTGGCGCGCTTCTACGAGGAGAGCAAGGGCGTCAAAAAGCGCACCGTCACGTCGTCCGCCACGCCGTCGCCCAAGAAGGCGAAGAAGGAGGAGGCCGCGGAGTCGGACTAGGAATGCGGATGCTGCAGGCATCGCACTTGGCGGAGAAGAGAGCAGACGGACGAGGTGCGGGCGAATGGGATATGATCATTCGTCCTCCTCCATCGCGTACTCGTCCTCCTCCATGCCCTGCACTGGCTCGGTGCCCTGCCACCACGACACCAGCCCCATGCCCTGCGACGCTATTGATCCCTGTCACTGTCGTCAGCCGGCGTCTCTCACTCCATGCACAGCGGTGCAACTCACCGTGATGCGATATGGGCTCGTCTTCTTCGTGTCGTCTCCCTCCGTCACGATGCTCGCATTGGCGCCTGGTGGCCCCGGTCCGCCCACCGCCGCGCTCTGCACTGGTCCAGGCTCGGGCTCCTCGAAGATGTCGTCTTCGACCGTTAGCCGGATGGGCTCGCCCGCATCAAGGTACATGCGCTCGTCGGGCGACGAGAGGAGCGGGTCGGCGGCCACCTCGGGCGAGGCTTCAAAGAGCCAAAACCACGCTTGCTCGGCGTGGTCGCTGCGAGGGACAGCGTCAGTGCGAGCGAGCATCGCAGGACAGGCGGCACGCACAAGGCACTTGGTGTCGGCATGAGATGCGAGGGAATGTAGATGTCGTCGAAGAAGCCCAGTGACACTGGTGCAGCGAGAGGTGGTCAGCAGCCAAACGACGCTCGCGCAAGGCCGCCGATGGCGCTGGGCCACCCGTTCTCCCTGACAGCACACTCACCCCGTATCCCGATCTCATCCGAGCCCATGATCTTCCCCACGAGCACCTCTCCAGCAAACGGACGGAACACGACTAGCCGGAACGTGGCTGGCGTGTGAAGACAGGTCAGCATGATAGTGTGAGGCGCTCTTGGCGTCGGAAGCCTGCGCAGGAGTCGCGGCTGCCCCGATCATGGCCGCGCCTGTGGCAACGACAAGCTTCGTTGAGGCAGACTGATGCTTCGTCACTCGTACGGCGGCCTCGCTCATGCGCGTCGCAACGTAGCAGCTCTGAAGAACGCAGCAGCTCTAAACACCGGCAGCGGCCGCGGCAAGCAAGCAGCCATGTGCGCCCTCGAAATCACCATCCAGCCAGAGTCGTGGCGGAGACCATCGAGAGATACGTACTGCCTTTGCACACCTGGGCTGGTCCGCATCCCGAGGCGGCAGTCACCCACAGCACGCGCCGAGCAGCAGGCCTAGTCCTGCGTTCTGAGTAGCTGCATGCTGCCTGCCCTCACCCGAGCAGCCGCCCCGCCTCGCACGATCCACGGCCATTCACGCCACCTCTACTCACCACGGAACCACAGCCCACCCTCGCCGCCGCGCACACGCCCCTCCTCGACGTCGAGAAAGTCCCAGAGGGCGACGGCGAGGCCCTCGCCGATGAGCACACGGTTCGAGTACTTAGCATGCACGGCGGCGGAGAGGGCCTGTGCGCGCTGCAGGCCGAACGAGGCCGGGTGGATCTGAAGCACGTCGGAGAGGACGGAGATGTGGAACATGGCTGCTGCGCCTGCGTCGGGCACGGGCGGTGGTGGAGGAGAGGAAGCAAGCTGGACGAGCTCCAGACGTGGGCAAAAGTCGAGGCGGCGTGCCGCGTGCCCGACTTCCGCGCGCTCCCACGCCCACCGCCCAGCCCGCACCTCGACGTGCTTCGCGCGCCCGCACAGGCCAGCAACCTGGACGCACCACGACCACCACCACACCCGCCCCTCCTCAGCCAGCTCCTTCCTCCCTTCCGCCCGTCCGGCCACGAGCGCGCCGCAGCATGGCGCCGCCGCCGCCGTCGCCGCTGCTCGCCGTGCTGCTCACCGTCGAGTCGTACCGCGGCGCCACGCTCGTCTTCCGCTGGCCGCCGGCGCCGTCGCTCTTCAAGCGCCATTCGCGAGTCACCTACTGGCGCGGCGGCGGCGGCGGCGGCGATGCAGCGTCGAACGCAGCGAACGGCGCTCGCGGCGGAAGAAGCCGTGCGACGTCTGGCGGCGCCGCTGGGCCGCACGCCGCTGCGCCCGCGTCGGCGTGGGACATGGCGCGCGACCGCGCTATGCGCGAGGAGCAGGGCGGCAGCGCGACGGACACGAGCGCCAGCGACGACGCCTTCAGCGGCGCTTCGGACCTCGACGTCGACTTTGACGCCGATGACGGCGACGCCGACACGGATGCGCGCAGCGCCACCGACGACGGCACCGGCGCCGGCGACGATGACGCCAGCGTCTCGTCGGACCTCGGCCCTGTGCCGCCGCCCTCATCGTTCCGCAGCCGTCTGGGCTCCTCGTCTCTGCTGGCCGGGCCTGGCTCGGGAGGCGGCCGCTCGCGCTCGCGTCCGGCGCCGCTGCGCGACCCCACCGCTGTGCCGCCTTCCACCGACCGAGCGGCTGCGTCGGCATCTCGCACGCGGCGGGCGCGGCGTGCCTACGACAGCTATCTGGGCTACGAAGAGACCTTCCTGGCGCAGCTCCTCTCGCCGCGTCCCGACGGCTGCCATCGCAAGTTCGAGCTAGTTGTGGACGACATTGCCTTCGTCGGGCATCCCGTGTGCGTTGGCGCAGACGGCCGCTGGGACACCGCGCCGCAGGGCGACGGACCTGTCGCCGATGAGCCGTCCGGGCCCCGCGGTCGCGCCGGCGCTCCGCGCTCTGCCGCTTCGCGTGCTTCGTCCCCAGCAGGTCTGGGCAGGATGAGCGCCGCGGCGCAAGCTGGTCTAGCTGCCGGCGGTAGCAGCAGTGCAAGCAGCAGCAGTAGCAACAGCCGCGGCGTGTCCGCCTTTCACCTCGTGCTCGTCCTCGACCGACCCGACCCGACGGCGGGCACGCCGCAGCTGGACATCAGCGCCTGGTGCCGCCTGTACCACGATGCGGTGGCGTTCAAGCTCACTGCGGCACTGTGGGAGGAGGAGCGTCGCGACTCGTACGTCAGTCGTGAAAGCGCGCGATTGGCCGCACTCAAGGAGACGGCGCGGGATCGAGGTGGGTGCTGTCCATTTGCGCATGCCTAGTATTGATCGTCGGTCTTCGTGCTGCTGACCCTCGTGCTCCTCCATCGCAGGGGACACGTTTAAGTCCTATCTGGCCACTTCTCTGCGGACCTCGTCTCTCGCGCGCCTGATGCGTGCGCTGCAGACGTCTCTCGCACAAGGCGCCAACGCCTTCGTCTCGGTCAACGACAACATCGATGCACACCTGCAGCTGCCGCCGATTCTGCGCGATCCCGCACGCCTGAGCCGCATGCGCGAGGTGGAGACGTGCCTCGACTTCAACGATCCGCTCCTCGCTCCCGGCGCGGGCGGCCGCTGGGCCGGCAGCAGCGACCCATGGGAAGAGGCCACCCGCACGACGGGTCCGATGCTCTTGCCGTGGAAGACTCTGCTCGTCTTCGGGCGCGGCCATGACCGACGGCAACTCGGCAGCAGCAGCCACAGCAGCGACGAAGATGACCCGGAGGACGACGAGGACGACAGTGATGGTGCTCGCGAAGGCGGGATCGAGGTCTGGGCGCGGCGCTTCACCAATCTGCTCAAGCCGACGCTCTCGGGCATTCCCACGTCAGTCTGGCCGCGAGAGACGCCTTTTGGGAGCATCTATGCTGACTTTCCGCACCGCGCAGCTTTGCTGAGCTCGCCGACCTGCTGGGGTGGGACCTGCACGACGACGTGTACCCGATGGTGCGGCATCTCATCTACTACCGCGAGGCGCGCGTCGTCGACGTGCCCCGCGTCCACAGCACCTACGCCGTCTCGCCTCTCTTCGATCTTGGAGAGTGAGTGCCCGCGCCGCTTGAAGACGGCTCTCCGCACTCACACGTTGCGCCCACAGTCTGCGCTTCTTGGCACATGGCTGGCACCGCTCCTTTCCCACGCTTCCGTCGCTGCCAGTGTTTCTTGCCATGCTCTCAGCCTCGCTGCGGCCGTTCGCAGTACACTTCAGCCGTGCTGAGCGCCAGACGGCGCTCGATGCGCTAGTCTGGCTGCTGCGACACGATGTCGTGGTGCAGATGCATGTGCGCTTGCGCCTCATCGCCACCGAGGCGGTGAAGCGGACCGCTGCGCGCAAACGTGCAGAAGAGCGTGCGGCACGGCGCGAGCGTCGCATACTGGCTGAGCAGCGTCGCATCAAGCGAGACCAAAGACGTGCAGCAGCAGTCAGAGAGGCAGCGAATGCTCGCGCCGCAGCGGAGAATCGCGGAGCGGGCCCTGGCCTGACTGCCAGCGAAGGCACGGTGCCTCGAGGTCGCAGTCGCGAACGCGAGGCGACGATCATGGCAGCGCCTCAACAGCCCAGACTGGTCGAAACGAGGGACAAGTCACGAACATCTTCCTTCGCCGGCTCAAGCAATGCGCACTCGCCGTCGACGCGTGTGACGGGCACCAATGTGACGTCGCGGTCGTCCGAGCTGCATTTCGAACGGCGCAAGGTGCTGCGCTCCCGCTCGCCTTCGATGCTCTTCTCGCGACAGACGCTCGGCGCAGGAAGCCTCACCGCTGCACCATCCTCTCTGTCAAGGCCAGGCACGCCACGCGGCCGCGCGGCCAGCTTGCGCGAGGATGTGGGGCCGGACGTTCTGGACAGCTCGGCGCCGGGTAGTCACGCTGGCAACGGCTTCGCTGCAGCCCAAGGCGCCGGGTCCAGCCGCCGGCGCTTGTCACGCTCCCCGAGCCGCGCGCGCATGAGAGTGACTGGCTTCGGCGACACGGAGGAGGTCCATGTCGAAGACAACGTGGATTCTCAGCCTGTCGAGTCGAGGCAGACCTCCCGGCCGCAACACTTCGGCACCGCCGATGCCGCTGCGACTCTCCTCTCGCGACCGCGCACTGCCGCTGCACCCGGCTCCGCCGAAGCACCATCGCTCGGGAGCGGAAGCGGCGGCGACAGCCTACTCGGCAGCGGCAGCGGCGGTGGCGGAAGCGGCGGAGCGCGGCGCAGCCAGCTGGGCACGGAGAACCTCTCGGACGATCCGCGACGCCTCAGCCTCGTCGGAGAGGACGGCGAGGAGGACGTGCGCGTCGAGCATCCAGTGGCAGTCTCTGTGGATCTCACCGACGACCTGCTTGCCGACTCTGTGCTGTCCGACGACTCGCGCTCGTCGCGAGCCATCGACCAGGACGCAGACGACGCCGAGCGCGAAGAGGCCGACTCGGAGATCAACGAGTGGGAGTGGGACCCCGTCGCCAGCATCATCGCCGAGCCGTCGCGCGCGAGCGGTGAGGAGAACGAGTGGATCACCGCGATGGTGGAGGGTCACGAGCCGTGGCTCGTCAATCGTCTGTTCTCGTGAGTGCATCGCCCGACGGCACGTCCTTGCAGATCCACCAATGCTCATGCATACCCCGCCAGGCTGCTGCCTTACCTCAACGGCCGGCACACCATCGACGAGATCGTCTACCGCGAGGAGATGCGGCGCCGCGAGCTGCGGGCGCTGCTCGGCGCGTTCAAGGACGACGTGCTCACATTTGTACATCCCTGAACCCGCAATGTGACGCGATGGCGACGCGCGCTCTGCTCCGCATGCGCCCACGCTGTTGAGCGGGCTCCTTGCGCTTGCAGCATGCTCGCAGCATGCCAGACACGGGCCGAGGCCTTGCGCACATTTGTCATTGTTGTGCGCGTGTCCCACGCCAGCCGCAGCTCTACAGACGTTCGCGACAGCGCTCCTACTCGGATGTCTGGACGTCCTCCTTCGGCTGCTGCTCGGCGACAGGGCGCAGCGAGCGTTCGAGGGTCAGCAGTGACCGACAGTTGGCGCTCGGAGCACGGCAGGCTGGCGGATGCGTGACTCACCTTGAAGAAACGCCGTCTCCTCTCATCCCGCTCCTCCCGCCAGCCGCGGCTTCCAACGGGCACGTGGTCGCTGTCGGCGTCACCCGAGCGCCCAACTGCATCGAGCAGCGACGGCCGCTTGTTCGAGCCAGTGAGCGATGCACCTGCCTCATCGAACACGCCGAGGAGCAGTGCGAGACCGGCACTGGCGCCGAAGAGGGTCGGGATCGAGCGCGCTGCAGACGGCCGAGTATCAGCTTTTCGCTCCACACGGATCTGCTCGTCAGCGGCACAGAGGACGTGCCAGTTGCGGCTGACAGGCCTTGAAGCAAGGCACGGAGCAGATCTTCCACGCATTGCACCAGGTGCCAAGCACGCGTCTCTTCCTGCACGCCAGCTCGGCTCTGCAAGATCGCAGGCTCCCTGCATAGAAGGCGCCATGAAGCTCCCGGCCGGCCTTAGACCCAGCGCGTGTGTGATCATGCTCAAGGGCCGACAACATCAGAAGCCGCCAATGCTGCGTGTACCGCACGCTGCTTTCCAGGCAGGCTCCGCACAGCACTGCGATTCTCGAGTCCAGCCCAGATGCGACACTCACCGCGCGCGCCGACAACGAGGCCGGCGGCCGCACCGCCGATGGCCGTGTTCCAGGCGTCGTTGCGCTGGCGCACGTTTGCGCTCATCGACTCGGCGAAGGAGAAGGCGCCGCCGAGGGCGGTGAAGAAGGCAATCGTGCCGCCGGTGCGCGTCACGACGCCGAGGGCGCCGGCACGGTGCGTCTGCAGCGAGTTCTGCACGGCCGAGATGAGGACGCCGGCGGCGCCCGTCGTCGCCGCGCCGCTCATCATGGCGGCGAGGGCGGAGCGCTGCTCGAACGCCTCGGGCAGCTCGGCGGGGTTGGAGATCGGCGGCGCCATGTCGGAGAGACGGGCAGGCAGACGATCGGACTGGGCGCGGTGTGGAGGATGGATGAGGTGCAGAAGCAAGTCGGCGCGGCCAAGAAGCAACGAGCTTGCCGGCCGGCGCCGACGGCAGCGCCAGCGAGCGCCGCTCCGCCGCGCCGCGGCGCGCGACGATCGCTCCCGCCTCGCGGTGCGCGCGTGCATGCGTGGCCGCGCGGGCCTTGCCAGCCTCATTTGCCCTCAGCCTGAGTCTAGCAGTGACATATCTGTCTGACCCAACAGCGCATCACATCCAGATTCATCGTCGCTGGAAGACCTGGTCAGGGCCACAGGTGGCCTCTGCGGAGGTGGAGTGGCCCGCCGTACGCACGGCCGCGAGCAGCGGCGCGAGACTCCCGCGCCCGCACGCGCATGCGAAGCCAACGACGTTCCTGGGCATGGCGTCTCATTCTCGCAACCATCACCAGCTAGCAAGTCTACATGATGCCCTCCCACTGCCCGGTCTGCCGGTCCGCAGCCTTAGTGTGGCTGTCCGCCTGGCGTCCGCGCGACTCCGAGTCCTGCTCGTCGTCCGAATTCTCGCTCTCCTCGGCGCGCCGCTGCTCCTCCTCTGCCGAGGGCGGCGGGATTTCCAGCTCGGGCACGAGTGACGGCGGCGTGTCCTCCGACGGGCTGATCGAGAGGAACACCTGGCAGAGCACGAAGCGCGAGAAGCTCTCGCTCGTCCAGTAGCTGCGGGCAGGGCAGTCTGCGTCAGCGGCAGCCGCGATAGCAACAGGCAGTCCGGGCCGGGCACGCACCTGATGTGTGCCGAGAGCATGTCTGCACGGCAGCGTGTTAGTGTGGCACATGAGATATGGGCGATGCGACGCACCGATGTACTCGTTCAGGCCGTTAGACTCAAAGTAGAAGTCGACGGCGCCATGGGGGTTCAGCGCCCGGAACCTGCAAGAGCAGACGTCAATCCGCTGCTCGCCCTCCGCGTTGGGTTGGCGACGCACCTTCGCTCCGCCCGCTCTAGCTTCTGCACATCAACTGGGTACTCAGGAGCGGCACGCAGCTTGCCGTGCAGCTGTGCACGCTTGACGGAGCTGCCTCGCTCGGCGAGGAGCCGCTTTCCCTTTCCCTTGGGCTTGGGCTTGCGCTTGGGCTCTTTCTCGCCTGACTCCGTCGAGCTCTCCTTCGTCTTGTCCGACTGCGGCTTGGTGTCCGCACGAGCTTCCGTGGGGGACGGCAGCTCGGCTGCGGACGTGGAGGCCTGCTGCCTCGAGGCAAAGGGATGCTCGGCATCGAAGAGCTTCGAGACGCTCAGACGTGGCAGGGCAAGCGCGTGTAGCAGCGTCTCGGTGGCTTCGGGGATTGAGACCGGACGCATGAGGGTTGCATACTCGCGGTCGACCTGCGAGAGGGAGATCTGATGAGGAAAAAGCGGCCACCAGTCGTGCCTGGGGACTCACGGCTGCGTTGAGCTGGTAGGCGACTGGATCGGTGGTGTTGTAGCAGTTGTAGACGTTCCTCGCCGCGAGACAGCCGTAGCGTCCGGCCTGCGCAGCACACGCGGGGTCAGCAGACGCATGCAAAGAGGCGAGCACCACACACCTGCGCATCACTGGCATCGTCGTCCTTTGCATCGCCGGCGTTGCGCCGCGCAATCAGTTGTGCACCACGCAGGTGGAAGAATAGACCGTTCGGAGAGCCGATGAAGAACACGCTCTACATGGCATGGCGGTCAGACCCTTCGCCCGCCGAGAGAGTCGAGGCCCGGTCTCACCTCAACGTTGAAGACAAGGTGTTCATTCGAGGCGCGCTCTTTGGCGCTCATCTCATTCAGATCTGATACCTGAGTAGGCTGCATGGAGAGGCTGACCGCAACTCTGTCAGCACTGGTTGGGCTGGTACAGGCTCCGCAGCTGGTACAGGCTCCGCAGCTCACATGTCTGCAGCCAGCGCCGAGCCGAGCGAATGGCAGATCAGCGACACGCGCCCTCCGCGACTGACGAAGTCTGGGTTGCGCTGGCACCAGAGGCGGTATGTCCGGTTCAGCTCGGCCTTGACGGCGTCGATCATCGTGTCACGGTGCCGCGAGAGGTAGTAGGGCACGTCCAGGATGACCTGTCGAGAGTGAGGCGCCGCATCAGCGCCTGGGCAGGCTGGCTCGCGCTCAGACGCACCTTGCTGATGACGTTGCGCACCATCGGAATGGCCCCGCTGTTGCTCACGTCCTCGAGGCTGAGGGAACCGTTAGCGACGTTCAATGCGGTGCCACACTGGACTCACCTGTACAGATTGTCGCTCTCAGGCGCTGAGTATGTGAAGTCGAGCCCTTGACGCCAGCTGATAGGCAGGAACTGCGCACGTCGGCCGCGCGAGATCTTGCGCACCCCAGAGTCGCCCGCAGTCTTCTTCGACTGCTTGCGCAGACGCTCTGCACAAAACAGCCAGTCAGCTTCGTCCTCTACCATCATGCGAGACGAGCGCACCGATGTCATAAACGAAGTCAAGGGCGTCGAAGTCCTCTGCAGCATGCGCGATGTCAGCTCTGCGGCGCAGGTGCAACACTCGTCGACTCACCCACGAGGCCTTGCCCGATACTAGGGCCGGTGCGAGAAGCTCAGCCAAAGCAAGAAGCGGCCAGTCCCGCCTTCACTCACCCGTGCACGCAGAGGACGAGGGCAGGCGGCTCGTCCTTGAGATCGTCCGGCACATGCTGGCCTGCTTCGTCAGTGTCCTCTCCATCCGAGTCTGTGTCCTTGCGACCCGTCTCGGCTGCCTGCTCAGTGTTGCGCTGACGCTGGCCCCGCTTTGCCTCTTTCTCAGCGCCGTCCTTGCCCCAGCCGAGAGCGCGAAGCACAGCCACGTCCGGACGCGGCCAGCCGCTGCGCGGCCACATGCGCCCGATGATTCCGGGATCCTCGTCCTCCTCCTTTGTGGCCGTGCCTTCGCCGCCTGCAGCGGCGGGGCGCTTGGGTCGCTTGGCGGCGCCCTGCTTGCGGCCAGCTCGTCGAGCACCCCGACGCTTGTTCGGATCGTCAGAGTCCGAGTCGGACGCCGACGAGTCGTCCTGCGTCTCCTCCTCGTCCGCCGACGCCGAGCTCTGGGCTTCTTCATCCGGATCGGTGCCAGAGGCAAAGGGAAGCGAGAAGTCGGGCATGCGGAAGCTGCCACCGGCCTTCGCCAGGCGCTGAGCCTCTTCGTACCCGCGCACGACCTTCGAGCCGCCGAGAATCGCAAGAAAGCGACCCGAGAGATCCTTGCTGTGTGATCGTCAGAAGCGGCTCGACGCACGTGAGCTGGCATGCACTCACGTCAGGATGCGTCCGGAGCAGGGACTATCAAAGTGAACGCTGCCGCCAGCATCCATGGACGGCAGCTCGCAGAGCTTATCTGCGAGCTCCTCCTCGCTCTTCTCTCCTTCGAGTATCTCTTTACTGTCCTCCTCGGCCGCGGCTTTGCGCAGCCAAGGACGCGCGGCAGCATACGCAGCATCGAGGTCGCGCGCAAGCGGCTCATCCCACGCAATCGGCGCATAGCCACCGTCACGCGAGCTTGAGTAGAACCTGGGAGAGCGGGCCGAAGCCGTCAGAGCAGATTTTGCGACATTCGCACGGGGCACCCACCACGTCGCGCGGACCACGCGCAGCTTCACACCCTTCCAGAAGACCGGATAGAGCTGAGGAGAGAGCTGTCAGTGGCGCAGGCTCCGTGCGCAGCGCGTGCGTGGACGAACCTCCATCGTCTCGAGGTCGACATCGAAGAGACGGTCCTCGAGCACGGGCACCTTGGCGCGGCGCTGCTCGGCGGGCTCGTCGGGATCCAAGACGGTGCGCACAACCTCGCTCTTGCTAGGCCCGGCCTGGCTCGGCGTTGCACTGCCGCTTTGCTTTCCTCCAGAAGGGGTGCACGCGCCGCTGCCCGCCTTGGCGACGTCGGCCAGTGCCCCGCGGACTGCGTCCACGCCGGACGGCGGCCCGCTCTGCTCCGCCGCGTTGGTATCTGCGCTGCCCTCATCTCGCTGTGTTGCTGCTTCCGTCTTGGGGCCCTGCGCCTTGCGCTCGCGGCGCTTCTGCTCGGCGGCCTCGCGCTCGAGCCGAGCACGCACATCCTCCGCCCACTGCTCGCCGCCAAGTCGCCGCCAGCATGCCTCCAGCTGCTCTTGATCGACCTCGTCAAAGTCGGCCCAGGTCTTCTTGGAGCTGTACAGCCAGCGCGCGACGCATGACGGCGGCGAGTCGTCCGTCTCCTCTGCTGTGCTGTCTGCGTCGTCTCGTGGAGGATCGGCAGTCATGGCAGAGCGCCCAGTGACCGTAGCCGTTCGCACCTCCCTTGCTTCGAGGCCTCACTGCAGCCAGCCTGGCCAGGTTGTCGGCTCTGCTCGCGCTGCACAGACGAGTACAGAGGCAACAGCGCTACCGGGATTGTGGGCGGATCCCTTGAGCGATTTGTGTTTCCTTGATGGAAGATGTGGACGAGAGGCAGCCCGGATGCTGGAAGCGCGCAGCACCTCTGCTGCTGCGCTGCGCCTCCACCGCCGCGCCGCGCGCGTCTTCGCCTCGGCGACTTTTCCTTCCCATCCACGGCCCGGCACGGGCTGCAGGGCCCGAGCCCGCCTGGCGTAGCTTTTCACACGCTGCCGTCATGCGCCAGGAAGAGGTGCCGAGAACACGGACCCGTCCTCACGCCGCAGGCCCTGGCCACAGCAGCATGTCGCCTACAACTTCACACGATGCACGACCTTGGTCTGTGCGTGCTCCGGCGCGTCGTGCGAGGCCACGCCGCGCGGCGCCCCTCCTCGAGTCCAGGGGCCCTAGGGGCCGTCGGTCGGTGACGCATCACAGTTCATCAGAGCAGTAACAGACAAGATCGATCGTCAAAAGTGTCAGACGGGGGTCATGGCTAGCCGTGAACATCATTCCAGGAGCCCGTCACAGAGAGCAGCCGGCCGTGGCAGTCGAGTCGTGCTGCCCAGCGATAGGAGCGGCGCCTAGTCCACGAGCTGAGAGCCGGCGGCGCGCTCGATCTCCTTCAGCAGCGCCTTCTCTCTTGCTGCGGAGCCTTGCGTGGCGGGTGCCGCACCGGCTCCGCTGGCTCGCGGCCCGCGTGCACCAGCGCCGGCGCCCGATGCCCGTGCTCGGCGCTCTCTGCCGTCGGCGTTGCGAGCACCGCCGTCGCCCGGCGGGGCGCCGAGGCGGACTTCGCCGACAAAGTGTGCGACGTTGCGCTCGCCGATCTCGATCTCGGAGCGCGCGCCCCAGCGCCACTCAAATGCCTCGGCCTCGTCGCCGTCCTTGCGGCGGCGTGCCATGGCACGCTTGCCTGACGCGGCGCCCTCGGCGGCACGGCCGCCGCCGCCTCCTGCTGCGCTCGCAGACCGGACGCGCTCGAGGTAGCCCTGCTTGACCAGGGTACCGAGGAAGGCGTCCACCGTCGGACGGCCGTCGCCGGCGCCGGCGGCACCTCCGGAGGGCAAGTCGTTGCACAGCGCGCGAGGTAGCGGTTCGGTAGGGTCGAGAGCCAGGCGGCGCAGACTGGCACGCATCTGCTCTGCTCGCACAAGAGAGTGAGCTGAGTTCAGAGGAGGACGGACACGCATTTCTCACCGTCGGGCAGCACGCGCTGATTGAGCAGAATGAGGCTCAGCAAGATCATGAGCAGACCCATCGCGGCTTGCTGTCCATCTGCGCGCCGCCAGTCGATCATGACGCCCTCGCCGTCACGCGCATCAGCAGCACGACCCTGAGACGGTCCAGCTGCCGGGGCTTGCAGGGCAGCATCGGGCGTGCCCATGCCAGCAATCAGCCGCTGAGGAATCAACGAGCGCAGGACGTAGCTGTGTGAGAGCACGCCTGATGCGGAGCGCTCGCTGTCAGCTGGCGGAATCCAGGCGGCCCCGGCGCTCGCACTCACCCTTCTCGGACGGCTCCGCATCGGCACTCTCCTCCCGGGCGCGCTTCTTGCGCGCACCGCTGCCCGCCGCTTCCTTCTCGAGCGCTTGTGTGGCCTGGTTCAGATGCGCCTGCGACTCGGTGCCACGTGCGCGAAGCTCCACGAGCTCCATGCCGAACGTGGCGCGCAGGATCTTGGCTGCCTTGTTGAAGATGACGGGAAAGGCGCGCGTCGACGCCTTGCCGATGACTGGCACAGGAAAGCTCAGCGAGGCAAGAGACCCAGGCCGGGACCCGGCGCACCTTTCTCCGTAATCTCGTCGCGGCGCAGCGCTCCCCGCCGATGCTCGCTGAAAAGCGCCAGGCGCACAAGGTCCTGCGCCTTGCGGTTGAGCTCCTGGCGGCCGAGCTTCTCGCCCGCAGTCTGCGCAGCCTTGCCGACGGGCAGCTTCTTGCGCCGCGCCATGCGGAAGTGCTCTTCCTGTCCTGCGTCGCTCTCATCGTCGTTGCCGTCGGCGCTGCCGCCGCGCTCCCCTCCGCTGTCGTCGTCCAGCTCGATGACGCCAGCATCGCCATCATCGCCCTCCTCCTCCTCTTCCTCTTCCTCCTCGGAGTGCTGCCGCGCACGGCGGCCGTTGCTGCGCGATGCGCCGCGCGAGCTCTCGCCGGCGCCATCGCGCGCGGCGCGGCGCCGCGCTCCGTCGCGCGCGTACGTATTGGCCGGCATGCCGAAGGACGGATGCGAGCGCCGAGGGCAGAGCAGCGCTGAGGCGGCGATGAACGCCTGGCCGGCAGCGAGAGGAGAAGACGAGCGGGCACGCAGGCGTGGCGGCGCGGAGGATGCAGGTGGAGCTGAACAGAGGCGCGTGCGGCGCGTGCAGCGCGTAGAGAGGCGCGTGGCGCACGCAGGCGTCTGTGCATGTTGGGCGTGCACCGCCGCAGCGCTGTCCCTCGACACCTGCCACCACCACAGGCTCGCGCCTCGACTGCACCCTCGCGTCGCCCAGCCAGCGTGCGCGCCGCTGCTCCCTCTACTCTCAGCCAGCCGCGGCCATGTCCATGCAGCCGCCGCCCACGCCGAGCGGCAGCACGCCGCGCACGTCGATGCGGCCCCGCCGTCCGCCGGCGGGCGCCGGCCCCTCGTCCTCGGCCGCAGCGTCGCGCCTCGCACGCGGCGGCACGTATGCTCGCACCACGGCGCCGCGCCTGCGTCTCAACCTCAACGCCGGCCCCGCTGCCGGCTCGCTGGGCGGCGAGGGCACGGGCCCCAAGACGGCCGCCTACATGCAGGGCTACGACCGCGAGCTCGACTCGAGCGACGACGAGACGGGCGAGGGCCTGGCGTTCGAGGAGCAGCTCGTGCTGCGCATGCCGCCCGGCGCCGACTGCGAGCGCCTGCGCGACTGGGTGCGCCGCCGCGAGATCGGCAAGGAGGGAGCGCAGGTGGAGCTCAAGTTCAAGGGTGAGTCGGGCCGTCGCCGCTGCGACTGCGCCAGAGGGCGGGGCTGCGGCGGGACACATCTGCTGCGGCTGTCTAGCATATGCGTCGTGGCTGCGGCGGGACTCATGTGCTGCGGCTGGCCAGCGCTGGAGCTGACTGGCCATGCTCCAGACTCACGCCGCGCCGTCTTCCGCCTGGGCGACTCGCTCTTCGCCGCAAAGCTCGTCGATCTGCCCACCATCCTCGAGACGCACAAGACGCTCGACAACCGGCAGATGTTCAAGATTGCAGACATCTCGCAGATGCTCGTCGTCTCTCATCGCGTTGGCAGCGAGGCTGAAGCCACGCGGGCCGCACCTGGCGCCCAGACGAGCGCGGCGGGCGGTGGAGAGCGAAGCGAAGCCGGCGCGGGCGAGTACGTCTGGGACAGCGGCCTCACTCCGCCGATGCATCTGGCGCGGAAGCGGCGCTTTCGCAAGCGCGCAAACAAGAGGGTATGTGTGCTCCCGTCCATCAGCAGACGGGCGCCACTTACACCGCGTGTGTGCCGGCCAGATCATCGAGACTGTCGAGAAAGAGGTCGAACGTCTTCTAAAGGATGATCAGCGCGCGGAGCGTGTCGAGTACGGTGCGTCTTGCCCTGCGGCGTCGCCCCTCCTGCAGGGCTAATTTGTCTGGCCCACAGAGATGATGGACGCCGCCATGGCCGACCTGTCAGAGGACGAGGGAGACGGCGAGGGCGGCCAAGCATCAGCCGCGGACGGAGCAGCAGGCGGCGACGATGACGCCTCAGCGATGGGCGACGGGGCGTCCATGTTCGGCGACCAAGAAGACCGCGACGACATGGAGGATGACCGCATGGATGAGGAGAGCGGTTGGGAGGACGACGGCGCCGTCGGCGAGGTGGACCATGCTCTGGCCGCCGAGCTCGAGGCCGCCATGGCAGCCGACGTCAGCGACAGCGAAAGCGACTCTAGCAGCCGCACGCAGAGCCGACGCGCCACGAGCGAAGACGTCGACGGCGACCTGTGGGGCGAGGACGAGGGCGATGACTCGGGCGGCGACGACGACGACGGCGCCGAAGACGAGGATCTCGACGAGGAGGAGATCGAGCGGCGGGTGCGCGAGAGCCAGCTCGAGGGACAGTGCCGAGACATGGATGCGCACGTGAAGCGCAAGCAGGCGGAGGCCAACGCCACTCCCAATGCACTCATCCGGGTAAGCGCAGCTGGCCGCTCTCGGCAGCGCAGAGCAGAGCTGATGCCGTCTCCGCTCACAGAAACGTCAGCTCGAGGCGCTCAAGCGTCTGATGACCGAGCGCGACCTCAAAGCAGCTCAGCTCGAGGAGGTCCGGGCCGAGCGGCGCGAGCGTGCCGCCGAGTCCGCCGCTGCTGCCACCGCCGCTGCTGCTGCCGGTGCGGCCTCTGCCGCCTCCGAGGCAGAGCAGGGCGCGGAGCAAGCGGGTGACGCCAGCTCGGCTTCGGCAGCCACGATTGATGGCGCCGGCAAAGGCAAGGAGCACAGCGAAGGACCGCCCAGCCACGATGCCAGTCACGTTCCGCTACAGGACAGCACGGCGTCACGCTCCGCAGAGCCAAGTTCAGGCGCTGTTGCCGGGCCTGCTGCGGGCAGCGCGGCCGAGCAATGACACGCGTCAGACAGCGAGCTGACAGCTTTGGCTTGCGCGGGCACAACGTCCCTGATCCGTGTGCACTTTGCATTCTCCTGGGTGACAAGGCTTCCTCCCTCACGCTCCCTCGGCTGCAGGCTCCGTCCCGGTCTGCGATGCGTCGCTTCGCGCGCGCTTGTGCTCGCGCAGCGTCTCGTCCGTTGCGCCGTCACGCTGTGGTGCGCCGTTGCCGCTGTCTGCCTGCGGAGTGTCGCGCTCCAGTGCATGCGACATCGCAGCTGCTGGCCGGCCATCGTCGACTTCGTCGATGATGCCGCGCGGCACCCCGAGCGGCACGGTCGGCACGCCGGGCGCCGTGGCGCGGCCAGACGACGGGCCGACGTTTTGCGCAGCGTCCGGAGGCGCAGATGCCACGGCCTCGGCGCTGGGGGCAGCCGGCACGGGCACGCTGGGCGTCTCTCCCTGGCTCGCGACGTCCGAATGTGGTGCTCCGCTGCCGTCAGCTGAGGGATCGGCGAGTGCTCCAGCAGTGCCTGGCGCGCCGCCGCCTGCGCCCGCCGCTCTGGCGGCTTGCAGCGCTTCCGCCGTCGTGCGGTCGGCGCCGCCGAGCTCCATGCCGGGCACGTCCATGTTCGCATCAGGAGCGCCCTCGGCGCTGGGACGCACGAGGAAGCCGATGGGACTGAACAGGGGCGCAGTCGATGGTGCCGTATTGTCGGCCGAGATGTGCGGCGCCGCGTTCGACAGGCCCTCTGTGAGGGCCGGGTCGAAGAAGGAGGCGTGCGAGGCCGTGACGGCTAGGCAGCGCCGCATCGCCGACAGGTACTTCTCGCGCGACGATGCGTGCTCGCTCGGCGAGAGCAGCAGCTCAGCTATCCGCTGGATCGTGAATGGCGGCTCACTGCCGGCCGGAGCGCTGGTCAGCGCTTCGCCCCGACTTCTTGCAGCAATCCGGGATGGGCGGCCGCACGTATGTGCTCCTCAGGCCCGGTGTCGATGCCAAAACAGCACTCACTCGAAGCTCTCAAACGCGCGAGCAATGTCGGCGCTCTCCCGCGCAACTTCCTCCTCCCCCAGTCGCCGCCCCCAGCTGCCGCCCTCGGGCGCGCGCGTCTTGGCCGCGTAGAAGTTTGCCTCGTCGCCCGGCACAATATGCACGCCCTTCTCGGCGGCCTGCGAGAGCGCCGCCGCGCGCTGCGAGGCGACGTGCGCCGGCAGCGCGTCTGTGGCGAGCAGCGAGGCATCGGTGGCCGTCTCTGCGGTACCGTCTGGCGCCGCATGCGCGGCGGAGACAAAGCGGCTGGACAGCGACGGCGGAGAGGCGGGTGCGGGCGCAGGTGCAGACGAGGGTGGCGGGATCAGATGCGCTGCGGGATGCAGCCGTGGTGACTGCTGCGGCCAGGACTCGAGCAGCTGGCACGAGCGGCGAGCAGAGTGGGTGGTGAGCACGGCAGGGCGGCGCCGAGCGAGGGGGCGCACTCACCGCCGCGACGTGTGCCGCACAGGCACGGCGCATGGCCGCCCAGTCCAGGCCCTCCGGCAGCTCGTCCGCCTGTGCGATGTGCAGGAGGAGACTGCGCTGCTCTGCGAGCGGCGCCAGGCCGAGGTCAGCTGGCGCTGCACGCCAAGGTGGGCGCCGGGCACGACGCACCGTCGGACAGGGCGCCGCTGCGAGCGGCAGCATGCCCGTTGGACGCCATGCTGCGTGTGGCACGGGATGGAGCAGGGCGTGGCGGCGACGGCACGGGCGTCGCGCGTGTGATGGGCGGCCTGATGCTCGGAGATGGAGGAGATGGAGGAAGGTGGAGCAGCTGCGCCGCGCGCCGCGGCGCGCGGCGAGCGGAGGCGGCACGGCCGCGTGCCGTGCGCTTCGAGCTTCCTTCGTCCTTCGCGACCCTGTCCATCCTCCACTCCCGCCCTCACACCTGCCGCCCAGCGCCGCACCGCACGCAGCACGCAGCCTGCCGCACGCAGCACGCGGCACGCAGCAAACGGCACGCCTCTGCTGCCGGCCATGTCCGCGCCCGGCGTGGCTCTGCCCGCCGCGCCCGCGCCGCCGCACGCCGTCTCGTCTGCGCCGCTGCTGGCCTCGGGCGCCGTGGGCGACGCCGTCTCGCGGCCCGACTTTCTCGCGCTGGTGCTCGACCTCAACCTGCTTGCCTGGGCCGGCGCCGGCGACGAGGCGCGCAATGGTGGCGAGCCGGCAGACGCCGCCGAGGGCGTCGGGCGCCGCTCGCAGCAGGGCCTCGCGCTGCTCAAGGACGCCATCGACGCCGTGCAGGTCTTCGTCAATGCACACGGCGCAATGCAGCACGGCAATGGGCTGGCCGTGTGGGCCGCCGGCCTCGGAGACTGGTCAGTGCGCTGCTCTCTGCAGACCTTCGTGGCGGCCGTAGCACGCATGCGGCTCGGCTCATCGTTGCAGCCCACAGCTCGCTGCTCTTCTCGTCTCTGACCGCAAGCGCGAGTGCCAGCCTCACTGGAGGTGCGAGTGCAGCCCGGCCGGCGGCGCGTGGTGACTCGAGCACGTACGCGCACTTTCTGGAGCAGGATGAGGCCATCGTCAAGGGGGTGCAGGAGAGCATCGCGCGCTTCACCAGCGAGTTCCAGAAGGCCGGAGGCGTCACGACGGGTGAGCCGCGTCGCGCCTCGTCCAGGCGCTGCGCAATGCTGAACCGTGCCCTGGCAGCTCCCACAGGCGTCGTCTCCGCCGTCGCGCAGGCCCTTTGCCGTGAGCATGCTGGCTGCTTATCAGAAGACGGCGCTGACTTGCGTTCGCAGACACCAATCGCCTGGCACCCGTCCACGATCCCGTCGCGGTCGATGTGAACCGCTCGGCCACCGCGCCATCGATCGCCGTGCCCAAGCCGGGCGCTGGCGGCGCCACTGATCCGCGGGTGCGCATCCTCGTGCTCAGCGTCAGCAGCGACGCGAGCGCGCAGTACGTGCCCATGATGAACAGCATCTTCGCTGCGCAGAAGAAGGTGCGTGCACGCTCGGGTCCCCTGGGCTACGCCCTGGCCGAGCGCTGACATGCTTTGACACACAGGGCGTGACGATCGACGTGCTCAAGATCTTGGGCGCGGACTCGGTTTTTCTGCAGCAGGCCAGCCACCTGACGTCCGGCACCTACTTCCGCCTCCGCGATCCGCGCGGTCTGCTGCAGACCCTGCTGGTGAGTTCAGTGCACAGGCATTTCTGCGCTGCCGGCGCTCACAGCGCGCAGACCATGTACCTGCCGTCGCCGTCGACGCGCCCGTTTATGAACCTGCCGAACCAAGACGAGGTGGACTTCCGCGCGGCGTGCTTCTGTCACCGGCGCATCGTCGACGTCGGATATGTCTGCTCGGTGTGCCTGAGTAGTGCGTGCTACAGGCGCGGACAGCCATGCGCAAGGCTGATGCGTCTGCCCAGTCTTCTGCTCGCCGAGGCCTTCGTGCTTCACGTGCGAGACCAGCTTTCCCGCCGACACTCTTGCGCGCTTCCGCAAGCAGCGCGCCGCGATGGGCGCTGCAGAGCAGGAGGCAGATGACAACGCGGTGTCTCCTCAAGCAGGCAATGGCGAGACGTAGCTTCGCTTCGTTGAAGCACATCAGGACGGCACAAGCACAACAGCACTAACCCTGTCGCCGGGCCCCACCTCGACGACGACTCCCGGAAAGCCGATCAGCCGGCTGCGGACGTCCAGGCGCAGACGCTGCAGCTCGGGGTCGGCGCCGCGGTCCAGCTCCATGATGTCTGGGCAGCGCTGCGCCTCCGCCTCCGGGCCGCCGTCGACCGTGCCTCCGTGCTCCCACTTGCCAGCGCCTTGCGGGCGCAGCCGCTTGTGAAGCTGCACAAGCTGGAGCTCGTGCTGATCAGTGCGAGCGTCTCAGGCGCACCAAGCACGTCTGGCTTACCGAATCTGCATAGGTCACCTCTGACTGATCGGATGAAGCGGCGATGCGCCATGGCACACGCTCGTAGCGTCCGAACAAAGCGGTCCCTGGGCTGTTCGAGTGAAGCACGACCTTGGAGACGACAGAAGAGTCCTGATCCTGCGAGCGCTCGAGGAGCACATCAAGGCCGAGCGACGGGTAGTTATGGAATATGCCTGCCGCTGCGACGATCCGGGCGTGAGCCGCGGCGCAAGGCTCACCCGCACGCAGTGCTCACCGTCTGTGTCATGAGACGGCTCGTCCGCTTCATGCGGCCCAAAGTGGATTCCGAGGCGCTGATCGTCGCGGTGCCATCGCGACTCGGGCGCCCCAAGGTCGGCGAGCACGTCCTGGGCGGTGCTGTGTCCCAGCACGAGCTCGACCTCGTCGCCCGAGCTGAACGTGAGCTGGACGGACGAGCCTGGCTTCACCCGCGCCGAAGTGATCGCAGGTGGCTGCGACTCGGACGGATGCAGGGGCGGCGCAGGCTCGGGCGCGTGTGGATCCAAGCCGCGGAAGAGGTACACGGTGCGGGCAACTTGCGTCGGATCTGCCGACTGAGGCTCAGCGCGATTGACCACTGCGGAGCCGCACGATTGCGCCGCACGCACCTTCAAAGCCAAACGCTACGCCCGGGTAGCAAAGCAGATGCTCCACGGCCGAACCCTCCTTCGAGCCCGAGGGCTCATCTGCCAGCAACGCATGCGTGCGCACGTGCTGGCGCATGGGGTACGTCGGCCCCCAGATGCGCTGGATGGCTGCTCGCGTGAGCGGCGGCAGCGGCGCACCCCGGTAACGGGCCAGAGGCGCGGAGGGCGCCGAGCCGCTGGCCGACGGCAGGTGCAGCGCTGCAGTCTGCAAGCGCTGCGACGTCGTCTCGAATGCGAGATGCAGCGTGGCGCCGTCGGGCAGGGACAGCGCGACCATGACCGGCGCGGGCGGCGCATCGGTCGGGCCGGCCGTCACTTCGACGCGGGGCCAGCGGCGCGCCTCGCGACGCAGGTAGCTGAGCAGAGCGTGGAGCGTGAGGCCGAGGCGGAACGGGCCCAGCGCCACGCCGGGCTGCAGCTCCAACTGGCTGCTGTCGTCTGCGGCGCGCGGCAGCGAGGGCGGCACCGGCAGCGGGGACGAGCCGCGCGTCATCGTGTGCGGGAGGCGCGTGAGCTCGAGGCCGAGGCGGCTAGATGGGCCGGCCTCTGAGGGCGCGGGTGCAGCCGTGCAGGCGGCAGGCGTGAGGGCGAGATGCGTCGATAGATGGAGCCTGACAGGCGGTGACGGAGCGGAGGATGGCTGCGGCGCACCTATCACGTTGCGTGGGGCTCGGCGCCCGAGAGCAGGTGCGGGGGCGCGCCGGGCGCGCGCGTGGCCCGTGCATCGATCGCCGCTGCCTTTGCCTTGCCTCGTGCACAACTTCCAGTTCACTCCAGACTCTCACTCCAAGCCAGGTCCTTATCCCTCGCCGCGCACCGAGCGAAGGCCCGGCCGCGCCGTGCTCCCACGCACAGCGGGCTCACAGACATACTCGACTCGACTGACTTGACCACTGGACGGCCGCGACGATGGCTCGCTATAAAAGCGCAGTGTCAATGCAGCGCTCTGCCTCTCTCGACGGCCGCTATGTGTCACCCTCGACTCGCTCGACTTGCGAGCTGCAAGGCACGCGCGCGCAGATCGCTTAAAGGTGACATGGCATTCAGCAGACAAGCCGCGACGGAGCAAACGAGGGAACGGTGAAGGCGAAAGGAGACAGGAGAGCGGGCGCGCGCGGCTTCTTCATGGTGAGCGAGATAGCAGAGGAAAGGAGAGACGGTCGAGAGGAGGGAAGGAGCGCGACTGCGCCAGATGTCGCAGACACAACACCTGCGGCCATGCAGCTGTCGCTCAGCGCTGCTGCTGGCCGCCGAAGCAGCCAAAGGCCACGTATCTGTGGGACGCAGCAGCTGTCAGCGAAGGCCCCAGCAGCAATTCCAGCGCTGACTCTCTACTCACGCGCGTCCAGTGCCGTCAGACGGAGCGGCATCGGGCGCCAGCCCCGAGAATTCCTCAGTGCGCAGCTGGCCGCCTCCAGCGCCGCCCGAGTACGAGCTGCCGCCTGCAGTACCGCCGCCCACGTAGCCATCAAAGGCGTATCCGCCGCCTCCGCCGCCACCGCCAGACTGGCCGTCCGCGCCGACCGTGCGAGATGCGGAAGCAATGGCGACGTAATCGGGGTCCTTCGAGTCGTCGCCGTAACCATCGCCTCGGCGATTGCAGATCTCGCGCTGGAACGTCTCACCATCTCGCGGCGTGCGGCAGGTGCCGCGGCCGCGACCACCCCAGCCGCGGTTGTCGTCGGGGATGGCGTCGCGCGCAGCACCACCGCCGCCGGGCGCAAGGATGATGATCTGATCCGCGTCCGTGCTGCCGGCGCCGTGCTTCGTGACCCACGTGGATCCTCCGCCACCGCTGCCACCGCCGAGAGCCCTGCCGCCCTCTCCACGGCCTCCGAGCGCGAGCCCGGCGGCCAGGCCGCTTCCAGTCTGGCCCGGCAGGCCGAGGTAGACGTCGTACTCGTCGCCCTTCTGGGGTGCGTCTCGCCTGCTTGCAAGGCCTTGCGTAAAGCCGCCAGGTCCGGCCGCACGGCCGTTGCCGCCGCCGCTGGCACCCGTCAGCGAAAAGCCCAGGGCGCGCGGGGAGTCCAGTGTGATTGGCATCGTGAACTTTGCCGGGTACGAGCTGCTCGACGCATCGTACTGGCAGCGGACCAGCATCGCCTCGCTTGGATCGACAGCACGCCGGGTGAACTCAACGTCGCTGCCTTGGATCGACCTGTCCAGCGCCCGGTACTCGCACTTGCAGTTGGCGCAGACCTGGAGGGCTCAGACGTCAGCAAGAGGCCGCGCGAGCGCAGGCACAAGACCTACGTTGAGGTCGTTGGGGTCCGCTGGCATCTCGGCGCCGCCAAAGCAGCCCGTCTGGTCGACGAAGGGCGGGTCCTTGGGCGTCGGCTCGGGCGTCGGCTCGGGCTCGACGACGGGGTCGCTGGGTGCCGGCGTCACAGGTGTTGTCGGCTTGGCCTTGCACTTGCCGAGCGAGATGCATGCAACCTCGGCGCACGCCTCTGCGATCATGGCCTTGTCGTACTTGCGGATCGAGGAAGGCAGCTTGTTCTGCGGCGTGCTGCACTTGCAGCCGTTCTTCTTGTACTTCTTGACGTAGCCACGGCAGAAGCTCTGCAGGCTGCGAGAATAAGGCTGCGGTCAGCGACAGTGGGCGGCGAGCCTCTCAGGCAACGCACTGGTTGCGCTTGATGCGCTTGATGCAGCCGCCGACGGTGCGGACCGTGCGGTCGGCCAGCTCGATGTCGGCCACGCCGACGGCGTCCTCGACAGCGGGCAGCGACGCGGCCTGCACGCTGAGTGTCAGGGCGACGAAGACGGAGAGGTATGCCGAGAGCCTCATCTTGATGTGTGGAGAGGTGGGTGAGGGGGATCCGGCAGCCGCTCGCGGCAGGGCGCGGCTTATGTACCCCTGGCCGCTCAAGCGCAGCACTCCAGCGGCTCTGGGCTGCTGCGCCCTGGATGCTGCTGCCCCCGCACCTGCTGCTGCGTTCTGGTGCTGCCGCTCTGCAGCGCTGCATCTGCAGCGCTGGCTTTGGTGCTGCGTTGCAACCGCACGCAGCATGCACGCTCGAGGCGCCTCTTGCAGCGGCGTGCGCCACACGGACGAATGCAGGCGGCAGCGGCTGCATCCCGAACGTGCGACTCTGACTGCACCCTGCCTGCTGTGCATGCTGAGGGGCTGCGGTGCTGCGGGCGGGTCCGGCCCGCACCATGCACGCTCCATCTGCATCATCGCCATCTGCGAGCCTCTGCTGCTGCATCCGAGGGGCTGCGACTTGCGAGTGCTCTCTGCTGCAGCGCTGCTGTCTAGCGCTGCTGTAGGCAAACCTGGGATACTCAGTGATGTTGCACCTGGCACTTGGCTGCCCTCCTCTTGCTGACCATGCGTCAGACGTGCTTTCGGGTGCGGTGTCCGGTCGCCGCTGCGCGCCGCGCTCCCGCGCGTGCATGCGCATGCATCGCTCGCATTCGAGAGCAGGCACAGGGTGCAGAGGCACGCCTCGGGGCGGCGGGCAGAGCACAGCGCCAGCGCAGCGTCAGCATGCGGCAGAAGGAGCTGAAGTAGAGTGCTGAGCGGCTGCATGCTCGATGGCTGCCGCGGCCGGCTGCCGCAGCACCCAGCCGGCAGCAGCTCGCGACTCTACTCTACCACATGCTGCTGCGGCGCTGTCACCTGCTCCTGTGCTGCATGCATGCATCTGATGCATTGCTGCTGCGCTGCTGCTGCACGCGCAAGGCGTGAGTAAGAGTCTGAATAGAATAGAAGCCAGCTGTTGCGGTGCGACATGACTGCACCTGGGCCCTCACCCAAAGCCCGCCGAGTTTGCACCTTCTTTCTGGAAAGCACTCTTACTGCGACGGTCAGAGCGTCCATGCAGCCATCACAGCCCACCGGCAGCCCCTATTCTATTGCAAGAGCCGCCTGCCGCCTGCCGCCTGCAGCGGCATGCGGGCGGTGATGCTGGGGCACTGAGGTGCTGTCCACTCTATATCAGCACCCAGGGCATGCTGCCGCTGCCGGTCTGGTGCTGCATGGCTGCAGCGTCAGTTTAAGGTCTTCCTGCTGCTGCGGCTGACCCCGCTACCTAGGCCGCTGTGTCCAGAGCGTCCTTCGTGCTGCCCACTGGACGCTGCGCTGCCCTTGTGTAGCCTGGCGCTGAACCCTTGCCGCACGCCGGCACGCGACACGCGATACCTGCGTGCTGCAGCTGCGTCGTCAGGTGTCGTCGCGTCTCGCCCCTGCGTCTGACTTTGACATCACGAATCCACCAGTGCAGCGGCAGCCTGAGCGCTACAGACATTGCGCGCTCTACGCCGCCATAGCGATCGGGCTGACAGGCCAGACATCAAGCACTCGACTCCGCAAGCAGAGATGCCGGTGGTCTCTTGCGCCTGGCTGGCCGGCGCTGTTCTCCTCGGCACGGCTGCAGCGCAGGCCGCACGCGCCGCTGCGCCCGACTGGACGTCGAGCGGCTATGCCGGCTCGGCCATGCCGCCGCACGGCGGAGTGCGGTCCTTCGCCGGACTGCCGTGGACAAGCTGCCTGCACAACGAGCAGGTGCGCTTCGACGTGGCGCTGCTCGGCATGCCCTTTGACGGCGGCGTTTCGTACCGCCCCGGGTACGTCGCTGCTCGGCGAGCCTTCGGCCCGGCTTGCGCTAACTCCTGTGCCGAACCAGAGCCCGCTTCGGGCCGAAGGCGATCCGAGAGGCGTCGCGGCGCCAGCGCACAAACTCGTGGTCCCTCGAGTGTCAGTTGCACGAGAGCAGGACGGCAAGCGCAGTGAGCCTGACCTGCTCACCTTCGCAGACGAACAAGCGCCCTACGAGGCCCTGTTCTTCATGGACTGCGACGATGTGCCCATCACGCCGTATGATCCGGCCGTGGCGCTGGCGCAGATGGAGGCCGCCTACGTGACGCTGCTGCAGCGTACCCCGCTCGTGTCGCGAGAGACGGAGCGAGGCCAGCGCTTTGCAACGGGCACTGCGCTCCGCAGCAAGGTCATCGTGCTCGGCGGCGACCACACCGTCGTGCTGCCGATCCTGCGTGCGCTACACAAGACGTACGAGCAGCCCATTGCTGTGCTGCACTTTGACGCACACCTCGACACATGGAAGGTGTACAACTCGCCGGGCACGCCCACGCCGCAGAGCCGCATCAATCACGGCAGCTTCTTTGCGCGGGCAGCCGACGAGGGCCTGGTGCGTGCAGCATACGAGGCAGCGCCGCTGTCTCACTGACCCTGCGGCAGATCGACCGAAATGCCTCGGTCCACGCAGGCCTGCGCTGCCGCACCAATGGGCCAATGGACATCCGCCACGATGACCAGGTCGGCTTCGAGCGGGTCATGACGAGCGATGTGAGGCCGCCGGCCTGCCTGCTCTGCGCTGTTCGCTCACGCTACCACACAGCTCGACCTGCTCGGCCGCGAGGGCGTCATCGAGCGCATCCGCTCCCGCATTGGCGATCGGCCTGTCTAGTGCGTCGCGAGCCTTGCACTTCTGCGGGCCGCTGCTGACGTCTGTCTAGCCTGAGCATCGACATCGACGTCCTCGACCCGAGCGCGGCGCCGGGCACGGGCACGCTGGAGACCGGCGGCTGGACGACGCGCGAGCTGCACGGCATTCTGCGTGGCCTTCGCGGCCTCAACTGGGTGAAAGAAGGGAGAGCAAGCAGCCTTGGCGCCGCACAGCACTGACGCCGATGTAGATCGGCGCCGACATCGTCGAGGTCTCGCCGCCGTACGACCACGCAGAGATCACGGCGTACGCCGCCAGCGACCTCGTCTTTGAGGTGAGTGCCGTCCCGAGACTGACAGGACACGCGCTGACAGGCCGCAGATTGCGAATCTCTTTGCTGTCGGCCATGAGGTAGACGAGCCGGACGGCGAAGACGAGCTGGAGCACGACGCGGCACACGACGCTCGGCGACATACTGAGTTGTGAAGCAGCACCGAGAGACACCATAGATGAGCTCGGCGCTGTTCTGTCCTGAGCTTGCCTAGCTTGCCTAGCTTGCCTGATGCTCGATACGTCAGGGCTGCGCACTTAGCTCACAGCGAAGGCCCAGTCAGAGTACGAGCTTGGACACTTCTGTGGAAAGGCTTCGCCGTTGCGGCCCGCGCTGCGCTGCACTGCATCTGCAAGCCGCAGCCTCGGGAGTCAAGAACTCCGACTCAAGACGCGCCCTCGGCGGCAAGGCGGGAGCGGGATGCAGGAGTGGGGAGCGGGACTTGGAGGGCCGCAGCCACAGTGTGGGCTCGGCGCACGTGCCTCTCACCATCTGCACGGCCCGAGCAGGGCTCACAGAGGGTGCTCGGCGAGTCAAGAGCGGCTGCTGCTGAGCCAGTTAGGAGTGGCTTCTGCTGAGCGCTGCTCGCGCAGAATGTGGATCTCGCCAGCTGGAGCTCGTGCGAGGGCGGCGGCAGCGCTGCAGCGCACGCGCTTGCGCCCCTGGGCTGCGCTGCACCTGACGCGGATGCCGCCGCTCGAGAGGCGCGTCGGAGGGCGAAGTCGCACACCCGTGGGTCTGCAGATCCGGCTGTGGCTGCATCTGAGACGCGCAGCGGCCAGAGGCGAATGCATCCTGCCACCCGCACGCTGCAGGCTGTCAGGCCAGGCGTGCGGCGGGTCTCTCCTTCGTGGCATCCGGGAGGCTTCCATGCGTCGACGAGCTTGCGGAGCTGCAGCGGTGCATGTGGCTGGCGTTGGTACGACAGCGCGGCAGGCATGCGCGGGGCCAGAAAGAGCCGGCCACCAGTCATCTCCTCGTCGCCTCATCGCCACTTCTCCTCTCCGGCCCCAGCACTATGCGCTATCTGCCCTTCCTCCTGGCGGCGCTGCCGCTCGTGACGGCGCTGCCGGCCACGACCGAGCTCGACGCCCGAGCCCTCGGCGACCGGTGCACCAAGTCGAGCCAGTGCGGCTCGCCAAACAGCTTCTGCAATCGCCGCCGCTGCGACAGTCGAAAGAAGCTGGGGTCTTTCTGCTACAAACAGACCGCCTGCATCTCGAATGCGTGCACAAACGAGCGCTGCGTCGAAGGTGCCGTGCTCACGCTGGGCGAGCGGTGCGAGACGAGCAAGTCATGCGGCAGCGGCTACTGCGGCCGCTCGAAGTGCGCAGTGCCGCAGCCGGTGGGCGCAGCGTGCTACAAACCGGTGCGTCTACGAGTGACCCGCTCATCCAGAGGCATAGCGAGCTGACATGGCCCTCCATGCTGCAGGCTGGCTGCCTGTCTGGCATCTGCACCGCCGGCGCATGCGCCGCCCCTCTCGCACCTGAGCCAAAGCCTGAGCCGCTTCCCGAGCCGAAGCCTGAGCCGGTCCCGGAGCTGACGCCCGAGCCGACGCCTGAGCCGCCTTTCATCGACACCACGGGGTGCTTCGGTGGTGCGGTCATGCCTGCGGACCCGAACGATCTGAATGTAGGTCTACGCAACCTTAGCCTCTTCTGAAGCGAAGCGCGTGCTTACGGGACGACTCTGCTGCAGGTGTGCAAGTCTTGCAAGTGCGAGTACCGCACGGCACAGGACTACCGTCCCGGCGAGGGCGAGTCCGCCAGCAAGCCTTCGCTGGTGGTCTGCCGCTACGACGGCTCGAGCCGCGTCTATCCAGACACCTTCACCATGCCGATCAAGGTGACCGAGGGCCAGAAGCGATCGCAACAAGGTAGCTCGAACTTGGGCTTCTACATGCAGGGCGGCAGGGGCGGCGGTGCCGGGAAAACGGGAGGCATCGGCGCCTACGCCGAGGGCGTGGCGGGCTCGAACGTCGGGATCGATCTCGCCAAGGGCACGGTCTTTGACATCTACGTGGGGACCGCCGGAAAAACTGGCTCAGGCGTTGCGATGGACGGCTCGGTTGCTGCTGGCGGACGCGGCGGCGGCGGCAAGGCAACCGGCGGCGGCAGCGGAGGCGGCGGCGCCACGTGGGTGACGCTCCACGACGCCACCACGTACGACGACATTCTCTTCCTGGCTGGCGGCGGCGGCGGTGCCGGTGCAGATGCCTCTGCCAGCGCCACCACGACCAAGGCTGCCTGGGGTGGCCGCGGTGACGGACAGTGTGTTGAGACCGCAACGGCCATGGAAGACTGCGAAAACCGCAACATGGTGGGATACGGCGATATGACCAAAACCCCTCCGAAACTGGACACCTACCCGGCTAGCGCTGGCTCCGTGCTGGGCGCCGAAGGCAAGTCAGGCGGCGGCGGCGGCGGTGCAGGGTGGGCAAAAAGCACGCCCGGCGGAGGCCTCGGCGGAGGCAGTGGCTTCTCTGGAGGCTCGGGCGGCAAGGAGAAGCGCAACTACGGCTACGACCTCAGAGGCTTCGAGTTGACCACGACTCCCGCTGACGGCAACGGCGCTGCGTAAGTACACGTGCGTGGAGCGAGCCTGCGCATAGACTCAACCAATCTTGCATCGACAGGTACGTGTACTTTGGCTGCACCAATCTTGGCCAGAGATGAGGGCAGCTCGCCCAGCTCTAGGTCCCTCCTTCGCTCACGAATCTAGCTATGCGCTGCGTCCCGTGTTCTGCATCCGTTTTCTGGCTGTTATGTACCGAGTGATGTGCCTCGCCAATCAAGTCTCTGTCACCATTTTGCACAGATAATGCGCGCGGACATGGTGTGGGCACGGAGCACTGCGCACGCGAGCTGTGCAGCCGACGGCACCAGCGGCCAGCACGCCAGCCGCCGCTCGTGTCCACGTTGCGGCGCACACCAAGCGGTGAGAGTCAGGGATCACGGCGAGCGACAGCGTGGTAGGCGTCCGACGACGTGCGTAGCCAACAGAGACGCAGATGCAGTGCCTTGCCGAGCTTCCGGTCCGAAGTCTAGGCTTCGAGTTCCAGCACCAAATGGGAGTCTGACTGTGCGGCGCGCGCGTGTACGGCGCACGAGCGCATCCGCGATGCCGCACCGCTCGGCTGAGACCGCTCAGTAAGGCAGCCTCGCCTTGCGTTCAACGCCGCAATCTGCAGCACATAGAAGGGGCCTGCCTGGGACAGTCTCTGTCCCTGTCCCTGGGCTCACTGATGCAGAAGTGGCATCGCCCAAGACAACAATCAAGCACGATGCATGTCCATCGCAGACTCGTTCCCACGCCTTCAGAATTCGGCGACCAGGGTCGCTTCGCGCCGTGCGCCGCCTCGCGCTGGGTTATCTGTGGCCTGCAGTATGCGTCTGCAGCGCCTCGCGATCGCCGCAAAGCTGATGCTGGGCTGGTGTCCGAAGCGACGCTGCCGCCGCGGCGCGCGGCGCGTCGGCGAGCGTCGGCCCGACATGCCGCAACGTCACCGAGCTCGCCGAGCGCCAGCCGCCATCAGCGCCAGCATCGTCAGGGTACCGGCGTGCCGCCGACAACCGATGGAGCATCAGCCGGGAGGCTGCAGGGGTGGAGCGCACCGTCGACACAGTGCAGCATTCTCATGTGCCCGCACCCGCTCAGCACGTGCTTTGGCCCAATGCGTCCTCCAAAGATGTCAGCGATCGTGCGCCGAAGGGCGCTCGTCCAGGTCGCTCGGCCCACGCCGGACGTTGCCCTTCCCGCGCTTGATGCGCCCGTCGTGGCTTCGTTGCAGGACGTGCCGGCGGCGAGCCCGGCGCTCGCCGCTCTCGGCTCGGCTGTCAAGAGGCCCTGGGCGGTGCGCCTATCACGGCCGCTCTCTCTCGCGGCTGCAGCGGGAGGAAGCTTTCATGCTCCCTCCCCGTGCGTGCGCCGGCCGGCGTGTCATGCGCTGACACCGACAAGCCACGGAGGCGGAGGGCATGCGTGCAGCTCCCGTCTTGCCCGGTGCGACACGGGGAGGTGAGCAGGCCGTCATGCGTCCATGCTCTTACTGCTGCATGTGGCAGTGAGCATGCCGCCCACGGCAGGGGCGAGGGCGCGCTTCGCCGGGCTTGCGTCGAGCGACCCACCGATCGCTTCGCTTGAGACGGCGGCGGCCGACGCTGCGCACCATGGAAGGCGGCCTGTGCAAGCGGGACAGGTGCCTCTGGCGGCTATAGAGATGATAGCTTGACCGGCGGCTCTCCCGGCGCTGCATGCTCTTCCTTCCTTGTGACAGCGGGGTCCGGGGGGATGTGGGCGATCTCATCGGGAGCGGCGCTCGGGCGAGCTCGCTGGCCGATCAGCGCAGCAGACGCAGCGTGCAGCGCCGGCGGCAGTTGCAGCGGGACGACGGCACCAGCGATGCAGCATGCAGCCCCGGAGCGCAGCAGCACCCCCAGCAGAACGCACCGCAGAGGCGACACGGCGGAGATGCGAGGCGCGGGAGCGGCACGGCGTGGTCGCGGACGGGTGCGGGCCAACGCCGCACGCGCTACGGCTGCATCGCCGCGATGCTGCCTGCTGCTGGGCTGCCCTACACCCCGCCTGCCGCCGCGCGCCGCTGCGGCCTGTCAGGCACAGCAGGGTGCAGCATCCAGCGGGGCAGGGGGCGAGAGCAACACCTCAGCTCGCGGCGTGCGGGTGCGGTGCGGGTGCGGGTGCGTTGCGGGCCCGCGCGGCGCACGGGCTGTGCAGGCAGCTGCTCGTGCCCCATAAAGGCAGCCGGCGCGGGCCACGCCTCTTCCTGCTCGCCCACACCCGCTCCCGCCCCCGCCCCCGCCCGCTTCTCTCGCACTCCGTTTCTCACACCACGCCGCACTCTCCTTCAGCATGAAGTTCTCCCTCGCCCTCCTCGCCGCCGCGCTCGTCGGCTCGGCCGTCGCCCTCGACGCCCAGCCCACTGCGGCGCCCGTCGTGAGTCGCGCAGCCGCACCTGGGCCCAGGCCGCACACCGCTCACGCGCCGTCTTTACTCCAGGCCAAGCGCCAGCAGGCCGGCGTGCCCGACGCCTCGCAGATCGCCCAGCTCCTCTCGGGCCAGGACATCCAGCAGATCATCGCCCAGGCCTCGAGCGCCCTGCAGAACCCGGCGTGAGTGGAGGCGCGGCACAGGCAAGCATGCGCCGCCGCAGACAGCGCAGCTGATGTTCGCCCTCGGCAGTATCGCCTCGTACCTCGGCGCCAACCCGGGCCTCGTCTCGTCGGTCATTGCCGCCCAGTCGCCTGCGCTCGTCAGTGCCGTCGGATCGGCGTGTGAGTGTCCATCGGCCGACGCGCGGAGCACTGCTGCCGGCATCCAGCTGACACGCCTGCTGCTGCTCAGCTGCCCAGGCCATCATCTCGCAGGCCACGGCCGCACTCGGCTCGGCGGCGCAGAACGCCTCCTCGACGCCCTCGCAGACGTCCACCGGCACCGCGCCCGCGGCCACGACGCGCCGCCCCGACGGCGCCATGGGCCTCTCGGCGAACATTGCTGGCGCCGCACTCGCCGCCGGCGCCGTGCTTGCCGTCGTTGGCCTTTAGAGCACCTGCTCCTGCGTCTCGCCTTGCGCCGCCCGGGCGCGCGCATCACGATCGACCTTCTCCGGCCTGCACGACCCCTCTCGCCTTTCCCAGGACCCGCACGCACGCCCCGCCGCTGCGCACACGAACCTAGAGCTCCAGACTTGGCTCCGCCTTGCATGCTCGACCCTCTGTATCTTCTACCCCGTTCCCGCTGGGAACCGCGCCATGTGATCTTACCCTTCCGCTGTGTGTGAGCACCTCGGCATGGCAACCCTTTGTGAGCTGCGCTTGCGCACCCGCTGCGCCAACCGACAGGCACCAGCCACACGTTCGATGGCTCGCCGCGAGTCCCTTGCCACGCCCGGACGGCACTGTTCGCCGTGCACCTGGCGAAGCACCTCGCCACCATGTGAGACAGCTTGCGCGCACGGGTGCTGGGCTGTCCGCAGCGTGCCCGGCGTCGAGCATCTCGCCGGTCGAGCACGGACCACCTGCTGCTGTGTCAGGCATCCCGAGACGACGACGTGTCGTATGCCTCCTCGTCAAGGGGGGGGGGGGGGGGATGCAGGCGCGTCACGCGATCGCCGCGCTCTGCTCTCGCTGTCCCTCGCCACCTTCGCGCTCCGCTTCTGCGCCCGTCTCGCATGGATAAAGTGGTGGCATTGGAGATTCCGCAGCATCGTTACTGGTCGCACATCTCGAGCTCTCCGGTCCACGCTCACTTCTTGCCCTTCTGCTTCAGCGCGGCCTCCGAGGCGGCGTAGCTCTGCAGGCCAAGGAGCGAGAGGATGCCCACACCGACGCCGCTGACGATGCGGCGGTCCCACGAGCGCGCCTGGTCGCGATTCGCATACACCCACACGCCGCCGCCGATGAGCAGCGCGGCGTTGACGGCGCCGAGCGTGCTGGCCCAGTACTCGGGGTTCGACGAGAACTTCTGCCAGAAGTCAGAGGCCTCCTTGCCGGCCTTGTCGGCGGCGCGCGAGATCCTGCAGAGGATGTGTCAGATCGGGCCGCACGGAGACTCGCGTGGAGGAGTGCAGGACAACACCACACCCGCAGCACTGCACGCAGCCTTGCACACGCGGCCATGGCCAGCAAGCCTGCGCAGAGCGCACTCCGCAAGCGGGACTGCGCAGATTGGCCTGCGCACGCAGCACTGCGCAGATTGGCCTGCGCACACACTCACTTCTTCTCGGCCTTCTTGGCCTGCTCCTCGGCGCGGCCCAGCAGGTCCTTCGCCTCCTTGCTGGCCTTGTCAGCCAGGCGCTTGCCCTCCTCGGTGCCCTGCTCGAGGTGCTTCTTGGCCTCGGCCTGCAGGCGCTCCACCTCGGCCTTTGTGCGCTTCTCAGCCGCCTCGAACTCCTCGCCCGTCTCGGTGCTCAGGTGCTCCAGATCACTGCCGGCCGGCACGACGTTGACCTTGCCCGTGTTGACGTCAGGGTGCTGCGTACTGCAAGGCAAGAGTCAGCGGACGGACGGGCGGCAAGGTGCGGCGGCTCCGGAGGGCGGGAGCGTCACGACTGCGGCGAAATCACCCGCGCGCAATATCGTGAGTGACCACGCGCAGTGACCAGCGCTCCACCAGCGCATGCATCAAGGCACAGATGAGCGATGAGCTGCTCATCCTCCAGGTCCAGCACCCAGGGCCGTGTATTCCGCAGAAGACCAGTCCATCGCACATGCCCCGTCTGCCGCTGCCCGCCGCCGGCACGCGCCCAGCTGCGCCGCTGCACGGACTCACATGCCGGCGGTGTTGCCGTGGCTGCCCTCAACGAGGCTGGGGTCCGGGCGCGGCTGCTGCGACGCGGGCGGAGCGTTGTGGGCGGCGACGTCGGCGTAGGACATGGTGCGTGTGGGTATGCAGAGGGGAGAGCGGGTGGTGGGTGGATGAGGAGCGGAAGCAGCATGCACGGTCGCCGCGCGCTTCGAAACGGACGGGCCCGACCGCGCCGCGCGCGCGGCTGCCCGCGCCCGCGCCCGGTGCACGCCGCTGCTGCGCGCTGCGCTCATCGCCGCGGCGGTACAAACTCCGCCGGCCGCCCGTCTCGCACGGGACAGCTATCGTGGGAGCGCGGCGCGCCGGGCAGGACAAGATGCCGCACCCGGCGCGGCGGCGTTCGGCGAGCAGCAGCTGCCGCGCGCACCCCGCATTCTCCTTTCTCTCCACCCGCCCTCGCCGCACAGCAATGTCCCCGCCCCGCGTCGTGCTCTTTGACATCGGCGGCGTCGTCGTCGGCTCGCCGCTCGTCGGCATCAATGCGTACGAGGCACAGCACGGCCTGCCGCACGACTACCTCAACGTCGCCATCACGGCGCGCGGGCGCCAGGGCGCCTTCCAGCGCTTCGAACGCAGCGAGCTCGACCTGCACTCCTTCTATGCGCGCTTCGGGCAGGAGCTGAGCGAGGCGGAGGCGGGAAACGAGGCGTACAGGCAGTTCTGCCGGCGGCGAGGCGTCGGTGCGTGGCGCACGAGTGCCCGGCGACGCGGAAAGTGGGCTGAAGGCAGGCGCAGACACACCACAGCTGCCGCGGGAGCTGAGGATTGACGGGCGGGAAGTGAGTGCTCGGAGCCAGCTCACGTGAAGGAGCAACGTGGAGCGAGACTGATGTACTCTCGTCTCTCGCTCAGCTGTTCGGGCGGATGATGAAGGAGTCCACACGCATCGATCCGCTGATGCACAACGCCCTGCGGCGACTCCGCGGTGCGTGCCTCAGCTGCACCTCTCTCTTCTCTGCTCACCTGTCTGCTGCACATCAGCAGGCGGCAAGTTCCGCCTCGCTGCGCTGACGAACAACTTTGCGCCGCCGACTGCGCGCGCTGACGGCGCCAATGCCCCGTCGCTGGAGGAGGAGCTGGAGCACCTGGGCGTTCTGAAGGGCGCAAACGAAGTCAAGGGGCTCTTCGACGACTACCTGGAGAGCGCCAAGATCGGCATGCGGTGAGTCGGATGCGCAGGCGCCATGCGAGAGGAGAACCTGATGAATACCGAGCAGCAAGCCAGAGGAAGGCATCTTCCGATACACGCTCAAGCACCTCGGCGTCGGGCCAGAAGAGGTTGTGTTCCTCGATGACATTGGCATGTGAGCTGTGCCTCTCTCACACGCCTCTGTTGCTTGTCTGCCGTGCTGACCCATGCACGACAGCAACTTGAAAGCCGCACAAGCCCTGGGCATCCGCACGATCCGTGAGTGGCTTCCCCGCTTGCCCCCTGCAATCTCCATCTGCCTTTGCGGCTGACCTTTGCGCGACAGGTGTCTTCCCTCGTTCTTCCCTCCCGGCGCTGAGATCGCTCGAGAAAGAGACGGGCATGCAACTCGTCACGGACGCCGAGGCACGCGAAGAGGAGGAGCGCGTGGCGCGGAAAGAGGCGAGCGAGAAGGGACAGGGCAAGGCGAAGCTGTGATGCTCGCGTAGCAATGGAGGGCTTTGCATGCAACGTCGATTGTGCCTCGTGAGGCCAGAGCTGGCGCGGCGCTCTACCGCGAGAGGTGAAGTCGAAATTGCTTTGCTTTGCGTCGCATCATCTGGCCGCAAGAAGCGACAGCTCGGCGTCCAGGCTCTGCAGCGCGCTGCGCACCGTGGCACCGACGGCGCCGCCCTGCGTGTCGCGTCCGAACGCACCCAGCAGCTCCTCGTGCGCCTGCACCAGCATCGCGCGGCCCGCAAGTGCGCGCTCCATGCCGGCCTGCGGAAGCCGCGGGGGACTGGCCAGGCAGCTGTGCTGCGCCTGACTGCCGTCGCCCTGCGCATCTGCGATGAGCAGCTTGCCCAGCGTCGCCATCGCGACGGCGCGGGCCGGGTGCGCTGCGCAGAAGACTGCTCCGCCTGCGGCCTGCATCCCGGCGCAGATGGCGAGGCCAAGTCGCGTTGCCTCGTCGAGCTTCTCCTCCGATGCGTCCGAGCTGCCCGCCAGCTCGATGAGGGCCGTCTGCGCGCAGCGCATGAGGGCCAGCAAGGGATAGCCCGACGGCGGCATCACGGCCGAGAGGACGCGGATCGAGCGCTGCAGCGTCTGCCAAGCAGCTTCGGGCTCTACGAAGGATCTCAGTTGTGCTCGGCTTGGTGGAGACAGCACGCACCATTCGTGTCCAGAAATCGTTCCGCTCGCTCAAGGGCCTGCTCGCCAGATTGGCGTGCCTGCGCAGACGTGTCGGGCTGCGCACGTGGGGCACCGCACTTGCTGCACGACGCACTAACAGGCGCGGCCGTCTCGTCGCCCGTCAACGGGCTTGCAATCCAGCCGCCGCAGGCTCGCGAGCACCACTGAGCCTCGCGCGGGTCTAGCCACGCGGCACGACCAGCCTTTGGCGGCGCACGTCGGCGAGCGTGCTTGCACATCGCGCAGCTGCAGGCGAACAGATAGCGCTCGGCCAGCGTCTGGCGGCGCTTTGCGTAGCAGTCCGAAAGGTCGACGTACGAGGTGAGAATCTACGCAGTGCTTGGAGGTCAGGACACAGGGCGACGCACGCCGCATGCGAGCGGACTTACCTCTTCGCCAGGCTTGATCTCACGGATCGCCACCACCCGCAGCGAGCCCTCCCGCGCGCCGGGGCCGAACGGAAAGACGACGCAGGCGTTTGGCACGCAGCTGTGGTTGAGCAGGGCAGCTTCTGGCGCCACTGCGACGCCCAGCGGCGATAGATCGCTCGAGGCTGCAGTGAACGAGTTTGTGGCGTACTGTCAAAGAGCGTAAGCGCTCGCGCCGCGTGCTGGGCCCGGCCGGGCTCACTTGGCACACAAAGTCGAGTAGCTGGGCCGAGCTGGCGAGACCGAGCGCGGCCAGCCTGGCTCTGGCAGCGCTGCTGCGTTCCTCATCTGGCTCCGCGTCTGGACGCAGCGTCACACCCATGAAGAAGGCGAGCCGGGCAGCTATCGTGCCCAGGGGCTCGAGCTGCTGCGAGTCCATCTTGCCACGATCTGATGTAGTGTCAGCAGCGTCACCATGTCCCTAGCAGCACCTCAACGCACTGCTCTGCATGTTGTGGACCGGCTCCATCTGCGTCGGCGTCAGCCCACGTGCCGCGCAAAGCAGCGGGCCCGCCAAGCTCACCCAGTCTGCACCCTTCTTCTGACCAGCCCATAGCAGCCGGGCCAAAGCACGAACGCTTGTGCCCGGCTCTGATGCAACGCGCTGCGTCTGGCCTTTTGCGCTGCTGGCGGCCGAGGCGGCATAGGCGACGAGAGCCGCGCACTCTTGCCGATGCAGCGGCCAGTCGGCGCGCTGGCAGGCGGCCGAGCAGTAGTGGAGGGTGCGACAGCCGCTGCAGCGCTGCAGACGCGGCGAGCTGCTGCCCGAGGCAGTGTGCGGCAGCGCCTCGATCGCTTCATCGGCTGTCTTGAAGCAAAGCGCGCAGCGCGAGTCGAGATGGGCGGAAGAGAGGACAGCGACGTGGGGCGAGACGGCGAGCAGGGTCGTGCCTTGCGGCGCGCCAGCTGCAGCATCAGTCACCGCCAGCGTGCACAGCCGCCCCACACTCACCTGCTGTCGCGCTCTTTACCGATGTGGGAGCCCACCAGATACTGCGGCCTGACGCCTCCGTGCGTCTGACCTCGAGCTCGCCCCTCAGCCGGTACGATGTCGACTCGGCGCGCGACCCGCAAGCAGGCAGCTGGGCCATCGTCGCAGCACTCTCAAAGGCCTGTGTGCTCGCTGCTTCTGGCGCATCTGGCTCAGCAACCAGCTCCTGCGCAGCGACTGGTGCCTCCTCGCTGGCGCAAGCAGGCTGTGGTGCTGCATCGGCTGGCGCTGGCGTAGCGGCTGGCGCTGGCGCAGCTCGAGCCTGTCCGGCGCTTGCCGCTCCGGCGCCGCGTCGCGCGCGCTGCTGCTTCAGCGCCTGGAAGCTGGCCATGGCGCAGCAGGGCGCAACTCGCGACGGAGAGAGCCAGGCGCGCTGCAGATGGGGAGAAGTGGATGAGAAGCAAGACGCGAGGGCCGCACACGACAACAGAAACGCGAAGGCCAGGTGCGCAGGCGCAGCCGCACGCCTCCACTTCCACGTGCCGTGCGAGAGCGAGGGCGCAGGACGAAGAAGCTCGCCGCGACTCCTGCTGCTCTCCTCGCAAGTGCAATAGAATCTTATTTCGAGCCGATGGACAGGCCTGCGCCACAATGCAACGAGGAGGCAAGGCCTGCCAATCTGAATGTGCAGAGCTGCACCGATCACTGGAATGTCAAGCCGGCTGCCGCGGGCGCGTGATCCTCGCCCGCAGCCGGCGCGGTCGCGTTGCTGTACTTGAGCAGCCACGCAAGCACCTCGCGGTGCCACACCAGAGAGTTGCGCGGCTTCATGACCTGGACAGCAGGCAGCATCAGCGCCTCTTCGTGCGCAAGCGGCCGCTCGTCGGCAGCACGCACCCAGTGGTTCTCGTCGGGAAAGTAGAGCAGCTTGGAAGGCACGCCGCGGCGCTGCAGGACGTTGAAGACAGACAGGCCCTCGCTGGACGCGGCAGAGTCAGCGTCAGACGCTGCGCGCGGCTGTGCCACACTCACGATTCCGGCAGGCGGAAGCTGCAGAGGCGCAAGGTCAGCTAGACGTCACCACCACGCAGGAGGGCTGCGACGCACTCTTTGCCGCCGGCGATGGTGAGCTGCGGCGTGGCCCAGCGGTCGGTGTACTGCTCTGGGCTCGCCGCGAGGTATGCGTCACGCGCCTCCCACGGCACGCCGCCGAACTCAAACTCGGGGAAGTAGAGCTCGTCGGTGGAGTACTGCGGACCGGGCGTCAGCTGGTCTGGCAGCACCGCGTGCCGCGGCCTGCGCACCCAGGTGGAGAGCGTGCTGAAGACGCCGTCGTGGCACACGAGGCCCTTGAACAGCTGGTCCTGGTTGCGGCCGTTGATGAGATTGATCATGTACCCGCCAACTGCGGAGCGGTCAGCACAGGCCGCGGCGATGCAAGGCCTCGAGGCTCACATGACGCGCCAGCCCTGCGGTCAGGGGTCAGCTCTGACCTCGGACAAGGCAGCTGCGCACTCACGCAACGACGCGCTCCGGGTCCAGGTTCGGGTGCGTGTCGAGGATGTGTCGGACGCCGGCCCGGATGTCGCTGAGCAGCGCGGTCAGCCTGGGTCGCAGCCAGCGCCACTGCCGCACTCACAAAAAGGCCCGCGTCGACCAGGCGCCCAGAATGCCCTCCTGGTACTTCTGCCCGAAGCCGGTGCTGCCCGCTGGATCGAGCGTGATGACAAAGAAGCCGGCCGCCGCGAACACGCTCGGGTTCCAGCGCGTGCTCCAGGAGCTGTGCGGGCGCGGACAGGTGAGCTGCCGCTGCCATCGCTGCGTGCACAGGCCCAACTCACTTTGTCCATGCGCCCTCCGGGCCACCGTGGATGAGTGTCAAGAGCGGGTAGGTTTTCTGCGAGCGAAGTGCGTCAGCGGCTGCAAGCGAGCGCAGGTGCAGTGTCTCTCACGTCCTCGCTGTAGCCCGGCGGCGGCACCGTCCAGCCGTACGCCTCGCGACCCTCCATGCCGACGTAGTTGAAGCGACGGGGCAGCGGGCCCAGGTCGACGCCAGCCAGAGCCCGACTCGCGCCCTTGAAGTCGGTCAGCTGCACCGGATCCTCGCCGGCGGACGCCGTGTACACCTCGGTCGGGCCGCGGAGACTGCTGCGCGTCAGGAGGGTCCGGCCGTCCTGCAGCGGCTGCACGGATGACACGCCGCCATCGCGCACCAAAGGCACCAGCGTTTCGCCCGCCTGCGCCTCGGGCGAGAAGAGCTCGGCCAGGGGCAGGGAGAGAAGCTTCTCCTGCTCGTACTCCTCGACGACGACGAGCAGGGTGTGGCCGTCCGCTGACCACGCGACTTGAGCCGGACTGCGGTCCCAGGCGCCCAGAAGCGTGACTGTCTCGTTGGAGGCGAGCGTGGTGACCTTGACGCGGCGCACGTCTGCCTCGAATCCGTCGCGCGCCATCTGAAGGTAGGCCACCTTGGAGCCGCACGGCGAGATGGCCGGCGAGGATGTCGCGCCGAGACCGCCGCGCGAGATCTGCTGCGGCTGAGATGTGCCTGCGAGCGGCACAGTGTAGATCTGGAGACTGCTCAGCACGATCCTGAGCTGCCGCAGCGCAGCCACCACGCACCTGCTGCCGTGTGTGCCACGCGGGATTGACCGACGGGTCCTTGGCGGTAAAGGCCGCATACGCAGTGCCGTCGGGGGCAAGGCCAAGGGAGTAGTCCTTCTCGTCGCCGAACGGCGCGACGGGCGCCTCAAGGCCGGTGCCCTTCATGAGCGGCCTCTCCTTGCCGGCGAGGCTCCAGCGCTCCTTGCGGCCCTTGCCGCGCTTCTTGAGATCGATGGCAAAGAGCTGCGTGCGCTTGCCCGGGCGCAGCCACTTGTCCCAGTGCCGCACAAAGGTCGTCTCGTAGACTATGCGCCACTTCGCATCAGCCGCGTCGCTCGCGTTCGCCGCTGATGGTGCGACTCACTCTTGGCGTGCTCCCACTCCTGGCCCTCTGCGCTGCTCTCGTACGACTCCACGTTGCGCAGGTCGCCGTCGTCGTAGACGGCAGCGCTAAAGACGATGGTCGCGCCGTGGTCGTGCAGTAGCACACGCCAGGAAGTCGGTTCCACGGGCAGGGCCCCGATGCGCACGCCCTTGAAGCCCGCGTCCGCCCAGTTGCTGCGCAGCGACGACTTCGCGTAGAGGGTCGCTCCGCGCAGCGTCACGAGCGTCGTGTTGGAGAGCCAGAGCGCCGCAGACGCATTCCGCACGACTTCGACGGCGCCTTTGCTGGCCGCAGCGCCGTGCCCGGCAGCTGGCACGGCGACGCTCCAGATGGACGAGCCGCCGCTGCCGCGCTTGACGTTGTGCTCGGCCACCGCGATGACGGCCTGCCGTCCGTCGGGCGAGGCAAGCGCGTCGCCGGGCCGGGGCGCCTCAAGGAGCGCCAGGGGCGTCAGATGGCTGGCCACGGCCGTGGCAGCAGAGGCCAAGCATGCAAGCACGATGCTTCGGCAGCGCATGGCGGGCAACGAGTGAGAGGCGGCAGAGGTGGAGGCGGGAAGGCAGGGCTCGACTCGGCGCGCGGTGGTCCATGCACCAGCGCACGCGAAGCGCGTTACGTAAGCCGCGCGCCGCGGCGCGACTCTGGCGCTTTCGGTGTGCTGCCGCAACGCGCCGAGCCGCGGCCGCGCTCTGGGCTAGCCTACTCCGCCTGCGCTGGGGCTTCTGCTGCTGCCTCAACGCATCCGCAGCGCAGCGCTCGCCCGATCGTGACTGTATTAGGTCGCTGCGCCCGTTACACGATGCTGTCACGCTAGCTGCCTCGCTCATCCTGCTCTCCATCCGGGAGGTGCTGGGACTGCCATCACAGGCTGTTCGGCTGGGCATCTCTGTGACTCGTGTGCGATAGGGCGCAACGGTGCGCATCATCAGCCTGGCATGCCGCGACTGGAGAGGCGAAGCTGGGCGAATCCAGAAGACGAGGTCAGCACGCGGCCGATGGCGACGACTCGACGTCAATCCCGCGTGTCGGCGACGGGCTCGGTGTCACTCGACTGTCGCAGGAAGACTGCGTCTCTCGTATCAGGACAGATAGGCTGCCCCAGCTGTTGCGAGGAGGTGCTTGTACATGTGTGGCCCGGCACTGCGCCGCTTCGCACCTGTCGCTGTGGGTCAGCTCACGCCACCGTGACTGTATGATGAGCAGTCTTTGGCCCTCTCAGCACGGCCGACGCGACAATCGGCATCGCTGATCATCTTGAGCTCCGCAGACAGCTGGCGCCAGCGCGCTGCATCCAGCGCTGCGCGTTGTGAACGGCGCGCAGAAAAGCGAGCATTGCAGAAGCGTTTGACGGGCGCGAAGACGCGGCATTTACTGCAGGTTAGTCCTCGCGCGCCAATGCCGCCTGGTTTTCGGACCGAATCAGGCCATCCCGGTCAATCAGCTACCCACAGCATCCCATGTCCGGTTGAGGGCGACCGCGTCACACAGCTGAGACCGCCTTCACCAGTGTCAGAGGCACGCAGCGACGAAAGCGCGAGCGGCACAGCTATGGCCGCTTGCAGCACGCCATCCGGGCAGCCAGAAGCTGTCATGTGCTATGCCTGCTTGAAGAGAAGGCCCCTCGCACGTGCGTGCAGAGCGAGCGACAGTCTGACGATGCATGCCGTGCTCACCCCGTGATGCTGCGCTTGCGAGGATGCCGCTGAGCTGAAGCCGTGCTCTGCGCAGCGTTCCTGTTGCTCGGAGGACTGACGGCGCGGGCGCAGGAGGGCAGCGGCTGCGTGCGCGGCACGCGGCGAAGGTGAAGACGCGCCTGTTGTCGCGGCGCGGCCGCGTCAATACAAATTTGATGCACGAAGTCGTAGTCGCGCGGCTGGGTTGTATTCACCCAGCTGTATTACGCGCGCGCGGCGCGCCTCCACTCCTTCCTTCTCTTCCACATCCTCCTCCGCCCTCGACTCCTGCGCGCACGCCCGTTCTCTAGCGGCTCCCAGCATCTCCAGCTCGCGTCCACGTCGTCAAGCCATACGCTGGAAAGCGTCGACTTCCCGAGGGCCAATAGCGCAGACGAGCCCTCGCCAATGCCAGACCACGACAGACCGGCGTCTGGGCCGGCGCTCTTTCGCGAGAGCTCTAGTGAGCCCGAAGACGAGCCCGCTGCCGCTGCAGCGTCTTCTTCGCGCGCGTGGATGTCCACTTCGGCCACGCCCGAGGAGGGCGAGGCAGCCGGCCCGGACGCGATGGACGTAGATGCGCAGGCCAGCGCTCCGGCCAGCCCCGTCGACGCCTCGCTGCCTGCCCCTTCCTCACCGCAGGCCCGGCGCTCGGCAAAGCCGTCGGCCTCTCGCCTGCCGGCAGGCTCGGACCCGAACCTGCTCGCCTCTCTCCCCGTCTACCTGTCCGCGTCTCTGCCGCAGTCCTCGCGCCTCTCGCTCTTCCAGTATCCCACGTACCCACGCGGCAGCCCGCTGCCAGTGCCTGACTCGGCACGGTCACGTGGACTGCGCGAGGCAGCGCGCTGGCGGCCCAAGGCGGACCGGGTGGAGGTTGAGCTGCCGCTAGACGTGCGGCAGACCGTCTACAACCTCGAAAAGGGACAGGAGATGGCGCGGGGCGCAGAGCACGGCGGCACGTTCGGCGAGAAGAAGGTCAAGAAGGAGCCAGGCAGCAGCAGAAGGGACCGCGAGCGCGAGAAGGAGAAGGACAAGGCGCCCAAGCGCCTGGAGAAGACTCGGCTCGAGAGTCAGCTGGTGCCGAACCAGACGCGCTACTTCGTCGGCGTCATTCGCGACGGTGAGTCAGGCTGTGCTTGTGTGGTAGCGGGAGCTCTACCAAGGGCTAAGAGCGGCTCCGTCGAGGACAGACTGCTGACGCCCGCGAACTGACTCAGGCGCACTGCACCTGACGCCGCTGGACTCGGTGCAGCAGATGCGCCCTTCGCTGCACTATCTCGACGGCATCGACACGCTCGAGCTCGCCGAGAAGAGGCGCTCCAAGGCCGGCTCAGACTCCGGATCGGGCTCGGAAGACGAAGGCGGCGCTGCTGCAGCTGCCGCCGCGGCCGCCGCGACCAAGAAAAAGGGCACGCTCAACGTCGTCGTCGGCATGGGTCCAAAGGACCAGAAGGACGGCCTGATGCAGAGCCAGCGCGATGCCGAGGCGGAGAAGTGGATCGAGCTGGAGTGGCGCAACAGCCTTGTGAGGGAGAACAGAAGCGGCGTCACCCTGCCACATTGCTGACCCACGCATCGGCAGAGCGACGAGGCCAGCAAGACGTTCGAGTCGCAGCTCTTCGCAAGCACCAAGGTGCCGCTCACCTGCACCACCAGGATGCGCGAGTTCCTGCCGGCAATCTGACCTTGATTGCAGCAACGTCGTCAGGCTACATCTCGCTGTCAGGCTGCTGCGGCTTCCGCTCGTCGAGGGCCAGGGCGCCCTTCAGACGCGATGCCCGCTGGCGCGCCGACTTGCCTGTCGAGAGGGAGCAGATCTGTCAGCTGGCGCACGAAGAGGGATCGAGGCGCTCTCGACACTCACCCAGCCAGGCCGCGGTGCGCACAGTCTTGAATTGTCTGCCTGAGTACGAGGGAGGTCAGCATGCGATGCGGATGTCGACTGCCGCGCTGTGACGCACTGCCGCGGTGCTGTCGCTTCAGCTCATCCCGGTCCGCCTTCCATCTGTGCAGCTTGCTGCGCAGGCCGTCGTCGGCTGGGTCCTGCTTCCCTGGTCCGGACGGCTGCTCCCCTGGTCCGGACGGCTGCGCCCCGGCAGCCTCGTCTTGAGTTTCCTCGGCGTTGCTCTCGCCCGCATCAGAATCTGCCTCGTCCGAGGCGTCGGATGCCTCGTCGTCGGACTTGGGCGCCGCCTTGGTGAAGTCGCCGTTGACATCGCTGCTGGCGTCCCGTCAGCCGCTGGTGGTCGCGTGCACTGCACTCCCGCAGCGACTCACCGCATTCCTGCGGCAACACACGCCTGCCACGCCTCGAGCACCGCTGCGCTGTCGCTGTGCTTGTCGAAGCGCAGGTGGACGCGGCCGACGCCGGACTTGAAGCTCAGACCCAGGCTCAGTGTTCCCACCCGCGTGCCGCCAAGCGCCTCGCCCTGCGCCGGGTCCCGATAGTCGCTGTAGTTCTGTGTGAGGCGGTGGAAGTCGTTGCCCTTCGCGCGCCACACCGGCAGCTCGATGTCCTCGCGCTCGTCGTCAATCAGGTCTTGCAGCCAGCTGCCGGACGGCGAGCAAGTGAGCACGCCTGCGAATGGATTGTGCGCCTGGGCACTCACACAATCGATAGCGCCGTCGTGCGCCTGATGCCGTATGCTGCTAGCGTGCGGAACTCCTACATCAAAGCGTCAGCCTCGACTGCGCACTGAAGTGCTCGGCGAGGCCGGCCACACGCACCACGACCAGCGGCGCCGCATAGCGTCTCCGAGCCGGAATCTTGAGGGGCAGGCGTTTCGCGTCGACGTGCCAGGTCACCGAGTCGTTGGCCTCGTCGAGATGCGAGTGCCGACTGCCCGAGATCCGCACCGCACCAGCCAGCGTGCGCAGGCGCAAGGACGCAAGGTGCAGGTCAGCGGCGCGTCCATCGGTGAAGTCGTGGATGCGTGGCGGAGCCTGGATGCGGACGGTGCCGATGTCGAAGCCCAGGCGGCTCTTCGTCTTGGTCAGCCCGAGCACAGGCCGGAAGAGCAGCGAGATTCGGACGCTTCCGCGGCCCACGCCGCCGCCGATCGGGAAGTACTGCGTGACCTGTGACGAGTGATTGCGGGCGAAAAGCTCAGCCAAACTGCAGATGGGAGGTTAGCAGGGAGGGTGCATGAGGCTTGCTCGCCCAGACTGACTTGATCGGCACAACACCCAGAATCGGATCGGACTCGCGGTTGCGCGAGTCGCGCAGGCAGATCATGATCATGCAGCGCTGCCAGTTTCGAATGAAGCGCCTGCGCGGGAGTGTGAGCGTCGTGGCGGGCAGCAGCGTCGAGTGAGCACTGACTCGGTACCCGTCTGGAAGAACGGGTTGGCGGCGAGATGCTTGGTACGGCTCCGGAAGACGCTGTTGGCGTAGTGGCTGAGCTTCGCGGCCGGGAAAGACCACACGGCGCCACTCACGTCTGCTCGTTGAGGATGATGGTGAAGTACGCGCTCGGACTCGACTCTTGGTCTCTCTCGTCCTGCACGTCTTCGATCGGCTGGCCGGGCTCGTGCGCCTGGCGCTGGCGCAGGCTCGTCTTCGTGCGCACGACCTCCAGGTCCTTGGCGTCGTGGATCTGGATGCTGAGGATGCCTGACGGTAGGGCCGGGTCCGGTGCTTCGAAGCGCACACCCTCCTCGCCATGGTGCGGTGCTTCGGCAGGTTGCGACGTGGCCTCGCACTCCTCTTCCTCTGGCGACGTCGACGCTTCTTGCTCAGGGGCAGAAGAGCCTGGCTTCTCTGAGCTTACGTCCGACGTATACTTACTAATGGCATCCTTGCGTCTGACGTTGTCGGCCTTGCGGTAGTAGCCCACCGACCAGTTGAGCACGCCCTGCTTCGAAGAGGTCGCAGTCCTGCCCATGAAGGGATCCTGTCGCCGCGTGAGCTGCCCGGGGTGATCGATGAGCTCGGCCGGATCAATCTCGATGCGGCCCAGCAGATCGTCCGCAGTCCTGGGGCAGGATGTCAGCGGCGGTGGACGAGGTGTCGAGGCGTCTGCTCCTTCTCACAGACGATCACTGTCCCACACGTTGATCTGCAGGCGCTCCTGGGCGCGGAGGGCGTCGGCGTGGAGCAGCAGCACGTGCCGCTCCTCCCAGATGGGGCTCAGATCGTCGACGGCAACGCGCGTCGCATAGGCAACCTTCTGCAGCCGGGACCACTGCAGAGTGCAGTACGGATCGCTCGAGCCTTTGCGGTCCTGCGGCGCCTGTCAGCGTGCCGTCGGCGCGCCTGAGCTGCTGACTCGACGCACCGACTTCTCCAGGTTCTCGGCGCCGTGGAACACCACCAGGATGACGCCGAGCGCATCGACCTCTCGCTTGATCTGGTCGCCGGCAACTGCCTCGCCAACTGCAAGAGGTCAAATGTGTATCAGGCAAAAGGCTGCGGAGACTCCAGGGGGGCGACGAACCGTCAATCGTCATGGAGGACGGCGCGACGTATTCAGCGACCGCCGCATCCTGATTCGGCTCGTCAGCTACGTGCCTCCGGCCGTCCGTGCGCACTCACAATCGAGCTCTGGATGAAGCCGGAAAGGATCGGAATGTTGTTGAGATTGACGCTCAGCGGCGTGACTGCGACTCTGCACCGCGGCAGGCCGGCAAAGGAGAACGTCACGTTCTGTCACGGGCGTCAGCCGCAGCCAGGGAGCGGGATGCGCCGGCCTTGTTACTCACTCCCACGAATGGCGCATCGGGCGTCAGCTGCACCCGGAGGCGCACCGTGCCCACGAAGCCCTGGATCTCTACCCAGACGGGCAAGGGAACCTGGGCCCATTTTCGGATGCCGAGGTGGAAGTGAATGAGGCTGCGCGTGTGGCGTGAGCAACGGCGCCTTTCGATCCGCAGGAAGTTGCTCACAGATGCGCGTTGCCGGCGCGCCCGAGCTTGCTACGTTGCGCATGATAGATGAGGGACAGCTCGAGGTTGACATACTGGCCGTTCTGCTCCTCCTTGCGGTGGTTGTCGTCTTGGTCAGAGTGCTTCTCCAGGTCCGCCTCGCTGTCGGACAGCACGCGCAGGGCTGTGACGCGAATCGGCGTCAGGCCCTGCGACACTTCAGCGACCTTGACGCCGTGGATGATCGAGGGAATAGAGGCACTGTGCTGCCGGGTCAGTGGGCGACTCATGGAGAGAGAAGGGCGCTACTGACGTCATGACATCTTCGAGGGTCCCGCCCATGGACTCGAACAGAGCCTCGTCGAGCACCGACCACAGTGCCGAGAGAAGCGTGTTCATCCATTCTGCGCGCAGACAGTCAGCGCGGGCGTGCGCTGCACACTGAGAGCGACTGACCAGCGCTCTCGAGAAGGCCGTCTCCGAGGGCAGGGCCATCTTTGCTGCCACCGCGTGCGCTGTGGGCTCGTCCCGCCTCTCGCGCCCAGCGCCGCTCGGCTGCGTTGTCGCGCAGCGTGCTCCAGACCCACCATCCAAGCCATGCATTGGCGATGAGCAGCGTGAGCGAGACGACGCTGAACGACTTCCAGAGCAATGCGCCTGCCCAGGCGAGCCAGAGCGGCCCGACGAGGCGGTGCAGGTGCAGCGGGCTCGCCGGCAGCGGCTCCTCCGGTGGGAACGGCATCGAGAGTATTGGGCCCTTCTCCTGCTGTGCGTCCAGTGCAGAATCTCCAGTCTGTGGCTTGCCCGACTGTTGGGCACGCTCGCTCCTGCGGGTCTCCGCCTCCTGCGCACGCAGGTACTCGCGCTTGCTTACTGACACGAGCGGTCAGCAGCAGCTGCGACACAGCGACGCGCACTGCTCACCGTCCTGGATCGTCACGTCCTTGCCGCTAATGGGGTCGTGCACGACCCGACTCTTGTTGCGCTTGCCGCGCCGAGGGGGCTGCGCCTGCTGCTGCTCGACCTCGCCGCCGGTGCCGGACCTGCCGCTCAGCGCGCGAAGCAGGCGGGCCTTGCCTGCTTCGCCGGCCTCCGCGCCCTTGGCACGTTCTGCCGAAGAGCGCTTCTCTCCGCTCGGCTGCGCCGCCTCCTGGTCGTCTGTATACTCGTCGTCGCTGTCGACTCTGCCGGCCAGCGTCTCTGACAGGGCCTGGCCGAAGAAGCTGGCAGGCGATTCAGGCGCCGGTCAGCCGCCGAGCCGGACAGCAGCCACGGCACCAACACACCGCTGGACGGAGGGGATCGGGTTTGCCTCGCTGTACACGTCGCGCATGTGGCGCGCCTTGCCGCGCTCGCGAGCGCCCGAGGATGATGACTCTTGCTTCGGCATACTCCCTGACGCAGACGTGCCTGGCACCGACATGTCGGCGCAGCACAGCGGGGCGGGTTGCTGCCGAGAGGCTCAGCTTGTGGGCGGGCGGGCGATGCTTGCAGCGGTGATGGTGGTGCAGAGGAGAGCCGGACCAGGCGCAGCTCTGGCGCCCCAGTGTAGTCAGCTGCTGCACCGGCCGCATGGGTTGCAGCAGGCCGGCTGCGGGAGCACAGAGTAAGAGTACCGCAGCATCAGCGTCGACAGCCGACAGGTGCAGCAGCGGCAGGCGGCAGGTGGCTTGCAGCCAAGCCGTGGCTTGAGGATCTTGCCGCGGCCTGCCGACGCCGGTGCCCCGGCAGGGCGGAATGCTCCTGCGCCGGCGTGCCAAGCGCCATGACGCACTTGCTAGGCGCGCACAGAGCACGCAAGGCACGGCAGCGGCCGCGTGCCAACGTCCCTCTCGGCTGCGGACGCCTGCGTCGCCTACGACAGCCTGCAGCGCTCGCTGCGTCTCGCTCAGACGGACTGCACATGCGACTTTGCATGCTGTGCTGCAACTGGAGTGTGGCCAGGGAAGCAAGCATGACATGCCGATGCGGCGGAATCGGGCTTGAGGCTCGGACAAATGCGCGTCTCTGCCGCGGCCTGGGCGGCGCGAGGTCGAGCTTGCTCCCACGCACGGGCCGTGCAGCCTGGCGGGCAGGCTGCGCGCCTGAGCGGCCGACCCCGGACTGCGCGGCCGCTCCTCTCCACACAACGCCCGCCGCCGCCGCCGTCTCTCTTTACATCTCACAATCCCACTTGGGCCTCACCCTTGCGCTCATGACTCCCCGCGCGCGCACTGCGACGCATGCTGGGAGCTGGTACGAGGCAGATGCCCCGCGTCTGGGACAGCAGCTCGAGGGCTGGCTCGCTCGCGTCGATGCCTCGCAAATCCCGCCGCCCGGTCGCAGCGCAGCGGACATGAGCTCGCCGGCATCGTCAAACAGCAGCGCCGCGGCTCCACTGCATCTGCCCGCAGATGGCGCCAAGGCTGTGATTGCTCCGTGAGTACGCCGTAGAGGCCCCGCCTGTGCTGTGCGGTGCACCCGCTCGTGCTGATGCATTGAGCCGCAGACACGCCGGCTACTCGTACTCGGGCCCTGCCGCGGCGTGGGCTTACGCAGCCATTCCGACGTCAGCCATGTGCGTCAGGGCTTGTCTCGCCTCTCCAACCGGCTCACTCTGTGCTGCTCGCACAGCAAACGCGTGTTTGTCCTCGGTCCCTCGCATCACGTCTACCTCGACGGCTGCGCGCTGAGCAAGTGTGCGACGTACAAGACACCGCTCGGCGATCTGCCACTCGATCTCGAGAGTGAGCTGAGTGGCCTGCGAGACAGGACTGTGCTGATAGGCGTACCCAGCGATTGCTGAGCTGCGTGCGTCTGGCGAGTTCAGCGACATGTCGCAGGACACCGACGAGCAGGAGCACAGCATTGAGCTGCATCTGCCGTACATCCGCCACGTCTGGAAAGAGTACGTACATCGCTGTGCTACGACAGGACGACTTGTTCGCTGACGTAGACCCTAGCGACGCAATCAAGATTGTGCCGATTCTGATCGGCTCGATCTCGTCGTCGAAAGAGGCGCACTACGGCCAGCTCCTTGCGCCGTATCTGGCAGATAGCGAGACGTTCTTCGTCGTCAGCTCGGACTTCTGCCACTGGTGAGGCGCGCTGACAGGGATTGTCGACATGTCCTGACGCCGCCGCACAGGGGCCAGCGTTTTAGCTACACGCGCTACGAGGCCGCTCCGGGCAAGCCCGTCTCTCTCAGCAGCCGCGTCGCGCCCGCGCCAGAGGTGCCGATCCACACGTCCATCCGGCGCCTGGATGCGCGGGGCATGGCGGCGATTACCTTTCCTGCTCGCGAGAGTGCGGACGACGCCGCGGACGCCGCCTCGAGCTCGGGCGACGCCGATGGTAAGACGGCAAGCGAGGCTCAGTCGGCCTTCCGGCAGTACCTCAAGGACACGCGCAACACGATCTGCGGTCGCCATCCCATCGGCGTGCTGCTGGGCGCGCTGAGCGCCCTCGAGGAGGCGCACGGGCAGCAGGCCGAGTGCCGCTTCACACGCTACGAGGTGAGTCGGGCGTCGTCTGCTGCACCGCCCGCCCTGACGCGGCCCGCAGCAAAGCTCGCAGTGCCTGCGTGCGAGCGACAGCAGCGTCTCGTACGCCAGCGCCGTCGTGCGCTTTCTGTAGGGCGGCGTGAGAGAGGTGGTATACCGTGCAGCAGCAGGCGTCTCAGAGTAATATACAGATCGTCGCCAGTCGTGTGAGGCGCAGAGCACACAGCCGAGGCGGGCCTCAGAAGAAGCCCCACTTGCTCGACGAGTTGCGCGCGGGCATTTGCTTTTCCTGGTACACCTTGACGAGCGAGTCGAGCTTGTCCATGACCTGCGGCGGCGTGTCAGCGCGGAGACGCGCGTGAGGCGGCGGGGCACTCACCATTTCCAGCTTCTCCTTGCGCTGCTGCAGGTCGAGATGCTTGCGCACCGCCGGATTCTCGCGCGCAAACGCGGTGAGCTCCTCCTTGCCCAGGTCGTACACGAGGTGGCTGTCGATCTCGCGCGGGAACTGGTAGAAGAACTCGGCGAGCAGCTCGATGTTGATGAACATGACGGCCGTGTAGGAGAGCTTGTCCGCGACGACGTTGAGGAAGGCCTCGGGGCAGAACGCCTTGGCGTCCGGGCCGGCCTTGCAGCGCTTCGCCTTGAGCGCGGCCAGGCGCAGCTTCAGGATGGACGCGCGCTCCGCCAGGAACGCCGACTCGCGCGCCTTGGACAGCAGCGCCGAGTTGTAGTCCGGCCGCGTCGGGTCCGACTCGTCGTCGAGCGCGAGCTGCTCGTCCGCCGGCGAGCCGCCCTCGCCCGCTGCCTCGCGCGCGCGCAGGCGCGCCACGGCCGCCTTGCGGCTCCGCTCGTCCTGGTTCTTGACGTGCGCCTCGGCGTCACGCAGGCGCGCCTTGCCCACCGTCTTGACAATTCTGCTGCGCGCCTCGTCGCACATGCTCAGCTCGCGCTCGAGCAGCTCGTACGAGCGCCGCCGGCCGTCTTCCCACTCGCCTGCCGCCACCTCGACCTCGTACTTGTACGGCTTGATGCAGTTCTCCACCTGGTCGGATGTGATGCCGAAGCGCTCGCGCAAGATCGAGCTCGCAAAGCCGGCGATGCGTGCGGCCGCGTCGGGGTGGTGGTTGAACGGCTCGGCCGACGCGAGGCCCTCGATGTGCGCGCGGACCGCGTCGGCGACGAGCTGCGTGCTTGTGCGCCCGATGCCGCTCTTCGTCAGCGCACTCGCGCTGGCCTCGAGCTTGTACTGCCAGTAGCGGTCGAGGTCGTCGGGCGAGAGGCGCGAGTTGGCAGCGAGCTCGCCGAGCTCCTTGGCGCGCCCGTCGGTCCAGTACATCTGCGCGAGGATGTCGAGCACCTTGTCGTCGAGCGCCGAGCGGAGCAGCGCGCGCACCTCGGGCTTGCCAAAGCCAGCGGCTAGGTCCTTGAAGCGCAGCTTGAGCGCGTCCATCGTCTCGGCAACGTAGCTCTCGGCAGAGATGACGCGGTCGTTGTACTGCACCTTGAACTGGTACGCCGCCTCCTCCTGCTCGAGCTGCACGGCGTTGGCGATCGAGTGCAGGTTCGAGCCCATGCTCTCCTCGAGCACACTCATCAGCCGGCGGCGCAGCGTGTCGGTCCCGACGAGTGGCGCCTGCCCGGCGTTGCGCCCGCGCACGGGTGCCGTCTTGAAGTGCTCTGCGTTTGCGTCGAAGAAGGCAGCTTCGCTCTGCAGCACGGCGCTGGTGAGGTTGCCCTCGCCTGACGCCGAGTTGTGCCCGCGCTTGCTCGTGAACGCGCCAAGCTTGGCGCGGCACACGACGCCGATGTAGCCGAGCGCCAGCGGATACTTGTTGTTGCGCAGGATCGCAGCGCCCTCCTCCGGCGGAACGAGGTCGAGCTTCGTCACGACTCCGATGGTGCGCAGGCCCAGCGGGTCGACCTTGCGGCTGGCACGCAGCGCGGGCGAGTTGGCCAGGTCGACGTCGGCGGCGCACACGGCGAGGATGATGTTGGGCTCGCGGATGTACTTGTCGCACAGCCCGGCAATCTTCTCGCGCAGCTCGTCGGGCTGGTCGAGCCCGGCCAGCTGCACATAGCCCGGCAGGTCGATGAGCGTCAGGTCCGGCACGTGCGGCGAGTAGATGCGCAGCTCGATGGGCTCGTCCGACACGCATTGCGCCGCGGGCACGGCCATGTTGAGCTCGAAGAGTGTCTTTTGCACCGCGCGGAAATCGGTCATGCGTCCGAGGCCCAGCCCCGGGAATTCGCCGTACTCGACGGGCGCGCCGCCGCCGTCGGCGTCCGTGCGGATGAGCGTGAGCTCGATGGGGCGCCGCGTCACCATGTTGTTGCCCTTGGGCAGGAACTCGTGCCCGACGATGGCCTCGAGCACCGAGCTCTTGCCCGACGACTGCGAGCCAATGACGACGATCGACGGCAGCGTGAGCGTGTCGTCGGCGTGGTCGATGGACTTGAGGATGTTGCGGACCTCGATCAGCTTGCGCGTGAGCATCTGCAGCTCGGCCGTCGAGCTCGCCACGCCCTCCTCGCCGGAGTCGGCGTTGGCTACCGCAGCACTGACGCTTGTCGCGGCAAGCGCAGCAGCTCCGGCGCCACTGCCCGGCCCGCCACCCGCGCCGCCGCTGCTGCCGCCGGACTGCTGCCGCTCCCGCTGTGCCAGCTCCTCCTGCTCCACCGCCTCGGCGCGGGCGGCAGCCTTGGCCTGCACCGAGGCCCACCAGGACTTGAGCGACGCAGGCAGCTCGGGGCCCTCGATGGACTCGAGCCGCGCAGTGAGCCCAGCGAGGGTGTCCTGAGCCGAGGCCAGCGCCTCGCTCGACATGGTGCCGAGGGCGCCGGCAGCCTCGCTCGCGCTCGAGCTCGCGCGCGAGAAGGCGTCGCCGAGGAAGCCGCGGAACTCTGCAGCAGCCAGAGTGAGCCGCGCGGCCGTGCGTGGCGTGGCAGGCTACTCACCATCGACCTTGTAGTTGGCGTACGCCAGGGCGCCTCCTGCTGCGCCAAAAGCGTACGCAGGCACGCGGAAGGCGCGCAGAGCAGCTCGTGGGACGGAGCTGAAGCTCAGAGCGCGAACGTGCATGCCACGCGCCACGACGGCGTGCGTGTTGGCTGCGAAGAGGCCGCGCGACGGCGGGAGAGGGCGGCGCAGCTGGAGCGACGGGCGCAGGGCCCCGATGCCTTCGCTGCGCCACGCGAGGGGCCGCGAGGCGCGAGCAAGGCGCGCGACCGTGGCCATCGTGAGGGTGGAGGAGGCGGTCTGCGCGCTGTTGCGCGTCTACACCGGAAGGGTTCGGTGCGCGACCACGGGCGGGCCGAGCGGCGGTCTGCACAGGCGGGCGGGCGTGAGATGCTCACGGCTGCGCGCCGCAGGTTGGAGGAGAGCGAGGTCGCGCAGCGTGAGCTTCACGCGGGTGCTGAGGGGTGGTGGTGGGTGCTGAGGCAGCGGCCCAGAAATGCAGCGGCACGGGCCCGGGTGTGGCAGATCTCGCTCGTGCTGCGCAGTCGATAGTCGGGCCGCGGCATTGTATTCAGCCGCGCGCCCTTGCTGTATTCGCCGCGCCGCGTTTTGTAATGCGGGCGCGCCGCCACTCTTGCTGCATGCGGGGCGCGCCGCTTGCCTCGCTACCACCACACCGCACCAGCTCCCGACAGCCTCAAATCCACAGCAGCCGCTGCTGCCTGACGGACTGCAAGCTTTCACCCCCTCTGCGCACTTCGTCTCTCATTTCACGATGCCCAAGGCAGAGGCCGGCAGCGCGTGAGTGCGCCTGCCGCACGCGCCCCGACGCACGCTCACACCCCGCCCCTCCACAGCAAGGCGGTGGGCAATGCCATGAAGGCCAAGGGCCTCACGAAGCTGCGCTTCTACTGCCAGGTGCGTGTGACAGGCCCGCCATCATCGACTCTGCTGCGTCGCTGACACAATCCCGCACAGCTATGTGCGAAGCCCTGCCGCGACGAGAATGGCTACAAGTGCCACATTGAGAGCGAGGCGCACATGCGCCAGATGACGGCGCTGGGCGGCAGCGCGGGCAAGGTCATCGACCGCTTCTCGCAGCAGTTCCAGAGCGAGTTTGTGCAGCTCCTCAGCCGCCGGTGAGTGTTGCAAGAGGCCAACAGGCCAACAGTGGCGGCGCGTGGCCTGCTGTGCTCTGTGGAGCGAGATCGCACTCGCCTCGCACACCGCTTCGCGCTGCATGCACTGACGCCACTGCGCAGGTACGGAACACGCCGCATCCGTGCGAACCTCGTCTACCAGGAGTTCATCCAGGAGCGCCACCATCTGCACATGAACGCGACGCGCTGGACGTCGCTCTCGTCGTTTGTCAAGCACCTCGGGCGCGAGGGCGTTGTGCGCGCGGAGGAGAACGAGAAGGGCTGGTTCATTGAATGGGTCGACAACTCGCCGGCGGCGCTCGCGCGGCAGGATGCGCTGCAGAAGATGAACCGCGCCAAGATCGACGAGGAGACGCGCGGCCGCAAGTATCTGCAGGAGCAGATCGAGCGTGCGAAGCGCGAGCAGGGCGACGACCGCGCGGACGCCGCAGCGCCCGAGGCTGGCCTGCAGCGCGACGGCGATGCGCCGATCCGCATTGGCATCTCGCTGAAGCCCAAGGCAGATGCGGACACGTCCAGCAGCGCCGCGTCCGGCAGCGGCACGTCCGCGCCCGAGGCGACCGGTGGCCCATCGCAGAGCGCGCCCGCCAGCGCACCGGCGCCGCTCAAGCTCGGCCTGGTCAGCAGCGCCAAGGCGCAGCCGGCCGTGCGTCCCAATGCCTTTAAGGCTGCGTCGTCGTCGTCGAGCAAGGCCGCGTCCGGCTCGGGCCCAGGCGCCGGCCGCTCGAGCATGACGGCCGCCGAGCGCATCATGGCCGAGGAGCAGGAGCAGCGGCAGAAGCGCGAGAGCTTCGGGCCGCAGCCGAGCGCCAAGCGCATGCGCATGTAGTCGCAGCCCGGCGTGCCCGGCGCATGTAGTACAAGTCTCAATTGATACCCTAGCCGATGACGAGCACCACGGCGTCGCCTGCGCGCAGCTGGTACCACTCGAGGGCCTTGCTCTTCTGGTCGAGGGGGAACACGATGGGAGCGTCACCTGGGTTGAGAGCGTCTCCTGCGGCGGGGCCAGCGCCAGCGAGAGCTCCATCTGCGCCGGGGCCAGCCTGCGGCGCCAGCATGGCCCACATCTCGCGGATCGCCTTTTTGTCCGGCAGGCCCGCCGCCTTGGCCAGCTTGGTGCGGAGCAGGCGCAGCGCCGTCGTGGGCAGCACGCGCACGGTCGTGGTGGACACTGGGGTGAGGTGCGGCGGCTCGGCGGCGGGTGCGGCCGGCGACACGTGGAGCGTGAGCTCTGCGGCGGGGTCAGCGAGTGCGCGGCGTGGGCGGCGTCGGCACATACCGATGAGCTTGCTCTGCAGCAGATCGGCCTTGCCGGGTGCGTGCGCCACGACGCCGTGCCCTGGAAAGCGTACACCTGGTGAGGGGCAAGCGTGGCGTGCGTTCTGCGGCGGACTCACGCTGCTTGAGCTCGGGATAGCGGGGATGCGGGACGGTCCGCTGCGCGTCGGAGGCATCGGGCATGTCGGATGTGATCCGCGAGAGATAGAAGCGCTCTGCCTCTTTGCGCTCCTCTGGGTGCACCGCCGTGCCGTTAAGCTGGGTCAGGCCGCCGAGGCGCGCAATAGCAAGCGAGCGCAGCTCTTCGGCTAGTGAGAGTCAGCTTTGCGTGGAACACGATGTCTCTGGCGATTCCCCGGCGACTCACTGCTCGCCAGTGGGCAAAGCGTGCCGCCGAGTGCCAGGCTTGAAAGGCCAGCGCGGGCATGCGCGTCTGCCCCGCTGGCGGACCCGCTTGGATCTTCCGCCGGACCGCTGCGCAGCCACATGTCGAGCGCCTCGAGGTCGCTCCAGCGCGCCAGGGGCACGTCGATGAGCGAGATGTGCTTCAGCGACGGAAAGAGGCGCTCGCCCGCGAGCTCGGCCGCCGACGGCGTGGAAATCGCGTGTATTGGATTTGAGGACAAGACGAGACGCTCGAGCCTGCTGGAGTGAGAGGGTGGCGAGGTGCGGCGGCGGCAAACACTCACGCGGGCAGTCTGGCGAGGGCGTCGACGATGTCGCGCCAGCACGTGAGGCCGTTGCCCTCGAGGTTGAGTGTCTGCAAGCTGCCAAAGACTGGCAGGCGCGGCGCCTCGCGAGCGTGTGACAGCTTGCCAATGTCGTTGAAGCCGAGCTGGAGTGTCTCGAGGGCCGGAAACGAAGCGGCGAGGTCGCAGAGCTGCCGCCGGTCTCAGCGGAAGAGTGACGATTGTACACGCAGCACTCACGGTATCCCAGCCGAGCAGACACCTGTCCAGGCCGAGGTCTCTCACGGCAGCAAAGCCGGGCAGAACAGCCGCTCCTTGCTCATGCTCGAGGCGGTTGCAGCTGTGCGCGTGCCCGTCAGCAGTCGCGCCGCAGCGTGTCCGCGCCACGCACTGACTGGAGCACCAGCGTGTCGAGCTGCCGCAGCTCGCGCGTGATGAGCGACAGCTCCTGCCACGACGGCAGCAGCGAGCGCGAGAGGTCCAGCCAGCGCACGTCTGGCCCGTCGTCAGCCAGGCGTCACTGCACACTCGCATGCTTGACTCACTCGGACACGTCTCTGCAATGCGCCCTGCCTGCTCGCCCTCGCCAAACGCCCTGGCGACCTCGGCGGCGCCGTCTGCATCATCCTCCGCCCGCCAGCCGCCCAGGCCGACCTGGCGCAGCCGCGACAGGCGCGACACGCGCTGCGACACGGCGTCCATGTTAGGCGCCTCGATTTCGATGTCGGCCAGGTTGCGGCGCGAGAACCGGGGGGCGGGGTGTGTCGTGGTGGGTGTTGTCTGCGGCGCGGCGGGAAGGTACTTGGCGCCGAGCGCGGCGAGGAAGGACGTGCCAAACGAGAGCTTGGCGCTCGGGCGCAGAAAGGAGCCCGCTCGCGGCGAGCTGTTGCGGCTCAGCAGCGTCGGCGACCCCACCACGCTGCACTCACCGAGTGCTGAAGTACCGCACGCCGGCGTGCGAGCCGTCGTGCTTGCCGCGCGACGGCTCGTCCCACTCGACGCCAAGCCAGGTGCCCGCGGCGGGCGGCACGGCGCCGACGTAGCGCACCGTCCCGCGGTCCGCACCGAGGGCGAAGCGTGCCCCGACGGCGGGAAGAGTGTGACGTGCGGCAGCGCCAGCTGCAGCAGCATCTGCGGCGGGTGCATCGCCGAGCGCCGCCGCAGGGCGAGATATTGGAAGAGCGTCTGCGCTCATGCGTGCGTGTGTGTGGAGAGGAAGAAGGAGCGCGCGAGGGAGGCTACTCTAGCGCGGCGCGGCGAGGCGGTGCGAGGCAAGTGCATGGCTTGTGCGCGCACTTTGGCCGCACCGCCGCGCCGCCGCGCGCGCCACGCGAATAAGAATTCCCGCCTTGTCGCACTCCAGCATTCGCACCCTCACCATCGCTCGTCGCACCCGCACCTGCGTCCCCGCCGCTCCGCCCTCCTCCGCACCGCGCACGCACCCTTCTCGTCGCAGCCTCGTGCGTGCGCGCCAGGCCGTCAGCGCTCGCCGCTCCCTGGCGCAGGCGCATGCGCGCATCGGCATCACGCCGCCACCCTCGCCAGCCGGGCGCGCGCATCCGCACCACGCCGCCCTCGCGCGAGCATCGGCACCACGCCGCCCTCGCGCGAGCGCCGCCACCACGAGCGCTGCCACCTTGAGCGCCGCCACCACGAGCGCTGCCACCTCGAGCGCCGCCGTCGCGGCCACTGACCGCCGCCGTCCCAATTGCAGACGAGAGCCGCCGCCCAGATCGTCGCGGCCGTCGAGCGCCGCCGCCCGACCGCAGACGTCGAGAGAGAGTGAGTACATGCTGCGAGTGTCGTGCTTGCGTGTCGTCTCTCCTGCTGCGTGCCGCCGAGTTTGGTCAGTCGGTCTCGTCGCCGTCTGCCCCCGGGATAACCCGGTCTCTTGTGCGCTGCATCGAGGGCCTGCTCGCTATCCAGGGATGAGGGTCGGCGGCGAGCGTGGGCGGCTGTGCATCGATTCGGCCGGGTGATGTGCTTGGCGGGGCGTCTTCTACTGCAGCTCAGTGTGCTCGCCTTCCTGGCGGTCGTGCTGCGCGGGTGATGCGTCTGCGGTCCTGTGTATCTCCTGGGCGTCTAAGGGTGTGTGTCTGCTCTCTCTCGTCGTCGGCTCCCACGGGAATGTGACCCGGTCTCTGGTGCGCCTCCGTCGTCTCGAGCACGTCGCTGACGCCCCTGCCACTTCCCTCCCCCACATGCCGCCGGCGCAGGGCGCGAGAGTGTGGCAGACTGCGGTCTGCCACTGCGCGGCGCGAGGATGGAGCGGGCAGTATGTAGCCGTGGCACCGCTCGCGACCTGCTCACTGCCGTGCCGCACCCCTCTCGTTAGTCACGCTCGTCGTCGTCGGTCATCCTCGCCCCATGTGCCCTCCATTCGCATCCTCTCGCACCCCCTCTGTGTAAAATCCCGGGGCCGACGTAACACCCTGAAATCTAGATGCGTTTGTCTTTGCCGCGCCGCGCCGCGGCAGAGACGCGTCGTCGAGGGTCAGGACGCGTCTCGAGATGATGACGCCGCCTCGAATACTGGCGCAATCGCTTAGCCCTTGTGTGGGCAGCTGCGCCTGGGTGGCCTGTGAATATTGAGCACAAAAGCTAAGCTTCAGGCCTTGCGGCAGCCAAGGGGGAGGCAGCGGGGAAAATGGAGTTTGGGCGTCGAGGCCAATGCCTCATCTTGCGCAGCCTCCCCCGCCGCCCACGGCAACAGCAGGGCTTAGTTTTTATGCTCAAAACCCTGCCCATGCCAGCATCTACCGGCCCTGCCTGTGGCGAGCCGATCCGATCACTTGTTACCTTGTTGTCACCATCTTGACGCGTATCATCGCCCCCTCAGCCAGCCAAAAAAAAGTTGCTCGACATGCACCTGCCAAAACTTCGACTTTCTTGGATTTTGATAGCATATATTGTCACGGCATATGCAGTCTAGGACGTTGGAGATTGTTTTTGGCGCAGAGCGCCTTACAATGCCATCCCTGGCAGGGTTACATAGCGCCACTTTGGCCATGTGTAGGTCACCCCCATGCGCAGGCATGACAGGATTTGCTAAGCTTTTGACTTAGCAGAATCTGTTGTCATCACCCAAAAACAGGTCTGGCGCGTAACTCTTGGCTGGTGAGCTCAAAATAATTGGCTTAACCCTAGGGCTGTTTCCTGCTTTGGGTTAGGGGTTAGGGTTAGGGTTAGGGTTAGGGTTAGGGTTAGGGTTAGGGTTAGGGTTAGGGTTAGGGTTAGGGTTAGGGTTAGGGTTAGGGTTAGGGTT